AGGGCGATGGGGAAGGATGGTTTCTTACCTGTAGTTCGTTATCAGCCTCCATAGTTTTGATCCACTTCTGCGCCTGACACTGGGGATCGATCACCAACGGCCACCGCTGACCTTTAGTAACGATGATACCGTTTTCGGTACTGAAACTGTCGGCCGGGAGACCCTGTATATTCCATTCCCTAATCGTAGTGGGATCGGTGAGGAAAGTGATGAAATTGAAATCGACCGAATATATAACTTCCCATTTCACAATCTAAAAAAAAAAACAAATTTGATATCGACATCCACCTCATCAGATACAGACGACCAACCTCTTTCTGCCAGAAATGTATCAGCTCCTCTCTGTAGCTGGACAAGAACGGCCCTAGATAGCACAAGAAAGCGGTGGCCAACAGACAGTCACCGGGTAAGAAGTCGAATTTTTTGTCCAACTCTGTAACAGTTTCTCCCCACCTCTCCCTTTCGCCGGACAAACATTCCACCAACGTGGCGGCTCTTTCCAACTTCAATTTCAGCAGCTCAGCCTACAAGAAAAATCACAAAAACTAACAAGCGAGCACGAGGGGCCGAGGGCTGACCCCTGCGATGTACCGCATCCTTCAGGTACCTTTTTATTGAGTTCCTCTTTCTGCTCGAGTTTATCCTCATACTCTTTCTGAAGCTTCTGCAGCGTCATATTCAATTCCGCGAGCTTGCCCTGAGCTTCGGCGAGCATTGCCTGTTTCTCTTTGAGGGAATCTAACGCCTCGTCCAGCTTGGCTTTTTTCGGACCCACAACTCTGCAAAAGGGAGGAAAATCAAACACGGAAGACAAAAAAGATGTGACATCGACTCACTTCCAAACTTTGGCGTATTTCTCTATGGCTATAACCCAGAGGCACAGAGATTTTGCAGCCAACGAAACCATTCCTACTTTGTCTGGAACAAATTCTTCACTCATCGTATAAACGGCGATTTTTTTCAAAGTTTTGTCTGATATGTGATTCTTGTCGAATTCTTTGAGGTCCCTGAGGAAATTCATCTCGCCCAAGAGTCGTTTAGCAGCTTCCCAAGTAGGTTCAATCTATGACGGCAATAATAATGGCAAGATTATAATTGAGGATAAACAACTCATCAAAATTGTATTGCTATTTCTATACAAGTTATAATTTTCCATTAGTTGCACTAGAAACAAAGTCAATAAACTCACCCCTTTCAAAATATTCACAGCTTCCATAACCATCTTGACTTTTTGCGGGGGAGTAGTATAAGATTTCATTTCGCTTATATCTTTCTTACTAAGAGAGTCCAATGCCCTTATAGCTTCTTCCAAAGCTGGCATTGCTTCATCTAAATCGGTTTGGGCAATGTCCGCCATTTTTTTACATTGGACTTCCTCTTCGCCAATTTTCACGCTCTTTTTCGTTACTTCTTTCTACCAAGTATATTGAAGATATTAAAGAAAAAGCTAATGAAATAACAGACAGTTGCTAGGCAGGCAGTTGAATTGTTGAAAAATTAATAGATGGAACATGATAATGAGGACATATAAACGAAATGAAATAGATATGTGAAAGATAAAAGAGGAGTCAAAAGGAACTGCTGAAGGAGAATACNAAAGCCGGATACTGCCTCAACCGATTCCTGAAAGCGTCTCCGATCGGACTCATGCAGAGGACGATGTGCAAACGTGCCCTCACGCGGCTTATCAGGAACTCATTCATCGCTTCGTTAGTGCGGATGATCCCGGCTTTCGTCGCTTCCGAATCCAATCTGCTTTTGATCTGGTGAAAAATATTAGACAGAGACTAGACAGTAGCAGAAATATTTGTATGGAAGTGGTTTCTTGGTAAATGATGGAGGTTCGGAGTTTCATTGTCTAAAAGCAGAGCAACCAAGTCAACTTGGCTTGGTTTTTGTGAGGCTTTTACGGACGGTATTCCCGGATCTGAAGCAGGTTCTCATGTTGCAGCTAATTCCTTTTATACTCTCCAATAGACCTCTGGTTCTCACGTCTTCTATTTCTTATTGTCTTCTGGTCAGGGTCTGTTTCAACAGGAGTTACCGTTCTGTTGATGACCCTTCCTGATGTGACTCCTCCCTGTCCAGACTTTTCTCCGTACCACATCACCTAAACACACGATCATTGCACGATTATTTTGTTATCGATCCTTTTCACTATCACGTCTACAAACGGCAATTCATTGTGGGGCTGCCTTCCCAATTGTCAATGTTATGGAATGTCTCTTGGTGTTGAGGTGCTATCCAATGTCCAGTTCCTTTCCTCTATGGTTCCATACTTTAGAGGTGCCATCGGGGCTCAATTCTTGTGAGCTTCTTCAACGCAACCACATTACAACTATTGACTAGAGGGTTCCTTCACCGTATTCGCAGATCATTTTTCTTTTTTTCCGTGAAGAATGTCTCATCCAATCTTCGTGTATATCTTCTCCTGCTCATAGAGATTATAATAGGGAGGCCAAGCGGGGATTTCAGGATTAACTGAAGCGCGACAGATTAATATACAGAGGGATACCTTGTACCCGGTTAAGTTCCTCCACCAAATATGAGCCCCATATATAAGGCCGCCCATCAAGGATAAAGGATCAGATTAGTAAAAAAAAATTGATCATCAGAAATTCTCGAGCGCGTCAGATTAAGGTAGGGTGAGTTATAGGGTGAGTTAATTACATGCTAAAAAGTGTATATTCCAGTAATCTGACAATTTGAGAGTGACGTAAAGAAAGGGGAGGGCAGCAAAGTTGTAAAAAAAAAACGTCATCTCGACATTCTCGAGCGTAGCTAATTTTTAGCGTAGCGATTTCAGTTTCACGTAACCCATGTGACGTGAAACTGAAATCGCTAAGAAGGAACACTGGTTTAAAAAAGCTCAAAGGAGATGCTTTTTCAGCCAGGTTCGTATTGAATGACAAATAAACAAAGAGAAGAGTAGCTAGAAGCGAAAGCATCCACTTGAGTTATAAAGAGCCTCGTTGTAGCAGGAATAGACCAGTTATTACTCGCAAGCTTGGTTTAAAATCCTTTTCTAGTTTTTTATTTTCGTATTTTTATGATTTCTTTTCATTTATTCATTCAATAATTTATTTGGGTTATTTTTGTTTATATATCATCAACATTTCACCTATTTAACCCTGTTCGCTAATTCTTGAGTGGTTCGATAAGTGGACTGTATAAAGATAAGTGTCGAGATCATTTGGGACCACAAGTCCCGTGGTGGTTCAGCTTCTAATGATAGTATTTATGCCTGCTGAAAGCTAGATGAAGGGACCTCTTTATGTTGAGGACAATCTGCAGGCAGCGACACACAATAATGGTTTGTTGTAATGCGGTAAATGAAGGTTTTCCATAAACCTGAGCGGTGCATCCGCGGAATATTCACAAGAATGAGAGGCTAATCGTTCACGTTAGCACTTCAACATTTCATTCATTTTTCTTTTCACATATTTCAAATCTAACAATAGACAATAAAAGTCCGAACCTTTACCATTCAACAGAAATATTTCCTTACGTCTTCGAACTCGTCCGGTTTGTACAGGTTGGCCACTTCACCGCTGCTCAGCATGTTGTTCACGATCTCCAGAAAGCCTTCGTCAGTGATCTGAGTATCATTGAAGATGAAAGCTGTAGCTTTTCCGTCAACACCTGTCAGGCTATATAACGTTTTCAAATCTTCTTTGAATTCTGGAACTCTGTAGCTCTTCGTCACGGATATTTGGTAGGAATTGTACTCGCAAATATAGGCGGCGACTCGCGAAAAGGATTGTCTGCCGCTACCCCCTGGAAAATAATTGATGGAAACCACGTGATCACAGAAAGATAACCCTTCTCTTTTCCGAAGTGGAAATACAAAGGTGGTACTCGGGCTAACCCAGAGATGGCGGTAGTTTGAAAAATATCGCTGCATTAGAAAGTACACAATATATAAAGCATATGTTTCAAGTTTGAAGACGCTGCGTTGTTTAGTATTTGTTTGGCAGCCGTCATTAGCGAACGATTTCGGTGAATTTGTGAATATGGAGAAAATTGGTCATCGTTATGTGGTACAATACTATTATTTGAAAGGCCTCAGCCCAACCAATATAAAAGATGAACTGGATTCTAGTCTGGGTGTGTCTGTTCTTCGTTTACAACAGTAAAATACTTAGTAGGCATTCCAAAATGTGCGGTACATCGAATATTATCCAAAAATTTGGACATGAGAAAGCTGTGTGCAAGATCGGTGCCGCGTTTGCTCACACTCGAGCAAAAACAGTGCCGTGAAGATGTTTCAATTGAGGTTTTGAAAATTTTAGGTAATCTCTCACCTATTCCGACCAAGAGCATATTTCCTCTGGGTTGCGAAATGACCCTGACTATGCGACAGATGTGCTCGATGGCGTCCTTGAACAGTACCAAATCCATCCTGACTACGCCGGGAGAGGCGTTGTACTCGTCCATCTGTTCGTCTAAGTACTTCCTGACGACCGCGATGTCGGAGTGCTCCTCGTATATGCCCCAGGGGTTCACGAAGTCTGCGTAGACTGGTATCTCGTTTTTGGGGCACAAACTGTGCAGGGTCACTTCGAAATGCCTTCCGAGCTGGTCGTTCATTTGTGAGATGAACCATTCTTGGTCGCTAAAACATTTCATTCAATTGTACATGAACCTTAACCCATAAAATATTGCTAGACATATCAAAAGCTCAGAACTACCAGACCTTTTGTGAGTAAACCCCCCTCTATTCATTGAAATATAAGTTGTATTTTTTAATCACAGAAAAAAGGGTAATCATCGTGGCAAATAGAATGTACTACTATTTACTATATTGTTTCAGAACCACCACCATTACCTTTCATCAATCAGCCTGTCGTAAAACACTCGGAAGCACTCGTGGATCCAGAGCTTCAGCAGCGTTCCCTTGTCGTTCTGAAAATCTTGGTGACACCTCAACATCCCTTGAAATATCTTGGAGATATCCCGCAAATTGAAAAGGTAATGTATCTTCGTGGGAGTCGGCAGCATCTTTACTATAACGTTTTTATACAGATCAATAGTAGCGTCAGTTATCTGCCTTCCCACTAATTTCACATCTTCGGGAAAATTCGAAGCAAGGTGTTGACTTAACATCGTGCCGAATATTCTCGATATGGTTTCGTCTTCGGGAAACGTCATGTTTATAACATTGAATCTGCTCAAAAGGCGATCCGTGATGACGTTTCTGCCGCCCCCAGGTGGACCCATCGAGCCCAAAATATGCATGCTCTGAAATCGGCAAAAAATTTATGAAGTATATCACCTATGCAAGTAGTAGATGGTCTAGAGGAGTTCTGGGACAAAATTTTATGGAAACATTCATTACTGAGCCCAAAATATTTATGTATGTTAAATCGTCAAAAAAATGGTTAAAATATTACAGATGGGCTAGACTGAATCAAAATTTCATGGAAAAAATTTCTTTATTGAGCCCAAACTATGCATGCTCTAAAATCGACGAAAAAATGAGTAAACCATATCATCAATGCCAGTAGTAGATAGGCTAGAAGGCTTCTGGATCAATTTTTACGATAACAAATTCATTGAGTGTACAGGCTTTGAAATCGACGAAAAACTGAACGAAGTATATCATCAATGCGGGTATGAAAACAAATTAATTATTGAAACCTATTCAAAACCTTCGAAATAAAATTATCAAGTGAACTTTCTAGCTAAACTATTAGAAGTCAACAAACAACTTATATAAATCTAAAAAACAAATAGATTTGTCATCCTTACCTAAATTCAAATTATCAACATTCATTCGATCCTTACATAAACTGTAATAGTTTTCTGGAGAAGTAATGCGTTGTTATTCGTTTTTCACTTAGTAATTTATTTAGTGTCTCTAGTGAGATTTTCTTTATAGAAATGCTTGTTACCATGATAAATATTCACCTGTATATATTTCCGCGTCTGTTTTTGCCTGTCGAACCAAAAACCGTAATCAATCCATAACCTCAGCAATTCCAACGGAGGTTGAGAACCGTACGTCTCTTTCGCTGGCATATTCAAGTCATCCATGAAAACTATCATCGTTTTTCCACCGGTAGGAGCGAATCTACCCTTGGTACGTTTTTCCACGCGGCTTTCAACGGCATCCTGAACGTTCTGAGACGAAGTCTGAGCCGACATGTTGATGTTCAAGATGGTGTACTTTTCCGGGTCGAGACTCGAGAGAGCTGCTTGCGCCGTTGATGTTTTACCGGTACCCACAGGTCCAGTTAACATCGCTGGAAAACCGTTGGCCAAGAGGGAACCCACAAGAAACTCGTATCGAACAGTATCAACTGTTGGGACTGTGATTTTATAAAAAGGGCTCCTACAAATGAGAGTTATACGTTACGAATCTTAGTGGCTTCAGAAATGTTCCTTGTGAAACACCACATTTCCCCGATCAATAGTCTAATAATTCAAATAAACTGTTCGTGCTCACCCAGCTTCGTATTTCCAACCATACGGCAGTTTCTCCGACCATGGAGCGAAGCAGTTATTTTGATGATCGACAAAATATTCGTAAATAGTGTCTTTAATCGGAAAAACGCCTTCCTTTTCTCTTATGAAAACGTCCAATTTCTTTCTCCCTTCCTCGTTGGTGGTACAGCATACGGACCAAATCAAGCTGAAAAGATAAACTTCGAACTAGTCTGGCAACACGAAAGGAAAAGTAACAAACTCACCAGAATAGAAACCAATTTTTGGCTATGTCTTCAAACTCCTCCTTGGCAGGATCTAGACCGTATTGCTTCGTAGCGTAAATATCCAACAGCTTACACAAGGATATAACCAAATTGAGCTCCGCACACTCGAGATTCTCTTGGCAATTGAGTCGTTTAAATTCCAATATCGGCGTTAAATAAGTAGTGAACAAACTCAGCATCTGTAATGAACACCAATTAAATTACCTGTTGTCACATATGCGTGGCATACCTTTTTCGTAAACGTTTCACCGAACTTTTTCTTGCTATTGACCCATGAATCAACATAGGGCGACCATCCCCAGTCCTTGTAATCATTGTACACCATCCCGCACCTGCTGACAGTAGCCGGCGAGGCAACAGCCAAGTCGCCGACTTCAAACAGAAGGGAAACCTGCTCCGGCATCGTTATCCTGTCACTGTTTATCAATGTCAGGACTTTGTTGTCGTCCATGACGCTGTTCATGTTCTCTATCCAGACCGCGTCGACTGGCCCGTCGAAAAGTATCCATTTCTGATCAGGAGATTCATCTGGAAGTACCATATTGTTTGTTTACGTTTGTCCACAGAACTCATATATCAACTAAGTTTGATTTTCCTTCAATAATGTTATCGAGATGAATATCATTCACGTTTCATACCTGAGCAAGTCTGCCTCATCACCGCACTGATAACCCCGTCCAACCACTCGTTGGTACTCAGGTTATACTCTCCGTACAACTCTGCCAAGTTGAGAGCTTTGGGATTCAGAGGAAACACCTGGACGTTGTTGAAACCCGGTTTGTTGAGCAGCTTCAACTTGCCCATTGCGCCTTGCAGCACCTTCCAAGTTACAGATTTCGCTGTACAAGTCTTGCCTAGAATCATCACCGAATGTCTGGAATTCTTCGTCTCGTACAGTTGGATGATCTTTGTCAGGGCGATGGGGATAGGCTGGAATGTCATAAAATAGCAACAATAGCAGAAAAGTGAAGTTCTGAACCCAAATATCGTTCATGAAGCCATTGAGCAGATACTGTGCGAACCAGTAAGTTGAGTTCTCCCCACTACTCTCTCTATAAATGTCGATTGCATACAGCATAGGGTTTCATTAACGAGGTGGCAACGCATTGCTGAAAACCACCGCTGAAGATGTCCATCGGCGAAACGTACGAAACTTTCTCTCCATTGGACCACGGCTACCCAAATCGGATACATAAAGTTCGATTATTAGAAAAGTCTGATAATGCAAATTGCAATGATGAAGTTTCCTGGTGTTTGGAAACAAGATTCTTCGAGAGAGAACGCAGTGTGCGTGACATCATCGGAAGCAGGGCCGTAAATAATTGACAAATTATGTTGAACGAAAATCATGTATTGGTTATTGTAGTCGGACAGTGGATTTCAGAGAATTCGCCGGAGAAGTAATTTATATTCTTACCAATCCCGCTCATGACACTCACCTGTAAATTATTCTCCTCCATGTACTCCGTTATCGCGAAATTCATGTCGATGTAGTCGACTATGGGAATGACTACTCCGGGGAAAATGTCCGACATTATCCCATTGAACAGAGGAAGATCGTTGGCAGTTAGTCTCGCGATGTTCATGTCTCGCATGGCCAAATAAACGACTTGTTCTTCCGGTACGTGCGGCATCTGACGTCTCTTACTTCCAGCGTATCGTAACAACGCTACCATGGACCTCAGCCCGAAGTCGTAGTGGTCCTGTTTGCTCAATTGTTGGACGGCTAGGCGGTAGAGTGTGAATACCTATGGAATTCAAGAAAATCATAAAAAAAATTGATTTGGACTATATTTACTCGTACACGACGAAGAACCTATTTACAAAACTCTTGAGTACAATTTGGTGGAAAATATTATCCTTTCGCTATAAGACTAAAAATTATTTATGCATTTTTGGTTACATAGTAATAATAATCGTCGCGGTACGAAACTGTAATACAAAATTCTATCGATACCAGGGTTTTTCTCACCTTCTTAGCTAACGACTTAGTATTCTGAAAACCATCGCTGAAGAGAACGTTTTCAGCAATGATACCACTGTCGGGCACCATCATAGAAATCGGGCGAAACATGGACTTCAAATTATCTGGCAATTCAGTTCTGCCAGCATAACCTGGATTCATCGTGATGAATATACCACAAGTTGACCTCAAGTTTATCTCGTAACCTATGAAAAAGTATCTATCAAAAGTGCGTCATACTATTCATCTTTAAATAAAAATCCAAACAGACTTCCATTGGCTAGTATATCGAACAATGTTCAACCTACCTTCGAAAGTGAATCTCTTCAACTTCTGTGCGATAGCGGAGAGGATACACAAAATCTGCTGAGCGACGACGGACAAAACTTCAATGTTGATTCTATTGAATTCATCAAAACACCCCCAAGCACCCGTTTGGGCCAGCCCAGAAAAACACTTCCCTAAACTCTTGTAGTCCAATCCCTCGGAACAATTGTTCACTATCACCCACATACCCATCGCTTTACCGAGGTCTTTAACCGTTTCGGTTTTTCCCGTTCCGGCAGGTCCTTTGGGGCTTCCCCCTCTGTAGAGATGAAGGGCGGTAGTCAAGGTTATGTAACATCTGGAAATTATGACAAAATACGGTCAAACATAATTTGTTCACGGATCCTTATGAAAATTCATTACCTGTCCGTCAATGGTGTTATAACGAGTCTTCCTGAATTCCCATTATACTCGTAACCATATTTGAAGCAAGTATTTGTTTGTTTGATGACACAATCGTCCGTATCCCTGTCCCAATAAAATCTCAACTGCGAAAACCACTCAAAAGCGTTAGTGTCCCTGCAATCTATAAAAAGAGCGTGCATTAAAAAATATTTGGTAGCAGAAGTGGGATAACTAAATCACTTCGTTTTTTTTTTTTTTTGCGTTACACAACTGTCCGCAGTTCGCCATCAGCCACTTGTCGCGCTTGTTGAGCATCTTCTTGAGCTCGCCCCTGCACGGCTTGAATGCCGTCCTAAGAACCAACTGCATCGCCGCCTCCAGCTGCAACAGCCACATCTCCGACGGCCCCTCCAGGTAAAACGGACGCACGAACTCCATGTACTCGCCGTCGTCTGAGAACATTCCAGCCGCCTCCTGTTTGTTAACGCCCATGTTCTTCTGAATCTTCATCTTGTTCAGGTTATCGAAGAGCTTTTTCAGGTGCGTCTGTACCGCCTCCGGCTTCTTCGAATTGCCGAGGATTTCGAGCATGTCGTCGTTGGATATGAAGTAAAATCTTGGAAAGATGTGCCGCTTATTCTCGAGATACCTTTCCAGGGCTCTTTGCATTATGTCCAGCTTATCATTCATCCGGTTCAGTCTGTTGAAGAGAAACGGAGGCGACCTATAGTGAGTGGCCAGAAGGGCGGACTTGGCGAAAAATAATCGCGTCGTGATTTCTCGCCACTCATCCGTGATGTTGTCGAAGTCTTCCGTTTCCTTGGGCAGCTGCTTACGGATGTCTTCGCCGAAGAATATATTCTGTAATCGAACGGTTATTGCGTGTTAGAAACCGCGGCGAGAAAACTGCGGTAGGACCCAAAGTACCTGAATCCTATTTGGTTTTGTTCATTATAATTTTTGTTTATTGACATCTAAACGAACATGTTCTTTCCTATTTATGGAAACTTTATCCTTCACAAATGTCACTTTACCTCCAAATAGAGCCACTGCCTCTGCACTTGCAGCGCCATCTCTAGCGTTTCCATAATATAGGACAACGTCCTCTCCCAGTGGTCCACTTCTACGGTGAATGGTTCGACGAACCGAGTACTCTTCATCACCGACAGCTGCATCATGTTCTCCTCCAACGCCTGGAAGCAATCGTCGACGTTCTTGATCCTGTAGACGGACCTCTCCTTATAAGAGATGATCTCGAATTTCATAGTCTTCCAAATTTCTGCGATGGCCTTGAGCCCTTTCTCGATCTGCAGCTCCATCGTAGCTGCGTTAGAAATTTCGCTGATTTCTTCGGTGTGTTTATGCAACTCCATGGCGTAGATAGCTTCCAAGTTGAAATCCGTAGAATTTTCGTCAAAATCGACTTCCACCGCCGCTCTGACTTTGTCCCAGTGTCTTGATCGCATTGCAGGGTTTTTCAGATCGCCCAGTAGAGGAAGCATACGTCTGAATGCGTCCACTCTCTGTCGGGTGTCTTCGACGATTGACCAGCTGGAACGTAATGGTGTATCATGAAAAGTAAAACACCCTACAAACTATAATCAACAAATATGGACTGAAATTTATGGACACACAGCCTACCCTTTATCCTTAAGTTCTCTCGCGAGTCTCGTCAGTTTCCTAAACAACGTCTGGGCCGTTTCTTCCATTTCTGTTGTTTCTATCGTCCAAAACTCACCAGATTTATATTTCTCCCAAGCTTGATCCCATTCGTGAACCAACTGCCAAATCAGTTCAAGTGCCGTCAATTCCTAAAATACAAATTGAATGCTCTCCATCTTTCTTCATACGCATGTCGCTATGTTCGATAAAACCTAACCTAAAAATCAAACTCACCCCTTCCAGTCTGGACAAATCGACGGATTCCGGAAAACTCAGTCCGAAAATTCCCAAATCGTTTCTCAAAACGTCATCCCTTTGTTTCATTTCCAAAAGTTGGTTTCTCATATTGATCAAATAGCGCATAGCTTCCGTGGCCGTGAATTCAGACGTGAAAGGTCCTTCCTTAAGGAACTGGTTCAGTAAGTCCCTAGTCTCCTTTCTAGAAACTTCGGCTTGTTCCAGTAATTCCGTTTTGAAACGTTCCTAAAATACGATGTGATATTCGGTCAGTACTACTGCTATTTAGACAAATACCTTCCCTGAACGATGAAGGATGAAGGGGAATAAGGAAATTTTCAGGGGAGCAAACGATAATAACATTAAAATCATATTTCAGTAAATTATATGTAGAAAACTGTAGTACGCTGAGCAAAATGGACTATTTAGGCAGCAGTAAAAAAACGTAAATGAGAGACATGTCGTAACATATGAAAAATTCAGCCAAATTAATTGAAATCACTTTTTCAATAGACATATTGCGTTGTCGTTTCCCTTTTACACTTACTCTTCGCTGTTCATCCTAATGTAATCATAAAGTTCTCGAAGATTCGCTTCGGTCATTTTAAACAAGAGATCGCACAATTTTTCCTGCCATTCGATACAGTGATCGACAATAGCGCGTTTCAGTTCTGCGCAGTTTATTTGCATGAAGTGTACAGCAGAGACGGTCTCTTGGATTTGAACGTTGTTTGCCATTTCAGTGTAGCGGCCTATATTGGAATCGAACAGAAGAGCGCTAGGGTGTTCCCTTTCATATCTTGCTATGAACTTCAACTTGTCCACCTCCCACAAATCGCGAAATGGTTCCCAAGTTTGCATGTATACTTTAATCTTTTCGACATTCACTCTCACCTCTGGAACAGACGATGAAAGAAAACAACTGAACTTTCGTTTAGTTGTTCAATCGTGAGACTTACCTTGATTCAGCTTCGTCTGCAAAAGCTGACACTGCAAATCTTCGGCTATTATCTCGCTGTAAGGCTTGAAACTTGTATCGGACACGTGAAACTTGTCATTGAGTCTAGGTAAAGCAGTTAAGGCCTCAACCAGGCTATGATGGATATTGGAAATCACCGTAGCCACTTCCACCAGAGATGGTTTAAATTTAATCTACAAATAATCAAATCATTGCTCACGAATCCTTTCTAATGTTCTTAGATTCGACTACTGACCCTATTATCTGTCAAATTCGCAGTTAGTTTTATCAGTGGATTAGGTTCTGTAGTACCATCGCCATGCAAAGCTTCGTACATAAACTCCAAAGAATTCTTGCAACAAATTTTCAGCGCCTCTTCCATGAGCCGATCAAAATTATTAATATATTTTATCCACTGGTTCGCCATCTACAACAATACAATTCGTGTATATAATTGTGTGTTTTGTTATTCCAAGAAACGTTACATGTTTATATACGCGGGAATCACGAAACCAGATTTCAAAATATTAAAATTAATTAAGTTGGTGTTGAACTTACAGTCCCCATATTCGATTCAAAACCTTCAAAAACCAATATAACAAACTGTATAATCTCCTGGTACCAGCTGATGAGCGTACATAAGACTTCTTGCATATTTCTTGTCAAGTCACTGACCAACTCCTCAATTTCGAAGGCATAGTTTGGACGAATGTTGATCAAGGGAGTATCGCATATTTTTTCGCATATCGAAACAATCTGTAGATTACAACTCTTGTAGTCATCTACGAAAGCTTGAAGCTAAAATCAACATATGTCATTTGTCTTATATGAATATACATCAATTTGGTGATAAACGTTCATCAAGAAAAGTGTTTTTACAGCTGTGGGTAGGGAAAAAGTAATTTTGCTAAATTAATTTTTTGAAAAATATTAAAATTTCACCTATATTACATCACCATCAAAATTTTCATCGTTATCCGAAATTTTATATAGTTTTTCCAAAAACGGTATTATTGTCAGACAATTTTAAGAAAATTTCTCTCTTGTTTTTTCTATAGTGATATTATTATTATTATTGACGTTAGTCGGAGGGCGCCAAAATGAAAAGATTATTATACTGACAATACAAAACTCACCTCTGCGGTAATATTGCTACAATCTGCTATATATTCATCTCCAATATCAGTGCCCCACGTAAGTTTGCTGAGACCTGGCGAGATTTTCTTCTCCACCGTCGTAATCAACGGTTTAAACAATAACCGTTCATCGTCTGATAAGGACGAAATTATTTTGTTGTAATCTAGTACGACGTTCAACACACACTCGTAGACGAACTTTATAGACTCCGCTCGCTGGTAAACAGATTTAACGTACATGGGAATTTCGTAGTTGAGAGACTCCCAGTAGTTCGCCTCGTGGAAGATTTCCAACAGAGACCTTCAGGAAATCAAAAATATTGAAACTGCAAACTATATAATACGCAATCTTCTACGTACCTGTCGATGTTGCATTCCAAAAGTCCAGGTTTCGTTAAGCTTTTACACATCAGCGGTCTGTTTATTCTGGCGTTTATGTCTTCTCCGATGCTGTCGACCCACTTTCGGAAGAGGTTGAAAATGTGATCGTTCACTGACGATACCAACTTTTCGTACTGCGCGAAAACTTCTCTCGAAATACTACAAGGCATCATCCAACCGGCATCATCAAACATCTGAAAAAAAAAATCACGAGTTTAGAACAACAAAAATATCTAAAATGTATGAAATAGTTGATATTCCACCTGTTTCAAGTTTTGCAACATGTTCTTCTTCATGTTTATCATATGCGCTCTTCCTGAAAAATATGACATCAGAGTAGGATAAACTTCAGCCTCTGTCTGCATATCCTGCTTTGCGTCCAATATCGCCTGCCTGAACATCTTGTACACCTATAAAATGTTTATATAATACTAGAACATTCGACTATCGCAACTAAGTACCAGTAAAGTTTTCCCCTTGATCAGAGAAACCAGGGTTCTCCTCTTGGTAAAGTTGTGGAGAGCAGCCAGGGATTCGATACCTTCTTCAATATTCGCGACGCTATCAAAAACCGCATTGGTCAAGTTTTCCACCACTACTTCCACGTCTTTCATCCTCGTTTTGAATTTCAAAATGTCGTCGTACCAATCGGCGATTTGAACATCGAGTATTCTTTGCTTCACCTTAAATGAATGATAAATACAAAGTGAATACAGGCTTTCAAGGCCGGAGTCAGGATTAAGTAGAACAAAATTAGGAATAGTACGCCGTGGTGGAATGGAACCTGAAGTACCAACGAACAATCGTTCCACAAGAGAAGTGAGCGCAGAACTGGATAGACTATTTGACGATCGGTGGATGAGNCTAAATGGAGGACTCACCTTCTGATTTTTCTGAGCACACGCTTACCACTTCATACCACAAGTTACAATAATTGGCCATTTCTTTCCGGCCCTCGCCACATCCAACGAACGTTGAAGAGTTATCTAGTCCATCGGGAGCCCAGCAATAAAAAAATATATATAATTAAGAAAAATCGTACCCTTTCGATATCTGCCAAGCTTTCTCTAAACATTTTCTCAACCCGTTCCGCCCATTTTTCAAACTCAGGTCCCTTCGAACCGCCAAACCTTGGTTTGGGTATTTTCTCGGTTTCGTCGAAACGTCCAAAAACTACCATCGCCTCGCAAATCTCGATCATATCTTTGCAGCGTTGCATAAACGAATCGACGTGGTTGAATATCGGAGCCAGATCCAAATCCCACGGTCTCTCCCCAAACTGGTCGTGACTATTAGATATCTAAAACCAACGGTATGGTTCATGAAGTTCAACAAGCAACGACAATGTTTATACTCACGAACACGTACGTCTTGATGTACTCCGTTATGGCGTCTATGCAGGTTTCGAACATTTTGATGGCCTTCTTCGTGTGCTTCTTCACAAACACAACGTCCAAGTCGATATAACCTCTGCACTGCAATATGATTTGGTTGCTGAGCGCCCTGCACAGCTGCGTGATTTTATCTGTCGTGTTGTAATAGGGGCTGTTCATCCAGATGTGCCGAATAAGATGGAAAATTTTCGGAACCATCTTCTTGAATTCATCGGGAGACTTGGCAGCCGACAATTCTTCGCAAGGCGCTACCAGGACGTTTAGATATTCGATGTTCGACTTGGATTCGGCTACGTTTTTCGTTATTTCGTCAGCGAGCACACGAAATTGTCGCACGTACGTGGACTGGATCGACGTCAAAATGTTGCAGATGTGCTTTATGCCTTCGTTCTCGAGTTGGTAGTTCAAGCCCAGCAGATTTTCGTCTAGAATTCGCAAAAAAATTATAGTTCTCATTTTAAATTCACCTCAAATACACCAGTGACGGCTCGTGCATTGGAGAACAGTTGAGGCTAAAGTCATCAAGACTATATACACACAGAAAAGCCCGCCGGAGGAGCGAAATTTTTTATGTTGTTGCACGCTTTGCTTAATACTAAAGTTAAGGCATGGGCATGACAATGCGTAAAAAGTGTTTGTAAACCATTTAAGTGGCCGGCCATGACCGCAGCCCCATCATACGTTAGCGCAATTAACTTTTGCCTAAAAGTATAGGTGTCACACGTACGAATTAAAAAATTAAACAAATTGTCAGCTGTGCGCCCAGATGAAAAATCATGAAAACCCATAAAACGTTCTACCACATTACCATCTTTGACATATCTAAAAACGATTGAAAGTTGTGATGTACAGGTAATATAGGTAGTTTCATCAATTTCCCATGCAAAAAAAGAAACACTCTCAATCTCCTTGCTTATATTTTCCTTAATAATATATGCCAAACTGTCTATAAGCTCATTTTGGATGGTTTTTGAGGTGCCCGAAAAAACGCTACCGTTTAAAAAAGTGCCAAATTGTGAATCATATTTGCCCCATAACATTAAAAGTTCCTTGTTATTGCCGCGATTAATCGAATCTTCGGTTTCATCGTGTCCGTTAAGCCTCCCTTGCTTCCTCTGACGAACCGCCGCTGAAGTGTACAAAGATCAAACAAAATCCTACTGCGTCGATAGAAAGTAAAGTGTGACAGACCTTGAAAAAACGTCCAAATGAGGCAGTAACACCAGAAAACACAAAAAAATTCACAAAACCGTTTATGAATGATTGAAACGTGAAGTTGCATGAGTTAGCAAATGTTGTAAAGATATCAAAAGAACGTGTTGGCTTTATATTGCATGAGCATTTGACTATGAGGAAGCTCTGTTCAATGTGGGTGTCGCGATAGCTCACTGTTGACCAAAAACAAAAAAGTCTTGATGATTTTGAGCAGTGTTTTGCCATGTTTAAACATAACAAACCGAAATGTTTGCGTCGATATATGACAATGGATGAAACATGGATCCATCACTCCACTCCGGAATCAAAACGATCTTCATCTGGGTGGAGAGCAACTGGTGAACCTCGTCCAAAGTGCCCGAGAGCACATCAATCGGCTGGAAAGGCTATGGCCTCGGTATTTTGGGATGTGCGTGGTGTAATATTCATCGACATTATTGAGTGAATATTATAAAGCGTTATTGGAGCTTTTGAAGACCGAAATTGCAAAGGAACTGCCGCAAATGGCAAAGAAACAACATTTTTTTCATCAAAACCACGGACCGTGTCACAAGTCAATCAAAACAATGTCAAAACTGCATGAATTTAACTTCGAATAAAGCCAATTTTGAACAAAAAAATAAGGATTTTCTTTCTTAGACCCGGGACTTTTCAGTCCAGGTGTTACATAAAATTGTACATTTCATAGTAAACTCACATCGGTATTTCCAAAACTCGTATTCGTCCTTGGGGCACAGCAAATCGTCTGGAGTGTTTTGGTCTTGATCTTGCAAACCGACTCGCACTTGCTTCGTCCAGAAAACGACGATTCCCTCCAGTCTCTTCACCAACTCTTTATCGTTCGAAGCGCCAGCAAGAGGGATGCTCAACACCTCGCTGGGAACGTACAAGACGGTGAGTCCAGACAGCTTGTAGTGGAGGTCGGTTAATTTCGAGAGGAAAATCTGCAGGTTGTTGCAGAACTCGTTCTTCACACCTTGGCGCGAGGTCAGGAAAATATTCATTAACCTTTGTTGCATTGACTTTATAATGCTGGGGCCACACTAACGAGAAATGCCATTAATTATCGCGATAATGGACGTTAACCGTAGGTGTAGCCACGACTTAACGCGATAATTTGACAACGGCAGTAANATGACTGATTCATCAAAAACAATAGTGGCTCGATTATAAGGTCTACAATTTTTTTCACAGTAACTATTGAGATACCATCAGTACCTGCGGAGTTTTTATTTGCCATTGTTTCCAGAGTACCTAGAATTTCTGTCTTTGTGAATGGGGATGTATCGAAGGGATACTGACTAACAGTATTCTTCGAATAGGTACAGGGAAGTAATACATTTTGACCAAAGTGCTCTGAGATGAGCAATTCGGCAGAAGATGAAAAATGTTCAACGAAAAGGTTTGAAATTTCTTGTGGATTGTTAATTTCCTCCTTTAATTCATTTTTTAGAGTAATAGGTTTGTTTCCAAGTGCCCTTTTTTTATTTCCCAATTCATTATTTATTATTTTCCAAACTTGTTTAGTTTTGTTACTGGATTTCCTGAATTAATGCGATAAAGCGGCCACACACGTCAGTGTTACTGTCAACGTCCATCTTCCAAGTAAAATTAACGCAGTTTTTATCGCCAATCATGGGCATTCACGTTGACCGTATTAAATGTAGCCACCCACTTTAGCGCGTTAAAAATTATCGCGATAATGGGCATTGACGTTAGCCGCTAGTGGGGATCATGCCCAGTTTAAAACAATGTGAACAGTTTTATGTTTCTCGAAAAAGGATACTGTCTGGCCAATTTTGGGATGATAGTAGCAAAGGAGCATAGACATCTCTAACAATTTCCAGCATCGTCCCCTCAATGTTGTAGTCGACGGTGCCGAAAATGATGTTGTCGTAGAAAGTGTCGACTTCGAATCTGTAGTTGGGCTGCCTCAAAAAGTACATGAGGTCGTCTTGAATGGGGCCCGTCGGTACTTCAGTATCACAAACGAGGTCGTCCTCATCAAAGTAGATGCAGAGGAGTGGCTTGCTGGTGTCCATCAACCAGTAACTAGATAAAAAAAATATATAGTTTAAAAAACTAAAACACACGCTTTTAAAGAACATCGAACTGAGAAGTTAAGTTAAGCTTATTTAAAAAAATATATTTTTAACTTTTTGAATCGATGTTCTTCAAAAGCGTGATTTTTAGTTTTTTAAACTATATTTATTTTTCATTTTTTAGTTTCGTATGCTATAAAAGTGTGTTTTTTAGTCTTTTTAAACTATAATTATTTCACCTAAACTTTGGGATCAATCAGCCGTAAATTGTTTAGAAAAATGACCATTAATATTTTCCGATTCCGAAGAGGGAGCCCGAAAATCAGCTCCCAAGCCCAAGGCAGCAGTCGCGCAAAGGAGGGTTACAAATAAGGCAGCAGGCGAAATATCTGTAAAGTGAGTTCGAGTTATATCATGAAGGTTACGTACAGCGCCATCTGCCCGCGAATAGATCAAGCAATAATGTCGTTAATTCTGGAGTTACAAACAAACAAACATACATACAGGTGAAGCTAATAAAAGCGTGATAAAATAAAAATGATTTCTTTTAGTTATATACCTGATCATTGTTTCGCATTTTGCAGTCCAATCTTCGGGCGATAACAAATGGAGAGTAGTCAATTCTTTAATGTACGACACGAAGCTGTTTAATTCTTCACTGGAATATTCTATCACTTTTTCTTCTTCTTCTGATTCGGAGGATACGGATACATCAGTTTTCGCTATCGAATAAAAACAAATTAATGGAAGATTTGGGAAAACTCTAGTGCAAAATTTCCAATTTTCTATTTGAGTGGGGAAAAAATTGAATGAAAAAAAAAATCAAAATATAAGTTTAATTCGGCGAATACTTTATTATGAAAAACTGTTTATCTATTGATCTGAAGTATATAGGCGAAAATTTGTTGTGGAATGCTTTTAACAATGAAAAAAGTCACTTAAAATGATTTATTTCCCTTTTTCTTCATTCAAAACTGCATTATTTTGATATCAATTTGGGAAGTGGTATCACAAGCTTTATTCAAACTACTGAAAGTAATACAGAAAAGTGATAAAATGTATTTTAAAAATATATTCAACTTATACAGGACCTCTAGTTTTTTCATCGATTGTTGTAGCCACTGTAATAACACATTCAGCTATGTATTACAATGCATGTGTTTCCCGAAATTTTTCTCCAAAAAACATCATCAATATTTGTGCAGTAGCAAAAAGGTCACCACGTTCACCTGAGCTGACCCTTCTGGAGTTTTTTTTGCGAGGCTTCATCGAAGACAAGGTATTCATCAAAGAGGGCTTGCTCTGTTCGTCACTTATGTGACGTTATGTGGAGTCCCTATTATTTTGACGTAGTTCTGACCATAAAGTAATGAGAAAAACGTCGGGAAACAAATGTATTGTAGTAGTTACATAGCTGAATTTGTTATTACAGTGATTACGAAAATCTATGAGAAAAGCTACCATCTTGTCCTGGAGTTAGCGCAAAAAGGTGGTGTAGCCATGGTTACCAATAAATAAAATTAGTTTTACATTTTATTTTTGAAAAACTGATGTCAATTTCCTACTCATTTTATATCTACAAGTTAATTTTAGACCTGCAGTTTACTTTCTGAAAAAAATAACAATCTGAAACACTTTTGTTTGGAACTTCAAGAACTGCATATGATTTTAATGGATTATTCAATTTTAAATGTATACAGACCCGGTTTAATGATTTTTAATATCAAAGTAAGTACTATTGAAAATATCCTGCATGTTGAATACTAAATAATCGAAATAAATTTTTCAGTTTTATGGAATACTAAATGGAGGACTCACCTTCTGATTTTTCTGAAGAAAAAAGAGAATCTTTGTCATCTCCTTCAGTTTCTTTAAAAACTGGCACTGGTGAAGGAGATGACATCTTCAAACTCTTTTATAAAAATCAGTTATTTGAAAATAAAATGTAAAACAAACATAGTTGTTTGACTTTACCATGGCAACGATGCCAGTGGTGACTCGATGCAGTAGACAACCAAAAGGTTTGTTCTGGTTCTCAGTTAGTACTGTTTCGAATCGTCCAAAATCAGTAAGTCAGTTGTGGACTGCAAAGGTTAGCGCGATAAAATGTTCAGTATTCAGTTGGGTGACTGTTTGGAACAGTCCCAGCAGAGAACAGGCCTAGAGTGTTTTCTGCATGAAATTCCGACAGCGTTGTCAGATTGTATATTTTTGCTCCTTCCTTAGATACACAGTGAATGAAAAAATCGATGGAAAGGCAATATTTTTACCCAATGGAGAATCATATTTTATTTTTAATTTGCTTTGGTCTAATAGAATTTGAAAAACTTTTCTATATTTCAAATAAGTCGAATTTTCATGAATCATAATAAAAAGCTTAGGCTTTGGGAAAAATATAATGGTGTGCGTTTTTCCATATGATTTTTCAGTTTTGCGTTAAATGGAAGAGCAATTACCAGTATCAACCGATATTGGTGACTCTATGTAATTATTTCTTCTTTAGTGGAAATGATGACTTTTCATTATTATAATTAGGTATATAATATATAGCTATTCAATTCGATGTTATTTTTTATCAAATATCCGTAGGTAGATTGGAAACTTGGTGATTTCATAAAAGACCACGAACACAATATTAATGGTGAATAAGCTACAATTATTGAGCTTTTTTTTCCATATGAAGGAAAAACTGTAATTGGATCATGTTTCACTCTGAACAAATAAAAATGTTAATGTCAGCAATGAACCTTTTTCCTGAAGTACGAAAAATCACTCACTAGCAGCGCTAGTAGTTCGGTAGGGACAAACACTGCCTAATCCTCATTTTAACATAACATGGCAAAGAACAATAATTCTTTTTTAATTATTAAAAAAGAATGTTTCCAACAGAAGAAAATGTTCCTGGCCCCCCAAAAAAAGCTCGGAAATAAAACTCCTCCCACAAGTTTGTCATTTATATCAACAGATCTCACTAGGAAAAATAATATCACAAGAAACTGCCTTCTCTTCACACTGCCGCCAGTATTTCCCCCCTCTGCTTCACGAACCTGAGAAGCCTGAAAACGGAAGAAGGCGTCACGCCTGGTATCCTACTCGCTGCTGCGATCTGAAACAAAACAAAATTCAAGCACTCTGAGAACTTGCTCAGGAATCACCACACCGTCTGAGGCTGAACTGCCAGGAGCTTCTCCCTCTCTTCGAAGCTGAGATTGAGCGAATTCGAATTATAGTCCAAATCTTCGGGAATGGTGAGGCCTTCGTCTCTCCTGACTTCCTGGACTTCTTCCAGTTGTTCGGCAGCCGCGGCATGATACAAAGCCTCGATGTGCAGTCTGTTCTCCAAGGAAGGATCGTGAGTGAGCGAAAGCAGTTCGGGAGCAGCTTCAGCCAGCCTGGTTATCGTGATGCCTTGATTGTCTACCATATCAAAAGCACTGAAAAGAAAGAGCAGTTAGGATCAGATAGGTGGCCCGTTGAAAGACATGCAAACGTACCTTCTTTTATGTAAACTTCTAGATTCGGGCAATCCCAGCAAAAGTCTCCACTGTTGTGTGGTTTTCGACACACTTTTCAGCAACTCTACTCCATCTTGTAGCAGCTTTTCAACTTCGAGAGTCTTGTCGAACCTTTCCTGTGACACACATCCCACGGCAAAACCTTTCGGGGTCAATCTCTGGTCAGCATTGTCTGGTCTGAGGGTTAAACGAAACTCAGCCCTGCTGGTGAACATGCGGTATGGTTCTGTGGTACCCAAAGTGGTCAAATCGTCGACCATGACGCCTATGTAGCCCTCCGTTCTGCTTACTGTTAAGGAGGATCTTTCGAGAGTCTGGAAAATGTAGAAAAGCTATCGATACAATACGTGAGCCTTCATCATCATGCATTTTTTTAAAGTTTGCTAAAGATCCACTATGTTCTTTAACGCATGTTTCAAATGTACATCCAGTCTGACCTATGTTGAACATGAGGCATGATCCGCACGAAAATTTATAACTCCTGATTTATCTTACTTCAAACTCTAGTCTCTCCTATATTTTATATGCACAGTAAAGTTAATATTGGTTTTATAGGCCGTGTCTACACTGCTATTTTGTAATAAATTAGTAATCTTTATACTAGGTTGGCCCAAAGAAGTTAACATTCTATTATAACTCAAGATGAATAAGAATCTAGATTGTTGAGCAATTCAGGAATTGTGACCAATAAATGAGCTAAAAGCCATTAATCAAGTCATTTACAAATAGGTTGAAAAGTAATGAATCCATACTGCTGGCTTATGATTATATGTCTACAATCCCATGAATTTTCCCAAATGAATCTTACTTTTGCACCTGCATTGATTCCTGCAAGAATTCCTTGTGCAGCAGCCTCTTCGTATCCAGTCGTACCATTTATTTGCCCAGCCAAAAATAATGTTTACAAATAATATTAGTAGTTTTTTATTATTATTGTGATAATATGTATATTAATGTTAACAATATTATCATTGTTGTATATTATTAGGATGTACCCTATTTGAATAAAGCATTTCACCTTTCAAATGAGATCCCTGCGGTACACCATATGGAACTGTGATTGAGGAAGATATTGAGTTTACATATTGTTCTATTGCAGGAAAGATAATTTTCAAACCATTTCAGAACGTTTTCCTGAGTCTCAAAGCGGTTAGTTTACGCAACAACAAATTGTGATATACACGGACGAATGCCTTTGAAAAATCTATTTAAAAAGAATCAACGTGGTGTCTATTTTCGAAGGCATCTATTATGAAGTGTTGATACATGAGCAGATTTGTACTGGTAGATCTACCACAACTGAATCCATGTTGCTGGTTTATGATTATATGTCTACAATGCCATGAATTTTTCCAAATGAACCTTACTTTTGCACCTGCATTGATTCCTGCAAGAATTCCTTGTGCAGCAGCCTCTTCGTATCCAGTCGTACCATTTATTTGCCCAGCCAAAAATAAACCCTCGACTCGTTTCACCTCCAAACTAGGCTGCAGTTCCCTCGGATCCACGAAATCATACTCCACCCCATACCCCGGCCTCACCAGTTCTGCTTTTTCGAGGCCTTCGAGAAACACATCCATAAAGAAACCAAAATTTTTCGATTGAAAAACGCAACTTACCTGGAATGCTGCGTATGAGTTGCCACTGGTACTCCTCGGGAAGTGTACAAGACAGTCCGTTTGGGTAAATAATGTCGCTATCGAAGCCTTCAGGTTCAAGCCACACTTGGTGCTCTCTTCCGGGAAACCTGAGGACTTTCGATTCTATGCTGGGGCAGTATCTCGGCCCTGTGACTTCTTCTATGACGTGACGGTCCAAATGTAGGTTGTCTTTCACAATTTTTTCGATGGCCAGGGTAGTTTTAGTTAAATGGCAATCCAGTTGATCTTCTGGCTAGAACATAAAGTGATGTCATCGTTTTGTTATTAACTAAGGGGGCCCAAAAACAAATTCAACCACAAAACTCCAAATTTGATATTGAAATTACGTACATACATTTATCCAAACTTTATTATTCATGAAAGAAAATGGACGAGGCATCTTGTCTCCTCCCGCAGCAAGGCAAACGTCAAAATTGATTGTGTCTTTTCTCAACCTGGGTGGAGTGCCAGTTTTCAGTCTCCCCATTCTTAAATTCAGCTTTTCTAGAGTATTCGCTAACCCTACAGCAGAACAAATGAAGATAAGGATTAACCCAAAGATTTTATATGCCAAAACTTACCTAAGGAAGGTTCATCCCCTATTCTGCCTGCTGGAAAAACTTCCAGGCCAAGGTTTATGCTACCTTTCAAAAACGTTCCTGTTGTTATGACAACACTTTTGGCTGATATTCTTGTTCCGTCTCCTATAAATCAATTATAATCTGGTAAATTGAACGGACGTAAAAAAAATGATGGACTCTGCAAAACAATATCTACAACACACATTGTATGGAAATCGTTAATATAGAGGGCTCACAGGTTACGGAGAAAGAGACCTGTGATATACTGTGACTTCCCTGCCACCAACAGTGGAGCACATCATTAAATTGATTGGATCATGATAAAAACAAGAATATGTGAAATTTCATATATTTGGTTGTTTCAAAAGTTCTGTTAAACTGTAATATTCAGTGAATATTTATTCAACTTAATCGGAACTAGCCAGGAAAATTATTATGTACCCACTGTACTTACTTAAGATGACTCCTTTGCATTCTATGCAAGTCTGATTGTTAGAATTAATTCTTGGATTCTCCACAATCAAGTCTTCCACAGGAGCTTCAAGCACATCTAGGTTTGGAGTATTGCGAAATAGCTCATTTTGCATATTTTGTTTGTACAAACTTCTGTCGATTTGGGCACGGTATCCCCAAACAGCTGGTCCCTTCCTTGTATTCAGTAGCTACACAAAGAACTCTAGAATATAAGTTGAAAAAGTAAAAAATAACTACCTTATATTGTATTCCTGATATATCGCAAATTCTGCCACAAACTCCATCCAAAGCATCAACTTCCCTCATCAAATGCCCTTTACCGATACCACCGAACGAAGGATTGCAAGACATTTCGCCTACAATATATCATTTCAATATTAACAGGAACAATTCTTTCACTGTGACTTTAACCAACCTACTGTTTCTTTCTTGTGTGTGACCAGTAAAGTTTGGGCCCCCATTCGAGCGGCGGCAGCGCATGCTTCGCTTCCCGCATGACCGCCTCCAACTACGATAACATCATATTTTTTTTCTAGAGAAAAATAACGTAAAAATTTTATTTCGTTCAAACTTTTGGAACAAACTGTTTTGAACATTTTTTTTTTTGTTAATGTTGAGGTTAGGTCAGGGTCTGACAAATGACACGGAATACGGAGAGGTACAGGGAACACGGAACGACATAGTGTCCTATGAATGTACAGAGAACAGAAAGAGATGCGATTTTTTCAACTAAGGTGATATGTTTCAAATATAAAAACTTCTCAACCAATTTGACTAAAATATTAAACAGCGGTTACCTGAAAAATGTTACAGACTGTGCCGAACATTTTCGTTTATTTCTTACCAAAACAAAATCTTCGGTTAGTATTTTGACGTTTGGTTCACCAATTTTCAGGAAACCGTGTTGAATATCTAAAATATTTAACATGTTGAACAATATGGATTTTAAAGCCACCAAACCATATTGTTTGGTTACTTTTGAAACAAACAAAAGATCACAATTATTGTTATCTGTGAAATTAACAAATTACCATCAGGTTTATCGACGGTATAACAGTCGTTTGATTCATCTGTTAATCAAATTGAAACTTTAGCGCGTTTGTGTTGATTGAAATGATCCATATTTTTCTGTTGAAAAAGAAGTGGCATCTACCATCTCTATTCAACATGTCCAGTGCAGTAGTTCCTAAATTTTGTTAGGGATCATTATTAGACTTTAATCAGGAAATTTTTAGAAATCTCAGAATCAGATTGACGAAATTCAAGTCGATAGCGACATTAATTCCTTAATGAAATTTAATCATTATATAAAATAGTACTTTCAATTAATAGGACTGTTGATAAATAGTTTTTATTTCAGTTTGAAATTTATTACAACAAATAACCATCTATTAGAAACATCTATTAACACTGATGATGATAATATCTTTATTTGATCATGTTATGTACAAAATACATTTATGACAAGTCAGAAAAACAAATAGATGCAAGGTACAAAGTTTTCTATAAAATAATGAATTTATTATATATAATCCTTCACGTTACTTCATCCTTTAAATCTTTCAAATCAAACGCAAAATGAAATTTTGGACCATTTTCCAAAACTACATCAAGAACAGTTTTTCTCTTATGTTTAGACAAAAGTTTCAAGTCTTTGAAAATTCTTTGCTTTGTGCTGCGAGAGATAAGAAAACACTCCAACTCTAAAGTTGACTCAAAAAGTCTCTCAACATCATTTCTTATCTCCGATACAATATACAGGATCTTAGAAATTGCTATAAAAATTTCTGGACTATAATTCACATTGAGGTTAATGAATATATATTGAAAGGCAGACATGAAAAAAATAGTGTCATCAGTCACAGGCAATAAGTTTTCTTCCTGACTGAGGTATTTAATAATCTTTATAGCTTCTTGCAGGAACCCATCAAGGTTTCCGGTGATATCCAATTTGAGTGTGGCATTTTCGAAACGATCAATGTAGCCACAAATATTAGTTACATTTTCCAGCATGTACCTACAGGCAAGGATGCCATCTTTCGTGTCTAACTCCAAATAGGCACTGCCGAGTAAGGTACAATAGGCTGTCAAAACAGCATTGTACAAACTGGAATTGACCAAATTCTTGTCCAACTTGAAGTCAACTGTCAATTTAGCAGTTGTTTCCAACGTTTTCAATAACAATTCAGTATTGATGGAATTGTTCAACACAAAACACAATCGATTCATGGCCTCCTCATCTATGAATGGTGTTTCTGAAGATGAAAACGCTACAGAAGATATGAAACGCATTACTTGTATTAAAACCAAATGATCATCGGAGTCCAGCTCCTGAATAATAACACCGATCTCTTCCTTTGTCATAGTTTTGTCACACCCGACACATAACACGTTTGCGAGAGTTCCAATCACGATTTCAATGAATCTGTTTTCAGTATACTTCGCCACTGCACTACAAGCTACGGATGGGAAAGACAATTCCCACAAGTATTCACATACACTCTTCTCTGCAGTCATATCCCACAAAAAGCACAGGTCTTCCTCAAACTGTTGGTTCCAATTTAAGTCTGCGAATTTCAGCAAAGTTTTCAGTACAAAAGATTGACTGTATAAGGTGTCTCCTATCGCATCTCCTCGTAATTTTGCAGTAGTTTCTGGATCTAATTCGTCAGCGTTCAAGTTATTTGTTAGCGGTACTGGTTCGAATTCATTATGAGAGGTAATTCTCTCCTCTCCATCAATAGTAATGAGTTGATCCATTGCTTCTCCACTCTCGATGATACTATTCTTTTTGTTCATATCTGGGACATCTTCGAGGTCTTTTTCATGTTCTTCCATGTTTCTTTTGATAACCTCCTACCTAATAGAATTATTATCCTTCATTTACTGCCAACATTTGTTTACGTTATTTGTCGTTCTCGACTTTAGAATTTTTGAAATACTCAAAAATTAATAATAAAAAAATATTTAGGAAAAGGCAGTGTTTCCTTTCAAAAGTCCCAAATTCAAATCACAGAATATCGGAACTGTAGTATTTTGTTTTCGAATGTAAAATTGTAGCAGGGTAGCCAAACGAAGTATTATTTCAGTACTGAAATTTAGGTAATTTAGCAATAAAAGGAATTTCGTAAATTTGAATGTCTGCATGCACCATTTATTGATGCAAATTTTTAAAAGCTTCCATTGACTCAGAATTGAAATCTGAGCTTTATTTCTAAACTTGATAAATGTGATGAAACTCATATATATTTATTCAATCCTGCATTTATACTTATTCCAGAAATCATACTTGTCATTATCTGTCATATTATTATGTCATGTTGTATTCTGTTGATAAAGGTCAATTTCTTGTTTAATCTATCTACAATAATAAACAAGGTAATGGACGTTTGGCATAAGCTGTGAAAATGTACTTGAAATGATAAACAAGAAAAATTATCAGATTCATGGAATTATGCAAATGTAATAGATTATTCTTCCGCAAAACAATTTAAAAATATCAAATTGTAATGGACGGTATAACAGGAGAAGAAATGCGCCGCACAGGAAGCAACGGCCATAGAAACTGGAGAAAGAGAGAGATATGTGTAATGGATTCATTATGAAAGTGACAAACCTGAATTGTCGTGTTCAAAAGCAACACATTTTTGTTCTGGTCAATTCCTTTTTTAAAGACAAATTAAGGAAACTGAAAACGCCAACTTGGTTAGTGAAACTCGCGTCGAGAAGAGTATTGCAGTTGCAATGATTGGAAAAAGCGCTTGATTTGCAATTATCAAAAAGGAAAGATGTTCTCAGCACAGCAAAAGTATTTCAATACAAAAATTATTGCAAAACAATCACTAACATTTGAACTGGCAGAACTACTGAAGAAATCATTCGCCAACAAAAAACGGTTTTTGTTCCCAGTTGGTATTCACAAAACACAAAATTCAAAAAATTTGTATTGGGAACATTGAGAGAAATAGAGACAGAATTTTAGTGTCAGGCTGACACTAAAAAAACTGTGAAGGTAGTGCATGTATTGCAGGTTGCTGTTATTTTAGCATTATAATGTTCAAAGTTGACTTTATAATCACATTATTCTAATCGGACTTTGATAAGTAATTTGAAAGTGTGATTTGAACTGTACTATCACTGAATGCCTCAGTAATGGATTCCAGCCCAGAAGAATCACCTGTTGATATCCCTCCAGTTCGCGATGAAATGGTAAATACTAATTTTGCTCAAACTTATCAGTTCACGTTATCTTATCATTAGGTCCAGACAGCAATAAAATTCCTCCAAAATCCCAACGTGATAAACACCCCGTTGGCTCAGAAGCAAAAGTTTCTCCAACGCAAAGGTCTGACCGACAAAGAAATTCAACTGGCTTGTGAAAAATCGGGGTCCTATGAGCGCTACGAGGAACAGAATCGTCTTCCGCCACCCCTACCACTCACGCCGAGCCCTGCTAGCAATCATTTTTATAGGAATCAAACCCAACTAAGCATTTTCAGTAGGATAAGGGATGTGATACAAAACGTTGCGCTATTCAGCATTGCTGCTTATCTTATTCACAAGTTTTATATGGTGAGTACGTCATTGTCTGTGGTAACTCAAGTTTGACAACTTTCTGTATAGTCTTTTCTAACGTGTTGTTTCTGTTAGAGGTATATCGCTCCATTTTTATTCGGTAAAAAAAAGAAGTCTATTGAGGAGTCTATAGAAGAATTAGATAAAAATGTGAAATCAACTGTTGGCCAGTTGAAAGATGAGCTGGAAAGTGTGAAAGTTGAAATAGGAAAAAGAAATACGGAGGAAGTTACAAGTAGGCAATTCAATGATCTGAAATCCGAAATCTCCAGTGTGAAGGGACTTCTGCTGAGCAGGTTAGTATTTCAGCATTCCACCGAGTTCCTCGTGAATGTTACTTAACATAACAAATTTTTAATCTTCTTTCAACTGGGCAACATGGCAGCTTGAGAAATAAACAAAGCATGCAATTTTTCATGGTTTACACTCCACAAATGCTGCCCTGTGTGCACAGTCATTTTCCTAAATCTGCCAATCAATTGTTTACCGTCATTGTTTTTTGCAGAAAACAGTTCCCTTCAGTGGCTAATATTCCAGTTGTCCCACCATCGATACCTGCATGGCAAATGTCTAGCGTGGCTCCCGACCACAACGACGAGCAAGATGTTGACCCTGAAGGAAGGAAGGAAGACTTGCTAGAAGACTTGGGGTCTGGATCCGGATCGTCTGAACCAGAGCACGGCATGAAGACAAGCGAATCCAGTTTGGAGATCATGTAAATATATATTTTTCGATATTGTTATTAAAAGTATTTTGTGGTTCCTGTAGCGAGAAGTTTTTCAAATAGAGAGTTTCAATAAGTTCGAAACTGTTTTCTTTTGCAGTATACATGACGAACATTACTGGATAATTATAATAATGTAACTATTTTCGAGGCTTTTTTTTGTAATTTCAGATATTCGAGGGACTGTGATTCAGAATCTTGCCACAGTAGAAAAAGCAACAAAGATGATATCGACAAAGATTAGGATGTTTATGTAAATTTACAATACTTTTTTACATATTGGTACGACATGACTTTTATTTTTAGTTACCACATCGTGTGTTGAGATTTTACAAGTTTTTATTTATTGTATATTCTAAAAAAATATATACCACGAATATGTTTGTTGAATATATTTTTTGGGAACGCAATAAACTATTTTGTTATTCTGACTGACTATTATTTACCACTTATGACATTAATTAACATTATCGATAGAACTTGCTATGTAAAACGAGCCACATAGCTACTATTTAAATCCCATAAAATCATAACTGCAGAATCATTATTTATCTTACAAACGGTATTGATTATGAAGATATACTCACCAAAAATTAAGGGTGTCATATCAGTTAATGCAGTGGGTCATTGTAATGAAGAGGTACCTCATCTTGCTGAAACCTTATATTACTTGAAAACTCGTCGTAGTTTGACAAATTTCACAAACCTGTAGTGAGGCAAACGTGATCCCTTTAGAGAAGCCCACTAGATCACCTGATATAACGCCTCTAGATCTGAAGTATACGATACACAACCGGAATCCATCTCGTGGATAGAACAAGAGGTGCAAAAACGAAGCATTCATATATGAATAAACAATAATAATCATTAGATATTGAAACTATTTGTCACAATTCTTTTGCAAGACACGTATCTCGTTGAAATTCAGTCATGAATAAGGAACAATAATATAAATCAGATGATTTATCAGCCTCGCTAAATCTTAACAATGTGTCTTGCAAGGATCAGTTCTGGGCCCATTTAGATTTTTATATGACCTGGCCTCTGATTCATCTGAATGTGGATCTTGAAACGATAAACTCCTTCAACTGGGGTGTAGAATCACTGGAAAATATGTACTAGGGTAATATAAACACACACTGTACTGTCAATTTTATTCTAACCAAATAATTTACATTTTCTTGTAAAAGGTCAATCGTAGGTACTTGTTCAGAGTAAAATAGTCTTCTTACATCTGGTAAAATCATAAATAACAACGTAAAATATACTACAATATCTTATTTACAAATTATTTTCTAAAAAGAACTGCAAATTTATACATAAACATTCATAAAACAACTAAACAAATTGTTCTTTCTCGTATTTCGTGTAAAGTTTAAAGCAATAATAGCAGTGGATGAAAATTCTTGAAGGCCAAAAGTTACAGTAGTACGCAAAAAATACAAGAGAGTACGCAGTTCTCCAAGATTTTACACATCTTGAATAATGTTTCTTCAAAATCAACATTGACATGATCTGCTTATAGAGAAAATCAGCAAAACAGGCTGGAGGTGTTTTTGCTCCTACCTACAGTATTGAAAAAAAATCTGACATTCTGATGTCAACAAATTTAACGAATATAGGCAAAAACTATTTAGATAATCAATATTCTTTTACAAAACTTCCAATGCACACTCAAGAATGAAGTTAGGACCTGTGTCAAAAACAAACTGCACAGGATTTGTACAATAATCAACACAATTCGTAAGTACCAGCAACATGTCACAAGACACTACAAATTGTAGGATGGAATTGAGTCACAACAACCAAACCTTTACTTTGTTGTGCCCCAAGGTACAATTATGGGGCCTTTATGAACTGATATCTACAAAATTGAATTTGAAAAAGGATTTCCTACTGCTTTTTCAGTTCATAACTTTCCACTATCTGAGAAATAAATAAATCTACTGAAGCGTAATAAAGGGGACACCCTGAAAAATCAAGTTGGAGATGAACTTTTCAGTTTGCCCTTTATTATACTTCAGCAGATTCTCTATTCATTCAGCGCTGTCCATTTTCAGTTTGTGAAATGTAACAAACCAAAAAAACAGTAAGAAACATTCCCCATCAAAAAAAGTCTTTCAAATAAGATTTTCCGGTGTAACTCGCAAAGTTCCTACTCCTTGTTGCGTCAGGAATTTCCTAACTATATGTACACGATTTTATCGTCGAATTAGGCTATATCCAATGATAACAAAAGGGTAACTTTCTTCACTGGATATATGGAGAATGCACAATGAACTTTTCGGCATTTTCTGATACAGAAAATCATCCATAAAGCTATGTATTCAAAAATACTTAAACTAGAACATTCAACTACAACTTGGCTAGACATTCGTAATGAGGTTTCAGTAAGAAGGATACTATTTGAACGAACAACGGTGTAGGAAATACTCATCTGCAAGTTTGGAAAAGAATCAGCAAATGATATCGTTTTTCATCGTAGGGGTAAGTTTTACAATAAATCAAAAATTTTTTTTTGCAGAAACATACAAACGCACAGTACAGTAGATAAAACATATCTTGTCTTTGGTTTCTTATACTGTTTGAAACATATAAGTAAAAGCAACCTGAATATTGCGTTATCACTAAATAATTTATTTTCATCAAAGTGTGTAATAACACGTAAAAGAACCGACATCAAAACTTAACCTAACCAAATCATTGGTTTTATTTATATTATGGCTTATCTACGACAAACGGCTAAACCTAATATTTACAGTTACAAATAAAACAGTTAGTGAGCTACGAGCTAAGAAAGCTGGAGACGTAAAACAAATATACAAAAATATAATTTAAACAAAACAAAGGCAAAAACTATAACAAAAGAGTATACTTCACCAATAGGGTTGCAGGAAAGTTGGAAGATAGCTTTTTCCATCCAGGCTTTATCACATTCGCACCTATATTAATGACAATTCATGTGAAAATTGAAAGAAACAAACCAAGATTACAAATGTTAGGAAAGCCATACTTTCAAAATCCGCTAATGTTATGTTCATAAATAAAAGTACTTGTCTATATAGGAGGAAACTGAGATTGTTGTAATACCGATTGAGAATTCTCATTCTTTTCTGTTCTGAAAATCACAAGAAATGAAAAAACTTTTTTTTGTACAGAATTTTTTAAGATTAGTCAAAAACGCTGTAAAATGTTTGTGACAGGGAAAAATGATGCAAGACATAACATAATATTTCAATTAAATATAAATTTCTAAATCTGAAAGAGAATATTTCATTTTCTTCAATGAAACAACTATTGTTAGAAAAATCTCAAGCACCAACTATCTCAAAATCAAATGAAGAATTGTCACTAATGAGTATAGTGACCAGAATTTCCAGTATTAGCCAGAATATTCTCTGCCTTTGAAAAAATCCACTATTTCATGTATTTCAATTCCGTCCTGTATAATATCAAGCCGAACCTACTAAGGGAATTTAAAAAAGGCGCCACAAATAAAATATCAACAGAAAACGAAATAAAATTTATTCGTATTATCTACAAACAATTTCAACTACAAAAGTTCAAGCATGAGACATTATCGCACTATTCTCTCCCCAAAAAATAGCACTAGTTGCAGAAGGGGTGGGCTCGTGAACCAATTTGCTTATTAATCAGTTGAAATGATCTGTTAACTGTTAGTCAATACTATTTTATATTCCACACTGGTCAGAAAGCACGACTGTTCAGTTTCCAAGGAGTTTTTTAAATTCATCTCTGTGCGTAATCACATAATGGGAAAAGAGCTGCTCATTATAGCGCCATTTCATAGAAGCTAGGACTATCAAATAAAAGAAGTAGAAAAATAAGTATAAAAGAAAAAAAAAAGAAGAGGAAAAGAAATGAAAAAAGGAAGAAGAAAATAGAAGAAAAAAGAATAAGAAAAGAAAATAGAAGAAAAAAGAATAAGAAAAGAAAAAGAAGAATATAAGAAGAGGAAATCTGTTATGTTCTGTGATTTAGATATCGACAAAAATATTCTGGACTTGTTACTGGCAGTAAAATTTATTTTGGTTTGAGTTTTTGCATGTTTGAGATGTTTTGCAAGCTCCCTAGACTCTTTTTCTGCTATTTCAGTTGGGTATTAGAGATCAGTCCAACTTGAAAAAGTAAGTCCTCACGTGGATTTTCATCAGGTATGGCCAATTCCACTCAAATTTTTATGACATTTGACAAGCACATTTATTAAGGAATATAAATTATTCACCCCTTTCGTTTCATTTACATGATGAATTTAGAATATTCACCATATACGTGGATGTGAGCTAGAAGTTTCCTTTGTTTCATTTATTAATAGTCTCAAAACAAAATTCTGTACCTGAGAGGTAAACTGTCGTAACTACAAAATTCTCGAATATCTACCGAAATTTCCTGATTTTAGATACCACAACGAATAATGGATCCTTTAAGAGACATTTTTTGTTGGGGAGTCAATGTCTCTTGTTTTTTTGGTTTATAACTTTCCCTGAGCTAAAAAATAAAACAAAGCTCACCCCGAAAAGTTACTGCGTAACATAAACCATTGAAGAGTCCAATTAGTCACAATATTGTCCAATTCTCTATTGATTTAGCTGTTTAAATCTCAGATAATGGAAGTTATAAATTCCAAAAACATTGAGAAATATTAGTCATACAATTCAAAATAGAAAATGATTTTGTGAATACGTCACTCGGAGATGTTTGAAGATCTGACTAAACATTAATAATAATAGTAGAATTACACTGTTGCAAAACATTCCAAACATACTTAAATATTTTTTTTCTGAAAATGTGAAGGTCCATTAAAGACCGAATTTGCTTTGTATGCATGAAGTCTATGCATTTTTCATTTTCTTGTCTTGTCTCTTAGACCAGTGCTATCCACGAACAATTTGCATTAACCAAAACTTGTGAACTCGAGCAATTCAACCGACTACCAAAATGGGGTTGCAAACCTCCACCCCAAACAACTTATCCAGCATTAAAAGTACCAGCAGCTACTTCACCCCCTCCGGGACTTACCCTTCCAAAGAATTACAGACAGATAAAAGACAATACCAATCTTCCGTAATATCTAATTGATCAAATACAACGACTACTTACATCTTAATTCTTACACTTTAGAAAAGATTCAAGCGATAGTCAATAATCTGTCTCGTGCGACCGTTTCGTCTCTATTCAATAACAGGTATTGTATCAGTTAATGCACGTTCTTTGGGGTATGCGTGACTTGAATTTTTTACTAGCGCCCTCTTTGAGGGGCGAACACTCGAACTCTTGTACTTGCGAGACGATATTGTCGAGGCAGTTGTCGCTCTGCTCGAGCACTTTCGAAGGATTACCGTTTGACGGTAAATCGCTCCTGTTACGGCTGAAACGACAAACTGCTCTGTATAGAGTTGAGTTAGAAGGGGACTCACCTATCTACCATCGCTTCTGCGCGTGCAGGTTTCTCGACAGAACGGACCGGACATCCGCTGTGAAGCGAAGCGCGTCCAGCACCGGAAGCAGGTTCAGGAGCGCTATGTCCGTCGGGTCAGAGAACCATGACTTGATGGGGATGGCGTTGTCTGAAAAATATAAAATAATAATAATACTTATAATGTCTCAGAAGCGGCAAGAGCGGATATGACCTTGAGTGACTCTGAAGGTCGTTTGAAGGTGAAACATTCAAAATGGTAAAGTAATGGAGAGTCTCATAGTGTAAAGGAACGATACAAAGTACCTTAGCAAAGAAATGAAAAGAGCAGGAAAAATTACGACGAGAAATGACTTCGAGAAACTCTAAACTTGTCCTCTAATTGTTAAGAAAAAGAGAATGTTCTCTTGACTAGTCGATGTTGACCTTTATAATGATCTCGCAAATCATTTGTAGGTCATGTTCAGTTTTTGTATGGAACTCCATATTTTGTCTCTGAAGCGGAAAGAGCCAAAAAAATTATGACCAGATATAACTCTGAGTTACAGTGTTTTCTGAAGGTCGTTTGAAGGTGACACATTCAAAACAAGTAACGAGGAGTCTCGGTGGTTAAGAAACGGTACAAACTATCTGCGATTTGTAAGTGACTGACCTCGTCAATTATTTCCAGTTTAAAACTTTCTAAGTTGAATTGAAACAAAAATAACGTGAAATCGAGGAAGGCGCCAATCACCTACTAGTTCAATGTTTCTATTTGTTGAATTCTTGGATTCTAGTCCAAGATCAATGCACACATAAACTAACTTTCACAGGCTAGGTCCACACACCACCTTGTCTTCAGTGGCAGGGTCCATTACCATTTAGTATATTTGACCTTCAAATGACCTTACATGTTCAACTTACGAGTAACTCAAGGCCATATCTGGTCGTACTGTTCCCGCTCTTTTCATTTCAATGAAGGAAACCATGGATTTTCGATAAAAAACTGACCTTGACATCCAAATAATTTTCAAGGTCATGATCAAGGTCAAAGTGAAGTTTTTGGACTCCTTGATTTTGAATTCAAGAGTAGATCTCAAATTAAATTAACCAAATTGAGCAATTTTAGGTCTAATAACTGACAAATTTGCAATGAAAATCATGTAGATGATATCAAATATTTTGTTATTCCATTCATGAGCACTGTTTGGAGCAGAAAAAATTAAGAAAAATGTTCATTGATAGTGAGTACGTCCACCCCTGGCTCTAAGAAGTTCGCCACAACGACGAAGCATGCTTTCCACCAAATTTCTAATTATTTGTTGTGGTAACTGCTCGTAAATCGTCAAAAGAACATCTGCAACTTGGTTCAGATTCTGGAAGGGCTGATGATCCTCCAAACGTCTTTCCAGTTCATCCCAGAGATGCTCAATAGGATTTAAATCCGGACTATTAGCTGGCCATCTCATGACATTAATATTGTGCTCTTGTAGAAAATTTCTCACAACCCTGGCTACGTGTGGCCTGGCATTATCTTGTTGTAAAATGAACCCAGCGCCCATATTTTGGGCAAATGGGACGACATGAGGTTCCAATACCTCCTCTACGTTACGGACAGCCGTTAAAGTCCCTTCCCGAAATACCACAAGGTCAAAGTTATACCAGCCCATACCATTATCGATCCACCTCCAAATGGAACAATTTCTTGCACAGTATCATCCAAATAGCGTTCACCGGGACATTTTCATACCCGAACACGTCCGTCATTGTTGGAAAACATGAATTTTTTTTCATCTGTAAACATTACATTGGCCCACTGCTCTAAATTCCAATTACGATGCTCTTGACAAAAGTTTCTACGATTTCCTCGATGAGCTGGAGTTAATCTAGGGGCTCTAGCAGGTCGTCTTACATGGAGTTGTACTTCGTGAAGTCGGTTTCGTATCGTTTACTTCGAAATTCGCGTTCCCGTAGCTTCTATAAGGCGATTTTGCAGTGTTCTAGCAGAATTGTTTCGACCCCAAATTGCCCACAGTCGTAACAAACGATCTTCTCTGCGGGTTGTTGCCCTTTGTAGCTTTTTTTACTATGCCGTGAATTTGGTAGCGATTCCAAGCTCTGGAAACCGCAGAATGACTCACAATAAGCATTTGGGCTACACGACGCCTTGAATACCCTACTTCAATCAATGCTACCCAATACATCAACATTTATCGTTTAAAAGTACAAAAAGAAGTAAAAAAGTAAACAACAACTGAGTGGAACATGATAAGAATTAGTATGGAGTACACATCAGAAGTTTTCATCATGAAATAATACATATTTTTTACTTGTTGGATTTTAAGGATGTGTCTCTATATTATTTTGAGTAGTTTATATATATTAATGACCTACAACGAGAAGCAATACGAAGAAAACGTCTGATATATACATTATACAATTGAACAGATGATAACCTTGTAAATTGGAGAGTAAATTGGAGACAAATCTTGAAAAAAAAACAAAATCCTTTGGAGAGATGAAAACCTTTGGTAGATACATGTGAAAATGGGTTTGCAGAAAAAAATACACGTGAAAGTTTACGTAAAATACCGAGAAAGATGCAAAGAATATGCATGAATGAAAATTGTAGGTAATGAAATTTAAAATGGTATGAGCTGTGAACTTTTCAATATTCAAGTGAAGATGATAATAGTAATATACTCGAATATCGAATAAATTTGAAAATTTCAAATTCTAGAAAAATTGTACACAATTTCAAACAATGACGTAACATTACAATAAAATGATTTGGTTGAAGATTTCAACACTTCTTTTCAAGGCAGGCACTTTCGTACTGAAATTTCACGAAAAAAAAGTTGAAAATTATAGTTTTATTAAACAAAACATTCAATTTTATGTATAAATCTACACATAACAGGGCACGTACTGCCTCTGTAACTTACCAGGATATGCTCTATAGGCACCAGGACTGTTGTCCAAAATAAATATACTGGAGAGATCATTACAAATGGCACTCAGATCTTTAGTATATCCCAGCACGTCGGGGGTACAGTGCTGCCGATAGTAGCGCCTCTGAAGAATACCACGGCCGGCATCTAGCTTATCAGCTACGGCCGCTCCGTAAATCTCCATGCTAGCTGTGAAAACGACCAGTTCATACCATTGTGAAACCTGTAAAGAAAATTATAGAGTATTTTTTTCTATCTACTGGTTGAGAAGTTCTCTTACTATGTCTAGGAAGAAGTCGACGTGTGGCCTTTTGTGAACGAAAAATCGCACGGGGTGTCTGTCTATGATGACTTTGAGTACAAAATCTGGTGGCGTTCCCGGTCTTACTGTCTGTCTCACAACACCGTCATGATGCGAGTGTATCAAGGTCTCGTCCAAATCGAGCACAAGCACTTTCCGTTTGACTATACCTAAAAGAGAAATGTTTCATCAAAAACGTTGCTTTCCAAGGAGATACAGTAGTATCTGACATCTGATATATTTTCCAAAGTTATCTCAAGGGGAGTTGATGACAAGACCCATAAATCAAAACCGTGTTATCTCAAGTTGCTACTGAGTCATACTTACTTAGTCTGTGCCTTGATAAAGGTGATAAAGGAAAAATATCGTATTTAACTGATTGATGCTGTATTATCTGAAAAAACAAAGTTATTAGCACAAAATGCAAATCTGGAGCACTGCCAAAATCCTTTGCCAAATTTTGTCGAGCAGCTCTTCTAATTGTATGATTTTTAGGGTCATACACTTATCAAAAAATTATTATAAAAGGGGCCAGGAGAATTGAGAATTGGGGATATTGCCCGGTATTCAGAAGTTAGTACAGATTACTTGAAACAATCATGTTTATGAAACACACAACATTATCTCGTGTCAATAAAAATTATTATACACTCACTGCTCGACTCTGTTTCTTCAATGTGTAGCATAAGCATGTCCAAACTCTAGATGCTATTAGCAAAAATGCACGAAGCCCCATCTGTAACTGCTTCCACATCGAAATTGGAGTTTCATAAAGCGGTTATCATACAATAATAGTAAGTTTGCAAATTATACAAACAATTTTCACAACTCTGTTGATATCATTCACTGTTCACATTTTAGCTTTATCCCATCTCCATTCGCAAAACGACCATTAAAAATCGACCTACTCAATTTGACGGATGACATTTACTCAGTATGTCATTCATTAAAAAACTGCAAAATTACAGGATAAATTACAGCTTCTCATTGGGCCAATCGCAGCGTCCAGGACAAAAAAGTGGAAAGCGCTGCGCTGAATGCAGCTTAAGAGCGCTTTTTGATCCAATTGGATAATATATCATATGCCAAACGTTGAAAAAACCAATGAAACATATACAGAGTGATATTAATTATTTTGACTGTGATTTCATCATATTCACTCTCAACTGTATGACCGTTTTGAAATTCAATTACAACGAGATTTTTATCTGTCCATTGTTAGAGTATAGTAATTAGTCAGAGAAAAAAAGCTTCAATTTTATCCAGCGACTTGATTCAGCAATTATCGTCTCCACATTCAGCGGTGGTAAAACGGATTTAACCGTTGGAAGCTGCTGGAAGCAAGCATTTACACACCCTTAAGTTCAAATGAAAGAACGTCACGGTCAAGATGCATCGAATATATCTGGTGTGATCGTGAACCCTTCCCCATGTGAAATATTTTGTCAGAAATTATTGTCCTACAGCATTCTTGATGAAGAAATAATGAAGAAATCCAACCAACGTGCATTCCATCCGTATAGCGATGCCGAGTTCACCTCAAGAGACATTATTTGACAATGTCAAGTTGTCAAGAAATTTGAGTTTTATTTGTGAATTCAAAAAATTTCCTGAACTTCTTTGTGGTAATATTCATGTTGAAAAATTTAAATCTGAGACGTTTTCGAGAAAGGATGTTGGTAACATTGACTGTCATTATAAATTTCCGGCCACAGAATAGATTCCGGCAATGGCATTCGATCAGCCGTCGGCCATTTTAGACTTTTAAGTCGCATATGGGCTTATCAGTTTTGCAAATCTCGTAAAAGTCGAGGTAATACTTATATTTATAATTTTTAATGTGAATCTGACGTTTCTAGCAACAAAGTCAAAATGGCTAGGTACGGACAGAGACCGGAAAATGCGCTCAAACGAGCTAATGGTAAGCAATTTCTCCCTATGTGTATGCTTCTGTCACCAGCATATTACTCTTTGTTTTTATATGATATATATTTATATACTACAATGACAAAGCAACTTAAATGGAAATTTAGTTGAAGCAGTACTTAATCATGACTATTCTCATTTTCAAGAATTCATCGAAGTTGGAAAGCCAGCTAGGGCTCTCGATACCCTACAAGAAGTCTTTCGGAACAAGAAATGGGCATACAACTGGTCAGAATCGGTCTTGGAACCGATCATGTTCAAGTACTTGGAACTCTGTGTGGACCTAAGGAAGTCCCACATTGCCAAAGAGGGGCTCTTCCAATACCGGAACATGTTCCAGTCGGTCAATGTTGGTTCCTTGGAGAATGTAATAAGGGGATACCTGAGAATGGCTGAGGAGAGAACAGAAAACGCTAGGGAACAGTCGGCACAAGCTGTCATCGACATCGATGATCTCGACAACTTAGCAACTCCAGAAAGTATTCTGTTGAGGTAAGTAAACAGGCTACTGGAATTTTAGCTTCGTTTTGAGTTATTCATCCATGGAACATAGTGTATTCTCAGAAAAACCTCAAGTGGCATTGATAAAACCAATTTTCTAAAAGGGGGGGGGTATCAATTATTCAATTCAATAAGTGAGATATTACTTCTTTCTAGTTTGCTGTAAATGACATTTCCTTTAAGATTCATGGAAATTTGAATTTGTTCCAACAACCAGCTTCTTTGTTGCTGCTATGCCATTTCTTAATATGTTTTTTGTGATAGTTTCCTCTTTACTACATAATGTTATTATTATTAGTGCTGTTTCTGGAGAGGATGCTCAGGATCGCTCAGACCGTACAATTCTAACTCCATGGGTCAAATTCCTATGGGAATCTTATTGTCAGTGTTTAGAACTGCTCAGAACCAACGCTCACGTCGAAAATCTCTACCACGACATTGCCAGAATGGCTTTCCAGTTCTGTCTTAAATACAACAGGAAAACTGAGTTTAGGAAATTGTGCGACAAACTTCGTAAGCATCTGGAGGACATTTGCAAATTGCCTACGCAGACAGCAAACGTTTCCATGAGTAAACCTGAAACACAGCAGCTGAATCTTGAAACGAGGCTTAATCAGCTGGATTTCGCTATTCAAATGGAATTGTGGCAGGTTAGTTTAGATTAATATTCAATTTCACATATTTCTCTTCTTTATTCTTATCATTTTTGATACTATGCCATAAGTTGAATGAGTTCACCAACAATCCTAAAATTGCAGGAAGCTTATAAGGCTATTGAGGATATCCACAGCTTGATGAATCTTTCGAAGAAGTCCCCAGTCCCGAAAACCATGGCGAACTATTACCAAAAACTGGCCATGGTTTTCTGGAAAGCTGGAAACTACTTGTTCCATGCCGCTGCTTTATTTAAACTGTTCCAGTTGTCCAAGGAAATGAAAAAGAACATTACCGCAGAGGAACTCCAAAGGTAATGATGATAATTTTAACAATGTTTTCAGTATTGAAAATTATTCACTTTGATGTTTTTCAGAATGGCATGTCGAGTGTTGATAGCTACTCTTGCTATTCCCCTTCCTTCTGCTCATCCAGAATTGATTCATCGAAACTGATAAGTCTCCTTTGGAAAAAGCGCAGCGTTTAGCCGTTCTTCTCGGCTTATTCCAGCCTCCCACTAGGGCAAGTCTTCTCAAGGATCTGGTAAGTGTTGTCACTTTCATCACTAAGCAAGACCAAGTGAAATTAAGTGGACGTTCCCCAAGGTTCTATTTTGGGACTCATCCTGTCCGAGGTTTATTACAGCCAATTACTAAAACATTTTTTAAATATATCCATAAAAGAGTTGTTAAATGTTTATGATTGTCCTTTTCAAAACAAAATTTCTTCCTAGGTACGTGTCAACGTTGTGAACTTAGCCAGCCCGCAGCTCCAGGACCTCTACAATTGGCTCGAAGTAGAGTTCCACCCTCTACTGTTGTGCAAGCGTGTGCACGATGTGATAAACTCTCTTGAGGCAGAAGAAAACTCGGCCCTGCAGCAGTACATTGGCGCCCTGCAAGACGTCACGCTGGTCCGTCTCGTCAGGCAGATCGCGCAGGTGTACCAGACCATTGAGTTTGCCAGACTTCTGGATATCGCGAAGTTCACGACGCCTTTCCATCTGGAGCGCTTGCTCGTAGATTGCGTCCGGCACAATGACATGCAGATTCGGATTGATCACGGTAAGAGGTGCATCCACTTTGGTATGGATTTGAGCGAGAGTCAACGGGAGGATAAGCCGGAAGGGCCGACACTGCAAGTCATGCCTAGCGAGCAGGTTCGGAATCAGTTGGTAAACATGTCAACTGTGCTGAATCAGGCTATACAAGTCATCAATCCGAATAGAAAGAAGGTGAGTGATGAAACTTCTGCAATCAAATCAAATCGACTTTTACTTGATTATCATTCACGTTTTCAGAATAGGCGGATGTTCTAAGTCAAAAATGTGTCCACGTTCTCTTTCATGTTCAATAATGGCTGTGGTTTTTTATATTTAGTTCCTTAGAGTCTCTCATGTGTTCTGAAACTCGTGTTTTAAGATATAGTTCGGTTTGACCAGCATTACTTGTATTATAGTTTTTTGTATTGAGAAATTTTTTTTCCAACAGTATTTCCATTTGAAAAGGTTAGTTTAATATGTTCGTTACTAAGTAACATTCCAGAAAATTGTTAGAAAATTTGTGTGGGTTTCTTAGGATGAATGCCACAATAATTTCATTCGTTTCCAGCTTGAGAGGGAGAAATTGAGGGCCGCAATGGTCCAGAACTACCACGAGACGAAGGTGAGAGAGCACCAGAAGATCCTCCAGAGACACAAGATCATCGAGGACAGGAAAGAGTACATAGAGAGGTTGAATACAGTGCGGGAAGAAGAGGAACAGAAGAGGTTGGAGGAAGTTCAGAGGCAGCACGTGCTTGCTGAGCATAAACGGTTGGAGCAGGAGCGAGAGGAAAGGGAGAGAAAGAGGGCTCTGAACGAAATCCAGCAGATCAAGGACAGGCACCTGAAGGAGAAGCTACAGCAGATCAGCCAGACGGGACATGGACAAAAGATCTTGAAGAAACTGGACGAGGATGTAAGTAATTCTAGCAAAATTCATATATTTGAAACAAAGGGAAAAAGTTTGAAATGGTATCTGAGGTATATTCATTAATAATAACATGTTTGAATAGGACATCAAGAAACTAGACGCTGATCAAATAGCGGCCAAGGAAGCGGAAGAGCTTCAGAAAGAGCGCCGCGAGCTCCAAGCGAAACTGAAGTCTCAAGAGAAGAAGGTCGACTATTTCGAGCGAGCTAAACGTCTCGAGGAGATCCCTCTCCTGCAGGCGAGCCAGAAAGAGCGCCAGCTGCAGGACCAGAACTTCTGGGAACTGCAAGAGAAGGAGCGCATCGCGGCTGCAGTCGAAGAACGCAAACTCGCCGTCGCTACACGTGACCGCCTCGTCCGGATGAAGCCCGACAAGGACGAGTTCCTCGCGAAGCTCAAGAAGGAACGCAATATTGTGTTCGAGGACAAGCTTAGAGAATTCGAAGAGGCGCTCGCCGCCGAGAAGAAGAGGCGTCTGCTCGAGCGTCGCGCTGCTCGCAAAGAGGAACGCCGCGCCAAGTACCTCAAGCAAAAGGAGGAGGAAGCGGAGCGCAAGGTAAGTGACGCATCAGAATTTCTTTATTTTTCACTACAATCTTCAGCTTTAGCTGCTATTCAGGGCTGTATAGAGAGGGAAAATGGGGCAGATGCCCCCCCTTAAAGGGAATAGATGAATCATTAATTTCAAGACTTCCAAGTTGTTCCCCTTCTCTGTGGTAGTTGTACATATTTTTATATATTATTATTATTGAAGGCGGCCGAGCAGCGACAGCGAGAGGAGGAGGAGCGCCTGCGGCTTGAGGAGGAGGCACGCCGCGAGCGCGAGGAGAAAGAGCGGATACAGCGGGAGGAAGCTGAGCGTAAGGAGAAGGAGCGCAAGGAGATGCTCGACAGGGCAGCGGCTCTGCAGAGGGCCAAAGAGGAAGATATCGAACGCAAGATGGAGGAGGAAAGGGAGAGGGCAAGAGAGAGGTCAAAAGATACCTGGAGAGACAAGGATGCCGGTACGAAAACAGAATCAGGACCCTGGCGGAGAGGAATGGACCGAGGCGGAGGAGCCAGCGAGGAACCCAAGAGAACGGAAGCTTGGAAACGTGAGTTTTTTCCTGTATTTTCACAACTTTTTCTTCAGTTTACTGCATTGTGCCCGTAAACTAGATACACCAGAAATTTAGTGTATCTGCTAAAACTAGGGAGGTTGAAAAACATCATCGGGTGATTATGAACTAAGATCTAATAATAGCCCTTTTTAGCACAATCCAGCAACTATTGTGAAATAATTCACTAATTCCGTACTGTTTTTAACTCACTATTCATTTTCAGCTTCTCGTTCTCGCGCGGACGACCAATCTAGAGGCGCCACAGATAGCTGGAGAGGGGGCGAAGATAAAAAAGATGATCGCCCAATCAGAAGGACCTTCGATAGAGACACCAGGGATAGGTATGGAGACAGTCGCTTCTCGCGAGATGGCAGGACCGGTCGAGACGATAGGGGTGGGAGAGATGATGGTTTGCGGCGCAATGACGACAATAACTTCCGTCGTGCTGATGATAGGGACCGCAGGGGGGATGATAGGGATCGTAGAGGCGATGATAGGGATCGGAGAGGGGATGATAGGGATCGTAGAGGCGATGATAGGGATCGCAGAGGGGATGATAGGGATCGTAGAGGCGATGACAGAGATCGAAGAGGAGGCGATGATGGTGGTAGCTCTTGGCGTAGTGCAAGGAAGATGGACGACGAACCGCCAAGTCGTAGACCGCCGCCTTCTAGAACAGCTCCTTCAGATAATGTATGGAGATCCAATAGAGACAGAGACACAGACCGTAAAGATGAACCGCGGAGAGGAGCGCCTGCACCCGCTAAAGAAAGACGTAAGTAGTTACTGAACTCCATTTGTTGACTTTGTTACTTTATTTTCCAGACATCTTATGTTATCTATAATTGCTTTCTTATGAACCAGTCGATGCAGCTATTTGTTAATCGTGTTCTGCTCTTTATTTATTTCTGGTTTTTTCTTTTGTACAGCTGTTCGTGAACCAGCTCCGCCGCAGCAGGAAGGAGAAGATGGCTGGTCTCAAGTTTCCGGAAGACGTCGTTAAACTTTGCTATATCGCTTTCGTGACGCAACTCGGCCAACATTTAAGTAATATGCTGTTTATTTGCAGGTTTTTATGGAAAATGGTAGTAGTTGATTCATTGTTTGCATGTTCAAGCAGAACCAGCTTTGTTATGTATATTGAGGCAGAGAATGGTATATAATCTTTATTTTTAACCAATAAAACTCATATATAGTGGCGATTTTGTTTTATTTATCCTGCACAAAGTCATTGCAAAAATTATATCTCAGGTGGAATAGTGAGTTTGTATATCTTATGGTTCTTTACTTAATATAATTTGATCGTTTTTGTGACAACAATATATTAAATAATCGGTGGGACAAGACAAGAGTTACTTTTTCAAAAGTTGGTACTGATTATTTTTCATGTTTCAAATTGAACTAATGTTTACTTGGTTATTAAACACAAGTTACAGTTCAAAACTAGATAAAATAATAGGGAAATCCGTCATTTAATCAATGAAAACGCTAAATATAAAACAAAAGTTCAATAATACAAATCATTCATTTGGAAATTACATTTAGGGAGAATTTCATTCATTTCATGGACATAATAACGTATTTTTATGTTCATGGCTCTAAAAACTAAATATTCTAGGAGAGGCTAATAGGAGGTATGTAAATGTCTGTTGAATTGGCGTCAACTCATTTTAATAAATGTTTTTATAACTCTCGATGTTTCACACAATGTTGAATTCGAAATTATAGCGCCATGTTTTGGAGTATTAGTTTCTTAGGTTGGTATGGGCAGACATCACAGAACAGAAACAAATTTGTTTCTGTTCTGTGCATATATTGCACTTTTGTGTTATGGTGTGTAATTGAGAAATTAAAGATTGAAGGTAAATCGTTCGAAAAATGTTTGTTTATTTCACCAAAAGGAATATCCTAGTTCAGCCATATTTTCCGAAGTCCATTCGTTGTCTTTGTCTTCTCTAGATAAAACACTGTACTTAATGTTCAGATAAAACTGTGCTGTCCATAAACAGATTGCTATGACATCACACACAACTGAAATAAAGGAATGAACTCCATGTTTTCTTAAATCCAAATAATTAAATCAACTCACCCGCCGATAAATTCCAGAAATATAATCCAGACACACTGGTCAAACATCTGGAGGTTGTCGTAGCAGTATTGACAGCTGCAAACACAGCACTAAGTCCAGAAAAAAATAGTCCTGCGCAAACTGCGAGCACTGTTCCTATCCAAACGCCATACATTAAAAATTCTGGCTCGTATCTAACCAGGTACGTAACTGAAAACAGAAATGTTTACTAGTCCGATTAACAAAGAAATACTTGTTACGTGAATAATAAAAATGTATTTGTCTCGTGTTGAATAATTCACAAGTTTTAGAAAATATAATATTCCATCACTTTGTTTTCTTCGGAAGGTGGTGTATCTTTTTTACATTGTTATTGAAAGCATATACATAACCGTTTTTGTCATATAACGAGGTTATTCACTTTCATAACAATTTATTATATTTTGTTAAACCAAGATCGTTTCTTTGCAAAACTGGTGTGTAGACCCCACCTGTAGTAGCAACATGGTTCTGGAACTCCTGGCTGGATAGCCCTGGCATCTGAGGCCATTAATGGAAAAAGAAGAAGAACTGGTTTTTGGTAAATACAAATACCATGAAAACTTTCTTTATGTCAGTAATGCATTTTTATGGGTATATTTCATTCTTTCATTTTTTGGTCACCTACAAATTTGAACAAGATGTTTGAAGACAGCTTTATTAGTATACATTTTTTCCTAATATTTGAAACTGAAACATTAACGTTAAAAGTTGTTGGTCACCAAATAAAGAATGAAAAGAATGGAACAGCTACACAGTTTATGGTGTTTAAAGTGGTATTCTGGTCACAAAACAGTAAGTGGTGTGATTCAGGTACAATTAAGCCGTATAAATATTTCAAGAAAGCTAGCCCACCCCACTTCTACTTTTGCCTGTGTAGTTGAAAGTGACAATTTCAAAATGGCGACGAAAAGAAGTAAGAAAATATAATTTTCAGTATGATCCGTTTTGAATTCCAATGTTTGTAAACAACAAATGATAAATTATTTGTGAAAAATATATAATTTTATAGAAGTTCACCACACTAAACATCTACAGCACTGACATCTTCAAGATTTTCACCAAAGATTAGTAACTCTTTGATACCATTACCATTTGCAATTTCAACCTCTTTTTCAACATTGATCACGCTTTGTTCACGACATATGATTATTTGAACATCAATTGTTAGTTGTAATCATTTGAAATTTGAACATGAAATGTGAAAAATGTGTTATGTTCTAGTGATAAGTATCAAGAAGAAAATGAAAAAAAAAACGATGAAGAAAGTTTTTCCCTCATAGAGAAAAGCCATAGATTCATTAAGGATGTTTATTGATCGGTATATAACTTTCTTCACTTAATATCATGGAAATTTATCGAATTAATTATGATTACAAGTTACAACATATGTATTATATCCTGATGGTAACCTTTATGGGTATTTAAAAGTATAAGTTTTGTGAAAAAAAAACAGACTTGTAATATTGATATGTCTCTCGGGGAGTTTCAGGATTATTTGATTTTCAGAAAATTAAGATAATTTTTTAGGAGGAACTGATGCAACTAATATCGTGAAATATTCTCAATATTTGAAACCATAACCGCAAGAGGACGCTGTTAAACTCAAGGAAAATAAAATGTCAATATGTCATTGATATTAAATATATTAATTTGACTTTTTTTTCTCAAAATGCTCGTTGTGAAAGTATTGTTTGCAGAAATAATACGTTATTCAGAAGGTGATTATACAAGATCAATAGTCAAAGGCAAAGTAGTTTTCAACATCGGTAATATGATCTGCAACGAAAGATATTAGTATCTAAATGGTGTGGTTTGTATAAACAGTTTGGGTTCTGTAAACTATATATGTATTAATTAATATCTGAGAAGGGAGATAATGAACCCTATAGTTATGATACTCATTTAATATTGAGTCATGAGGTATTCAAAAACCTTTGAGAATTTTATGAGATGAAATAACTCCTCAGTTTTTTAAATTTCTTCTCTGGTATCTAGAATGTAATGGATTATATAATTGCTATTACATACAATATTTTATGTAACTATATCATTTCATTTCATTTATGTTTTTCCTGTCTTCATTTCATTTTTTCATTCATCCTCACGATATTTTCCTGAAAAAGGCAACAAACATTGCCGAAAGCTCGACACATACCAAAAAGTTCAACTGAATAGTCCCCTGTTAACAACCGAAAACTCAGCTTTTGAGAAACTGTAACTAAATTATAAAATCAATAAACTCAACTGTTGAGTTTTTTTGCTGGGCCGACATAATTAGCAATTCCATAATAAAATTTCCGATACTGGCGACGTTAATACCAATATTTTCAAGTTTAAGGAACTATCCATGATCTTTATTTCAATTCTCGTCACACACCAATTTACATTTGTCATTGTAACGTAACATGACGCAACCATTATTGTTCAGACACCATCTGAATGGGTAATTAAAACCACCGAAAGAGATATCCATTTGTTTTCGTCGTCTGTGAACACTTTTGGTTTTCGAACTAATTAGCGTAGAAGATCGCTCTACTAACCCATTGTCTTCGGGTAATTAGTAAATGAGTTTGGTGCCGAATTCTATTTCGGATTAGAGATACTTATATTTTTGTTTCAAGAAAGCATCAGAAAACGCCGAGATGAGGAAATGGCGTGTTGGGTAATATTTGTTGGGATAGAAAAAATTTTTTTGTTGCAATATTTAATTCATGAATGAATGGAATAGAAATTTAATATTCTAGGCCGATTTCCTATTTTGTTCATTCCTTTTGTTCCCTAGTACTACATTATATCAACTTTTTCATTTTTCACTGGTATCGGTTTGTCAAAAATTGAAATGTTCCGCTTATAGCAACTCGATATTTTGTCGATTCAGTGTCCTATATTCTTGCCTGACTTCAATTCGTAGGATTTTTTATTCCTGAACATCAAATCTATATTAATAAAACCTGTATTATTGCGTTGAAGTTGCCAACTGCTGCCAACCGCCATCTATACCTAATGTCAAATTTTGCTCACTCTGCGTTTTTTAGTTTATGTTTGACACCCACTAAAATCAAACAAAAGTGAATTTCGTGTGCTCATTAAGAATTAGTTGTCGCGTAAAAAATCATCACTGAAATCAAAAACCAATGAAAGATTTGATATGGGAATTCTGCAGCAAGAATTTCCACGGTTAAGAAGTGGTTCGTTATAGTCGTACAAGTGACACCGACGGTCACTTGTGCTATTTGGACCAAACTAATACCCGTATTTTCCGTATATCATGCAAAGTCAAGCTTTACCGAGCCCGGCTGAAAAATAAAGCTAACCTTAAATGTGGATGTTATGCCAATCTTCCTAAAGCTCACAATATATGTGGTAACTTCTGAAAAATTGTCTGTGCCTAAATCACAGAACACTGTAATTAGGGTGTTCTGTGCCTAAATCATGTTGAACAATCATACTACAGAAAATTTATGTCATAATTGTGAATTCAAAAGTAGATATAAAGGTTATCAGGTGCTTAAATTCGAATATATGAATGTGGTTATCATTTCTAGGTTTAATATTCTCAGCTCAGGTATCAAGTAATCGTTACTGTTCGTAAATATCTGTCTGCTTTTTATTCAAATTTGAAAAAGGCTTATAAAAAGCTACAAAATCGAGCACCAAATTTTATATGTTATGAAAAAATGCTTTCGCCTGTATTCTCCGTGTACCATATAAAGCCAAGCGCAAGCTGAAGACGTTGGCACCGCAGTCAGAAAGCTAGGTTAAGTTCATAAAAGATTGGCCTAAAGGCTCCCAAGCCGACAAAGAGGAGGGTTCAACTTTAAGCTGGCTCAAAACTGTTTTTTGTTGTGGTGCATATAAAAAGTACAAATTAAGAGGTCTAAGCTAGGCTTGACACTATATGGAGAGTATGGTCTTAATTTGCTGAAAAATATACGGGACGGGCATAAAAACCATAGAACATAAAAAACATAGAACATAGTAACCATAGAACATGAGTTCAGTACATCTTCTTTAGTAGTACTTATAGAAATGTAACGAATTCAAAAAAGTGGTAAGAAAACAAGAAGAAAAAATTAGGGAAGTCCTTGACAGTCCTTCAAACTCAATTCCAATACGAATGAAATTGTATATCTGATTAATCTGAATTTCAAATCATATCCGTTTCTTCAAATTCAGTTGGACTGGTATAAGGTGACCTTACGTCCCGAAAAACAGATATTGTTCCGGTTTTTTATGTCAATGTCGGATGTCCCGAAAAATTGTTTTGGGACGCTCAAAAGTCCCGGAGTTGAGTAGTTGAATAAATGTTACGAAGTTCTATACTTTTAAAAAACTATTCTCGATTAAACGGAATATAACAAGAAAAGTTACTACATTTTAGCCAGTTTCTCTACGCATTTTGATTACTGTACTTTGATTCGTCCCTGGTATATAATTCATCCTTTATACTTCCATTTCGATAGCCAAATAAATTAACACAATAACGGAGAAATGAATGTTGTAGGTATATATACCCTAACTGTTAATTGTTTGTAGGTGAAGTTGTAGATTGAAGGTTATTAACTACAGCGAATAGCGATATTTGTCAGTGGGGTGGGACTAACAAGTTGTCAGTCTGGGGAGCTAACAAGTGGTCTAGGGAAGTACCAAGTTGTCAGTCTGGTTAACTGACAAGTTGTCAGTCTGGAAGTTGTCAGTCTGGAGAAGTAACAAGTTGTCAGTCTGGAGAATTGGCAAGTTGTCAGTCTGGAGAATTGACAAGTTGTCAGTTCCCCAGATAGAAAGCTAGATTAGGTACGGATCGTGTATAAGCTTGCCTCAAAGGTTTCAAGCCGCCAAAGTGTAGGGCTTGAGTTTGAGCGGGATTAAGGCTAGTTATTTTTACGGTACATATAAAATTTACGAATTAAGCTAGCTTAAGGTCTAAGCTCTATACTTATACTTAATATGGAAAGTACGGCCCTAAGCTAAGGTACTCACCGTCGATATCGTAGGACCTCCACCCGTATGCCACGTTCAGATCCTTCTTTCCGTTGAACAGACCGAAATGTATTTTTCCGTCGCTTTCTATCGGGTTTTTCACTCGCTTCGCCCTTGCTTCGACCCAGTGTTTCGTCCCCAAACTGGCCACCAGCAAGGCCACCGAGATGCAGGCCACGAAAAACGTTATGAAAATCACGCCTCGCTTGAAGTAGCTCATTTTTTAAACATTTTCTCCGAAGTCAGTCAACTCATATGCGCATAGCCGTAGATCCTGAAAATGCGGTCGTGTCCTTCTTGATCTCTCGTCGGGGTCACCGAAATTCACGTGAGATCACATATTTTTCACTGGTCACATTCGAGGAGTGGCCGACTTGGAGGATTTTTACGGTTCAACGCAGCACTTGCACTTTCTTGAACATCGTTCTTCTGAATGTTGGAATGGCCAGAATTCTCGTTGTCTTCTGTCAACGGAATTTCGAGAATTATTCGCAGCGGATTGCCAACTGACTGAACTGGCCGAAGAAAGTTATGCTGGTCACACCGCGAGTTATTCTTGCATTTGTTGCTGTTTGCACCTCTAAGTGACTCGCTGATGGGAAATCGGAGAAGACAGGACCGGACTCGCGAGTGTTTTGGAAGAATGGACGGATGCACGAGCTTATTGACAAGTATTGAAGAAGTGGTAAAAATTTTGCAAATCTCTGATATCTTTGTCTCCACTATCACTACATAGTATAAAACAAAGTCGCTTTCCGTTATTTCTCCCTATGTAGGTATGCTTAGAGTGATTCAAGAGGGAGGTTTTACTTTTTACGAGAAACAATGGCTTATTTATCAAGCAATTTTGGGTAATACATCATTAATCCCTATCCATTATGCATTTGATATAGATCAATATGTCCCTATACAGTGGGTATACCTTGACACTTGTGACAAAACACATCTATTTGATTTATTTCCATTTTAACTCGTATCGTTTCGTCATCTGGTGAATTTTCTCGGTAACTTATCCGCCGCAGTGGGGGCCGATTCCTGTTGTTTACAGTTTCCTACCGCCCTTAATCATAAGTAGCAATGGCTCTCATGCCCTCCGGGATAGGCAACCAATATTTCACTCTGATGGGTTTTTTGCATTTGCAAAGTATTTCCAGTGTCCAGTTTCAATTTTATTGAGGCATTTGTAATTATTTTAGAACTAAGTCAACAACGAAATAAGTACTGTGTCTCCCCCTCGAACCCAAAATAGACTGTTTGGCACCCTATCCTGTGTCTCATTGGATCAGCAGCAACCCCTTTCAGAAAACCCTGAGATTGAACCCTTACACACTGGCTATAAATCAAATCATCTGAAGAAACAATTCGTTCAGGCCAGAACAAGACTTCTTTGTAATTTCTTTTCATCTCATTTAGTATTATAGATAGTAGTACACTTCATTAAAATGTTATATAATGATATACTCTTGATGACTACTGGTTTTTTGTTAGGCGATGATATTTTTCAGAAACAACACAAATTATTCAGATGATCAGTGTCACTGTTTTTCGAGTTTGAAGGCCGTGGATTTTTGGAATTTCTTCCTGACGTTTCGCTGGCGCGAGTGGCTAGCTTCTTCAGAGGTTTAACCATCTTGGCTTGCTGTCAGCATTAACCAACATCATTAGAGGACCAGTAATGATAAGCCTCTGAACAGAACATTTGTATATTTTGCAAGATCTGTAGTGGGTGTTACATTGAAAATGAGTTTGTACGCATGGGGGCTGGCACGCCATCACGTATTTCATTTCACTTCATTATTATTCATTATTGCATCTCACTGTACCCCAATAAATCGACGAATATATGCTAAATATTAAGAAAGAAGCTCTATATGCAGCCGAATAAAAAATGCCAACAGTGTTCCTTAAACCCCACGTTGGTATCATTTTCCTCGTAGTATCAGCAGTAAATTGATTGTTTTCATATTCATCTGCGTTGATCGAAAAAAAATGTAATAAACAGAAAACTATTTTCCTGCCAACATTTCCTGAATCCGCCCCTGTCTCCAGGTAGATCGCCCAACTCCGGAATTCCTCGTTCGAACTATTTCAAAGGCAAACTTGTTAATTGAAATTAGTAATGAGTGCCACCTTTTAAATGTGTCAGTCAGCCATTGAAAAACTCTGTTAGGTATTTGTTGAGTTTCGAAGTTGCTGCTATGTTTGAACGGCATATCTATGAAAATGTTGATGCTCTCCATCGATTATTTACAACTTCCTACAGAAAAATTATGTGGAAAAAAAGTGAAAGGTTGAAAAGGAAAGGGACCAAAATGCCCTTGATATCTTTTTTTTGAAACACGTGTCAATTACATATCGATGTCTACCTCTATTATCTACAGTTAGATTCTAGATTTAAATAACTTAATTCCATTCTGAAATATTTTATTGTCCTTCAGTAAATCTAATCACATCTTATCTGTCTCCATAATCAGTAGGCAGAGTCATGATATTTGCATCGACTGTATCGCTGTTTACCTGTCTTGTCTATGTAGAATAATCAATACAAATATAGGCCGTCGGGAGAAGCATTTTCCACCTGTTTCTCTATTTTGTATCCGGGATCTTTCGACAAAATCATTTGGCGGGTATACAATATACAAATGCTACCAAAATAGAGAGCCACCGATATTATATTTATCCTGGAATGAAAAACACCATGTTAGAGTGGTTGAATAATATTCTTTGTGGGGATTTCGTGGATTAAGATCTCGAAGAGAAGTAACTAGAAATCTCTGAATTCAACAACGAATTATTTCCAATCAATTAGGAAAATATTCATTCAAATATGACATATACAGGGTGATTCCTAATGATAAACAAGTATTAATGGAAAAATAATCATATGTTGCTAAATAAACTATGGTCTAAAAATATTCCGTAACGGAATAGTACGAGTTTTAGGAAAAATTATTTAATATTTTTGAAACAGTGGCGTGGGTACGGGAATTGACTTCGCTATTAGATAAAAATACTTCCTCTATATGGATTTTGCTTCTGAGTAAAAGGAGTCCTTTTCATCTCAACTACGCCAACCTAATACGAGGTCTATTCAAAAAATAGGGTGAATGTTAATTTTTCTCAAAAAATAGTTATTTAATTTATTCATAAATTTCTATTTTTTTCCTTTGAAAGTAGTCCCTTTCAGATATATTACAGATGTGCCAGCGCTTTTTCCAATCTCCGGAGCAGTTCTGGTATGCACTTTTTGGTATGTACTTGAGCTCTATTTCCATCTCCTCAATCGTCGCAAAACGCCGTCCTTTCATGGTTTATGCAATGTTGCAAACAGAAAAAGTCGCAGGGGGGCAAATTTGGTGAATAATGTGGCTGAGGCATGATTTCGACACTGTTTTTGGACAAAATAAAAATGTAATGACGAAACAAGTGTGCTGTCTCCAGCAAAGCAATATACTGGATTTTGGTTTTCTCCACTAAGTCGTTGTTTTAAGAAAAATTATTTAATATTTTCGAAACAGTGGCGTGGGTACGGGAATTGACTTCGCTATTAAATAAAAATACTTCCTCTATATGGATTTTGCTTCTGAGTAAAAGGAGTCCTTTTCATCTCAACTACGCCAACCTAATACGAGGTCTATTCAAAAAATAGGGTGAATGTTAATTTTTCTCAAAAAATAGTTATTTAATTTATTCATAAATTTCTATTTTTTTCCTTTGAAAGTAGTCCCTTTCAGATATATTACAGATGTGCCAGCGCTTTTTCCAATCTCCGGAGCAGTTCTGGTATGCACTTTTTGGTATGTACTTGAGCTCTATTTCCATCTCCTCAATCGTCGCAAAACGCCGTCCTTTCATGGTTTATGCAATGTTGCAAACAGAAAAAGTCGCAGGGGGGCAAATTTGGTGAATAATGTGGCTGAGGCATGATTTCGACACTGTTTTTGGACAAAATAAAAATGTAATGACGAAACAAGTGTGCTGTCTCCAGCAAAGCAATATACTGGATTTTGGTTTTCTCCACTAAGTCGTTGATATACAATAAAAAGAAGGTTGGAGGGTTGGTTTCATGCCCAAAATTTCCGTATAAATTGATGCAGTGTTATCCTCACTGCATCAATTTATTTTCGGCATCATATATCAGCAAGGTTACTCCGAAAATTGGAAAAAAAGCATGTTCCATTGAAAAAACCGGTGACGACGTCATTATACTGAAATGTAGGTTATATTGTAAATTATTATCTAAACAAACACAATGAACAAACATCCCTTGAATGATCAGATATCTTAGCCGTAGAAAAAGTTTATACTAACCAATAGGAGTACCCCAGGGAAGCTCTCTTGTCCGAAGTCATCATCCCCAGCAACGTCGGGCGAATCGCTATATTGTGGTAGGTTATGATGATGTGCATGATGCCCCATAAGACCATGGCCATCAAACAACAACCCATGGCTATCCCATTGTATATGTATAAGCCTGTTATGCTCAAAAAAACTTGGACGGGATTGGTTACGACATTATACATGGACATGGCACTCGATATTAGCCCGAAAAATAGTGAAAGTACCAGGAAAAAGATTGTGGATACCCATACTCCGCAGTTGATGAATTTCTTTGTGTCTGTAATGCAAATGAAATTGGGTTCCAGACGATATCAAAATTCGGCAAGTATTGTTTCAAAACCTATATATGGTAGGGTGTATACGACTAATTCTCTAACTGCGCGCTCTGCGCCCTCTATCTCGAAAACAGGTCAACGTTATGTTTGAAACAAATGTTAAAGGGAATTCAATCCTCTACAATATCGATAATGAATGCAAATAGTTAAAAATTCATAGAAAACGAGACATGGAAAGAAGTCCATATCCAGTACCCTATACTATGTAGTGAGGATATGGTTTGACATTAAAAAAATGAATTTGGACCACTTTTTGTGTACATATGACACTTACAACTCTAGTATTTATTTCATAATCACCTGTCGAATTATTGTGTAACCTTGTAGAAAACCTGCGAGGAACGGAATTAACTAGGCTGACAGCTGGGCAGTTGATGTCGTCATCTGGTGACGTTTCGGTACCGTCATTGATTCTCCTCAACAGTTCGTATCTGGCATCCGAGCTTCCAGCACATAAAACGGCACACACATTTTCTTTCATCAAGCACGTCACTGGAGAAACAAAATAATTTAATTTTTCCTATTGTCGATGAGATTTACAATATTTGGATGAAAAATAAAGAAAAAGATTGATTTTCTATATATGTTTATGTTTGTTCGTAATGTAATCAACCGATTTCAAAAATTTTTTCTCATGTGAAAATTAAGATACCACTGGTGATTTCTGCCGCAGTAGCAGACTACGACAACAACGACGGCCTACTAGCTCGGTTTATGTTCTCTTTAACCGTGAATGCGACGCATTTTTTATATTACATTTCGACGTCAACATGTATTTCTGCGACATCTCCATGAGCAGAACTAATAAGTTGTGTCACCAGGACGTCTTCCCCTTCAATACTAAGAGATATTGCTGTAGGTACCTATGCGAGTTCACAAGTCACAAGGGTTCATAGTAAACATCCTCGCTCGAGGAAGCTGTTGTGGCGAAACACGTGTTGAGATTTTGTAAACTGTCTAATCAAAATCTCACAATGAAGAGTTATTTGTATACGCTACGTCTGAGATGAACCAGTAACAGTATTAAACCTGTGTCTAAAGGTCAAGTGAATGACTGAGAAGAAAATATCGTAGCTGATAAACAATCAAACACTTTCTTTGCTAGTTGAATCCAAAACATTGAGTTTTGTACAACATATAGTTATCTCAACGAACTTGAGAATGTGTCAGTCCTATTGCGAAAGGATTATTGAAATGGATAAAAGTCTCACTTGATATTTGTAACGTAATAGTTGTCGGTAGTCGCTTGGTAAAGGTGCCCTCGAACAAGCCATACTTGATCTTATTCGGGGCATCCGGGTCACCAATCCATATCGCAGAGTCCGTGACGATCCATTCTTCCGTTGCCAGAGAGATGATTGTAAAAAGTCCTGCGATGCCAGATATGATGCACGTAGCGAAAACATATACTCTTTTTAGCGTTACCATTATCACTCACTATATGTGTATTTGCATTGGTTTATTTACATATTATTTAGTGAAACGCGTAAAACCGCAACTGTATTCTGGCTTTTCTTTAGCCTTATCGGAGGATGATGTGCTGTTATCTTATCGGAACCAACACCCAATTGTTCAGTTTGGAGACTGAGATATGTAATGAATCTAGATTAAATACGGTATTTGCAACCCAACAAACAAAACAGTTTGTCATGGTCTTAATTGATAAGGAAAACTGTGAATCCGAAAAACCAAACAGGAAACCATAAAAGGTTAAGTGAGAGAATCGAAATGAATTTCTTGATGAGTTATGAGAAATTCCCAATTCACAATTCATATTTATGGTTTTCTTCGAAAGGTAGCTGATAATGAGTTTTCTGTTGAATAATAGAGCTTCATACCGTCATTCTCTGAAACATAAAAGTAGCTGCAGTGCAAGCTGTAGACAGAGACTGAAAACGATATTTCATTCGCAACTTGACTTAGCGATGGACCTCCGTTGTGACCCTATCGATCTTATTGGGGCAAGTAAGTTTATTCAGCGATATCCAATGTGCATTCGGCGGTAAATTCACTTATTGGTCCATTTGAAATATTTGATTACCATTGGTAGTCAACAAGTGCGGATGGAACATCTTTGAATAAATTTTCCGTAAGATGGCGCGAGCATCAGTTCAAAACCAAAGAGAAATAGAGAAATAGGTGAAACTTATATACTGTTAATGTTTGTAAATCAATATCATAGACTATGATATTTTGAAGAGAAGTAAATATTTTCCCTAAAGTTGAATCAATTATTAACTGTAATAAAGATGAAAGGAGTGAATGGATATAAATTGTGATTTCAGATTGAATCAAATACAAGAAGTCATGGTCCGAGTGTGAATACTTGGGCCAATCCTTATGTAAAATACGAAAAAACTCGATCAATGTCGCTCTTGATTCTTCATGATATAAAGAAATTTAACAAACTTCGGCATTCCCTTTACAGAGGCGCTAGGCGCACACCAATGTTTCTATTCGGAAACGATTGATATTCATTAAGTACCAGACAACTGATATATAGAGCCGTCATAAAGGGAAACAGCATACATTTGACACGGATCCTTAATCATTCCAACATCAAGGGTAACGATACAGCCGATACTTTAGCTAATATTGGAATAAACCATCCACTCTCTAGTCATCCTCAAGCAGACTATAGAGAGTTTCAAAAAATTTTGAAACATAATATCTGGATAGACTGGACCAATCAATATAGTGGGGACGAACAATTCAAAGCCAAACTTTACTTTTCCTCTGTACCGCAACCTTACAAAACTTCATGGTTCAGGAATCTGGCCACTTGTTCTCGTAAAGAAATCGTCAGTATGTGCAGAATTAGAAGCAATCATTCCCTCAATAAAGCACATCTCCACAAATTTAAGATACTTGATGACAACCGCTGCGAATGTGGGAAAATACAGACTCTCCTACATATATTTTTTGCCTACCCTAACATTTCTCACAATATACAAATGATTCATGCCTCTCTCAGCATCCCTTTTTAAACAATGCAGCCTGTTACCTTCCACGATATCTTTTTCAAACATATATCACCATCTAACATACAAACCATATCCAAATTCCTGTAGTGATCGAGACACACTTAATAATTGTGTGAATGCAATGCTTCGCCAATCATGACCTGATTATAATGTCCGTACACGTAACCGTAGTGCATCACCTCACATTAATGCTTACGCTCTAGTGCAGTCGGATATTGCTTGTTAATTGACTTCAACTTACAGTTGAACTTTGTTTTAGCGCAAACCCAGGTGGAGTTTGGATCCGACTCAGATCCACTTCAGTGTGGGTTCCACCTGTAGCACACATGTAGTAGCAACATGTTTCTGGAACTCCTGACTAAATAGCCCTGCCAGCTGAAGCCATTAATGGAAAAGAAGAAGAAGAATTTAGAAAATGTCATTTGGCAAAACTTGTAGAAGAATTCAGAAAATGTCAGTTGGCAACACTTGTAGCTCAACAATTTCAATATGTCAGATGTCAAAAGTTAAACGTCAGAAAGTGTCGCAATTCTTGATTTGTCTCTATTTTTATGGAAAGTGAACTAACATTTCATTACAAATATTGATAGAAGTTAATTTTGCAGTAAGAACAGGTGCCGATGGAAGTTGTCGGCAATAATTTCATGCCAGGTGATACTCGACTTGTTGAACAGTTGGTGTACGAACTAAAATCACAAGGTATTTTTGACCGTTTTCGGAAAGAATGTATCTCAGACGTAGACACAAAACCTGCCTACCAAAATTTGAGACAGAGGGTCGAGGGAAGCGTCTCCACTTTTCTCAAACAGCAGGTATGGAGTCCCGATATGAATAAAAACCAAGTGCGCGAACAACTTCGAAAAAATATCTATGAGTAAGTGCAATGCATATACGAAATAATGTTCTTCCAATCAAAATGTAAACATCATATTACTAAATGAGAATTATTATGAGTAGTTTTATATATATTAAATTTCCTTGAGGTTGAATATGTTCGTTACAGGTCTGGGTATTTGGATACAGGAGTCGAACGCATTGTAGACCAAGTCGTGAATCCAAAAATCAATACCATATTTCTCCCAGAAGTGGAAGACGTAGTGTACAGATTTCTGGGTGTAGTAAAACCAGTTCGAGATGTAAAAAAAGATGTGAATGTAAAAATAACAGATCTCCTACCTACTGATCTCGAAGCGGTTTCTCCAGACTCTGTCCACAGTTTCAAAGATGATGTGAAGCGAGAAGTAAATAATGATTCACTGAACTCTGGTTCGAAGCCCGACGAAGATGAGAGCCCTCCTTTCGAACCGCTAGATGCCGCCAACAAGATCGGTCTTGAAGAAAATTCGGTAGACTCACATCTATCAGGATTTTCAGGTGAGATTATTGATTACACACGAAAAAACATACGGGTTGATAAATTACGATAATGAACTGTTGTTTTGTTGCAAAAACTTTCCAAATAGGTTAGAGGGCCAGAACATGTTGAGAAATGTTTTGTGAAAATTTCAAAATGAAGTGTTTTTTGAATAAGTTAGTTATGGATTTTCATCAAGTATCAGCCAATTTCATTAGTAGGTCAAGTTTTTGAGGTAAAAAAAGGGGACAACAATCGAGAATAGTTTTTTTTTCTTCACAAATCTATGCTGCCCTTAATCTTATTTTCTGAGTTTATTTTGCTGTTATCTGTAGGTTGAATTATGACTGTCAGAATATGACTTTATGCTTTCTTGAAGCAGGGGAAACAAAGTTCACTTTGATTCTGTTTCTGAACAACGTGCAGTTTGAGTACGTTTATGAAAGATTCACATTATCATACTCTGAATAAGTTTATGAACACTACCCGGTTGAACTTATCCAAAAACAGTACACTATTATCTACCTTGAACCTTCCTTTTCCGAATTTTCAGGCCTGCAGAGTCACGGATCTAACAACAGCAGCGACATTAAGGTATGTCAGATGGAGATATCGAGCCAGGATTCTCAAGTGTCACACAACAGTTCAGAAAGCAGACTTTCCATCGTTACATCAGAAGACGTAACAAAAATGGAAGTTTGTGAAGACTCCAACTCGAATTTAACGAAATCAACCGTAGAAAAACCTGCGCCTGAAACTTGGAACGAAACGAAAATGGAAGTAGACCAAGTTGCACCCTCTGATGAGATTGATAACAGCCTTAGTGAAGATGTAAGAACAGAGGAAGTTCGTAGCTTCAACGAGAATGATATCAGTTCTAAGACAGAAGATGTGAAGGTAGAAAACGAAAAGAAATCTGGGAAGACTGATGATAAAAAAAATGATAAGAGGTATGATAAAACGAATGAGAAGAAATCAAGAAGTTCAGATAAATATTACTCGAAGGACAAACGGGATGATAAAAGGAAAAGCAGCAGCAGCAGCAAAGATAAGTCCTCTTCAAAGCATAGTTCTTCCAAAGAAAGCAGTTCTAGATCCAAAGAGAAAGATAAGGACAGAAGTAGAACAGAATCTAAGAGCAGTTCCAGTACTAGAGATAAGGAAAAGAATGATAAAAGTAGGGATAAGACTGATAGGGACAGATCTGATAGAGAAAAGAAAGACAAAGGAAGAGAAAAAAGCGACAAAGAAAAAGGCAACCGAGAAAAAGAGAAGGAAGTAGAGAAATCCGACAAAGAGAAACCGACGAAGGAAAAGTCTGAAAAGGATAAAGTCAATGCGGAAAAATCTTCCAGAGACAAGGAAAAATCCAGCAAAGAAAAGAACGACAGGCATGATAAAGAGCGAGAAAAGTCTGATAAAGATAAGTCTCACAGGGAAAAGGACAAGACCGACAAGGAAAAATCTTCCAAGGACAAAGATAAATCGTCAAAACCGAAGGAAAAATCTGACAAGCCCAAAGAAAAGGACAAATACTCCAAGGAGAAATCCTCTAAAGAGAACTCTGAAAAAGATGGAGAGAAAGTCAGGGGTTCAGACTCCAAAAGTAGTAGCAAAGATAAAGACAGGCCCAGTTCTAGTTCGAGGCATTCGGATAAGGAAAAGTCCCGTTCCTCGAATTCAAGCTCTTCCAGAGACAAACCGAAACTGGACAACGGAGACAGCAAATCCAGGTCTTCCGCCACAGACAAAACAAGGAAAGACGGGAAGGTTTCCGTCAACGGCAAGTCCTCCGGAAGCTCTTCTGATTCGAAAAAGGATAAGGACAAGAAGCGCGACTCGAAGAAGTCGTCCAAGGACGACCACTATAGCTCCAAGGACAAAAGAAATGACAGGCGTTCCAACGATAGGGATTCCAATGACGGCCGCTGCGGAAAACAGAACTCTTCCGGTTCCTTATCGGAAAACAACTCTTCACGCTCAGAGAAAAGCAGCCAGGAGTTGACGAGCAACAGTGGTAGTGGAGACTCTGGTAATTCCGATAGCTTGGAACGAACAGAGCCTGGGAAAAGCGAAGAAGTGATGACCGCCACATCCTGCAACGTCCAACGCCTCATCAAACCGAAGTTCGCTTCCAACTTCCAAGAGGCCAGAAAGATAATGAAGATCCGGAAGCAGCTCGCGATGCTAGAGAGGCAAAAGAGGTTGGGCTTCACACAAATTGAGTTGCTGGCGGAGAATGGTTTGGTCAAGCTGAAGAAGCCCGCCAACCAGCAGAAACTCGACAGCAAGAGCTCGGGCAAGAGTGAAGACTCTCGTGAAGTTTCTTTAGATAGGACAGTTGATGTGTGCGATGAGGAAACCGTTACGGGTGATCCTGGGCGAAAGACTCCAGATTCTCCTTTGACTGCGAAGTCTCTGAAGGTTACGGAGTTGAGCAAAGAAAACTGGGAAGCTCTGGAAGCAAGGCTGGCCCAAGAAATGTCGAATGTCAAATACAGCAGCTACGATTCGGACGAGGACATGCCTTATCCTGAGAGTCCGAAAAAGAAGGAAAGCATGGAAGTGGTAGAAACTGTTGTCAAGGAAGTTGTGGTCGGTGAAGCCGTTCTCGAGGACTCTCAAGGTATTTATCAAAAGTTGATTGTTTATTGTTCTCTTTGTTTCTTTAAATAATCAAATCAAATATATTGAAGACTAAAATCGCATCCTATAGTTTAGTAGGCACATAAACCTTCCAACTTGGTATTCAAGAAAACTAGAGAATCTGTTGATTCAAAAAATCATTAACAAAATATACTATTGTGATTCCCTTAAATGACCATATTAATTTAATTAACCTGAAATCAAGTTGTATTATAGCACCAAGATCAAGTATGAATTGAAGGGGTTATATTTTTTAGGAGTGATTAATGTGATTGAATGAAAGTCACTTCTTTGCATGATCTACACATCCATGTATAGAGTTACTTCCTTCCTTTCTTTGGAAGACTCCCTCATCCTTTTTTTGTATCAAGATGAAGTAGTAGAAATCCAAAAACTTTCTTTCCCAAAAAGATCAAGTATGTTTCAGTATTTTCAATCTGTTTATCATTATAACACATTCACTCATTTTTTCCAAACGAAACTTCAAAATCCTGTACTCAAAGTTCAATCTAATCTATTCGATTATCAAGAACTTTAAGTTTACAGTTACTTAAAATGAAGACACACACAAAAACAAGCATAAAAATAACAGTATCCAACATAACCTCACAACCATAAAGAGAAATGATAGAATCTGTCCCAGTGTTGCTGATATAGAATATACCCACAAAAATTCTCGTACTGTCTAGTATCTTCCGATCTTGAGGCCCCTCCAAAGCTGAATGTATTCAGAAAGGCACAATAGTATTTACACTTGCTGATGCCACAAACTCTTGGAGACTTGTGACGTCATTTGCTTATATTATATTTAGCTACCAGTTGCACAGTTATTGCTGATTTTCTAAAGGAATTGGATTAAATTTACAGGTAGCAACGAATTGGAGGATTTCAAAGGTTTTTCAGAGGAAAAATCTGAAAGCACCTCCTTGGAGTTTTTCAGGAATTTCATCTCCCACACAATCAGCCAAGAATCTCTTGTAATGGAAAAACAGAACGATTTAACGAAAGAAATTTCACAGACGAAACGGTTGTCCATTGTGATAGACACAGAAGAAATCAATAAGAACAATCATAAAGCTGCCGAAGAAGATTTAGACTGCAGTGCAACAGAGGATTGTCGTTATCTCGAAAAACCGACCGCTCTTGAAGAGGCGAACTTGCGATTTCTTCACGAGTTTGTCGATAAACTACAACGGGAAGTTTATGTTTGCACGAAGGTGACGAAAAATAATGTCCAGCATACTAGGAGAGGGAGGAAGAGGAAAGCGAATGAAATTGTTGATGTTAAGAACAACAATGACGCCCATTATAAACAAATCATTGGTGAGTTGCCAGTTTTCGATAATTGAGTACTGTAATTGTACAGCTACGGATTTAGGTGGAATTGATAAGGGACCCAGGCTAGAAATAGCAAAAATGAGGATTATTTCAAGTTAGAGCAGCTACTAAAATGAGACTGCTATCAAGAATAGGTTGTGGCAAGCATCTTTTTTTTCTTTTTCTTTTGATGATATTAACAAGTATTAACCTTTTAATCTGAGTATTGAGCCTCGTTATCAAGTTGTTGCATCACATGAGGACCTGCACAGTTATTTATATTCATCACATTCATCATCACATCCAATATGAAACTTGTTGAAATTGTCCAGGAGAGTTTCCCCTAAAGAAAATATTCATTTAAGCAATTAATTTATTATGCTGGAGTAAATATATGAGGTCTGTTGAAAAAATATGGTGAATGTTCAAATTTCGCGAGATATATAAATTCGGCTAGCGTTTTTTTTTATGATGTACACTCGTCTTGAACATATGTTCACAGTTTCAGCTGTTCAGCATGTTTAATTTGTTGGACCAAAGTCCAGTCGTCCCAATGGAAGTGCCCAGCAGAGCCATGACCAGAAAAGCACGCCAAGTTCGATCAAATGTAAAAGTTTTGCTCACTGTTTTCTTTGATAACCGTGACCTAGTGCATCAGGAGTTCTTGCCACATGGTCGTACCTCAATAACGAGTATTATCTTGCGCCGCATGCAAAATGCAATACGGTAATGCACCTGGTCACTCGTCAATTACCCCAGCCACTGAATTCACCGGATTTGACGCCCTGCGACTTTTTCTGTTCTCAAGATTGAGAAGACCCACGAGAGGACGGCGTAAATTTCGCGACGATTGAGGAGATAAAAACCAAATTACTGAGAGAGCTCAGGCACATACCAAAAGTTGCATATCAGAACTGCTTCAGGTGTATTATACCCGAGGGGGACTACTTTGAAAGGGACAAACTAGAAATTGATGAATAAATAAATATTTTTTGAGAGAAATGAAAATTTACCTTATTTTTTTTAACCGACAGCTATTCTCAAGAGATTTTCAGTATACATATTTTAGGATTTCCCCCCTGACGTTTTGAAAAATTGGTGGATACACAATTGCTAGAAGAATAAGTTTTAACCGTTATTAAACAGAAGTCGATGCTGACCTATGAAACGAAGTTTTGATTGTCAAACTGAAATTAAACAGCTATTTTTGTATGTATTGTTTTGTTAATAAAATTTACTATTGAATGAAAGCTTGACATCTGTGTACTCCTTTCAAAATTAAAAACAAAGTCTGTGGTTTAAAATTCGGTTTCTGATTTTGCTAGAGTTATATAACTGAATCAAATTTCAGCAATAAAATATCGAGTAAAAATACTTTCGATTAGATATTAGATACTCATTTCATGTTGTCTTTCATTTCAAGTGCGAAAGAGAGGCAGGCCCCCTGGGTCACAGACCGTCCTATCCAAGGTCGACAAAGAGAAATTGTGCAATAACACAGGTATTTTCTGATAACATTAGTAATAATAACATCCATTAGTAAGGTTCCCTGACGAGGAACGGAAGTATTAATGCTGCTTTGTCTTTGGAGAAAGATTAACCCAGTCAACTGCTTGTTCACTTTTTTAAATTTCAATGGTTTGCTTTCCCACATCCACTGTGTTCGTCTTACAATAACATTTTCATTTCCTGACACAATCATGTTGGACAAAATTTTCATAGAGCTGTCATATGGTAGCATTTAAATATATTACGATACTTGTTTGCTTATTTAAAAAAAATTATTAACAATTATTGCAAAGTCAAGTTCTCAAAATGAAATAATTAGACCAATTTGAATGTTACGTCTTGAAATTTGAAGTGTTTTTGGCAATTGTACGGTCTGTTCAAAAAATAAAGTGAATTTTCATTTGTCTCGTTTATTCAATTTCTACTTTGTTCTTCTCAGATATAATACACTTGTGCAAGCGTTTTTTTCAATCCTTGAAACAGTTCTGTTATGCACTTTTTGGTAGTGATTCGAAGATTCTCCATAACAATATTTCTTTACTTTCTCAACATTTTCATCGGTTGTTGAGCGTCGTCATTCACATCTTCTCAACTTTCTATGAGAAGCTTGTACCACTTATAAACACTTTTCTGACTGAGAGTACAATCACCGTATGCCACTGTTAACGTTTCAAGTGTATTTGAGCATTTGATTCCATTTTTTACACTAAATTTGATGCAAATTCTCATCCATTTTTTTCAGTAGCGAAAAATCTTAACACGCAAAACAATTCTAACTTGTATGTCTCTCACCAACAAATAAAACAGCTGTAACTATGAATATACGTTCAAAACGAGTGTATCAACATGAAATAACTGAAAAATTCAATAATCGAATGTACATAACCCGTAAAATTTGAACATTCACTTTATTTTTTGAACAGTATCTTTACTTTCTCAACATTTTCGTCAGTTGTTGAGCGTCGTCATTCACATCTTCTAAACCTTCTATGAGAAGCTTGTACCACTTATAAACACTTTTCTGACTGAGAGTACAATCACCGTATGCCACTGTTAACGTTTCAAGTGTTTTTGAGCATTTGATTTCATTTTTTACACTAAATTTGATGCAAATTCTATTCCTTTTTTTAAGTAGAGAAAAATCTTAACACGCAAGACAATTCTAACTTGTATGTCTCTCACCAACAAATAAAACAGCTGTAACTATGAATATATGTTCGAAACGAGTGTATCAACATGAAATAACTGAAAAATTCAATAATCGAATGTACATAACCCGTAAAATTTGAACATTCACTTTATTTTTTGAACAGTACACATAAATACTTCATGAAGTACACTTTTATCTATATGTTCTCAAATTTTCATGTTGTCATATGATTGGCGATACCTATATTGACTATGCTAACCGCGCTATTCGCATTCATTCATATCGTTAAGTAGAAATTTTGCTCATATTTTCTAACAAAATTATATTTTAGATATACTATCGCACGACAGATTCCCTCTGCCACTAAGTCCCGCCGAGAGTGACAAGTCCAACGACAAAAAGGAAGAAGAGATTGTTATTCCTGCTAAACGAAGAAGGATTATAGGTATGTGACGGTGGCTTGTGTGAATAATCATTTGACGACTAACAAGTTGCCTTTCATTTAAGTCCTTTCACTTTTCGATAACTAGAGTTACTGATATTCAATTTTTATTCAAACAGTTACGGTTTAATTCAGTGAGATGAGTTTCGCAAGGGTTATCTTTGCTTTTATTTATAGCTGCGCAAAGGTATTCCAGCGATGACCTCTACAAACCTAGGCCGGTGTTCTGCAGGAGGAACAAGGACGCCAGGAAGAGTTAATTTTCTCTGAAATGATCGTGGGAAGTGATCGTGAAGAGCACTTCGGTAGTTGTACCTCATAGCTTTACATATATTTTTATACAGTATTTCTACAACAAATATTAAAGTATTATAGACAAATATAAAAGATGTTTTATTGCAGTTTCATTCTTCTTGAGAGAATTAGGTTATTCCCATTATGTAATTTCAAAATCCTAACTTATAAACTTTTCAAAGTGAAATTTCAGTTTATTCGTTTTTTAAGAAAAAAAAAAGGAGTGAGAAATAAGGAAAATCGTCTACTTATCGTTCTTCAAAACGATTCCTAGATGTACATTTTGAAATGATAAAATACAAATTTCCCGCCATCTTTTGGTCAAGAGCCACACTAAACGTTCACAACTTTTCTCTATCTATGAACCGTAAATTACAGGTTGCTTTCAAAAGTATCAAGCGAATAAATAAATAGTTACTTCATCTTTTGTTCACGAGATGGCAATGTCAGTTTTTCGTCATCTGTTGGTCAAAAGCCGCACTAAATACAACTTCATCTATGAATCGTAAATTACAGGTTTCTTCCAAAGTACAAAACAATCAACTGAACAGTCGAGTTCATCTTTCGTCCATTAGATGGCAATGTCAGTTTTTCGTCATCTTTGATTGAAAAGAACTGCCGGTACTTGATGAAAATCCATATTAAACAACTAATCAATACAGTTCATTCGTATGATTTTCACTGTACAAAAACCATTCAAATAAACTGTATTGATTAGTTGTTTTCGTCATCTGTTGGTCAATAGCCGCACTAAACACAACTTCATTTATGAACCGTACATTACAGGTTTCTTCCAAAGTACAAAGCAATTCATTGGATAGTTAGTTTATCTTTCGTCCATGAGATGGCAATGTAAGTTTTTTCTCTCTGATGTGATAAAAACTGAAATATATTTCTATGAAAAATTCTGGAATGCTTTTGGAGAGTATTTCTACACGCACACTTTGGAAGGCGATCGATCTTTTTCCGATAAAAAATCAAACAATTAAAAAGTAAAGGTTAGTCATCACACAAAGATAAAATCGATATTTCGGCTGTCTGACTGTCAATAGCCGACTAGAGGTTCAGCTTTCGACCAAGAGATGGCGATGTAACTTTTTCTTTTACAATTTCTGAAAAAAATATTACACTTTGGAAGTTGAACCCAGATTAGTAATTGGTTACTTTTTTATCAGAAATATATTGAATTTTCAAATGGAAATTAACGTTTTCTTGATTGTCCAATTTTATATAGCTCATGCTACTCTGTGGTAACGTGTATAAAACTTGTCACTTGTGAATTTTGCATTCAGCCACGACCTAAAATATATTTTCTTCAAAATATCAAAAAGAAATTCTGGTATTCTGAAGTTGCAGAATCTAGAAAAGCAAGCAGTTTCATCTATTTTTTTTCTGCCATCTCGTGGGAAATCACGGCAATGAATTTCTAAAGTTGGTTGTTCATTTTACTTTTCAAATTATAGTTTTCTTTTATATGTTTAGTTTGATTAGTTCAGCTTCCATCCAGCAGATGGCGAGCTTCGTTCAACTTTACCATATTTCAAATGAGAAAAATTCACGACTCGTCATTTAATTGATTACCGAAATATCATACAAAACAACTCAAGTATATTTACTCTTAATCTATATGTACACGAAGCGCCTCTGGCCGCTCTTTAACACCCGTACTGCAAACTTAACAAACCAACACTCTTCGTAATATTCGTAGTAGTATTCGTAGTGGACTTCATGCCCAGCCGGAAGACCCTCGTGAGGATCACCTTGGCGTACTCTTGCATGACGGCCACCAGGTCCGAGAGCCTGTCGAGCACGCTTTCCACGACGTCACCGTTGTCGCTGTCGAGGCAGGCGAGCACTGCGGGGAGTGCTTCCCCGGCCGCCCCCGGGTATTGCTTGAGCCATCGCACGATCAGCAGCAACGCCAGGGAGCGAATGGGGCCGCTCGAGGAGCCGATCGAGTTGAGCAGGTGCTGCGAGACATCCGAGAGCCACTGGGGCCGTCTGACGGTCACGTGATCGAGCTCCTGGAGGGCGGCGAGGTTGTCGGTGGATTGAAGGGCGGTCTTCAGCTGGGGCCAGTGCTGCGGGAATGATTCGGGCACGGGGGGCGTCACTGTGCCGACTAGGATTTCACTGGAGGTGGATTGGTCGCCGCCTATCGGGAGGGATACGCTGGACAGCAGGGGGCGGACGCCCGGCTGGTTGAACTGGATATCACTGTGAACAAAAGTAATATCATTAATGAACACTTTCTTTGATGTCCTTATTGATTTTCATCTAGGAGCTATCCTTTTAAAAGTTCTTTGTTCAGGTATTTCAGCAGTATTTCCCAACTAATAATTTAATGAGAAGCAAATATACATACCCGAAATGATAAAACAAACAAACTACTCACTTCAGCACTCCTCCGTGCTCCTGCAGATACTTCGAGGCCCCCTTGACGTCCCTCACCATCCAATTCTGCACGAAAGCAACGATCCTCCCTACGAGCCCACCGAGCTCCTTCGAGTGTCCATGAAACTGCAGCAGCGCAAAGTATGAGTCGAGTAAATCGCACAATGTGCCCGTCTGATCGAAAACATGGGGCTGTAGCAGCTCCACCAACCCGAGTACTTGGCCAAAGAGCGCGAAGTGCCCCCGAGACCTGAGAACGCCCCAATCGTACTGCGCTCTGCCCTTCAGGCAGCCGGCGAGCATCGGCAGCTGCCTCAGTACGAGGACGGGGTGCGTGGCGGCTAGTTTTCGAGCGCAGAGTTCTAATTCGGAGCTCTTCTTGGGCCAGTCCTTACTGCGTGGAGTGGAGGCCAAGGCGCTGAACAGGCAGTGTGATATCTGGAAAAAGTGTATTACTTATGCTGATATTATCAAAATTAGGATGTGTGTCCCATCAATTTGTTTGAAAAACATTAATTTTTCATTCATTGACTCAAAAACTGAGATGCCCATAACTATTTAATTCCTTTATATAGCAATTTTTTCATACACAAGAATCATTTCCAACCAAATAAACTTTAATTAATTAATTCATTAACTTACCTCATCAACTGTGCTTGGGCAATTCTTGTTGTAGACTTCAGAGCACATTTCTGGTTCGATTTTCATATTGTCCTGACCAGAGTACGGCAACGACATGTAGATCATCAGAAGCAGTTCGCGAGAGTAAACGTCCTCGTCAGATTCGTGCAGCAGAGTTTTCATTATAGCGGTCGCGTTGCTGCCCAGACATTTCAGCAGGAGTTGCAGGCGAGATTCCATTTTCGTCTTCCACATAGGTTGGTTTGTTTTTGCTTCTTCTATGATGTACCGTATCATTGCCAAGGCCTGCAAAATTCAAATGTTGCTACAAAAACTGATGCACCACTGATGATTTCCATTCTCCATGCCTCTTCAATCATGTCGCAGGTTAAGAAACAATTAGGTTAAATATTTTGTCAGTTTTGAGGGGAAATAATCTATGCACTAGACATATTAGTTTCACAAACATTCTTCTTCATATATTTACATTCAAACCAAATTTTGCTGACAGAAAAGTTAAAGGACAACGTGACAAATGATTGGTGTAAATATGGGATCAATCAAAAATATTATGCGTACCTGATCACACGTTAGCTGCAATATATCCTCTGCATGATGATGTTTAGGTATGGCCTTGTCTCTTCCTTGCCATAACTTGGGGCTCTTGGTGAGGGCATTCAGAAAGTCCAGAGCAGAGACGGCACATATTTCAGAAGATATGTTCTCTCTCAAAAGATATGTCATGATTCCGTGTAATATCTGCCAGCTGGCTCTTTGCAACACCAACGACATCAGCAACGGTCTGAACTGGAGTTTTTGTTTGGAAAATAATAGATCCATCTGAAATGATACTAACTTCAATAATCTCAGAAGAACACACCTGTTTATAAAAGGTCTGTTCAAAAAATAAGGTGAATGTTCAGGAATGTTCGCATCAGTCACCGTATTCACCAGATTTGGACCCCTGCGATTTTTTCCTGTTTTCAAGATTGAAGAGACCCATGAAAGGACGGCGTTTTGTGACGATTGAGGAGATAAAAACCGAATCATTGAGAGCTCAAGGGCACCAAAAAGTGCATATCAGAGCTGCTTTGAGGACGCTGGCACAAGTATATATATTTTAGAGGGACCTACTATGAAGGAAACAAAATAGAAAATGATTGATGAATATTTTATCACAAAATATTGAAATTCACCTTATTTTGTGAATACACCTCGTATGTTTGATCTTCTTCTTGAAGATGATCACTTGGTGATCGAAACACGTGTCGAGGTGTTAAAATAACGGTTTGATGTTTGGAAAAAACTCCAATAATATTCATATTTTGAGGAGTTTGTGTCCTTTTTCTTACATCTACAATAAAACCATATATATATGAAGTCAAGGTAGAGGATCTCCAGAATATAAAGTCATATGACAATTTCGTACAAAAGAAAAGTATACAGTATTTTCAAAACATCTAGACTGACCGTATTTTGCAATTATTTGATGAGAAATTCGAAAATTTGTAGTTAGTTATCTCATTTTTCAGTTCTAATCTTTTTTTGTTTGTTTTCATTAGTTATCTAATAGTTTAAAAATAACTTGTTTCAACCATAAACATGTATACATGTTGTCAAATTTTGATTCTGGTAAAACAATTGTGAAAATAATAAGGAAGTTATTATTACACCATCATTTATTTAAATGAAAGCAAATTTTCAAATTTACATTTTCAGTAATCAGAAGTTATGGATCACTCGCAATTATTTCTAATTATCTCGCATCTCTTACTCACATTTTCTGAATCTGTTTTTTCTAACTGCCTCAAAAAAACACTTCTAACATACTTAAAAAGTTTATATCAATATTGAACAATTCGTTTTTCAACATACAAATATATGGTTATGAAGTAAACAATTCAAAGTGAATGTTATAAACATAGGAACTAAATCTAAATGGACGGACTAAGTCAATAAACAATATCTAAGTGGACGGAGTAGATTAGTAGATAGTAATTTCACAACTAGTATCTATTGCTTATCATTTTTAGCGTGACACAATGGACACGCATTCTGAAACGACATCTTCTTCTCGTAAGCAGGATGGCGACAGCTCTTGCAAAACCAAATGGCTTCGCCCCCCAAAATCGACTGGCCCGACGCCACGCAAGTCGGGAAATGAATCTTACAGTGTGGACAAACCACGTTCCAATCTTGAATGGAATTGCTGCAATTGTCACACGTGACCATCTTAGTCTTTGTGTTCACCGGCTCGTTCTTCCTGAACACATCCCAAGCCAGCTTTTCATACTGGTTTCTTTCTTGCACAGATAGATTTTCCAAGCTCTTGAGCTTCATCAAAGCCTTCGAGCATATCCCGAAAGATTTGTCCAGGCAAGCAGCCAATGTTAGCAGAGCGTAGATATCCCCTTCCGGGATGTAATCACCATAATCCTGCAACTTATAAGCCACACACAGAGCATCGTGAAGCTTGCCCGAGTGTAGATGTCTCTGCGCCAGCATGTAGTAGTGGTATGCTTCGGCCCCTTTCCAGGCATTTTCTATAAGGTAGCTAGAGTCTTGCCAGTCGTTGGAATCTGAGGACTTATGTAACTCGACCAATTTGGCGCCGTACACGTAGTGCTTTTTCACTCGCAACAAGCTCTTGCCAGGCTTACGAGCTTCTTGGTCAGCCAGTTTGAAAGCGTGTTCCGCGGCATTCAGATAGTACTTGGCTTGGATGTTCATTTGGATAGCGTTCATGATCTGATCTTGGTCTACTAGGTGAGAGGTGTACTTTGTGAGGAGGTCAGAGATTTTCGAAATGTTGTACTTTTTCGCCAGGTCGATGGCTACGTCCCAGCGATTGTGTAGGATGCACAGGTTTATAGCGGATTTGATTTTTCCGAGTTTGACGTAAGCCTTGACAGCTTCGTTGTGCACTGCGCTGGCAGCAAACATGTCCCCTATAGTCTCCAAGAGGGGGTCACCTTCCGGAAGAGTGTCTATAATGGATTCCAGACTCTTCCAGTCCTCCAAGCGGTGGTAGCACTCCACGACCTTGGGGGTGTTCTTGCCAAGCTCATAATACTCCACGGCAGAAGCCCAGTTGTTGAAATGGGCAAAATAATCCGCAGTGGAGTTGTAGGCGGTTTTCAAAAGGTGATCCGGAGCCGTAACGCCATTCTTCAGGATCTGTATTACCCTAAACCAATCTCCGAGTGTTTGGCGTAAGTTCAGAGCTAAATCAGCCCTATCCGCCTCCATGTAAATCTTCTCGGCCTCGTCAAAGTTTTTAAAGTACGTAGCAACCCTGGCTCGACGAATAGCTTCGCTGCTGATATCCCCCAGCTTCTTTACAAAGAGCACCTTGGCATAATCCTTCGATCTGACGAAACACGCGTCCGCCACTGCAAGATTCATCTCCTTCAGAGCTGCCTCTGCCACCAACCGCCACAACCTGGGGTGTCTGTTGTCTTCGACAAATTGACAAGCTTCACTGATCCCCACTTTCTCCAGCAATTGCCTCGTATCCCGCAAGGCCTTAACCTCCAAGTTGATCAGATGGTCCTTGCTGGGCTTCTCTGGTGAAGCCATCACCTCATCAAGCAGCACCGCCCTGATCTCCAAGTCGTTGAAGCTGCAGATGTACCCGGAACAAGCAACTGGTTCCTCGGGGTACACCCCTTTGAATATGTACATCCTCGTCTTCTCCATGATGGCCAACAGCTGGGGATTGTCCGAGGCCCAGCGCATACACCACACATCCTTGCGTTCTAGCCTAGCCCCTTCGGCTGCGGTGGTAGGGCGCCCCACGCCCTCCGAAATGTCCAGCACAGTCATCACTCCAGAAACATCGATAATGGACAACCTTGTTGAATTGCAGTTGACTGCCATCTTGTGGGGCCTCGTGGCGATCTTGTACCTGTTTGAGAGCACCACGTGGGGCAGAGCATAGTACTGAATGAGGCCCGAGTCTCTACCCACGACGAGGCACTTGTCGCTAGAGACTAGGCAGGAAACCGGGTCTACAGTATCGTGAGTTACAACTGGAAACGTGGAACCACTGTCAAATTCCTGAATGATTTCTACAGCCCCGGTGGGGTTGTCGTCGATATGGAACATCCTCCATCTGGCGCTGCCTGTAGTTATAGATTTTGGAGTCTTGTAGTGCCATACGATAAAGTTGTTCTTTGACGCAACAAATACTTGATGGGAATTCATAGTAACACCAATCGGTTCAATATTCACGTACTTCCCGTCCACAGGAGTACCCAAAGTGTTGTAAAGCATCAGCACGTACTTCCCTAGAGTGTCGTTAGCCTCAGACCTGACTGCGGCTACGCAAAAATCCCCGTACGCCGCCAAAGCTAGCAACTCGGCAACCCACAGAGTGTGACACTGGTTGCTTGCAGTATCCCAGAACGAGAGACAAATCCCAGGCTTGTGCTGCCTGCCGGATGCAAACACAACAGTTTTCTTGAAGTAACACCACTTGTAGTCCGGCCTTATGTTGGCAAAGTACACAAAAGAATCTACGGCGAGGGCCACCCTCAGAGAACCCCCCTCCCAGACGCAGCAACTTATCGAATTTCCTGGTACTTTCAAGGTACGCAGGTGCTGCCCCGCTGCGTTATAGAACTGCACTAAATTAACCTCCTTTTCCTCCACAAATTGCTTCCCGCAAATGGCCATCAAGGACCCGTTGTGGTTCCAGGAACAGTGAACCGCAAACATTCTGGTGTTTAATACAACAGGATTGGTGTCGCTCTCGTTGCGCATCAGCTGAGCCTTGCCATTCTCGAAGGCAATGGCTAGATTAGGCAAATCGGCTTGTGTGTTCCCATTCGTACCGTTGTACCAGTCCAGCCCCACGATCGGGATCGAATCGAAATTGGAGTCGTGGCAAAGGATGGCGATGCGCATCACGAAGTTGCCCTGGTTGTCGTACAAGTGAACCTGACCGTTTTTTAGGGCAAACAGCAGCAGCTTTCCGTCTGGAGACCATTGCACTCCAGACAGGGAAACTTGTTTCAGTTCCTTGCCCCATATCCTATTTCCTCCGACGCATCCAACGATCACTGCACCATCCTCGTATATTATACATATTTTCTGGCCATCCGAGCTCCAAGCCATCCCGACCACTGTGGATTTCTTCCGGTTATTGATCATTTCCTCGTACCAGGACCCTTTATATAGCATCCAGACGATTATCACCCCATTCTCGTCGCTAGTCGTTAATTTTTTGTGCAGCTCGTTCCAAATCAGTACTTGTATGTTTTCAGAGTGTCCCTCCAAAGTTTGATTCATCGACAGGTTGCTGGTCACGGCGAGCCCCCGATTTTTCGTGCCCCCGTCGTTATCGTTCGGGGATTCTAGCTTGAGCACTTTAAGTAATCCGTTTTCTCCTCCTACCGCGATATACCCGTCTAGTTTGTTCCAAGCGATCGCGTTGATTCTCGTATTGTTGGGTATAGCGATCTTTTTACTCAGGTAGATGAACATTTTGATGGAATCCTGTTAGCTTCTCATTTTATTCCAAGGAGTTTAATTCAGAAATATGTTTATTTTTCATTGTGTATAACTTTGTTTTGAGTTTGAATTGTTGTTGCCATGGGATGACAGTGACAGTTCCGGAATTTAGACACCGAGTAGTTCTGTCGAATATTCCGAAGCCGGCAAATAACTAGTTTTGGTTAGAACCGAATGTTCCACCAACATGACAAGTGGCAACGCTCAGCAACTGAACCAAGATGGAAAAACAAAAACAAAGTCCTGTCAGCCGTTTTCATATATTGTTGACGTTTCTTGTACTTCCCGTGAGTGAAAGTAATTTATTTCAACTATTCATCAGTTTCTCATGTCTATAATATTCGCACCTAAAACATTACTATCACAAATTCACAATAGAATAGCTCAAAACAAAAAACACCAAGACAAAAATACAACCTATGTTCAACATTCAGTCATTCCGATCAGCTTTTTATCGTTTGAGCAGCGCTATCATCGGTAGAAATGTTTTACCATAATTGGAAACTAACATGAAAACAATCTGGTACGTGCGTTGAAATAATAATCAGGTGCAAGCTTCACATCAGTAAGGTGCGAGCGTCGTAATGGGGTGCGAGCGTTACGATGGGGTACGAGCGTTACGATAGGATGCGAGGGTTACGATGGGGTGCGAGCGTTACAATGGAGTACGAGCGTCAGAAATAAAGGCGTGTCGTAATGGGGTACAAGCGTTACGATGGGGTACGAGCGTTACGATAGGATGCGAGGGTAACGATGGGGTGCGAGCGTTACAATGGAGTACGAGCGTCAGAAATAATGGCATTATCGTCACAATAATCGTGTGCGAGCGTCAAAACAATAACTGGGTTTGGGTATAACTTTTGAAAACGAATAAAACATTGAACGTAAGCGCAAAATTGAATTGTGAAAATTAATTGAATGTAAAAAAAAATGTTTGAAAACAAGCTTTCATTCACATGTTCGAAAAAGAAGAAAATAACCTTTGAATGAAATCGGATCCATAAAATTATATTATTACATAATGTATATGATATAAAAGTTTCTTGCGGGATTTACCTATTTTAATAAAAAATTCAGGGCGGTCTCGCGATATAATTCAATATCCAGCATGGTATCAGCCTGAGAAACAGTTGTTATCCGACAGGTATTTACCAGAACCCACTGTATAGGTAGTTAGGAGAGATGGTTATTTCAAGATTTTGTTTCGAAATATTCATTTTCTAGTGAGTACGCATCTCTTCTTAGCCCAGTCTACAGTCTTCAGACACGATTTGATAATAGGAACTGTTGAAGTGTTAAAGGATCTGAAAATCTCGGGTCATATCTCCGATATTAGTTTTATTTTTTCCACTCAATTTTCAAACTATTTGTAACTAACTGAAGGCAATAAAAAAAAATCAAATATTTTTGAACGCTTCTTTAAATTACTTCTTGTTATGAAAAATTTAGTGGTATTATTTTGATACAGAATATCCTTCATAAATAAATGTTTTTTGAAAAAATTCCTAGTATAAGTCATAGAAAAATGGCCATTATTCGCTTCGATGACGTATGACGCTCGCCTTCAACTCACATCGACAAACTTCATTCTCACGACTGATGGCGACATTTCTAGCTCGTTGATTAATTTACTACTGTTTTGAAGATTGAGTTTTTCTCGCATCTGTATTGAAAAATGGATCCATCTCTGAATGAATCAAGAAGACAAACTGAAGATTCACAAAGATCTTCCATGAAATATAAAACAGCCTTACCTGCAACTTATGTTTGTCGGAATTTGCGATTTCCAATTCAACGGTCGACAGCCAGTCGATCATTAGTCCCGTTTTCTCAGCCTTGGAGCCACCCTCTTCCAGAAGCATCTTCCCGAGCTCACCCCCCATACCATCGTAATGGCCAGACAGAGCTACCGGCTTCTCTTCCATCTTCACTTCTAGATCGACTTCCATTTTCACGTCTTCCATATCGATGCCGCTTCCCTTCAAAAACTGCCGGAGAACGACGGCGACGCAAGACTTTTTGTCCGGTATCAACTTCAGGAATTGTGATGCGATGGCGGTTTTTTCTGGGGAAGCACTAGAAGTGGTAAAGATGAGACGAAACAGCGTTGATATCGAGTTGTACTTGAGAATGACGGGCAGAGTGAAGTTTATCGGTATGGATTTTATGAAGTTGAAGACCAAATCGGCCGTGTTTTTCTTCAAAGTGACACTCTGGAATGGAAATGAGTTGTTGTCAAACTTCACTCAGATTTTATTTTGGGATATGTTCCAAAAGTCACCAGAAGTGTTTTTTTGGTGTTCCAAAATCATCAATAAAAACCCACCTGGTTATATATACACGAGATTATTATGGTGAAATTAATACAAGGTCACTTCAAACAATACTTTTTTATTTTTCAATTTTCAATAACAAGGATACTTCTGAATAATTGAAGCACGTTATGAAATTCTTATTAATAACAGTTGGGAAATTGTTACGTTTGGAACATATCCTTTGTTTGGTGCAGTCAAAAATCTGGTACAGTTTTATTCTTGTTTGGTAAATTTTTCATTGTTGTCAACTGAGGGTATGTTCAAAAGACAGTATATTGCATTAGAACTTGTGATCTGTGATATAACTTAAAAAACAAGTTCAAATTGCTAAATTAAAGTTTCTGAAGTAGGAGATGATCCTAATATACAAAATATATATACAGACGAAATAGACAGCTTTTGATGCGGGAAAACTCAATTCTGTCAAAATGATTCTTGTTGGAAANAGGGGGGGAAATGCACTGTATGTACGTGGACTGTTCAAAAATTGAGGTGAATATTCATTAGCGATTTGGTTTTTTATCTCCTTAATCGTTGCTAAACGCCCTCCTTTCATAAGTCTCTTCAATCTTGCTTCTCGCAAGCGGCGCCTAACTTCAAGCAAGACCAAGACCTTGACATTTTATCAAACTTGAAGTGCTTTTTTTGGTCTTGGCTCTCCTGGCTCTACGATGGCAGAAAATCGCCGAACACGCAATCGCTAAACATTTCCAAATTTCATCCCTCTCTCACCAGCAAACTAAACATGCTAAACAGCTGGAACTGTGAACATATGTTCGAGACGAGTATACCAACATAAAATAATCGCTAATCGAATATACGTAGGCCGCGAAATTTGAACTTTCACCTTATTTTTCAAGAGAAAACTTCTTATGGGAGGGTAAACTGCTTCGTAACGGCAACAGTTTGTCAGGTTTCTCTTTCTCTCACGCATACGTCAGCGGAAGGCAGGCTCCTCCTCTCTCGTCGGACAGACTCTCAGTGTTTAGTGTACGTTAGACATATACTGTTGACAGTATTATAAAAATCTAACCAGCGAGCACGTAATAGCAATTTCTTAATCCTTGCTGATGATTTGAAAATCTTTCGGCCCATTACATCACATGAGGACTGCTTGATTTTACAAAAAGACCTTGACTTTTTGTACAATTGGTGCACCGAAAATAACCTTCCCCTCAATACAAACAAATGTAAATACTCAAAATACACCCTTAAATATAATGTTATTTCTCATGATTACGGCATAAATAACACACCTCTTCAAATAAGCACTAATCAAAGGGATCTTGGTGTCACATTTGACCCCAAACTGAGTTTCTCCATCCACTATGACAAATTAACATGCTCAGCCAAACGGATGCCAGAGCTCATTTATCGTAACTGTAAGAACTTTCGCAGCAGAGACAGTTTTTTAACTCTTTTCAATGCATACGTCAAATCTCGGCTGGAATATGCCTCCCTCATATGGTCACCCATATACAATGTCCACATAAACAAAATCGAGTCTATACAAAGAGGCTTCATGAAATATATTACTTACAAGCTAGAAGGAGTTTACCCTGAACAAGGCATCGACAACAGAATACTACTGAATAAATTTAATCTATTATCCCTTCAAAACCGAAGAACCTACTACTCTATAATTTTCATTTATAAACTAGTGAATAATCTGATTGACTGTCCCGAACTACTCTCCCACTTCAACTTTCATGTTCCACGAATCAATTCTAGAAATGAACTGACTTTTTATCTACCAAATTCTAGAACAAACATATTACTCAAGTCACCAGTTGTTGCAATGAGCAAACTTTACAATCAACTCTGTGAAAATCTCGACATTTATTATGAACCTATTGGTCAAGTTAAGAACCACGTTAAGAAACTTTTACACTCTAGTCAAAATACATGAGCCCAAATTGAAAGTTATTCTACCATGTGAGCTTATTACTACTACTGTATTGCTGCTGAATTATTTTTTTTTTTGTAATACACCTGAACTATGTTTTTACTTGTTAGCTCTATATCTGACTTAAGGTTTTTTTTCAATGACTCTCCTAGCTTGCTGCACACAAGTGTTCCACCTAATTTTTTGCTCAACTCTCCTAAATGTTTACTTTATTTTATTTTTTGTTTACTCTCTTCAGGTGTTTCTAGTTGATAAATTAGTATTGTATTCATGTTTATGTGTATGTATGTATGTATATATGTATGTGTATTGTGTGTATATAGGCAGATATAAACTGTAACATATATATATATATAACTGTTTAGACATTAAACATTTTTTTTATTATGTAAAACGTGGCTTAAAAATGATGATACTAATTTTGTGTATGTACATTATTAGTATTATTATTTAATTCAGCAAAAATAACAACTGTATAATGGTACATACACACAATTGTATATGCATACAATTCAAATAATAACCTAAGCTTTTCTCAAGTTAAACAATTTAAATATCAAATAGTTCAACTCAGATTAGTTTTAGTTATCACTTCTGTCGCGTATCCAGAGACACACACGTTGGAGGTATAATAAAATTTGTTAAACCGAACATTCCACATATTCTGACCTGCGAAAAACACGAAAAACTCAATACATACCTGCCAAAAACCACTCACCTTAATCAGCGACAATATAATCAAGTTTCTGTCCCCGGAACCGTTGGGATTGAACAGATTATTCAAACCATGCACGACTTCCGAATCATTCACCGCAGAGACCTTCTGCCACTTGGCCATCGGCGGCATCTGCTTCCTGATCTCGACGTCGACCTGGATCTCGATCTCTCGCACGGGAGGCACCTGCATCTCGATGGCCTTGACGAACGTCTCGCCCCCCACGGCGCCCCTCTTGTTCTGCACCTCGACCAGCTGGATCATGTACGTCTTGTCCAGGACGGAGTCGACGACGAGCTTCGGATCGAGGATGGTCGCCTTGTCGAGAGTGTGGAGGAGCTTGCTGATGCTGTTCGTGGGGATGCCGAAGGACTGGATGAAGAGGACGAGCTTCGGCGGTTCGAGTTTATCGATGGCGGCGTCGACGAGGCGAGACACGTTTGACCTGATGATAATAATGATAAATTCATTAATTAAAACTGGTAAATTTTATTTATACGACCTGTTTCGGGTTTGACTCCATTATCAATTATAAAACTAAAATCTGGATATGTTACTTAGGCAAGAGTCTTAATGTCATGTGTTTTGGTAGCTCCATATCTAAATAGATATTTATTCTACTGTAACGGAATAATATGCACTGCATCTTTAGCCTTAGATGTAAACACTATTTTTGATACAATGTCAAAAAATTACAAAAAAGTTGTTGATGAAATTTGCCCAGTAAAAACATTTGAAAATACTAGAAAAAGCTTACCTATTTAAGGGCAAAAAATCGTGATAATGCTTATACAAAATTTAGACAGTGTAGTAGAAACATGGAAGAAAAACAAAATCTTTGGAATACCTACAAAATATGTAGAAATGAAGTTAATAACAGTCTAAGATTGAAGAGAAAACATTATTACAAAAATGCGATTGATTCCCATTATGGAGATTGTAAACAAATGTGGAAAATGCTAAAACAGTTGATTCGAAATGAAAATCTTGCATTTACAAATAGTCATGAAATTTGAATTTAGAGATAGAGTAGTGATTGCGAAAACAGAAAATGATATTGCACACTGTATAAGTATAAAGAAACTTAAAAATATAATTGCTACCCTGGAAAATAAAGGTAATATACATGATGTTATGAATGATCAAATAATAAAAAATAGTATTGACAGTTGTGGTTTTCACTCATTAAATATTATTAGGTCCACGAATACTGTACTAGAAGTGCAAACAATTTTCATGTGGATAGAAGGACTGGATACCAGAAAAGGTATGAACTCACTATTCATACGAGGTTTAGTTGAATATAAATCCCTTCCAAATGAATAATTCCCTTCCAAATGAAATAAAAAAATGTGATACACTTTTATTGTTTAAGAAAAAACTCTCAAAATATCTGTGATTGTTATGAATGTAGTTATATTGTATTATAGATTTTCAGCTGAATTGAGTCAGTTATTGTATAGTTTTGATATTTGTATTATCTCAATCTTACATTGTTTATTGTTAATAATGTATTTTGTTATAAATTTATACATGGATTCATTCATTGTATTACGTTTTGATATAGTATTTACTTAATAATCATTTATTGTAGAATTACAACTTTGTATTAGTATTATTAGGATTATTCCTATTCAACAAAGACTACTTACTTACTTTTTTCCGAAGGTCAAACATTTAAACGATTTCCAAATTTCATTTAAAATTACAATTATGAAAAAAATTCTATATAACCTTATCATCCTCAGTTTCATCCAGTCCGGCAGGTAGGAAGTCGTCTCGGAGGTATCGGGAGAGTAAGCTCTGGGATGTTCCATGTTTTCCGGGAACCAGCTGGTCAGAAGTAGGTCGAAGGCCTTGAAGTCATCGAGAGGGCCGTAAGTCAACAGGACGATTGTGGCGTGGATGACGAGAGGCTGCATCGCGCATTGTTCGCCCGTAGCCCAAGATACTTCAGGAAAAAAAAAACGATTTTAAAATAAGGATGATTCCTCAAACATGCCTATGAAAAATATTCTTCATTTTTAAATCATCGTCAGGTAGTTCTCTATCCTACAGTACATCTTTGAACTTATCATACATTTTATAACCAGAAAATAAAATTCTATCTTCCGGAAATCAAATGTTTGGTTTCATTTTTAGAAAAGACAACCATTTTTTGTCAATAATTAGTAGATGAACTATGCGGGTTCTATTACACCGGAAATTCAATTAACAGAAGCAAACTGTTACGACAATAACGATGAAACGATGACAAATAAACGCACCCAAAACGATCGAAAACGCACGAAAAACGGTCGAAAACGGTTTATTCGTCATCGTTTCATCGTTATTGTCGTAACTGTTTGCTTCTGTTAGTTGAATTTCCGGTGTAATAGAACCGGCATAGTTCATAGTGTAGTAGATCTACTATGCCGGTTTCATGGCACAGCCAATGAGAGCGTAGCAATTTGTCACATGATCAGTTGTTCTTCGCTGTACGACAGAGAAGCTAGCAGCATTATCGCGGTTTGAAAGAAACGATTCGAGCGCGTTTGGAATGAGAACAATAATAAATGGGTATACAGGGTGTTGATGGAAAAGACATGAAATACAGAGTGTGTGCAGCGTTTAAAAAAAAACATGGCGTCCAGCGTTACAGGAAAAAAAATGGCTACCATCGTGATATACAGGGTGTGCAGCGTTAGTAGATGAACTGTGCCGGTTCTATTACACCGGAAATTCAACTAACAGAAGCAATGAAGTACATAGAGCTATGCATAACCGTATCATACTTGACCAACTGCGCCACGAAAGCGCTACACGTAAAGCGTTACGCGAAAAAACGTTACGCGAAAGCGCTACACGAAAAAACGTTACGCAACTTGCGTATAACGCTTTTCGTGTAGCGTTTTCGCGTAACGTTTTTTCGCGTAACGCTTTTCGTGTAGCGCTTTCGTGGCGCAGTTGGTCAAGTATGTGACGATTACGCATAGCTCTATGTACTTCATTGCTTCTGTTAGTTGCATTTCCGGTGTAATAGAACCGGAATAGTTCATCTACTATAATTGGTTATTATAACAAGTTCCACTAACACTCCAAGAAAAGTCTACTCTCCATTTTTCCTAAGTACAGTGAAAGAACAAAAACCTACACTGAAAAAAATCCTCACCTATAACGTAATCGTTCCCGTACGTCTGGTTAATCGTGTACGACTCATCACCGTTCTCCTTCGCCTTCTGCGTGTACAGATAGAAGATCTGCAGCAAATTCCTGAGCGTGCCGTAATCCCTTCCGGGTAGCACATACGAAGCGACGCTATGCCTTTCTATGATCACCGAAGACAGATCCGTGATAAGCTCGTTCAGCTCTACGAAAGGCTCGGCCTGCTGCTGCACCGACAGAAAGTCGATGTAGCTCGACACCCTCGAGGGGTTCGTCTCGATCTGCAACGCCTGTCTCAGGAACTGCGCCACGACTGGCTTGATCAGAGAGAAGTGAGCGAACCGGCACACGAACCGAGTCAGCCACTGAGTGTCTTCGCCCTCGCGGGCTGCTTCGAGGTCTTCCGGGGGCGCAAGGATCAGCCCGAGGCCTCTGCTGGCCTGCGCGCGGTTGGGGGCGTGGTCGGAGGTCAGCCGCCTGAAGAGATACTCCAGAACCTCGCACGCCATCTGGGTGTCGTTGCCGTTGACGACGGTGCGCAGGTGGGCGAGAAGTTGGCCGTGTTTCGTTAGCTTTTCTGCAGGAGCTGTTGATAGCAGGTACTCGCAGAGGCACTGCACCGGCAGGTGGGCCAGCACTCCTGAAAATGAGATATACGTGTTACTGAATCAACATGTCAAAACATTGAAATTAGTTGAAAGGAGAGGGAGGGAGGAGAAAGAGAAGAGGGAGGGAGGAGAAAGGGAAGAAGGAGGGAGGAGAAAGGGAAGAGGGAGGGAGGAGAAAGGAAAGAGGGAGGGAGGAGAAAGGGAAGAGGGAGGGAGGAGAAAGGGAAGAGGGAGGGAGGAGATAGGGAAGATGGAAGGAGGAGAAAGGGAAGAGGGAGGGAGAGAGGTCATAAACTATCATAGTGGAGAGTGAAAAAAAAAAATATTTCCATATATATTTACGTCACATGACACTTATGTTGCTTATTTGAGAAACCATGAAAAAAACAATACTATAGTAGTGCATTGTATTGTTGATCTGAGTCCATTGCTCACCTTCAGAACTGTGGACTAGCTCGGCCAACCAAGGCATGTGCGCCGTATTCCCTTGCCGAGACATGATATCCAAAAGGAAATCAGGACTCCGCGACCGACACAGCAAATGCCCGAGCCTGTGCGAATTGTTGAGCGCCTGCAGCTGGTCCAAAACAGACTGCGGGGGTCTCCTAGCTTCGCTCTGCGGCCTGAGTTCCATGCATTGCGGCAGCAGCAAGCTGGTCTGCTCGTTTATTTCCATTTTCGTGCTAGCGGCCGCAAGGTGCGACTCGAATTCCAGAATCGTCTGCTTTTCCAGGACGAGGATCTGCTGCTCCTTGGTCTGGTAATCTTCTTCCAGAGTGGTCATCGTAGGTGGAGGGAAAGAAAAGTAACTGAAATCAATGAAAAGTGCTACTGTTGAAGAAAAAAACTACTTCCAGCATATGGTCATATTTCATGTTTCATACTAAGCAAGTCCTCGAGACTCACCACTTACTTGGTAATGCACATCTCCATGAACATCCTCAACGTTGGGTATTTGCTCCAGGCTATATTTCCGAAGCCATGCGGATTATGGGCTGCCAGGATAAGCAGCATCAGCCACACCTTCCAGTAGAGGTTGGTGATGGCCAACTTGGGAGGTACGTAACCTGGCGGCAGCGTGAAGTTCTCGTGGTAATTGTAACTGCACAGATTGAAGAAAAAGTCGATGATCTCGGTCTTGTCGACGACGAGGGGCGGATCGCAATCGGGCGAGAGGTTGGCCACGCGTTTGATCAGCTGGTCCGTTATGTCTATCACTTCTTGAGCTGAGACGGGGTGCTCCTTTGATATGCCGATCAGGAGGATTCGCAAGAGGGTGGTCTGCAGCAGAGGCACCTCGCTAGCCAGCCGCAGAAAGAGGTTGCGTTCGTTTTCTCCCGGCCAAGAGTCTACCTAAAAATATCATACTCATATTGTCACATTTTCACAGAAACTAACTTTTTTTTACGGTTGCATGTGTGACTCTTGGACCTCCGATATTCTTTTTCAAACTGAAATATTTTACTCACCTTGCAGTACTGCTCGGCTTGTTCGAGGAAGAGCACCTTGTGTAGGGCGTGCCCGAATTCGGCGACGCCCGGCCGGAAGACGCGCAGCGCCGAGTCGTGCAGCCACGTGACGCACTCTCTCTGCACGTTGCTCACTTGCGCCTGGAAGGCCCTCAGCACGGCGGCGTCGCGCTTGCCCTGCGTCGCGGCGTCCCTCACCGCCGGACTCACGCACAGCAGCATGCACATGCACCCGAGGTCGGCGAGGCTGGCGAAGACGCGGTCGCGGAACTCGTGCGTCGCGACGCCTGCCGCGAATTCCTTCCGTTCGCGCAGCAGAGCGTGCGCGACGCTCGCCAGGTTCAATTCGTGGCGCAGCACGCGGTTGATTTCCTTGAGGAGGGCGCGCAGGGGGCGCAGGTAGTCGTCTTTGTTCATACATTATTGCTTTATCTATTCGCGGGCAGATGGCGCTGTACGAAAATATTAGAAATTAGAAATAGATTCATTTGAAATAGATATCTTAATATACATAAATATTATACAAATATATCAGTTATTAAACAGAATTACAAAAAAACTGAAATATATAAGACCCTATATAATGGAATATATTGGGTAAAACATAGCAGTAGTAGATGATGAAGAGATTAATAGAATGATGAACAACTCAATTGGAATAGTAGTGTGCCCGTAGATATTGAGATAAGGAGCGTTTGAGAGTTGAAGGGTGTTACTTTGTTTAATTTCATTAGGAAGCTTGTTATAGTCCAAGAGTCCTCTGTGAAAAATAGAATTCATTGTTCTTGCAAGGTTAGTTCGTGGGACAACCAAGTCATCTCTTCCTCTTGTATCGTATTTGTGTATCTGATGGTTATATGTAATAAACTCATTGAAGTAATGTGGTGCTTTTCCAGTGAGTATTTTGAATATGAATATCATAGAAAAATATTGTAATCTATCTTTTACTGTCATCCAATTCAGAATATTAATCATTGATAATATAGGAGTATATTTATGGCAGGTAAATATATTTTTAAATCATCTGCAAAAAATAACTTATTACAATCGACATAATTACTGAGGTCATTAATAAATAATAAGAACAGAAGTGGTCCGAGATTCGACCCCTGAGGTACTTCTGATGAAGATACATAAACTGATTCCAACATACTTGGGTAAGTTTGTTATAACTGTCAACCGAATTCATACATATAATACTAGAGGCCTGAATCATTTATATGTAACCAGCAGAGTACCTCATAGTTAATCTTTATCGGCATCATGGTTTCGAGTCAATTGGAGTCAAGTCTGGATGGTGAGGAGATCTGGAAGGCCATGTTGTGTTGATATTTCATTTATTTCGAAGGTTTCAAATGTTAATCTATTGAGTTTAACAATATTATATAAATCAGACTTTAACTTACTAGGATTGAAGTCAATATTTATAGACCTTGGTCTGAGATTTCAAATCAACATTGGAATTGTTTTCAACATTGTCATTATATGAAGATATTAGTTTTAGATGATAGATAGATAGATAGATAGATGCAAATAAATGCAGGGTGTTTTGAGGTAGTAGTTATCTGTATAAATTTCATGTCCTTCACGATATTTAAGTTAATTTATGCATGTTACTTTTGTCATCTACTTACATGTTTTATGTATAATAAATGAGTTGTATTTTAGACAATCGAGGAAGATATGATCGTAAGACTATTGAATTAAAATTTATGGTGCCATCCTTTGGGGTATTAGTTATTTAGGTTGGTATGGGTAGACCTGCATATGTCATGTTGTGATAAGTCAAATATTGTCAGAAACTTCCATCTTTCATCACTTTTTATACTTCATGTTATGGTGTGTGAACGTGTTGGAAATTTACATGTCAAGAAATTTTAAACCGATAGTAATGAAAGAGTTTTTTCATCTTCAATTTGTTAGGACTTGTTGAATCTAGAAAAAGCTGAATACACAAAAACCACCCGAATGGATGAACAGGTAGATGACAGATATTGAATTTATTTTTCGTTTATGATCGAGGATCTGCTCTGACACTCACACTACTAATTGTTTTGAAGAGGTTGGCGATTCATTTTAAAAAATAACCCCACAATATGAAATTGATATTTCAATAATTTTTATCGATATTACTGGTATTGACTTTTGGATTCATGGGTGTTTTCAACGACATGAAATTCGATGCTAAGGCAGCAATTGTATGTGTTTCTTACCAGACATATATCAGCAAAGGCTTCCGCACTGGCATCTGGAGCTACCTGGAACAGGGCCCCCACTACAATCAAATTGTTGGTGTTCCTGGTGTTACTCAGTTCATTGTAAATTGTGTACTTCATCAGAGGGTACAAATTCTCGGGAAAAGAAAAAACCATCTCCCTCAAGCAGTTGTTGAAATAATTAACCATCGGTTTGTTCTTCAGGCGCAGTTTACTCAGTTGCGCTATAACCTCCACGTCTCTCTGTGAAACCGTCGAACAGTTGAAACACAGGTATGCCAGCAGTTCTTGAGCCGGTTTCATCAGCTTGTGGTTGTGCAACCACGTTTCTATTCGGGAAACCGCTATGATACGGATTTCCACCAGCCCACAGGCAGTGCTGAGAAACCGGACAAAGTTCTTTGTGATCGTTTCAGGCTGTTGCCGCCTAGCCAGTTGTTCCTTTATGGCTTCCAGTACGATTTGCTCCACTTTCTCTTGCGCTTGAGTGAAGCGAGGATAAACCTTTGAATGCCAAGTATCTACGATTGCTCTCTGTTCACTGAAAACTATCAAAAAATATATTCAAGTTCATTGCTAGATAAAAAACGTTGCGTTACCTTCATCTTCGTCAATACTGTTTATCGTCAAAGGACTAGATGTGTCTCTAGTGGCGGATGTCCAAGTTTCTGATTTCAACAACGACGAGGGGGGAATTTTGGTGTTGAATGCGGTCACTATGTTGTCTACAAAAGGTTTGCAAAAAGGACTGTCCACAAAAACTCTGTCCCCGACGGCGTCTTCCACATAAAGCTGAAAGTGAATTGTATCAAGCGAGGACTATACTCCTTAACAACGTTAATTTTACCTTGACGAACATTTCTGGCCAATTATTAACTTCAGAATACGCATGTGCCAACAGATTCAGAAATATCTGGTGGACGTAGGGATTGCTTTTATTTATCGCTTTCAGACCAGCATTAACGTCCCTCCTCAAGACACTCAGTATAGCGTTCACAACGAATTCGTTAGTGTACAAAGAGGGCTTGCAAGTGCCTACAAGGAAAAACACTGTGTACGCCACCTTGCAGGGTTTCGACCTTTGATTCTTTAGGTTCTTTATCAAAGCCAATATATAACCAACCTGAAACAATGAATTCATTTATTTATAAACGGGATAAATCCAATTTTGACACTGATATATGAAGAATAATTATAAGTATTCTCAAGACTAATTATTTGAAAAAACATGTTCCGAAGAAGAAGCACCAAATGCTCATATTTTTTCACTTTATTGGCCTGAGATTTTCTTATTGAAAGTCTCACATTGAAGTGTGTTTTTTGAAGATGTGATCATTTAGTTTATTTGACATCTGTACCACTTTTAAAACCAGTTTGATATGCTTAATAGTTGGATCTCTTTCACCATTATTTATTCTTGTCCATTATTATGTAAAATCAACTAACTAATAGCAGTTCACTCACAGCTTTCTCTGTATTATCGTTAGAAATCTGAGCGCCAACATTTTCAAACATATCACCAATATCACAGTCTATCACCATCGACTCCCAAGGTTCCACACCTGCTGATCCACCTCCCAAACGATCCAAAGACAACAAGCTGGATCCGGCAGCCCCTGATATACCTGGACGTGTTCCCGGAAGGTTTCCTTTCAGTTTCTTCGCTGGATTGACAGGGGTCAGGCTTGAAGATGTGGCCTCCCTTTTGAGTTTATCCACTGGAGCTACAATGAAAACCAAAATAAATGTTACTGTGAAACATTTCACACATTTATAACATACCTTTACTTGAGCTCGACGAGATATGGGAACTCCCAGAAACTTTTGGGAGAGGCCCAGACCTCTTAGTGTCATCTCGTGGAGTAGACTGTTTAGCACCAAGGGCTATGAACGAATCAGGCAGTTGCTGGGTAATTTTTGCTTTGGGGCCCCTTGTTCCCGTACCGGATTTATTTCTTTCCATAATGTTTGTTTGGATATGTAACGCAGGTAATTTGATAACTAGTCGCACCGATTAATATATCCTCAAATTTAAAGGAAAGATTCCTATTCTTTTGCCTTAGAATACTGAAAATCTGAAATATATTACAACACTGTTGAGTGTTGATACCTAATACAGATACCAGATACCTCGTATCTTATAGTTTGTTATGACATTTAAGCATGGATTCACAATTGATAATTCGGTCTTTAGAAAAAGAGCATTTGCATTCGAATATTAGAAAAGGATGGAATACTTCAAGTCTGTTTTTTTTTCACTCCTTTTTTGTTCCGGATCACCCCGAGTGAGAAAACATAAACGTAGTTAACTTCCGCGATTCCAATGTAAATCGGTACTTTCACACAGGCACCGCTCTTAGGGCACCTTAAGGATTTTCTTGTAGTGCTTGTGTTTTGCCTTAAAAAAAAGTAGCAGTGAAGAAACTTTTAGTGGAAAAATCCTATTATAATCGTGAAGAATACTTCGAGGATTTTTTCTGATACATTCCTATTTTAATATGTTGATTTTGTTATTATGATTTTTATACATTTTTAGACATACATAGAATTATTCGTTATCGTATTGCTTTTTACTTCATTTGACATTGTATACTTATTGTATCGCTTATGTTTGCAATCATGATTTATTTCTTTTACAAAGATAGCAAATACCAAAATAAAGAGAGAGAGAGATAGCTTTTACCATAATTTTTTGTCCATGAATTTTAACCATCGACATAACCTTAATTTTAGGTTATGTCGGTGATTTTAACTCACTGAAAATCCAACTTCACACACTTTATGACGTTTATGTCATGTGTCAAATTTGACATCTCACTTTGTAAAAAATTTGTAAAATTGATTTTTAATTTTCAGAGTACCCAATGCCCGCTCGATGATTTATTTAATCGATTCTCTGTATTCGATTGGAATACCTCATCGCTATTGAAAACGTCATTAATATACGTATGAACGAGTTAGAAATCTAGCAGAAGTTAACACATAATTTCAATCTCTACAGGAAAATCCTTCAATCTCTTAAATCAAATATGGCCCCATCCAAAGTTATATTATTGGCCTGCGGATCATTTAATCCCCCAACAAACATGCACTTGAGGATGTTTGGTAATTGGTGCATTATACATGTATTCAGAGTAGTTTGTATAATAAATTGCGTTTTCAGAAATTGCTCGAGATCATCTGCATCGAATGGGCACATACGTAGTTGTCGGAGGAATCATATCTCCAGTTCACGACGCTTATGGCAAAAAAGAGTTGGAGTCTTCGACTCACAGGCTGGGTATGGTTCGAGCTGCTTTGCAGAACCACGACTGGGTGAAATTGTCCGATTGGGAATCAAAACAAGAAACTTGGACCCGGACCAAGCACGTTCTGCAGCATCACCAGGTACTTATAGAAAGATGAAGGTCCATTTGTTTGATGTCTTTCATTTCAGAATCAGCTGAATGCAGTACTTAATCAAACCAGTTTTACAAACAATTATAATATGAACGAAGCTGACGAAGATTGGATACCGGAAAATGTGAAAAATGGAAATAATGATCCGGTTAAAATAAAACTGTTATGCGGGGCAGATTTGCTAGAATCTTTTGCAGTGCCTGGATTGTGGGCAGATGAAGACGTAAGTCTCTCCTTGCTAAAGTACAAGCTTTCTCATACTCCTATTTGAATCTGAAGGCATGGATTGCACAGCACACATTAAAATCAAGTAAAGGAAGTATTTTTTTCAGATTTCAGAGATAGTTGGACAATACGGACTGGTAGTTATAACAAGATCCAACACAAACCCTGTAGAGTTCATCTACAATTCTGATGTGCTCACAAAATACATGGTGAGGAAGTGACTGCGAGCAGTTGATGCGTCTACTGACGAATCTTATTTTTTAGGCTAACATAATCATTGTGACGGAGTGGATAAGAAATGAAGTTAGCTCCACAAAAATCCGGACAGCTCTCCGCAGGTCAGAATCAGTTAGGTACCTCCTTCCCGGCAAAGTCATAAACTACATTCACAAGTTCCATCTCTTCGGATCAGAAAAGACGTAAGTTACATTATATGTTTCTTTCATTATTAATAAATAACCTTGTTTTTTGTTGCCTTCCTTGGAGAACAGTAAGTACCTACTTCCTCCAAACAACAACTTGCCTCTCCTCACTCCGTCTCCGACAGACATCACTATGGGGTCTCCCAGTCCCACTAATTGTATGTATATCTGCAATAACAATCTCTTTTCGAGACGTGAGCCTTCTCCAGATATCACGAAGGCTAATTTATTGAACAGCTTGAAACACCCCGGCCAGGCAGTGAAAATAATCACAGAGAGCTCCGGGGAACACAAAATTATAAGAGACGACGGCAGGGACCCAGAGGTAGGTAATAGTGAGGATGATTCGCTGAAAACATCGAAAAGCTATCCGCATTTTGATGAAATCGATGCGGTAAGCAACACCACTTGCAACTCTACCAAAACTAACTTGAAAGAGTGTAAGAGTTGTGACGAAAACCTCATCAAGTTCATTTTCACCAAGCACGGCATTCAGGTTATCAGTGACGTTGAGACGATTGTTTGATGGGCGGTTTTTGGAAATCGATGTAAAGCTTGTTTTCGCCTCTGATTTATTGCCATTCTTCCATCAGTGACTTTTGAATCAGTGGCCAAATTTTCTCCAGAACTGTACTGAGCACTGTAATTCCTATTTATCTAGGCATAGTGACGATATTTTCCAATAATAATATTTTTTTATTATGATTATTATTAAGATTTCCACCTGAATTGTAGATAGCGTTATTAGTCAATTTACAACATAGCCATTTATTGCTGTGGTTGGAATTTCAACACTGCATACTTCTTGTGAATCGTTTATATCGATGGTTACATTAGCTATACAGGGTGTTTGAATTATAAGTAATTGACTTGATTAAACTAAACCCGAACTCATCATAATGTGTTTTAACCTGCTAAAAATCTTCAAAGTAATAGCTATTGGCTGATGTGGGATGGATTAATCGCAGCCTGCATTTTACCTGTATTGTGCTGAACTTTACTGCTTAGTTTCATAGTGAAAGTTGAGAAATGGAATATTATCACTGTGTATATGTGGAAATGCATGTTGAAACCTGTCAATTCCCAACACTGTGCCTGTATGTGTACAACTATTTAGTTTAAATAGACAATAGTTTATTTTGCATGTTGAAATTTTTGATGCCCTTGATATTGTGCCTGCTAAAAGTAATTGGCTAATTAATCGATTAATATACATGAAAGGAAATGTCATAAATCTTATTTTTTCACAGCAAACTGCAAAAATTTCTTGAGAGCAAGTTTTGTACATGTTGATTCATTCTTTGGGTGCTGATAAGGCATATTTCGGGACTTTATTTATTTATATATCTAACGGGTAGCACCCAAAGTACAAAAACCTTTTTAAAAAGTGTACAGAAGTACTTATGTGAACTTAATACATATGAATAATAACGAGTTCTTGTGGGATCAACATTAGAGAACTCTTTTACGTTCTTGCACACAAAGTTTAGCATTTTTGTCGCCCTTTTGACAACCTGTTCATAGCGGAAATGGAAATCAACCTTTGTGGCAAAAAGAACACCAAGATCCCGAATGATGTTTGTCCTTGTGAGAAGTTTGCCACCAGTGTTATAACCAAATATGTTCAAGTGATCGATAAAAGACAGCATTCACATTCAGCTTCGCGTAGTTTTCAGGGCACTGTTTGGCAATACAGGTGAGATCCTTTTGAACATTCCCAGTATTGTTTGTTGATGACACGGTGAATGATTTTAAGATCATTTGCAAACAGCGAAAACTTTGAATATTTGATTATTCCTTCAGTATCATTGATGAAGATATTGAACAAGAAGGGGCCTAGGTGGCTTCCTTGTGGCACTGGCTTGATTCGATTGACTCACCATTTCTGAATCTGCATATTGTACATGAAAAATAATTTGGATTTCTCAACAATGAATATTAAAGCAACTTCTGTTTGTTTTGTGTCATCATTTTTTGGTAGATTTGTGTCTTTACAAGAATTTGCAGTTTTGATGTTGAAAAATATGATTTTATTTACCTTTGAATAATTTTTGGCAGGTTTTCATGAACTCTATCGAATTTTTTGTCTAGCATGTTTGTTTCTCTGTTTCAGGCATCTCTAGTTCGCCCTGCATGTCTGTAGTTGGTCCTGTTGTCGTTTTAGGGCTGTCGCAGACCCTTTCATGGCGATAAATCTCTGTAGCTTTTAGTAGTAATGAGCTCAAGAACTAATAATTACTCTAGAATATTTTTAGAAACGGCTCTCAAGAGATTTATTGCGAGTGATATAAATACATTACCAAAATACTTGTGAATTTCTGTTGACTTTGTTAAAATTGTTTTGTTTTTTGGAGTACTTATATTTTACGAATTTGTTATACATAAGGAGCAACTTTGTATTTTATAGGAAAATGTAATAAAAGTGCTGTGAACTGATAAAAATTTTTTATTCATTTCGTGAAACAGTAATAAAAGGTTTCACTGTTCAAATTAATAAAAATGTCCTACATTTGTATAACCATTAAAAAATAATTCGAGAGTTTAAAGTGTGTGTACTATTTAAAAGGGATTTACTAAAATAATCAAGTTAATAATATCCTATAATCAATAGCTTTGAAATCACCTCGTACATATGGCCTGTGAAGTAATTTCAATGGTTTATTGGCACCAAGGGAAGAATTATACTAAAAGTTTCAAATTATTGCACAACACCAAGACATACACGAAAAAATATTAATTTCACGCCATTGCACAACATGTACAAGACGAATGCAATCGAGATAAAACAATTGGTTTTCCAGGAAAACATTTCCAGATAAAATTATACTCTTATGAATTTGGAGAGACTACTTTTTGCCTCAGCCTTTCTGGTCCCCCTTTTTTGTAGAGCAATCACACCACGGCGTAGCGGTTCGATTACAATGTAAACGTATATTTATTATCAACAAAGGTGCCCCATCGATTTCCATGTTTTTACGGCTGACAACGTCAAATTTGACATCGTGCAGGCCAGTGTGTCTGTCTCTCCGTCTAGTCACTTCACGCTGATTGAAGCATTTCGTAGAATCCCGCTTCCTTTCTTTTCCATGAATGTGCCTAGAACCATTTACACAATATACGAAAACAGAATGATAGAGATAGGTATTTCTGCGTTACCTGAAAGTGTCGTTGACCCCAGAGGTGATATTTTCAGGTCTAGTAACGTTGAGACGAGCGTCCTTCAAACGAACATAAAATTCATCGTCTTCCAAACCCCATCCCCAATATCTATTTGATAAGCCATTCACCAATTCCAATTGCTTACTAGAAGAGTAGTAACACCATAGGTTATTTTTCATCTCATCGTCAGATAAACAATATAATTGAAACCCTTCTAATCTAAATCTTTTAATAAACATAACAATGGCCCAAAATGTCTTCAGTGCCATACAGTACCTGTTAATCAGTAAAATCCCTCCGATGAACTTCTCATAGTGGTACTTTGGGTGCAAATTCGGGGCTGCCAAATGAAGAGGCTGCTCTGGATAAGTGTAGCGTAAGTTCGGGTTCAGAGGCAGCAAGTCCACGTCGTGCATGGCCACATAATCGTAGTCATTTTTGACTTGCAGGAATCCGGCATTGATGAGTGAGGCTCTATTGAATCTGAACTGGTCCACTTGGTTTAGAATGAAAATGTCGTGATCGACGTTCTGACTGTCAAGAAAACGATTCATATACGGTGCAAACTCCAAGAGTTCTTCGAATCGCTCTCTGTAAGGAACTAATACTGCGAGTTTGTGCTTATTACTTATCAATTTTTTTCTATTTTGTGGTACAAGTTCGTATTTCACCTTGGCCGTTGAACAATTGCATTGATCTGAAACAACGTTTCGGATGAGGTTGTCTGATAGAGTTTCCGTTAGAGTCTAACCATTTGATAATGAAATAAAGCTTACTACTACGGATATAAGGAATATCACAGAAACTATTACAGTAAGGAGAATAGTATAAGTTAGAGGCGCGGTTTTCACACGCATTGTCATTTTATTCGCACTCGGCTCATTTCAGCCATCGTAATATGAAATTATTTTATTTCTATAAAAGATTTTTTCCATATCGTCTAGTATAAGTAAAAATATTTTCAAAACATTTTCTTGATCTTTCCTCTTTCCCAACCACCCACAAATGTTAAAAACTCAAATCACAATTCTTCTTCGTTTTTATGGTTTCACATTACCGTTGAGTGGTCAGTTCTGAAAAATATCCTTGTGGTACCTAAGTTCAATAATGTAAGGATTGCTCAATTCTATTTCAATTCACTACGGTGTGCAACGTATTTACAGTGATAAAGTATTGTTTTCAAATCCAACATCTTGGTTGTGATGAGTAAACTTGGTTCATTTTTTCAAGTTATATGATTAACAACTTTTGGTGCGCACGTCATATAATTGATTTTCAAGCACATTTGTGATACCTGGAATCGCAACTTGGCAATTTCAATAGCAAACCTAATTTTTTGATAATTGAACTAAAGCTCATATTACTCGCTAATAACGAAACTTTCTATAAACTTGGGCAGGGAGTTTTTAAATTTATCTATTTCAAACAAACGAGAACATATTTATCATGTGATATTTAATTCAATTCACATTCCTCTTTATACTCTATTCAATTTGAAATCAGGACACGAAGAACAGTTTTTATTTATGAATACAGTTTTTTTATACAAAGGCAAAATTTCTGATTACAAACTATGACACATTCCACAATCATTTTGAAGGATGGAACTGAAACTTCTAGCGCAATATAAATTCAAAACAAACACTAGGCACATAGCGAATTTGAATACTCTTCTCGACTCTCATTTCACCAATCAAATTAGTGTCATCAGGAGAATAACTATGCTATATACTTGTGATGCACTGTTTGGAACCTTTGATGTAATAATGAATATTACTGGAGTTTTTTCCCAACACCAAACCGTTATTTTAACACCTCGACACGTGTTTCGAACACCAAGTGATCATCTTTAAGAGGAAGATCAAACTCTATTTAGTTCATTAAATGCATACTTAATGGTCAAAACATTTTTGATGATGTCATGACATATTTACTTTTCAAAATTGAAACAGGGAATCTGAGAGAATGAGCAATCCTTTCATTGCATTAGTACTTGGTTCAAACCGTGGAAAACACGAAATAAACCTAATGCGTCACATATTTTCATACGATTGCACCATTCTGCGCAAACGTATGTTTGGTTTGGACCTATTTAAAGCCCACTTTTGACAGTTGAACCCAAGTTGATCACCTCCTGTTCAACTGAAAACATGTTATTGAGTTCTCTAAACGTATTTTATCAAATCGAATGTCAAGTGCCGAGTGTAAGTGTGGAAAATACTTTAAGAAACAGTTTACCGTCTTGATCAAGTGCTAAATTAGTTGTTTTATTTAGTGAATTTAAGAAAAGTTGATTTAATTTCTGTGACCATGCCGAGAGGAAATCGAAATGGAAGGTCTGGTAAGTGTGGAAATTGCCGTCATGCGAAATTAGGCCTTAGGTGTATGTTGCATAAGGTTGTGTGTTTGATGTATCAATTTCTTACGTCAAATGTCCAAGGCTTTTTGTTGTGGCATATGGAAAATCCATATTTAACTGAAAATGATATTAAGTCTAGGGGAAATCAAAGGAATGTTGGCCTTTCCACTTTGTGGTTTATTAGGGGGATGCCAGTTACCAGTGCTGTCACAATATTGGCAAACTTGCAAAAATTCCTGTAACATTTTATTCAGTGAAAGAAAAATCTATTTTTTTGCCACTTGAATAATTTTTTGTAGTTACTTGATAGTTTTTTATGGAATTAGTGGACTGCCAGTACTTTGTTAGTGATGGCAGTCGTCAACAATCAAAATATTTTAAAGCAAAAATAATTAAAACCTTCAGGCTTGATGGTTTTCACTACTGATTTTCTAGAAAATTCTAATTTCAACATTAGGCAGTCGCACATAACATAACCCCATTGAATCTCGGGAAAAATGATGTGTGTTTTCTTTATGCTATTTCCAGATCTAGAGGAGTGTCACAATAACAACCCTTATTAGACCTCATTCATAGAGGGCGCCTAGACTTGCAATCAAAACCAATTTCCAATTATATGAAATCTGAACCAGGACAGTTTTCTATATGAAAGGCTGATTTCTTCAAAATATCAACAGTGATTCGTATTCCAAGTTTATCAGTTATTTGTCCATATTGAATTCAACCCACCAAACATACGGTTAACACTATTTTGAAGAAGTGATAGATTCAAGTACTAATAAATCTAGAAAATTCACAATTTCAATAAAACTCGAGGCTTACGAACTTGTTGACTTCTTGTGTGTGGGCTTATAACAATGAAACAGTTTTTTATCGATTTTCTTTCAAGACACCATATGGAATACATTTTCAGCAAGTCTGTAGATGGAAATCACGTGATTCATAGTAATTGCAATAAGATTAACTATTTTTTGTGAATTTACATCATGGGAGGGGTTAGAAAATTAGTGCAAGAGAAGTGACAAATTCAGCATAATTTGGAATTACTTACAAATCCTACATATACATATAAAATTCTAGGAAAATAATAATCATGTTTGTGATTAAAGCACACAGATAATTAATATACTTTTTTCAACTTTAATTTTAGTCAAATGTCAATGTCAAATTACTTGCATAAGTGACGTTGCCAAATTAACTGTAAGATCTTAATTTCTAATGAAAAGTTAGTGTCAAATTCAAAGAGGTTATCTAGTTTTTAACTTGTTTTTCTCATCATTATGATTATATTGTAGTTTTGTATTCCCCAAAACAAATCCTAACTTTCATATTTGGCAAAGCAGACCCATGGTTAGCTTGGAATCATTTGACTCAAAATAATATTCAGTTATCGAATAGTAATTTTTAGTGTTTTTTATTGACACGTTAAAAGGTAAGACCTCGTTAATCCTCAGCTCGCACAAGTTTTGACTTTTAAGGGTTGTCGTTCGTAAGGGTGCGACAGCTGGTTAACAGATTTTTTTTAAAAGAGATAGGCCTTCCTGGGGATTTTCTCCTTCTGCAATCTACAAAAAATTAAAATTGTAATAGAGAACTTTAAACTGATAACAAAAGTAACTATATAGATATTTATCTCAAATTTTTTTGGAAACCGAAATCTGAGTGTGTCTTCAAAATTGAAAACATCAAATATAATTTGCAGTTTTCCTTTTTTAATTCGTTCCATTCAAAAGTTCTTTTGACATTTGTTGAAAAAGTTTGATAATAAAATGAATCGAAGAGAAAAACTGCAAGTTATACTTGTTTTTTTCAATTCTGAAGACAAATCAGATTTTGGCCAACAAAACGTTAAGATTATACATTTGTATACAGTTTTAATTTTGTTTCAGATTGTTGAAGGTGAAAATCTCCAGAAAGGTCAATATAGAATATCAAGTTGTCTGTATTCCCCTTGCAATTCTAGAAAATATTCTAACCTCAGAAACAAAAGAGATATCAACTTAAGTTGAAACAAAATTCTACAAAAAATTGATAAAGCGTTGAATGTTTTTACTATTTATAACTCTGGCAACGTCGCTTTTCTCATGATCTTGTAAGCTTTTGTTTGTAGTACCTATTTTCTTGGACTATTATCAACAAGTAAATATAGATAATTGACGCGTGTATAGTAGGTATGCACGTTTAGTCTAAATTTATCACTTGAAGATGAATAAATATTTGAAAATTGTATCAGATATTGCTCTTGTCACCGGATCTTTGAAAATATGACGATATTGAGAAGAAGGGAGTTTTACGATTTTCTGAAATAAAACAAAACTTTTGCTTGATAAGGCAAAAAGGCATGTAATAGTTTAGCTGAGTTTTGTGATGGTGCCTTTCAATGTGTAGGTATATTTAATTTTTAACATTCGAGAGATTGAAGGGTGAATTTGTCTGGGGTAAATTGATCATATTAGACTAGTATACTATGTTCCTTATGTATTACAAAAGAAAAATTGTGAATGTAATTGAGGAGGGAATTTTAAAATTACTTTAGATCATGAATCTCTAGTAGTTAAATTCCTCCGAGGTTGAATGCACATGTACATGTATTTGTCAACGTCACTTGTGTACCATAAACATGATAATAATAATATTTATAATTCAGAACGCCGACGTGAATATTCCGGCAGACAGTCTGACGACGAGTCTATCAACGACAATGCCAGCGTCATTAGCAATATCTCAGAGGGCAAAAGCGCTGAAGACAATGAAGAAACCGACTTTCTAGCCCAAGAACAACTAGAAGAGAAATTACTCGAACTCATCGATGGTCTCACACAGAAATCCTCTCAGGGCAGAACGAACTGCTTCCAATCCCTCACCAAAGCTTTCATTAAAAAAAGTATGCCAGCGTTTATCAGAGAAAGGTGAGGATTTGTAAACATTTATGTTTTTTGTTGAAATTTTAGTGAAACGTGTTTCAGGTATTTCACGATTTGTGATGGTATCGAGCGCAGTCTGAAGAAAGGAGGCGGCCCCGAAAAAACAGCCGCAGCCGAACTGGCCACCATCATGACCGTGCAGTTGGGTGGCGAAGATGCCAGCGAAGAAATCTACAAGTTACTCAAGTCCGTGCTGCTCACTACAATCTGTGATAATTCCGCAGCTCCGGCAGTTCGAGCAATGGTAAGGCTTGCTTCCAAAATCCTTGTTGTACTTACTGAGTCCGCTTTGTTTTTCTTTAGTGTTGCACAGCTCTAGGCCAAATCACCTTCCTAGCTATGGCCGACGTAATGGACGCCCTGGTCATCATGCACCAGCTGGAATTGATCTACTCTGCGAGTTACTTAAAAGGTGACGGAAGCATGCCAAACGTCACCGCCGAAACTGGTACCCTCCACGCAGCTGCCATTAGCGCTTGGAGTCTGCTCTTTACCCTGCTATCGCCCGGCAACATAGAAAAAATGATCAACAATTCGAAAACTCTCCCGTAAGTTCATGAATCTTCATATGTATCTGAGGGGCATGTCGAGTGACACAATTTCTTTGTAGGTCTCTGGAAAAGTTATCCGAACTACTGAAATCTCTGCATCTGGACGTGAGAATGGCGGCCGGGGAAGCCTTGGCCATAATATTCGAACTGGGCAGAGAGGAAAGCGAAAATTTCGAGGAAGATTTTGCTGTGGACGTGTTGGCAACACTGAAACAGTTGGCAACGGATTCTCACAAGTACAGAGCCAAGAAGGACAGGAAACTGCAAAAGGCTTCTTTCAGAGACATTCTAAAGTTCATTGAGGTAGGGTTGGCTCGTTGGTGTAAAGCCAGAGCGGTTTGATGAACTTATTTATTTTCAGAGCGACACAGTACCTGAGCTGCAAGTGAGGTTCGAGAGAGAGATGGTTCTCATTGGTTCCTGGGCGAAACGGAAACAGTACGAGTCACTGTGCAATATTTTGGGGCCGAGCATCAACTTGCACCTTGCGGAGAACGAGTTTTTAAGAGACATTTTCGAAATTATTGATGAACCAGTCAGCAACGACTTAGTGACTCATTTTAATTTTCAAATGAACAGGCGTACAAAGGTAAGAGTTGCTCGTTTTGAATTATCACGTCTCGAGACCCAATTCATTTTTCTTTACTTTCAGCGTATGGTTAATACAGCCAACTCCAAAGCCAGGACTTTGTCCAGAGCCAAAAACCGGGATAAACGCGCCATCTTCTGATAAGTACTTTTATGTTGTTAATTTATTTAGCACAATTTTTATTAATGTAGAGAATATACCTAGAAAAATATGTTGTTTATTGAACTGTTGGGATTTTTTAAAATCCTGCTCTCTGTCCAACACTGTATACTACAGTTGTTCAACCTAATTTAATGTTGTAAGTAATGTGTGTACTTTTTGAGAAATAATAGGTTTGCATGGGAATTTTGTTTCTTTAACCCTTTCAAACTCTTTTCCAATTATCAGTTCAAATGAACATTTGAGTGTAAATGCACTTGTAAAAATTTCACTGAACAATTTATAAAACACGAGTTGTGTTTAGTAAGAAACTCGCCAAGTGCGTCTTTTCCGGGATTTTTGACCGTGGTCTGCAGGGTTTCATGCCTGGGGTTTCGTTTACTACTGCGGTAGGCTTTATCAAAGGCGATATGGTAACGGTAACAACGCAACACTTGTTTCGGTATACAAAAGCTTCTTCAAGCGTGTCTATACTAACTGAAATCTATATATTGAATGCTTCATATATATATATAATACAATTTGAAGTATCTGAGTTTCACCTACCCAATTAATGTTAAAAATGTGTACCTGGGTTTGAGAATACATCGATTAACATCAACATAAGAAAAGAAGAGAAAGTGTACAACCTCATTTGAATAAACGTGTAATGAATGAAATTACCTGTGCGTATGTAACAGTTAATTACCAGTTTCCACATTTGCAAAAATATTCAGTAATGGGGAGTTATTATTCAATTCTATTTGATAATCAAGTAAATGACCCGAATTCTCGAACCTATTAACATTCTAAAAGATTGTTTCAAACTTTTCTTTTCTGAATGTAACACTTCATAGTCATGATTGAACTCATGTTCTGTTAAAATAAGTTTGGAAATGTGGAATTTTTATTTCTTTTCAAGAAACTACTATGATTCTCAATTCTTTGGGAAAAAGTTCTCCCTGTTTGGCCAATATAAAGTTTTGGCCAAGAGCCATAAATCAACAACTTGTATACTCCCGATCCATCCGACACTGCAGTTTTGTCTATATTGTTACTAATAAATTTGCCCAAACTATTTGTGCTGTAAGCCACGTCCAAGCGTTCATTTTTAAAAGAGCAAGTGATATTATTGGTGGGTTTACGCAAAATGAACTGAAAATTCCTTAAACAAACATCCACTTTTCAAGCAGTTAAATAACTGTTTCAATGTGAAACTGTGGTCTAGACTTCTTGCCCTCCAGCGCCCTCTGATGGCCTCGCCGATGGTGACCCTCACACAAACGAACTAATCTAATCTTAAGAAACAGGAAGAAAAAACTCAATGACAAGATTGGTAAAAAACTTTGACCCTCCATATTCAAAATATTTGGACGAAAACACACCAGTACTACATATATATCATCTCTTATTAACGGGGATGTCATACAAGATCGAAAATCAATTTCAAACAAACAAACGAAAATCAATTTGTTTTGCTAATTTAATTCCTTTTTTAATGGAACCCAAGGAGTGCCTGAGTAAGAAAAGGGGCTATGCTACATAAATTGTTTATTTGGTTTTAATAGTTCTGGATCCTGTTGCTGCCTGTGAACCATAATACAAACTCCTTGGAAGTGTGCTAGTTCATAATGAATAGTTTATTTTAGTGTACGTTTGACTTAGTCCAATAAAACTTTCATTTTCTGAAAAAGTTGATTTGATGGCATAGCTCCTTCTGTTACCGAGGCACTCAAATGCATTTGTGAGTTTCTTTTTTAATTTTAGGGTTGATTGAATGAAACAACCTGTTATTGTCTTGCTTTATAATTTTAGTAATGATGGCAATGAATACATGGTCAATCCCTAGAATTTTAAGTACAATTACGAGTATTCCAAGTATTTAAAAACCGATACATTAATATTCTCCTTCAGTGTGCCAACTCCAAAGCGAGGTCTTTGGCAGAGCCATAACTATAAATATTGCTAAATGGAAATACTTCAGATTGCGCCCCATACTTATCTATCTACGGTGTTTCGACTGTTCTCCACAGCCGTTAAATTCAATTACACTAGTTACTGTGTGTGCATTCCAAAAATAGATTTTCTGTGGGAAATGTTTTTCCTCTAACCCCACATCCACAAGACAAGGCAGTGACTAAACTTGTAACATGTAAATAAAATATAGTCAAAACAAAACTTAACAAAACTTGAGGAATGTCAGGAGATCTATCTATAAGTATAAACGAGTATAAATAAATGTGTACAGGGCTCCCATGAAATGACTTTCGAAGCAACTATAACCTAGCTTTTTGGCAGATGACAACAGCCGGGTTTTAATCCTACTTTGGTTTCTTTGCGGTACACACACTGTCGCTTTATAAGAAAGACATTTCAGGTTAGCCCAATGATAAATATTGCAAAAAATGTACAGAGTATTATTCCAATTGAACAATAAAACTAATGAATAATAGTAACAACATTAAAATCTGAGTTTAAGAACAATAACTGTAGCAAATTCAGATATTTGCCTACAAATATAAACAATTATTATACATTAAAAATATTTTCCTATTAACCTTTACAAATTAAAGAGGATTTTCAGGAACAGTAACTTTATGGTCAGAAATCTGACTTTGGTTTGGAATTTTGAGTTTGAACTGTACCCAAGATATTTTTCAGGTGTGTCGACTACTATCTGCAAGTTTTTGCGTCACAAGTTTCGTCTACAACTGAGATGTGTTATTTATTCTTCTGAAAAAAGTTCTTCTGGTTTGTCCGATATAAAATTTTGGACAAGAACCACAAGTCAACTTGTATACTCCCAATCTATCTGACACTAAAGTTTTGTCTTCATTTTTTTTAATGAACTCACTCAAATCATTATTTATTCTGTAGCCTACGTCCAATTCTTTGCCTTTTAAAAAACGAGCGATATTATTAGTAATAAGTTAGAGTTACATAATGTTCCGTATCATTCTTTAAAACTGGATAGACCTGGTTCAGAGCTTGTTTCTACAATTTTCTAGAAAGACTTGAGTCTGTAATATCCACCTCGTAACCGTTGTTGACAGCAATGTTTTATGAAAAGATGATATTGTATAGAGAAACACCAGTGTGTTCTTTGAATATCAAGTTTCCCACACGTTTTGTTCAAGGAATATTAAGTAGAAAACCAAAAAGCTTCTTTCCAAAAAAACCTAATCTCTCCTTTTTCAATTCGATTTTTTTTTGTTGTAAATGTAACACATCATGGTTCATTTTTATCTATTTGTTAGAAGTATTGATCTAACTTTTTCGACACTGTATAGAAAACTGTTTTTTTATGCAAAAGTACATCGTTTTTTGAAAGTTATCTGTGCCAATTCTTCTCCATTTGCGCACGTTCTGTGAAATTGTTGCCATACATTTTAGAATGATTGTTTTTCACTCCAACTTATTAGATCACATTCTATTTTGTTTCACATATGAATGTAATAAATCTGCCCTAACTTCGTTCAAAGATAGAAGGTACTTTGTTTAATAATGAAGTTAGCTTTTGAATACTTTTTTCTAAACTGTCTTGTCTGTTTAATTGTGAACAGTAGCTAAGTTGATGAAGTATATCAGCTTGAATCGTCAGCTATTGAATATGAACACAAAAAATATTTCCTTTGCAGAGTATCACCCTGTACATGAAAAATCAATAGGAAAACGAATATCAAGTTAATAAGATAATAAAGTGATGGCAAAGCGAAAATAATTACTTGAGATTGGTCCGAACCGCAGCACTTTGCTGATTCAACTCGTTTGTGACATACTCCCAAGCGTTAACAGTCGCCTGGTAGAAATTTATTTGTTTATTCACAAAATCCAGCAATATCTTCTTCAAGCACTGCTGCTTTTCCAGCTGCCATCGTTGCAGGTCGCTGCGTAACGATTCATTGGCGCATTCAAGGCTGTCCTGATTCGATTCCACCTTTTTTATTAAATGAGGAATGGAAGTGCCAAGCTTTTCCAATTTGTCGTCACAGCTTGATTGTTTCCACAGAGAAAAACCAGCTGCAGATTGGGACGGATTCTGAGATATGGCGACAAGCTGAAAAAAGACAAAAAAAAAAATAGTCGAGTGAAAAAGTATGTCATAAGCAATCACGGATAACAGTATATAAGACAATTATACAACCACATTTCGAATATTGCCCCACTCTTCTATACACAACTGATTTAATATTTCAAATATTGCCCCACTCTTCTATACACAACTGATTTAAATAAAATGAGAACAGTACAGAAACTACAGAATCACGCAATGAGGATTATTTTGAGATGTGACAGGAGTACCCCTATATCTTTATTGTTGAATACTCTAGAATGGTTATCTATAGAAAGTAGGTGTACATATTAAACGATGATATATATTTATAAAATGTTGCACAACCTTCTACCTTCATATTTTGACAAATTTTGATTTTTAATAATTAAATCCACTAGTATAATACTAGAATAAGAAACAATTTGTATGTAAATAATCAAATAAAAACGTTCAACACTGAAACATAAATTTTTAAAGGATTTATCAAGTATAACAGTCTACCTGAAAATGTAAAGCCTTCTACCAGTCTTATTCTGTTTAAAGGATTTTATTAAACCATTCAAAATACCAATGAGGTGATACCAAAAATTATTACGTCTTTTTTTTGAATTTTCATTTATTGTAGGTAGTACTTAATAACAGATATTGGTAGATTTTTTTACTATTGTGTTTATATGTATATTGATGTTATCATTATTATCACTGTTGTATATTATTACCTACCCTATTCGAATAAAGCATTTAATTTCAATCTCCCAACGTTTATGTGTATGTAATTTGATAATAAACAAATAATTATAGATAATAACTCTGAAACTTCACTAGAAAATCGTCTAATGAAAGGGGTCATTTGAACTACTAACAAATCATCATAAATTTTGATACATTTAAACATTTCTTAAGTCTCTTCCAACCAGATTCGGCACAGAAAAAAATACCTTATCTTTCTCCGAATGTCGTTTATTCAACTCATCCATGGACACCTCGTAGGCATATTGGTAAGACTCCCTCTTCCTTATGGTTTCTTGCACGACGTCAATATAAGCTAAAAAATCTTTCACCGGGTTACCAACAGTATTATTATAACTTTGCACTAGGGCATTTTGGGCAGCAGAGCTTCTCTCCATGGCACTGCCGATGTTCCTGAGAGTTTCCGACAGATCTGTTTCAGCCATTGCCCACGTCGTGAAGATTGGGTGGTAACTGTTCAGCTCCGTGATGTATTCCGAACGCTCTTTGTTAATTCGACTAGATATTTTCTCAATAGATGACAGTTTTTCTGAGAGTGTCGTCAAATACACTTTGGTTTTGTCAAACTCGATATGGCGGCTCTTCAAAGCTGAATGAGATGAACTGGAGTGACTCAGTGTTCTCACTCTTTGTTCTACAGGGTGTCTCTGTCTCCTGTGTAGGGTGAAGTCCTGTAAACAAAATAAATAGCCACTGAACGTTTAATGGAAGTGAGTGCTTTAAAGCAATGTCAGGTAAACTTTCATATATTCTTAGTGAAATATCATCCACTCAAGATATTTTTTGCTTTTCATATCTTCATACTTTTATCAGTGCTGTGACGTTTATGCTTTTCAGGTAATTTGAGGAATCTTGTCAGGGTATATAATGCCAATTATCATGTTATAAAAATCTTTAGTATGTCACGGAGTCACAAACTGGTTTCTATTATTTAAATAATTTCAACTTACAGCCTGCTTCAATGTTAAAAACAGTTTGAAGTGCTCATTACAGCTCAGGATTGGGTGAGAAGTTACTCTTGAGATGAACACATTCAAGGCCTTCATTCTCAGGAGTATAAAGTCTTTAGAATACCTATCAAGTTGTCCCATTAAAGAATGTTTTCCTGGCAGGGGCTGAAATAAAACCAACAACTCTAACACTGGTAATAGGTCGCATAAAATGTGCATTTTTACTTACGGGCACTATACAAAAAGGATGGCATTCTACCAACTTCTGTCTCAACCAAAGGAAATCATTGTATCGTCTACGTACAACATATTCGTTATCTGTAAACTCTATCCTGGCTACTTTTGTTGTGATTCTAAAGGTGATGTAGGTTTCTAAAGTTTCTAAATATTTTTCAGGATTATCAATTTTCACACAGAGATCCGAATTCTCGTCCATATTTAACTCCGAGAGGTTTTCTATGTCGTATATTGTGGAAAAGCTTTCTATGCTGGGAGATTGCAACTTGAATCATAAATAAAATATTTAAATTTGACTGATAGGGAGGATTAGGAAAAACAAACTTACTAAAGAGTTATCATAGGTTGAATCACTCAAAACGCTAGGTGGATCCAAATCTTTGTCTTTTATGAAAGAAGATATTTCTTTACTTTCAACGACTACATCTAGAACAGCAGAAGTACTGCTAGCCATTTCATGAACTAATTTGTTTAAATAATGAGGTTAAGTATAAATAAAGAGACGAAATGTCTCTATTGCCGATGACATGGAACATCAGGTCATTCATACACAAAAATATAACCCTGCCCTGTAGAAAACATGATTTCGATGTCATAGAAAAGAGTGTTCTGTGACGAACTAACAAAGTTAGTTCGTTTGTAGCAAATCTCCGCACCGACTGGATTTGACATATAACTAGGGTCTACTTTAAACTAGAGATACAATGCTAGAGCGCATAAATTCAGTTGTCGTTTTTTTTCATTTTAGTCAAGTTCCTAAATTCACCGATTGATCCCCACTGACTGATTCGATCGATTGGTAGCACAATTCTATTGGTAGAAGCAATCTATCAGAAATTTTGTGAATTTGCCTTTTTAAAAATTTTATATTTACTTTTCATAAAAATAGAGAAATATGTTGTTATTGCTTCGAATTGAAGAGCAAATAACGATATCTATTTGTTTGCCAAGACATCTAAAAATATTGAATTATACGATTGTACTACTGGAATACATGGCTATTATGAAAAATTCTAGACCAAAATGTGTAATGCACAATTTGAAAAATACTGCATTTCTTCAATTCTAGGTTTCATCTTTGTATATAGACTAACTATACAAAGGTTTCATTAATATCATTCAAATAATCGGTTAACGACTTTCACAAAGGACGACATCTATCGACTTTCCTTTGAAGTTATATAATAGTGCAAACTGTATTTATTTGATTTTTTTTTATTAGAAATTGTTATGACAAAGTACTGAGATGAAATATTTGATTAATGTCAAGGAACGTGAGAAATTACTCGAATTAAGGAGGTAAGAACACAGCAGGAGACATAAAGGTTTATTCTAAACATTGCAAGATTCTCGGATTTTAGTTTCTAGAGGAAAATTAGCTAGAAATAAATACAATTTCAAATACCTAAAACATATGAACACAGTCACATTATAAAAATAGAATATATATTATAAACATAAAAACCTACATAACAAAACAGATATCAAAACTCTTCTAATTTTAACAATTCCACATCGACATGGCCGATGGTATTTTGCCTGAATTTAAATTGCTTTCGATAACAAATTTTTCGGTTTACCCCTCAAAAAAAGATACTGTGAAAATACTCAATTTGCTTAAAGTATCTAAGCCTACAATAAATAGAACATACATTTTAATGAGTAAATTATAAAATAACGGAATGATCACAAATTGCACAAGAATCGTTGGGGAAGTTAACTAGAAAATGAAAACATGTTCTGCTGCGTAGAGTCGTTTTCAAAATCGCTCCAAGCGTTGTTCAATTCCATGAATATCAGCTTTGCTAAACTCTCATTGTCTGTGCCAGCTTGCTGAAAATACAACGAAAGATCCACAATTGAGACGGTCGAATTAAAGAACGGAATATTCATTTTTTGCCGAACTACAAGTGCTGCCATCTCTGTGTTTTCTACTGAATCATTCGACAGTTATAAGAGGTTATAGAACGTAACTTGCAATGAAGAAAATTATGCTTACTTTGTCAGGGTGAACAGCCAAGCAAGCTCTCCTGTAAGCTTTTTTAACGTCGGAAGCGGAAACGAGTTGATGCATCTCACATTTATTCCACTTTGCTCCATCCCACAAAATAGTATGCATTGAACAAAGTAGAGCACGAATATTGCTCTTCTTCCCTTCCGTCTGTGAAACAAAAGAGATATTAGTCGAGAGAGTATGGATGCGCTTAATAATAATAAGCGTAACCTTTCAATGGTCTGTATCGATTACCGCAAAGCATTGCACGAGCTCATCCTATGTTTGCTCAGATGCCTTGCGGTACCCGACGAAATAGCGAGATTCCTTCAACCACTCTGGCATACTTTCTTCACTATAACTTCTATTCAGGCTAGAATCTAAACAAAGTGAATTTATTTGACATCATTCACTCACCCACTCCATAACTTTCATCTTCTCCGGGTCCATATAAGTAGCCATCTCGTCCTTCCTCATGGCGTTAATGGTCCTTGGCGTGTTGTCCTTCTTACCAGTGAAAGTATATCCCTGCGAGCCGAGCAGGTCCCCAAAAACATCGTCGCTTTTCGGTATAGTTTTCGCCGAGTCGTTCTGCTGGCTCTGGTTCTTGTTCGCTGGCGGTTCGAAGTGCGATCGGCTGTAGTCTGGATTAGTGACAGGGGACTTGGCCTGATGTTTGGGAGTTGCTGCGTTCGAGCCGCCCAAGTGTTGGGGAGTGGTCGGAGGTCCTCTGTTGGGCGTCTGTCCGCCACTTTTCGGAGTGGTGGACGCGGGGGTGTGCGACGGTTTCGGCCCGAAGTTGAGTCCCCCGCCTAAGTTACCTGCAGGAGAGACATTTGTTATGATTTATAATATTTATTCGTCACTGATGATTTACAGTGAATATATGGTGACTGTGTGGGGTTTTTTGGCCGTGGCCTGCCGGTTTCGTCTACCACTGCGGTAGACATCATCGAAGGCAATGAGATAACGGTCTCTGTGCCCGAGTTGGTGCATGGACCGTGGCCAAAAAACAAAGTTAGCTCCGCCAAAAAGGTTCACATTATTTGAAACATTATTATTACCAAATCCTGCAAATGGATCCTCCGGCTTCTTCTGTTCTTGAGCGTTATTCTGCGCAGGCGCAGCACTGAAATTGCTCCACCCACCCAAGACATTATTTCCGTCGCCTCCCCCCAGAGAACCGAACGGGTCGAACATATCCTGAGGCTGGGGCTTTTGCTGTTGGGGCGGGGCGGAAGAGAAAGCGTCGAAATCGTCCCCGTTGGAGTCTGCTCCGAGGCCGCTGAGAAGATCGAAATTCGATCCGGGGGATACTTTGGGGACTTCACGTTCCGTCGGTGGTAACGAATTGAGATTGAGGAGATCGAAGGCTTCTTTGGGAGGCTCTATTACGTCTGGAAGCTGTGGATAACGGGCGAGTTTTAATGAATCCGTTGAAAGAATCTAGTCTAGTCAGAATGGAAACCTTTTAAGAACTTCCAATGTAATGGAAAAGTAATTGTAAATGAAATGTTTTGCTTACAATTTGCTCCGTATCAGATCCACTGTCAGATTCTTTTGCTTCCATAGCCAAATGAACAGGTGGAGCTGGCCTACTTGGACGGCTTGGTCTCTCTGGAGGCTTCTGTTGTTGACTAGGAAGGTTTTTCGAAGGTCTGCTGACTGAGAATTTGTATAAATAATAAATCACCCAGTATATTGCTTCTTTGAGGTTACTAAGTAATATATAATTATCAAAGACATTTCATGTATGATATATTATTGTGTATAAATTTTCATAATAAAAAATAACCAGTAGTTTATTTCACTGTTTTCAACATTTCCCTCGTCCTTTTTTTTTATATTGCTAATTAGTGACTTACCAAAATTATCTACAGTTTCATCCTTCTCAAGCTGGGAAGTAAACATCGTGTCTACAACACGATTAGTTTGATCGGTTTGCCAAGGAGCCGGTTGGGAAGGTTTTCGTTCCACATCCATTACGAAAACATTCACGGAAACGGTAAACTTTTCCTGGTAATGATCATTACCTTCCGCCAACTCGTCTAACTCAGATCTGAAAGATGGAAATTTATTATGCCATAACACTGGAACTGGTGATAAGACCGCGAAGCTGAGCCCAAAAAAAAATAACGAAGAAGAAACCTTTTGGCCTCAGCTACCGGGGCAATACGTCCAAGGGAAAAACTTACTTAATGAACCTTAGACAAGTTTCTTCTTCTGGAATGTATCCAGTATGGAACTGAATCTGACATATTTTGATGCCAGTAGCTTTGCCTTGAGTCATAACTCCTCCAAGTACATTTCTCGCATGGTAGACTACAATGCAGACATCGCCACACACAGTGGCATTCATCGGGAGCAAACACTGAAAAAAATATATACAGCTTAACTTACCAGCTGTCCAATGTTGTTTATAACAGTAATACCTTTCCCTCGGCAATGTTGAACAGTCTCATTCTTTCATAGTCTTGTATAGTGGAGAGGATGCACCGATTCTCAATAAAAACTTCCACATAAGGCCGACAACCATCTCTAAAGGGAAAAATAATTAAAGTTTTCAATGAGTTGGGATCCAAAAGATTCATGAAACTTCAATTTTTGTATTCAGCAATAAATGAAACAAACAAACAAACACGAAAAACACATTGAAATATACCAGGAATATACTGTATCTTACCGAATTTTGGTGAATAATGGCACAGGCTGCATTTGCAAAGAAACCAGCGTTACGGGCTGATAATGTGGGTAGAGAGGCGGATTTCTAACAATGTCTGCTAAATAATAGAGGTACCTAAGCTCTGAGGGCCTCATGTTGGGAGGGCATCTTTTAACAGCAAACATTTGAAGAGCGTCCTCAGGAACTTCAAAAAGGCCTGCATAAATCAGCAGACCGCACACTAGGGTTGCAGATGTCGCTTTGCCATCCTGGAATGTCAAATAACATTTATGAGGACATTTATGTTTAATGATCCCTTTATATATGTATATGATGAAATAGACATTGGAGGTTACCACACTTACCGTGCAATGTATGACCACAGCATTCCTGCTGTCTCCTGCCAAGTTTTGATAAATATCCTCGCACAGCTGATACAGCGAATTCAGCAGGGGCGCTTTGAAGTGCTCCGGATACGCAAAAGAACAATCTACGATCCTGGCTTGCCCGAACTTTGAATGATACGGTTTGTGTGACAGGTTGTACACAGAATATTTGAAGTTCGGATGCCTGGAATCCAAAAACAGTCTTACGTCCTCTATGTGGTTCGTTTTGTAGGTCGACTCGAATCCTTCGGAAGGATACGGCATAACTATTATCCTGGAAGTGATGTAGTTTATGTCCAAGTCCGTGCGGGCCATACTCCTGGAAAATATAAAGAAAATAATTTATAAAACGTTATAAAAGAGGTAGAAGGTCGTCTACTTACTGTTGCATCGAAGCCATGACTTTGGTGCTAGTGTCTTTGAGGTTCTTTAGAAAACTTCCGGCGCCACCTCTGAGTGAGGAAAACAGGCCAGATTGTTTGTTATCCGGGGGTCTCTGTTGGGTTGGTACGACCGGAGGTCTTTGAGGTGGTGGAGCCGGTCTCTGTGGTGGCTGATTCTGAAAAGAAAACCTCCTCAACTCCAACAACTACATTTATATGAACATTGAATTATAAAAAAAACTTTGGAAGGTTGAAATCAATGATTTTGAGAAATGTTACTCAAAAACAATCGAGGTTTCAGCCACGGAAGTAATTTTTTTAATTCAGGAATTTGACAAAGATCGCTCACTTAAAAACTTACCACTTGAGAAGGCCGAGGAAGCTCATTTGTTGGTGGTGCAGGCCTTGGTGGTGGCGCTTTCACCTCATTGTTGTAGTTGCCATCCAAGAGATTCGATTCGGTCTCACCGATTTTTTGTTGCGGGGTAGACAAAATCAGAGGGGATCTAAGATTGTAGCCATTCGATTCAGCCACAGCTGCGATCCTTTCTAGCACTCCAGATATTGTCAATCTCTGATCGGGATTAGCTTGAAAGCACCCTCCTAGAAACCACATTAATGAAAAAGAACTTCTATACCATCAATAATTTGTCCTTCACTCTAGTTAAATATAATAATCATATATTACATATCATTTTAGCAAATTGCGACTAACTTACTGATTATATCGTGAAAACATGAATATCGGGGGTCTGGTGGAATAGTGTAGTTGGCATTCAATATTCTCAGCTTGGCGCTGTCTTCAAACGGATGTTTCATATAGCAGAGAATGTACAAGATACAACCCAGAGCCCAAATATCCACAGGAGTCCCCACATAGTAGTTATTCCAAGTATCGACCATTTCTGGGGCCTTATACATTGGCGTCGTAAACTTGGCAATCTGAAACAGGGAAAAATGAACCCCCGGGCGTTAACAATCGAACAGACGGTAAATACGTTTTCCTCGAGGCAGTTATGTTGATTGGCGGACCACGTTAAATCAGGCCGAAATATCTCCGTAGTGGCGGATCCAAAGTCACACAACTTTATTGTATTTTCACTGCTGATCAACAGATTCTCTATCTTCAAATCTCGGTGCACTACGGGGGGTACTTGAGAGTGCAAGTGAGCAACTGCCTTACAAGTTTGGTAGAAAATTCTTGTGACGGTTTCCGCATCAAATGCATTTGAACGTGCTTCCAAAATATCAACTAAAGATCCTCCTAAAAATCCACGAAACATACATAAAACATAAAATTAATTGCAGATTAATACAACAATAATAACAACTTCATTCATTAGGAACTCTAAAAAAAACAGAACAATAATTATGATGAGAATTTTTTACAATGGGATTTAAATTAAACTAGTGGATACAAATGAAAGAAATATATAATTGAATTTGATTTAATTTAAATGTAGTAGTAGTATTGGTAGTAGTAATAGCAGTGGTAGTAGATAAGAAACGAAACACAGCCACGTATTGATCCATGTGGTACCCCACATATTTTTTTTTTGAACTAATAATCACCCATATAGAGACATAGCTTTAAACTGAATATGAATTAAAGCACCATATTACTAGCTGAACTATATTCCTGTAAAAACCTTCATACTTGTTCCATAAGGTAATTTTTGAAATATATTTCAAAATCAGTCCTATGATTCCATAATAATGACTTTATGCAAAAGATTATCAATATCAATGGTTTCAAAAGCATATTATTGATTTTCATTAATTTATAACTTCGATTTAGATACATTCAATTTAATAGCCATTTCATAGATTTCTAAAATCAGATAGATAGTTCTTCAGCGTGTTGTTATTCTTGATATAGCCTTGTATCTGGCTGAAAATTAACAATTCAAAACTTTTTTCAAAGGGTAGCAGGTTAGTGAGTCTCCAGGCATTGTATACCTTAGGTATTGGAATGCCTGCACTAAATTGCAATTAATGTTCAATTTTTTGGAGTGTTAACAAGCTTGAGAAGTACATGCCCCATTACCTGGACAGAGTTCGGTAACTAATAAAAATTCTGATTGACCATGTTGAGTTTGAGATTTATCTATAAAGGAAGCTGATAAATACTGGATAATGTTCGGATGCCCAGAAATTCTCTTGAGTATGTTGATTTCTCTAATGATGTTGTTTTTAGCCTCTTCATCTGCTGCTAAGAGCCTCTGACAAAGAAAAAAATCATCTATTTGTTATAATATTAACAGCGATTGTTACCTTCAAAGCATAATCTTTTCCAGTGGCTACATCTTGTGCAACAAAAACTACGGCGAAGCCACCTGGAAAAGCAAAATTCGATCGCTAAATTTCCAAAAAATCGATAGAGTAAAAAGTACCTTCAGCTAAAACTTTTTTAATTTTTAATTTAACGTTCGAAATTTCTACAATTTGGCCAACAAATTCATTGTCGCTCTGTCCATTTGCAGGACCACTAAAATATTCAAAAGCCGACTTGAACAATTCACTCATTTTTAATGAGAATTATAACATATTACAAGTTAAAAAACCATTATTTGGAAAACTTATCTACCGAATGACATATAATACTCCCACTACTCGACTGTCAAACTGTCAAGACTGTCACTGTCAATCACCACAGAACCACTATGTATCCTCTGAGGGTTTCCCTAAACCTGCCATTGCGTCAGAACCCCGGCACTGCACTGCCGGATCGTTCGGAAATAAGTCGAATTCAGATATTGTATAACATGAAAGTTTGGGAAAGTGAATTCTGGAAATAAACGTTTCAAATTTGTAACGTAAATTTATGTAAAAATTATATGAAGGTATCCCTCTAGTTAAAGACTTCTAATTATATAAATTATTGTTTTATGCTCTTGTGTTAAAAGAAGTGACATTATGGATAGCCTGCGAAGTAAAGATGTAAAGAGATTACTGTCTACAGACGATTGACGACTATTCTAACTTATAGTAAATTCATAAAAGTGTAAAATTTGGAAAAATAATATAAATTTTTGTTGTCCTTGTACTTTCCCGACAAATTTGAAATATGACAGACACATGACATTCAGGCTTACAGTGACGTTACTGACACACGTCACATTTATTATTGAATCGAATAAAAAAAAACTAGAATTTCAGTCTCTAAACAATATTCATTTTCTTAAATGTATTAATTTAACGAAGAAAAAAATAATATTTCCATAAAATGAACATCTGCTGACCACTAATTATGTCTTCGGAAACCACTAATTTTAAGCCTATTCTGAAGAAACATGGACAAATAATTATCGAAGATGTGCCTGATCTCCTACTGTGCAAACCTCGTTTGATACCTCTCAAGAGTTTAACTTTAGAAAAATTAGAAAGAATGCAACAAGAGGCTCAAAAAGCCCAAGAACAGCTGAAAGAATCTAAAAATCAATAGAGACATCCGTTGTGGATTTCGAAACTAGACATAGTATAGCAAAATGAGTTACGCACCACTCATTTCGAAAATTCTATTTTCGTTCATCCTGTCGTCGACGGTGCTGTATCGGTATGGCAACTGGTTTCGACATAGAATATTCGTAACGTTAATTGTACTTCTAGCATGGTACTGTAGTTTTTTGATAATATTCGCACTACCACTTGATGTGATATCAGTGAGTTTCCATTAAGTATTTCTGGTATACTCTTTCATTATATTCCTAATTTGTTTTAGACCGTCTATCGGCAATGCAATGATGAGAGAAAAGGAAACTCTACTCCTCCAGTATGGAACTCAAATTCAACTGACACCTTGCCTGCAACGTGCGGAACGCCTTGGAGTAATTTACCCGAACAGGTTTTCACAAACTTGTGGCGTACTGTATATTGGAGTACTCAGTTTTTGACATGGTGATTTTTTTTATTTTTTTTTTCATCATTGCTTCAACATTTTTTGTTCCAGGCTTGTCATGCCAATGATGCAGTCGTATATCAAAGCTGGAGATTTCACAGTCAAGGGAAAGTTGAAATCAGCATTGATTGACAATGCAATTTATTATGGTTCATATTTACTAATTTGTGGGGTTTTGCTGATTTATTTGGCACTCAAACCTGGTATTGACATGGACTGGTGAGTAAGGAAGATAATAGCTATATGGTTCAATAAAATTTATTTTCCAAGTACATAAATTACTAGTAGAGGCATGTTATTTTTGCTATATATATTTACGTATTTGATACAAACTTGCCTGTAAGGTGACTAACTGTAAGGTGACAACTGATCAGCCAGAAACACCTGTCTGCAGTTTGCATATTTTTGAAGTGCTTTGTCCATGAATATAGTTTATAAGTGGCCCCTTATTACCACCACCCAATGATGGTAACAACTTGCATTCATTTTAATTTTAGGTCAAATCTTAAAGTGATTGCTTCCTCAGCTAGTAATACATGGGGTTTATTCTTGCTAGTGCTCCTACTAGGATACGCCTTAGTAGAAGTCCCCAGAAGGCATTGGAACAAGTCAAATCATAGTCTCACATTGACGCAGTCCTATTTCAAAGTTGCCAAATTGAGTTCCGATAAATGCGAAGCGGAAGAAACTGTGGACGATGTTTTAGAGGTAGTACATTTGATTTTGTAAGCTCATTTTTCACTCAAATCGGATTTATAGTCTCTGCAGGCTGTTTCAATCTCGGTCAGACCAGGACATCCACTGCACCAGTACTTGGAGACAATTTTACAGAAAGTACCGGCAGAATTGAAGGATAGAATGAACCGCAGGCAACTTCCCGAAGATACACCTGCTGATTTGCCTAGCGAAAAAGCCCTTATAAGATTGCATAAACAAGTGAGAAGTTTGAAATTTTTTCAATAACTTACACCAGACAATGTGTTTGTTATATAATAATAATAACAATACTGTACTATGAACAGTAGAACAGAAAAAAATATAATTTTTTTCTGCTGCAGACCATCAAATCTCTACAGGTTCTGCAAAGAACCGAAACTCAGTGGAACATCATGGTCCAAAAAATATTTGATCTGGAAGATACTTTGAAAAACCAAATATCGAGAGAGAGAAAATTCAAGAGAAGTTTTGAAAGGGAGCGCAATTGGTTCACCAGATACATTTACACGTCTGCCGTCGGTGAGCAAGTCGATCTTTCTGCAGACTAGGTTTGTCTTTATTTTCATTTTCAGAATGGTACTGGAAGTGCTTACTCTACTGTTACACGCAAAAGGCGCTAGCAATTTTTTCTGGGATATTTTCAGTGATTGTCGTTTGGTCAGAAGTGACGTTCTTCAGTGTCCATCCTAGGCTGTCGATATTCGCCATCATCGTTCATAAAAACTATGATTATTTCTCGTTAGAGGTAAATATAATAATAATAATGATATTTATTCCTTTGGTTGAAAAGTACAGTTGAAAGAAAAACAATCCAAAAGTGAATAAATAATTGCATGTAACTGTATTGTAAAAAAGTCAGTCAAAATAAACAACACAATAACACGAACAGTCCAAAAGTATTGATAAACGTCCATATGTAGTAGAAGTATAAACGTAAATAATTGTAGACTATAAAAAAGTCAATTTAACATAAACAACAAACAATTTCTCAAGTATTCAAATTTGCTAAAGTTGAAGATCTCATGTTAGTTGATTAGTGAGTTCTTGAATGGGGTAACTAGTCCTTTAAAGTAGCATTTTTTTCAGCTGACTTTTAAACACATTAATATTCAGAGAATTCTTAAAAGTTATTTGAAGCATATTGTATAATTTACAACCAATGTACTCTACGCTTTTTTCATACAAATAAATTCTATGAGCGTTTGGTAAGATTAGATCTTTAGAACAAGTATTGTGGTTATGTTTTTGAAAAGGGGACTGAAAATTGGATTCATTTTTGTAAACGTATACACTAGCCTCTAGTATATAAGGAACCGTAAGAATCTTTACCTGTTTAAAAGCATCTCTACATGAATCTTGGTACCCTAGCTTAGCTATTATTCTAACAGCATATTTCTGGAGGAGAAATATCCTTTGGACAGAAGCACTCATACCCCAATTGAAAATATGTTGAAATATGTATTTTCCGTTGACCAGCTGTCGCACCCCTAAGAGCGACAACCCTCAGAAGTCGAAACTTGTGTGAGCTAAGGACTAACGAGGTCTTACCTTTTAAACTGTGATTCCTAACAAGAGTATACTACCTACACAGTAGGTTGTGGTAAACGTCCGTCGAGAAACAACTACTTCCCCGACTAATACAACGCTGGATATTGAATTATATTCTACAGACATTTATGCAAGATTCCTCACAGAGGCTAGTCTCGCAGATGTTTCTTCTTCATCCAGCAGCACGACCATGCTGAAATTATTCAAGTAGATCACCTGCAGACCGCGGTTTCCACGTATTACCTCTCTTCAGTACAGGAAAGATCCTACCCAGACAGCAAAGTGTCTGGGACTTGATTAATTTCAAGATGGCTCCGCTACATATATGAAACCTTTATCCAAGAGAAAGATTGTAAACTAGTAACAACTCCATCTCGTGAACAAAGCCCCAAGCGTCAGCATAACTTGTAACGAATGCCGAGTTTGTTTTACTTATGGATTAAATTAGATCATTAGCAAATAAGAAGAAAAAAAAGAGGCCTATATTGGAACCCTCGGGAACTCCCTGCATAATATTACACCTGACCTATAAAGCTTATGTAGTAAAAGCCCGTATTCTGTAGTCTGTTAGTTACATAGAAATCCAACATTTACATTTTTATTCGTATGTATTAGTTGACATTCATTTGGATTTATACATCAGTGCCTTTCCTATTGGCTTTTTGTTATATTTAAAGTTGAATAACGCTTCTAGCTCCTCTCGACAATGGTCATCCTGTACCTGTGTTACTGCGCCTACTCAACCGTTCTCAAAATAAGGCTCCTGAATCTATACTACCTGGCGCCCCATCACCAGACCAACGAATACAGCCTGATCTTTTCGGGGATGATGTTGAGTAGACTGACGCCCCCGCTCTGCTTAAATTTCCTCGGCCTCATCCACATGGACAGCCACGTCATCAAGAGCCGCGTAATGGAAACCTCCTACACGCGAGTGAGTGATCTACGGTGTTCCACAAAGACCAGCTTTGGGTCCGTGTTTGATACGCATGTTTTTTAGGTTATGGGCCATATGGATGTGATCGGCATAATTTCGCACGGGTTCAACATATACTTCCCGATGGCGATCCTGGTGTTTTGTCTCGCCACGTATTTCAGCTTGGGTTCTAGGCTCCTGTCGATGATAGGTTTCCATCAGTTTATCGGGGACGATGAGATGACGTCCGATTTGGTCGAAGAGGGCAGGGAGTTGATTAAAAGAGGTGATTACTCGAATAGTTGTGTTTGTTTTGCTTCAACGAGGCACCTTTGTCCTTGCTTTTGATGTATATGAGCACGAAAGAATGGGACATCGATAAGGTATTAATTTTTTTTATAGAAAAAAAAAGGAGACAAAGAGCAGAGGAAACGTTCAATAGGAGGAGAGAATATCAAGATCGTTATCCGACAACAGGTCGATTCAGACAACAGAAAGACAATATCGACACAGGTAAGTTATCCTGAAAAACTAGTGGAAGTAGTGGGGGAAATTTCAGCCTGCAGTAAACATTCATATATTCTGAAACTACAGTAAATTTGGGAAATCAGTAAAGGAAGAGTTCTATGACGACAGTCTTTTCTAATTTATTTTTAACATTTTCGGATTATTTTTGTGTCTTTCATGTGTAATATTTCTCTTCAGTATCCGTTGTGTTTGGATAAAATTGTTTAATGTATGCCTATATTTGTGCAAATATATCTTTTACTCTCTATTTTAAGCTATTTAGATGTGATTTGTACGTATGCGAGACTTCTTAAAAAATGAGGTGAATTTTCATTTTTCCAAAAAATATATATTTATTCATCAATTTCTATTTTGTCCCCTTCGAAGTAGTCCACATCAGGTGTGACAGACTTGTGCCAGTGCTTTTTCCAATTCCCAAAGCAGATCTGATATGCAAAAGTCGCAGGGGGCTAAATCGGGTGAATACGGTGGCTGAGGAATGATTATGGTGTTGTTTTTGGCCAAGAAATTAAGAACAAGCATTGACAAGTCAGCAGGTGCATGATAGTAATGCAAAAGCCATTAATTTTTTTTCCACGTTACCAGAAGTTTCGTCATGCTCATGCCACGTTTTTTTTTGGTCAAAATTCAGCAACTTTGGAACGAACTTTGCTGCCACACGCTTCATGGCCAATATTCCGAAAAAATTGCAAGTCATGAGCTATTCTTGTTTTCAGATTTTTTTTTATTTAGGAAAACTCGAAAGTACTGGCCTGTAATTTTCCGAAACTTTGGCATTAACCACTTTCAATTCATTAGAAAAATGCCTATATTCATTAATAAATCTATTGAAAATAGGACAATTTCATTTTCAGCTCGTCCCATGGACAATCTAGAAAACACTCGCTCCGTTCTGAGGGATTCCCACGGCCTGGACTCGTATAGCGGAACGGGATTCACCTCGGAAGTGGACACTAGATTTCCTCCCGATCAGGATGATATCGACACCAGATTTGGGGCCAGCACCAGAATCAACGAACGCCGTAACAATCTATCGGAACTGGAACCGAGGTTTTCGGATAGTTATCAATTGGACAGCAACTATCGAACCAGGGTGGGGGGTGCGCCTAGAGGTATATTTGATGACGTGTGAAGGGGTATTGATTGGTCGTGACGAAATTTTATTCTTGACAAAGAATAGACAGTTTCGTTTTTTGTTCTTTGTAACGGTTGAAATGGTCTATTGGACCTTTTATTGGCAAACATTTCAGCATGTTAATGACGGTTCTAATGAGCTTGCAACCCTTACAGAAAATAATAGGGTTCGGTGCAATTTTAATTAATAATAAAAGTTAATGAAATTATTATAAAGGAGAATTTTGGTAAAAGCTTTGAAAAAAGTTGTCCATGTTTATAATGATGATATTAGAAAATTTGCCTCAGAGTTTAAGTGTGGGCGACTTTAAAAAAATACTAACTATTTGGGTAAAATATACAGGGAAAACGATAAAAGACAAAAAGTTTCTAACTTAGAATAAACTAGATTTAGTGCCGATTATTCCCCATCATTTGAAATGTACGCCCTGTATACTTTCTAGTCAGGCGCACTTGGCATACATGGTAGTAAATAAGCTTTATAACGTACTTGTGCAGTATACTTTACACACAATCCAAAATGATGGCAATGTTCATCTTGGAAAGTATATTTATTATCTGTTGTAATTTTAAGATACGAAAATGTTATTTGTCGATCTATATACACTTGCTTGGCCTCTCGTTGTTTGTTGATGGTTGAAAAGTACATTCCGTATTGATTTGTAGTTATTGATTATTTATTAAATGAACACTAGGTTATTATCTTTGAAGTTTTCCTTTCTTGAAAGCCATTGATGAATTCTGAAATTATACTTGAAGAAAATCAAAAGCAGCAATCTTATTGAAAAAAACAAGGGGGGGACATCTCGCCTCACGACAGCGCCATCTATGGGATCGAAAGAGAACTCGATACTCGAATAATGCTCGAATATCAAAGATAAACAAGGCTCCTCAAGGCGGTCAGTTGCAAAGCCAAGCTTCGACATCAACCGCCGACGAGATTCGTTTTTTGTCTCTCACTGCAAGGCAACAAGTTGAACATTACAGCAAGCGAGACAGAGGATAATCTCGTCGGCAGTTCTCCTTCGGTCCCATAGATGGCGTCGTCGTAAGGGGAGATGTCATTGCTCTCTCTTACTCAGGCATGTTCTTTAAGGACAGTTGAGTCCAGCAATGCATTTGTGTGGCAGGATCTTGGAATATCGACGGCATTACAGGCCGGAAGGATGAGCTCATGTAGTTGCTATCGCGGTTTCCCGTTGACGTCATGGCAATACAAAAGACTAGACTGATAGCCACGCTAGAACTCCGCATTCCGTGCTTCAATACCTATATAGGGTCGACAGGCCAAGCCGTGCGACCGCAGGAGACGCGGCACTCCTTGTGAAGACCGACCTCATGCAGCTCGGCGAATCAGTCGCCGTTAGAGTGATGTTAAGGCGTTACGAACAGCTTAGGATCCCGTTGGCATACCTGCACCTGCAGGGAAATCTACCGAGAACCGACATAGCAGAAATGTTTCCTGACCCCTACCCAACAGTGGCCACCTCGGAGATTTTTTAAAGTAATTGGGTAGCAATCCTTTATGCAGCTTGAATATAAAGATCATAGTCATAAATTATATACGTTCTTCAACTGAAAACCAGCTCGAGACACTGTACATCAATTTAATTGCTGTGTAACGGCTACATCCCAATATTAATCGCTCAACATTTGAAACATCAATTTGAATACTTTTTGAAGTGAATTTGAAAAAGTCGTCAATTAAACTCAACTTTATTTTGTTCAAACTTGCATTTGCTGTAATAACCCAAATTGAGGAACATTCCCTATTGCCTGATCCAAATTTTCATGTATACAATAAACCAATGTATCATCTGCAAAAAGATTTATACAGTGTGATCGAGAAATGTGGTTAATATCATTTAGATGAATAATAAAAAGCAATGGACCTAACACACTACCCTGGGGTATGCCACTCTCAATTATAAGTTCATATATTGGTAGTTCATTTGACATACCTTTTCTGGACCCATGTTGTCGAGGAGAGATTTCATTCATATTCAGAAAAACATTATTTTTTTCAAGTGTTTCAAACTTAGACCCGGGAGGGTCTGACAAACGAATTTTAACAAAAAAACTCCACTTTTTTCTTAAACCTATTTATTTTTCGATCATCTGTAAATGACTATATTTCATTAAAATTGCAACAGGAATAAATTCTGAAATAGAAAGCTACCAATAAACGTAACAATTAGAAAGCATATTCGTAAAAACACACAAAAATAAATATCGTTTAAAATCATTAAAACAGTCTTTTGTAGAATATAAAAAAAACGCGAGCCGCCCTCAAAGCAAATATATACTGAAAAAAGTAACCAGAGCTAAAGCGAAGAAAGCCAAAGTATATATTATCGTGATCCGCACCATCTTCTTGTGCTCCGACAGAGTCACCCTCTGCTTAGTCCTCCTCGAATTTAAATCTAACAGCAGGGGATCGAGAAGCAACACTTGCCGTTCCGCAGCCAGCTCCAAGTCATCACCTGGTCCGTTTCGGGGAGAAAATGACAGCATATCCTCGGCCAAGGGCACAATTTCGTCAAAATCTACTGCAGTGCCTCTCCGTTTCCCTGTACCTGTCGTAACACGAGAAAGGTAGTTGGCGAACACGCTAGCATGGTTTTTCGTTGGTAAGCAATCTTTATTTGTGATGCCAGAGATGGCTGGTTGGAATCTTCTGGTATCTAGCAAGATCCCAGGACAATTTTCGCGATATCCACGTTGATAAAAAGGTACAACCGCGGAATCGCGATAAAAACTTTTAGCTACGAGCAAATTTTTCTCAGTCTGCACAAAGTCACCCAAATCGATCACTTCACCTGGTAGAGTTTGATGATTTTTGAAGTAACCATCGCTGAATGCTGAAAATGATTCTATAAAACAAGGACAGTTCGCTATATTTTGACCGTCTTCGAGGCCGTGGCACATAATTTTGATTTCTTCGAGCGAAGACACGATCTCCGTGTGGATTTTCTGCCTGCGTAACATCTTCATGAACTTCGGGGATGGGGATTTGGTCTTTTCCACCAGTTCGCTCAGTATGGTTTTGTCTGAAAGTTGTCGCGAGACTCCGTTACTTTTTCTTATAACTATATCACCACCAAGTCAGTTGCCTTGCAGATTCAAGCTCGACTCAATTTTTTGTAAATCGTACAGAACCTGAAACGTGAACGACATTCACTCGAGATTATTCGTACAAAAATATCTTTATTACCTCTAGAACGCAAGACATGCTCCATGCCTGTGTTCTGGAACTGTCGGAGCAGTAGGATCCGCTGGTGTTAGTTAGTTCGGGGAGCCCCCTCCAAGGAGACGTTTGTAGCTCGACGAAATGTTTGGACAAGATCAATTTGGCACTGGCTAGAGTTTCTTTCAAAGCTCCGTTTTGCGCTGCGAATATCAACTTGGCCCTCAGGAAGAATCCTATCGGCCAAACCCACTCCTGAAGAAAATACAATATCAAAACTTGAAATAATCTAAGCAAGTCTGTATGGAGGAGAGATATATACTTATAAGAAAATAAATTGTTAACTAGTAACAGCTCCATCTCGTGAACAAAGCCCCAAGCGTGGTATTAGCTGGGGAAGTAGTTGCTATTTCTCTAGGAATTTTGTATTTTTATCTTTTCTGGTAATCAATTATTGATAACAATACCTTGCGTCTCACTTACCGGTCCTTGATGATAGTTGAATCCATTGGCCACAGTAGGATCATTGGAATCGTTGGAGTTGTTATAGTCTCCTCTGTACGCCCAATCTTTGGGATCCAAGGTTTTCATTCCAAGAGGTCCCAAAAGGTATTTCTCCGCCTGAGCCAAGGCTTCCCAGGCGTGCGAGGGCGAAAAAAGTTCTGGCGCCTGTAAACGAACCAAAATGTGCCTTCAGACAACTTATTCCAAAATTATCCGACCCGAAGGACCACAAATTTCATTTAAAATCAAACACTTACGGCCACCATGGCAACGGGGAAGTTACACCTTAGCTGGAAGTCGGTCCATTCCTGGCTGGCGCCGTGGCAGTCCTTGTAGATACCTCGTTTGTTGATCAGGTCCGGCCGAATTTCTCCCTCGGTCGGTTTCGAATTGATCCAGAAATGCTTTTCAAAGTTGGCCTGTATCTTATCGCTCCACTCTTTGAATGTCCAACGGGTGATCCTGCCGTCCTTGTGGGTCCTTTCGACGCCTGGATATGGATACTTCTTTTCGGCATCGAGTTTGGCGAGCCACGATATGACCGATTTCGAAAGACCGATTAGTTCGACGGCTGAACCGTCTCGGGGCGTCGCCGGTTTACCGCGGTTGCCCGCTTTATCGGAAGAGCCCATCTTGTCCATCCAAGTGCCACAGTTCCACTGATTGCCGCCGAAGATAAACCCTGAAAATGTCGTCGATTTATTTAGAATTAAAAATACGAGTTTTTTTGCATGGCTGTTGATTATATTTGTCTTACCGGTTTCCGGATGCACTCCGATTTGATTGTTGAATCCCTGATCAGTCATGTGCTCATCTATTTGCTTGCCGGCGTTCCTTTCTCTGAAGGCCAAACCTTGGAAATGAACGTTCAACGCTTCCTGCATGACGTCATGTAGAGGTTGGTCCACAGCTCCTGGAGGCTGAGCCGCAGAATCGTCTTTGGGGAATATCCTGGATACTTTGTCGGAGAGGATGGAGATGCCATCGGGGGCTTCAGTAACGTATTCTTTGATGCAGTGCAACCACCACCATACTGCGTCTCGACAATTGAATCTACAAAAAAGATAACTCTTGAAAGTATGAACATATTGAAAAAGAGCGCCATCTCTTGGCAGTGATGAAAACAAATATTTTTATGACACAATCTAGTGAGTTAAAGGTCCTCACCTGGGATTTCTTCCCCCGTCCAACAAGTTGGGGATCAAACCGTGCCTCAGACAGGCTGCATAACCTAAAATATGTTCTCTAGCTTCTTGGTAGCGCCCAGTCAGAATGAACAGGCCCCTCAGGGCGATGAAAGTGTCTCTGCCCCAGTTTCTCATGTAACCGACGGAAAAATGCGGCAAACCTGATTTCAAATAAGTTTCAATTCAAAAACAATGGGGAGAGGGGGGACATTTTACCTGCAGATAATGTAACGCATGCTTGGACAACTTCGCCGCTGTCGGTCTTTCTAGTAAGAGGCTTCGGCGGGGCCAAATTCGGGGACAAGGTCGGCAAGTCGGCGGACTTGATGTGCGCCCCAAACTGAACGGATCCTAAGGAAAGGCCTCTGGCAAAAGTAGAGCCGTTCTTGACAAAGCTGGAATTGAAAGCAGAAATTACACAAGCGCTAGAGTTAGGAATTGGACAAGTAGCTTTGCAAATACTACTCACTTTGTCATTGAGTTAAAACACTTTTCCATTAGAAGAATATAAATGCCGGTGACTAGCATGTCGAAATAACAAGGAACCAGATATCTGGGTATGTCCGTAAAACATTTTGTGTTCTCCTCAATCCAATGGCCTAGTTCTTCAGTACCTGGGTCTAGTTTCAATCGTTTCCAAATGAAATCTAAAAACAAATCGATTTAAACAGAAACCAAGACAGGAAGTAGTTCAAATGTCACACTTACAGTCCGATAAATTTTTCAAGTCAAAATATCAAATCTTACCAATCATCCAGTTTCCATCTCTTAAATTTGCACACATTGGATGACCTAGGTCGTTACTTGGTCTGATATTAGACAGCAGAGACATAAATCCTGGAAAAAAATTGACATTTTTGGAAAAAATCACTTCTCCAGTCTGGGACACAAAAACGGTTGAACACAAGAAAACTCTAACTCTAACTAACGAGGTTCAGAATAAGTCCTCACCTTGTAAACCGGCGTACACCATGGGACCAAAGTTGGGGATGTTGTACGTGTCGAAACCAAATCCTTCGTCTCTCTCTTCCTGATCGCATCTATACAAGGCTCTGTTCAAATCGCCGAGGGTCATTTTGCTGATGATGGCGGAGAGGTCAGTCTGCTCCTTCAGAGAGAATTTATCGATGAGGTTTCGTACCTTTTCTACAGCGTTTTTCATCGACTCTGGCAAAGACACTCTACAAAGTACAGAAATATTTATACCTTCTGAATGAAACAAATTGAGGTTAGACTAGCACATTGGTTTTCCATGGTGAAGTAAGTTTGTGATTCAGAGATAATCGAAACAAAAACTCTTCGAATTTTTCACAGGAAAGAATCCATTTTTTTGGTACAAACTTTGTATATACAGAAAACGAAATTGAGTTTGCAGTGAAGTTTCTGTTGGATCAGTTAAAAAGTCATATTTAGGAGGTATACATAGGATTTTGTTGTTGAAACTTAGAAATATAACTTTGAAGCTGAATTTTGATTACAAAAGCCCGAATTTTTATTTTTGTATACGGGGGGTGTTCAAAAAATAAAACGAACGTTCAAATTTCGCGGGCCAAGTACATTTGATCAGCGATTTTTTTTATGTTGGTCTAGTATGTTTAGTTTGTTGGTGAGAGGCATGAAAGACAGAAGTGTTTTGCGTGTTGACGAATATTTATTTTTTGAGAAAAATTAAATTCCACCTTTTTTGAACAGAGTAGTATATATTTTCTACTTTCCTTGTAATATTCATACATACCTTACTACTACGACAGACCCTGGTTTGAAGTTTTTAAAGTTGAGTTGCGTCACGTTTTGCGTGCCAGAATCAACTTTCTCGAGAATATCCGACTCGGTAACATTGATGTGTTGCTTCATAGAAACTTCATATTCGGAGAGACCGTTTATGTATTTTGAATCTTTTTCAAACCTCTCCCATTTGGAAAACTGCAAGCCACCAGACCTGAAAGTACAAACAAATTTTTATTACAAGGTGAGAAAATTCGAACCTAGGAAACAAAAAGACACGGAACTAGTTCTAATGAAGAAAATATTACTCACTTTTTGTTGACATGGCTCATGGATGCTTCCAAAACGATCTCTTCAAGAACCCCTTCGAACCTCAGGGGTTTGATGCCTCTCTGATGATTTTCTGCATCCTCATTGGGATGGTTAAATGCCGTGAAAGCTACCAGGATGTAGCTTTGGTGTGTATCGGGACAATGTCTCGTTACGGCGACGATGTCAGCGTCCATTTGATCAACATAAACCTACAAAAATCACTACTAGAAACGAAGAAGCCACTATTCATTGCCAGTTTGAAATTCAAAGTTTAATTCACTTATTTTGCAACAAAAGGAAAGGGGGTAATCCTCACCTGGTTGAATCCCTCTTTCCCCAACGTGAAATGCAAATCGTTGATGGCTCTCTTCGCCCCTATCAAGCCGCTCCTCTCCGTGACAATCCCAGGGCCCACCTCAACCCCCTCCTCTCTCCACTCGGTGTACTCCCTCGTCTCGTCGACGACGTGCACGTGGTGGGGCACCAGCTCATCGAAGCCCCTGTTGGAGCCGCTCGCGCAGCACGCCATATTGACCAGGGCGGTGGAGGGCAGCAAGTCGAAGGCAGACCTCTTCTCCACGGGGCTGGGGTTGTCGTGCGTCTGGTCGAGGAAGAGCGCGTGCGCGACGGAAGGCACGAGAGGACGCACGCTCGGTTGGTGGAATGAACCTACCGGACTGCCCCCGTAGCGGTAGACGAGGCGTCCCTGTTCGTGCGAGTCCCACGCGGACATGGCCTCGCGGATCAGGGAGGTTATGCCGAGTCTGCGGAGAGAAACGAGAATTAATGGTAATAAACTCTATCTTCATCAAAATAACATGCTCGGCATTGCTGATTCGTTTGAAGCTGATGACCTGTAGCTTTGTTGAAGACACTGTATATACGTTTATATACAAATCAATATTGAGAAATTTGTAAGTCATGTTGAATGACAGTTACATTTAAAACGGTATTAAACAGATTCATTACACCAAAAAGTTTCAATATTGGTCCTTCGAGCCGGATCAACTGGTTGGAAGGCAACTCTATGCTTTTCCCACCAAATTATTTACTGTGTTCAAAAGATATATGCAAGATTCAATTTATTCTCTCGCACCTGTCCAATTTTCTTGACTTTTTCAATCAGATAATTTTGAGTTTAAAGTCGTAATTTGGAGTTTAAGTTGTAATTTTGGAATTGAAAGTCGTAATATGGAATTGAAAGTCGTAATTTGGAGTTTAAAGTCGCAATTTGGAATTGAAAATCGTAATTTGAAATTGAAAGTCGTAATTTGGAATTGAAAGTCGTAATTTGGAATAAGTCGTAATTTGGAATAAGTTGTAATTTGGAATAAGTCGTAATTTGGAGTTTAAAGTCGTAATTTGGAGTTTAAAGTCGTAATTTGGAGTTTAAAGTCGTAATTTGAAGTTTAAAGTCGTAATTTGGAGTTTACAGTCAATTTGGAGTTTAAAGGCGAAATTTTGGGTTTAGAGGCGAAATTTGGAGTTTAAACCCGGAAGCCAAAGTCGTAATTTGCAGTTTAAAGTCGTAATTTTGGAAATAAAATTTGTAATTTTGAGTTAGAATCCGAAATTTTGAGGTAAACGTACAAATTTGAAGTTTAAAGTCGAAATTCATTGTCGAAAATTGGAGATTAAAGTTGAAATTTCGAGATTCGAGTTGAAATTTTGGGTTTCAAAGTCGCGATTTCAAAACAAATAATAAAAATGTGTGGCCGTTCTGTTTCTCAACTTATATATTTTTGTATTTAATCACTTGTTTTCTTCAGTGAACCCTGAAAAATATAAATGTCAAATATTTATTGTCAGCCTCACGCTGAAAATTTCTCATCTAACCGCCCTAATTGTAAATCAAAATATAATCAAGTAAATGATTCCTCGGTATTCATATAACCCGCTTATATGTTCAACGTACCTGTTCACAAAGATGTTATCCGTCATATCGGAATTGGTGAAGAGCTCAGCCACGACATACAGATCAGGTCGGACTCTCCTCGCACAGTCCAATAAGTATTCCGCAACAGGTATCGGCGTCGAATGACAGTTATCCAACCGCACGCCATCGAAAATCCTAGCTGTCTGTTCGACGTACTTCTTCATGTGGTCCCACAGGAAGGGACAGTCTTCAGGTTTGTCGCCGAATCTCAATTTGACGCTGTCTCCCCAAGCAATCAGTTCCCGTCTGATGTACACCTGAGAGACAACAGAAAAAAAATTAATGGCCCCAGGACAGAACCTTGTGGAACCCTATGAGGGATGAATTGCCTGTCTGACATCACTCTATTTTCTGGATTCGATTTGATCCAATCCATGATGATCAGTTTATACTTACTTTGGAATCTTTTGCTGCGAAATTCTTCAGCGGATCTGATTTCAAGACCCATCCATTGTGCGCCATCAGAAATCTCCCCTTATCGCTGTACATGATCTCTTCATGCTCTTTAAGAGACTTCGGAGTTCCAAAATCGGTGAAGTATCGGTAGACTAGAGGATTGCTCGCGGTGATTTCTTTGAATCTAGGACCATCCGGTTGAACACGGTGGTACCTCACGCCGGCAATGACGTTGTCCAAGGCTACATTCAGGTCTCCGTTAACCTCCTCGGTGACGGTTTTGTTGAGAGAGTCGAGTTGCTTTTTCAACTCTTCGGAGCAACGTTTCAATCTGCAATTGGTTTTTTTGTAAGGTTTTCATTGGATTGAAGACATGTGATGCACTCTTTGGGACCTTTGGTGTAGTAATTAATATTACTGGAGTTTTTTCACAACACCAAAACGTTATTTTTACACCTCGACACGTGTTTCGATCACCAAGTGATCATCTTCAAGAGAAAGATCAGTTTGTTGGACAAAACCTCAGTAATATTGATTGAAAACATACTTCCACCTGAAACAGTTGATATATTCCTTCCTGTCATATCATACCTTGACTCCTCATCGAAAGTATCATTCCAGTAGACGTTGTACAGTTTCAACGCCAAGTCCATATCCACACTAGCCGCTAGTCTTCTGTACTCTGGGTCTTGAACGAGTTCGAGCTCTTCCGTTACTTCCCCTCTATTCTGAGCTGCAGGCGTAACGGTACGAGCCAACATCAGAAATTTCGCCACGCACTTGTTAACGTCGATCATGTACAGCTCCGGGATGTTCAGGGGTTCCAAAACGCTCTGCTGAAGGTGATGGCGGATGGCATTCAAGTGTTCCTCAGAGTCGACTTCGGAGGGAACGCCCCGGTCTTCATACAGGCCCTTTTTCACGTCCATGGAGAACTGGTGGAGGGCGGCATCGAGGAGGTACGCGGGGCGCATGTAGGGACAGTCGACGCAGTTGTAGGTCACTTCTGGGTGCGCTTGGATCCATTTGCTTTCGTTCGCAGTGTGGTTGAGGACGATGTCGCAGATTGAGGTTATCTTAAAAGGAAGTTCAAGGTGAAATGTACCGATTTACTCATTTAAAATAATGCTGATACTAAAAAGTTCACATATAACTCGGTCGGTTGTGATTGACGAATTTTCATTGGATTTTTATTTCATTTGAAGAAAACCCCTAAGTCATTTCAGTCATTATTACATCACATTACAACTAAAATATGTATAATACAAAAAATAGCTCTAGCAAAACGACAAGAATACGATATCTTACTACCTAGGTTGAACACTTTCGGGCCTAATACATAGATGGCCCTAGTCTTATTACATTAACCTCTTTTTCAGTTAGTACTAACCTTCAGAAGAAAGCTGTTGAGATTTCATTATATTCTACTCATAAGTTTGTGAGTTGTCGTGCTAGGACTAACACTACTTTTGTTATTTTCAAAACAATGAATCAAAAACAATGTCGTGATTTAAATTTACACTGTTTCTTGATGGGAAAAAATACCGTGTAAGAGAAGCAATTGCTTGAAAAGTGTTATAACAACTACGCTTCATCAGTAACAAAAACTGAATGTTGGTTTGCTGACTTCAAACGTAGTCGTAGAGATACCGATTATGCAGAACGCAGTGAACGTCCAATCGAGGCAGTAACACCAGAAAACATGAAAAAAATCTACAAAATCGTTTTGAATTATCGAAAAGTGAAGTTGGGTGAGTTAGCTGACATTGTGAAGGTATCAAAAGAAGGTGTTGGCTTTATATTGCATGAGCATTCGACTATGAGGAAGCTCTGTTCAAAGTGGGTGCAGCGGGACTCACTGTTGACCAAAACAAGAACGTCTTGATGATTCTGAGCAGTGTCTGGCCATGTTTAAACATAACAAACCGGAATTTTTGCGTTGATATGGGACAATATATGAAATAAAATCAAAACAAAATATGTTTTATTACCCAAGATCTGAACATCTTATTGGCAAAGTCTGGTAAAGTAAAACGTATATATGAGACATCAATTTAACGAATAGAGGCTATAAAATAATGCTTAGAGACAAGAGCAGAGACTGTGAATTCATCAACTTCTTTGCAGATGATACCTTATTGGCCTGTACTGGAGTAAATTTAGAAGAAACTGTTGACATAATGAATAAAATTCTAGAGAAAGTAGAAAAATACCTAAAAACCTATAAAATGAAACTTAATGTTGAAAAAACAAAAGCAATGATAATCACTACTAAATTCAAATGTGTTTCGCTAAACACTAGCTTCTTCAGGCGTGTCTATACTCTATAGACAAAACCAATTAATTTAAGAGCACTACTGGTTATGCTGGTTATAATTCAACAGAGTTTTACCTTTACAATTGAAATTAAACAAATGAATAAATATTTAACAATTCATTCAGTTGAGATACGAGAGCGGTTTGAAAAGTTTCCGACCTCGACTTGAACATGGCAGCACTGGTAAATAAAAGCTAGTGAATATCGTTGTTCATCTGTTGACAGGTACTCACCACAGTTTCAGCCAATTTGGTCGCTCAGTTGTTATGTAACAGTCGCTTGAGTGAGTTGATGTGAGTGTCTTTATGAGAATGGACAAAATCGAGTATCGAGCTGTCATTAAATATCTGTTTTCGAAAGACAATACGCCTACGCAAATCAAAGATGAGTTGGATTCTGTGTAGGTTAAACTCTTCAGTGCAAATTTCACAATGAAGCAAAATAAATATGATTAATAAATTAATATTATCACTAATAATACCTGAAAAATATTTGATCATTTCAGAGATTTCAATCTGCAGTAATGATTGTAACTGACTGTACAATCTCCACACTGTGAAGTATCTCAATAAAATAATAACCACATTTCATTTTACCTTCCATTCTTCTCGAAGCTTTGACACAAGCTTCTCCACATCTTCAAATGTTGGCATTTCCCCGTCATCTTTCTTGAAAATCGGGTTCAACTGCAGCTGTTCGCTCAAACTGTATGAAGAATTCGATTCGCCCAACTCCTGAAATTCACGTGGTTCAAATTCACAATTTGTAAGTTCCTTTCCGGTAAAAATATACACACCTGAATGGGAGTGAAATGGATCATGTTATATCCAGACTCCTTTGCGACTCTCAGTTTGCTTTCCCATTTTGAGAACGATCCTAAACCTTTAGTGAGAACCGTTTGACACTGAATGCAATCCAAGGGGAGATCTTCGTTTCTGCCGTATGTCAGAACTGGATCGACGAGGAAATAACCTGAGCCGTGTCTTTCAAAATTTTCCCTGGAAGAATGTTTCAATATGGAAATTACAGGGAAGTATGTTGAAGTAACATCAAATCTAACAGAAAAATTAACTGGTATAGTCAATCCATTCCCAATTGGAACGGCAATAAAAATAAGAGTACAGTCATAAACATTTCTTGCCTGTGGCCCCTAGTCACCCAGATAGTAGTTGTAGTTGAGGAATAGAGGCTCAGCTAGCTGGACTGGCTGAATACTAATTTTTTGTCCGTTTCACAATATTTCTTCATCAGTGCCGTGTGTTCGTGGGGTTAGGTTAGGTAGTGAGTGGTTTTGCAAACCGATTTTTGACAACTTTTTCTAGAGATCAATTACCCTAACACCAAACTGATATTTTTGCACTCGACGCGCGTTTCGCTAACAAGGTTAGCATCTTCAGGGAAGCAAATTGATACTCAATCTAAAGATAAGGGTTAGCTGTTTATATACCTAAAGTTTTTTGGTCCGATGTGGACTTTGTTTGTTAAATGATGATTATCCTAATTGATTTTTCGATAATTAACTAGTGGAACCACTACCTGCAAATTAATTTTGTCTCAAATAGATTAAAAAGCGGACATTCACCGACTTTGAATGCTGTATTAACTGAAAAACTACCACTGAAAAATAATATGCCGACGCCTATGTCGAGGCGGGAATTCCTTCTCTGTGCTGTTCCAATTGGTATTGGAAATACTATAAAAATATTCATCAATTTCTGTATTGTCCCCGTCAAAGTAGTTCCCCTCAGGTATAATACACTTGTTCGTCGCAAAATACTGTCTTTTCATGGGTCTCTTGAAATTTAGGAAAAAGAAAAATTCGCAGGGGTTAAATCTGTTGAATACGGTGGCTGAGGCATGACTACGGTGCTGTTTTAGCCAAAAAATTACAAACAATATGGACAAAGGTTTGTGTTAAGGACTGCTACCAAATATTTCACTATCATACACTGCATGCTGTGAAACGGATCTGTAAATCAAAACTCGAAAATATCTGACAACTGTCAACTGCTTTTTAGGATCTTATGGAGCTACATTTGAATTCTGATGAATCTTGCTATAAAATTATATCCAGAACAAATTTAAATAACAGAACTTTTTGCTTCAACTTCGATAGTAATTTGATAGAATTTAAGATGGAAATATATATTTAGATCAGAATTAATCGAGGAATTCACATATCAATCGACTCAGAAGAAATAAGTTTGCACTTCTTCATTTCCTTTTGTTCAAATTTTCCTCCTATATTCTTTTATTATGTACTATAATAGGTTAATTTTTTTTCTAGAATAGGGATTGTCCCCTTTATAAATTAATAAAAAAATCAGAAAGAGTATGACTGGACCAAGGACTGAGATTCGTTTGAAATTTCATTCCGATATTGAAGAGTGCTCTTTATTATTATAAACTTAGATATCTACAATGGAATTACTCACCCTTTCTCGTATGTGAAAAAATAGTGGAAACTTCCAGCCAAGGCAGCCTTTATCTGAATGAAGGCAGCCGTGTCGTCTGCGTTTTCGCACCCTTCATCCCAAGCCCATTCTAGGAGTTGATATTTATTTCTGTTGAACTCTGCCGTTTTGCCTGCCTTCTCGAAGGGGTAGTTGCAGTAGAGAAACACCTTCCTGCCGAACAACGAAGGACCGACGCGGAACTCTATGATCCATTCCTTCTTGATGCGGTACAAAGTGGATTCCTGATGTTCGAGATCATTGAGAGTCAAAACGCGGACTTGCTGCATCGTTTCCGAAGTCAACTTCTTGTTCTCCCTGATAGGTGTCGCTAGCAGTTCCAATTGTTCGCAGCTGCCCGTCCAGTAGCTGTATTTCCTAACAAATCTCTCTTCTTCGATGAACCTGGAAGTGATGACCCTGATGTTTGTCTCGGAATCTTCTGAAGAAAATGCGCCTGACTGGGGCCGTGAGTCTGCGCAGAGAATTTCTCCTTCAATCCGATCTGATCCAAACGAGCTTGTGTCTGCTGGGTTTGGTTGAAACTCCTCACTAGAAATTCCTGATGTTTGAGATACTGCAATTGATGAATCAGCAATCTGATACGATGTTGGACTTTGCTGGAAATCCTTGATCAATTCCAGAGGGGTGTTCCTTCTGATTTCTGATAAAGCTGCAGACTCGTTCAGCTTGTCCAAGTCTTCTGCTTGGTCTTTTGTCACCAAACTATTGGTGAGTATATCCGGCAAGATATCCTTGAACAACTCCGGAGGTGTGAATTCGGGGCCAGAAAAGGTTCCTGAATTAGAATAGTCCGGGAACACAAACTGGTCTGCAGACTTCTCGGAGAAGCTGCTGTGCTCCAGAGGAGACTTGAACTGACACGACCCTACACTGCTGTTCTGGTCACTTTCCACCGTAGAGGGAATACTTTGAGACAGGTCCTGATTTTGTTGGGTTTTAGTAGTAGGTTCGGAAACGAAAACAATTTCTTTGTCAAATTCAGACAATTGTTTCTCTAGTTCGATGAATTCCAATAAAGATTCCTGTTTGGAAGAGTTGGCAGTGTTGTGAAGTATGGACCCCTTTTTCTGGACACCTAAAGATTCCTCAATAGCTTGAGCAAACTCAGCCAGATCGCTGTTAGTATTGCTTGCACTCTGATCAAAATCAAAGAAGTTATTGTCAGAACTGGAATCAACTTCTCCTGATGATATGAATTTTGCCTCCTCACCAGATGTTGGATTAATTTCAAGAACTTGCTCTTTATTTTTGGATATATGAGCTACTTCATCTAGATCAATTCTATCAAGTTCTTCCAGCAGATCAGAATTCCCCTGATGATTGTTAGCAGTGGATGGTTCATTGCCAGATGTAACTTCTACTTCAAGAAATTTCTCTGTTCCATTTGGTACAGAAACTTCTTTGTCGAGATTAGTTTTATCACTTTCTCTATGTTGAAGTAGATCGAAATCAACCGGATGTGTTTCAGGTTCTAAATCACCTTCAGCTGCTGTTAGGTCTCTTAATTCTTCACTAGATATGTCTAGTTCAGGAAGATCTTGGATTTCGTTCGACTCAGATTCAAGAGAATCTGACACGGGAACTTTCTCAGTTTTCTTTACTGCTTCCTCATCATTGGCACAGACTGGAGAGTCTTTCAGAATTTCAGTGCTGGCCTCCTCTGTGATGAATATACAGTTGGGATCTGAACTGACTAAATCATTAGCTTTGATTACCTCAAATTGTGACTCAATTTCTTCAGGGCTTTCGCATGCACTTGGAGTTATTTTATTCAGTACTTCGATGGAGCTGAAGTTGCTTCCGCTGCAGGATTCAGTCGAGTTTGAGTAAGTTGATAGCTTTAATTGTAGTTCTATCAATTCAGTACTATTGATGTTTGATACTTTTTCTTCATCACATTCGATTGTACTGTTTGTTAAAACACTAGCGTATGACACTTGTGGTGATACCTTTTTGCTTTCTTTATGTTCTGGTTTAACCAAATTTTCAGGCTGACACTTTTCTTCAATTCTGTTGCCAACTGCTTGGAATTGGACTTTCTCAAATGAGTCTGAGAACCGTCTTGCTCTATCCGGCACTGTTTCTATAACAGCTTGTTTTGCCTTTCGTGTTTGGTAATTATTGACTATACCAGGTTTTGGTGGTTTGTCTTTGACAAATACAAAGAAATCTTGAGGTACGGAAGGGTCAAGAATATCCGTTTTTTTCTTGGCAATCTTTTTGTCCTTGTTTCTCTTTCCTTTTTCTCTAACAGGTGGAAATGAAAACCCTACGTCATCTGCTTCAACTTCTTTTTGAACCTTCACCGCCTTCTTGGTAATCTCGTCTTCATCTACTGGCCAGTCTATGTCTTCACTTTTATTTGGATGTGGTTTCCTAGATTTGTGTTTCTTCTTTGTTCCGGTAGGTGGGATAATGTCTGCACTAGCCTCTTCTGTGAGACTTTCCTCAATAATTTCTTCTATAGGTGTGGACAGACTTGTACTGAAAGATGGCTCTTCATGCTGATTTTTCAAAGTTTGGCGTGGTTTACCACGCTTTGATTTATTTTTCTCCTTGGTTTTCGGAGATTGCTTGTCAGGACTTCCTTCTTCTACAGATTTCTCTGTCCTGCCTAATAGCTGGAAATCAAAAATGAGAATGAGGTATACTCAAACTACAGTAAACAGGTTCAGACAATAATATTATGCAAAGGTGCCTTACACGGTCTATGCGTTTTGATAAAGTTAATAATTGCAAAATGCCCCAGAGTGCTACCGAGCGGAAAAATACAGTTGTTACATGATATGTAAAACTGGTAATGAAAAAAACACCATAAAATAACAATTTTAAAATTTCAAACATTTCGGCATTGAGAACGACAACTGTTTCCTTCAAAAGAACAGATTTATTTGAAATTTCAAATTCGTTTGATATCGCATTGTTTAATTAATATGCAGAGGTCAAACCTGATAAATACTGTCTATAAGTGATATAATTAAGCCCATATTTTTTTAAGTTAAAACGAGTACACACAACACACAAACACTGAATGCCTATCAGGTTGCAGTAAAAAAACATTACCCAAATCTACATACTTTTTATTGATACCATGAAAAAAACAACTCGATAAAAAATGTAAATATGAAAAAATTCAACCAACCAATTCAAGAGAGGCAGATTTAAAAGCCAAGGTGACATTCACAGTCAGAGGACATGACACAGAACACACGTCCTTGAATACCTTAGAACATAGTATGTTCTAATGGATGACACGGAACGTATTTTTTAGATTCATCTTTGAAATGTATGGTGCCGAGAAAAAGTGTCAAAAGTGTATCTTTCAATTTTTGCGATTTTTATCTTCTTCGGAAATATGTAACTGATTATTTTTATTCAACAGGGATGCATATGACGAAACAACTTACAATTAATGTCATTTTTTCCAGTACAAATCATTTGGTGCAAAGATTAGTTTTTGATAATTATCTTGAACCGAGCTGATAATAAATTGATGATTATGATTCAATTTTGCGTTTACATCACTGTTTATGATTCACTTGTTTCGATGCAGTTCAAAGATTTTGTTCTCTAATAATTGGTACTGTAAATAACGTAATCATTTTGAATTACTTCGAGATCGAATATTTCTTTCAATTCACTAAATCGTCCATTGGTTTGATATGAATTTTATTTCATTATAAATTGAGATATTATTGTCAGATCACACTGGGTGAAAAATTTTTATTGATGATAGTGCTAGTGAATTCCACAAATGTTAACATCAGAAGATAAACAGTTGAATCGTACAACTAAATATGTTTCAGGGTCTACTCAAGCCTAATGTATTTTGAATTGTTCAATTGGAAATTTATACTAGTATTATTTTAGTGCGATTATCATAGACTTCGGGAACGGATGAGTAGGTAAAATGAAGTACATTCGCGAACAAGGAATCACAATTTTTAAGACAGACTGGGTTTTTGTTTTACTGTTTGACTTAGTTCTAGTATTGCCGACAAACGTTGACAGTTACGTAACTGGCCACTGTCGCCAACGGAAACATGCGAAAACAGCTGTTTATGGAATGGCAACAAAAATATCAGAAATGACGAAAATGTCATTATAAAAGTGAAATATTCGTTTGAAATCAAGCAAATAATGGACAATATAATGTGTAACATAAGTAACAGTTTCGACAGTGAAGGTGCCGATGGATCCGACCATGATAAAGAAATAACCAATGTGATATTCAGTACTAAAGATGAAGTACCCTCAGAGGAGGCCCAAGAAAATGCAGAACTATGGATAAACGATGAGGACAGTGCGGATTTCGATGACGATCTTGAGAACATTAACATAGCAAATTTTTTCCATAGAGTAGACAGTGATCAAATCATTTACCAAAAGAAAAAACGAAAACTGAAACTCGTGGGGAGGTACGTGATGGGAGACCTTCTTGGGGAAGGTTCTTACGGGAAGGTGAAAGAAATGTTGGACTCTGAAACGTTGTGCCGAAGAGCTGTGAAAATATTGAAACAAAGAAAGCTGCGTAGGATACCGAACGGCGAGCAAAATGTGCAAAGGTATAATTGGTTGTGAACGCACAGGTTTTTTCATTATTTCGGTTCATGTATGTGTTTTAAATACTTTTTCTAAACTACATCTTGACGTGCATTTCGCTAACCAAGTTACCATCATCAGATGACTAAAACTAATTCCTTACATCTAGATGAATCGTTAGCTTTAAAAGAGTTCGAACCAATTAGTGTGTTAGTTTGTTATTGTTTCTCAATTGCTGTTATTTATTGTGTACATTCATTTGAAAAAAATCTCACTTACCATCTTGCTGTTGATAGAACCGACGAGCCAAGTCAACAGGGCTGCCATTTTGAGTTTATATCTGAAAAAGGAAATTATAAATTTCAATTATGACATGTCACCCACTCATAAGAGTACTAAAATCCTTCTTGCTCATTAATAAGTTGATTTCAATTGACAAAAAGATTCTATGTGGTCTTTTTCAGGGAAATCAAACTACTTCGTAAGCTCAAGCACAAGAACGTGGTGAATTTAGTGGACGAGCTTTACAACCACGAAAAGCAAAAGATGTATCTCATAATGGAGTTTTGCGTAGGCTCTCTGCAAGGTATGTTAGAATCGAGTCCGGACAAAAAATTCCCTCACTGTCAGGCACATGGGTACTTTTTGCAGCTCATCGACGGCTTGGAGTACCTGCACAGTATGAGAGTCGTTCACAAGGACATTAAACCTGGAAATCTACTTCTGACCCTCGAAGGTGACTTGAAAATATCCGATTTGGGAGTAGCAGAGGTGAGTTTTTCTTGAATTTCTAGTTTCCTTGGTGGGTTTAACTTTTAAAAGTGAGTTACAAACATTCATTGTGGAATTCCTCAGAAATCGTGCTAGTAATCGCACGTTGAAAGGTGAGACCTCGTTAATCTTCAGCTCATAGAAGTGTCGCCTTTTGAGGGTTGTCTTTCTTAGGTGGGACAGCTGGCCAACGGAAAAACAGATTTTCAATTCCGAAAATAATTTAAGATAGACTGTATTTTGATGACCAGACCATTTCGTTTTTACATTTTCACTATTATGATATGTTTAGAATTCTACTAATCTGTGTATAAAATATATCATGATTGATTGATTGAAGCAGAGAGGTTCTTTATTATCATGAAGCATTAAATCTCGTATACACATTTGCCAAATGAAGGTCATTTTTATTTTTCCAGGTTGTTCACTGTATAGAAAACACTAATAGAATAACTTTTAAATATAATCAGTTTCAATTAGAACCATTCAATATAGGATGTACAATACACTTAGTGAATCATATTGAAAATATATTTTAGCATTAACAGCAATCTGTTAATTGATAAATAATTTATTTTCCAATATTCCGCCAATTGAAACATTTGAGCTTGTTGACCCTCTCTAAGACAGAAACTATGTTAATTCTGTAGTTGTTGGTATTTTTTGGTATTATGAAACGTCTGTAATTGTCACTATCCATTTTTCTAACAACTTTGAACTCGCTTTCAGTTCCACAATTATCATAATTTGTTAGAGTTGGTTGGAAATACTCTTCCAAATTTAAATTTACCGCCAAGTTTTTTGACAGCTGTTGTATAATTAAAAGGGAGTAGCTACGAAACCACACAGTCGTTCGAAATTTCTCGGTCACAATGATTTTATCACAATCAGTACATAATGTACTGATCATTATTGATATTAAGAAATAGTTTTCACTAACGATTGAATTGATATTACAATACTCTTAGGAAATGTATATTGAAGTGTTGTTTAAAAAAAAATGAATCAATTTAGCGTGTATCTCTCAACAAGTGAAAACCCGATCATGCAATACGCCAACCTAACGGAGTAAAAAAAAATAAAAACAAAAATCGAAATACCTCAACAAAACTAAAAGAACGACGGACGTTACCACCGCACCACCGATGATATAAACCATGGCTTCATCAGCGACACTACACGGTAGCGCTCTCTCTCTTTCCCTGCCCAGAAATGCACCGCAGTCAAAGGTCACGGCGCGAAAAAAATACCCGGCGAAAGTAAACAAGCCGATCACAACAAAACAAATAAAAACGACCCGTCGGTGTAGGTGCGTTGAAGTGTCTCTGCTTTTCACGGCACCACTCGATTCTGTAACGCCGACTTCTGCCTGGACGGGATGTTTTTCGCGGTTTTCTCGCGAATTTTTTCCGACACGTTCTAGCAAGAGAAAGTCCGAATACAGGGCATTGTTCTCTCTATGCGATAACGGACTGAAATCTCACTCAATTGTGGCATGCCGCTCGCATGACTGCTGGATGTATTGGATATTTTTCGAGTCTTTGCTCGTGCTAGATGTTGTCGTGGTTGGTATTTTTGTGAGGCAGATAAGACTATTTACGATCGTCTTCTCTTCAAATAAATTGATGAGTCGTAATTATCGAGCGATTATAGATTATTCGGGTCGTTGGAGTTTGTAACGAAATATCGAATACAAGATTTTTGTTGTGTGTGAATGATTTGTAAATATGCTGATCTACTAGAAACAATTTATCTCTGATCAAGTCGTCACGTGTGGACACGTCTTTATGTAGAGCGACGCCTGATATTTCCGTTTTTAGTTGGACCACATTTTCGATGCAAAATCAGCAAATATCATCAATGAATATAGTTTAGAAAACAAAAAAACACGCTTTTGAAGAACATCGAACTAAAAAGTTAAAAATATATTTTTTTAAATAAACTTAAAACAATAAAGAACGAAAAATACCTACTAGTATTATTGTTAAAAAAGCGACGGGCGCTTGATATACAAGTGAGTTCGAATTATATCGAGGAGGTTACGACAGCGCCATCTGCCCGCGAATAGATCAAGCAATGTCGATTATTCTGTCAAATACAGATCCCAAGCTTGAGAGTTACAAACATACATACATACGTACATACAGATGAAGCTAATATGAAGTGTGTAATAATAATAAAATAAAAATAAAAACTAGCAGTAGAAACGTTGGAAATATTGACTTTGTCGAAGTAAAATGCTTTTAAACCGATTTTTTTTAGGAGTGATTAGTTTTTTTTGGGAAAAATTCATCGGAAAAGTAGAAAGCCGGAAAAAGGAGTCTCTTCGTTCAATGAAAGAAAGACACTTTCATTTGGAGAAAAATTTTCAAAGCAGCAACGTTTTGGGATCTCAAATTTGGCGGCGCCACGGGGAGCCGCAGCGCATAATTTGGGAATCACTGAGTTATGGAATCATTGTCTAATTATCCAACAAGGAAATGTCACACAATTGATGCTTTTTTCAGTTGTCATAGAATATATAATTGTTCGTTATTTTTTTTTTAATTAACCCTTTTTCATTTCGTGTACAGTTACTCAGAAAATTGAAGATATTGGGTATGATGAAATAAAAAAAAAACGAACAGAAACATTTTTTTGCATGAGCATCGGCCAGAAATTGTTGAATGACGTCAACGGAGATCCAAACTTGCTTAAAAGAATCATAACTGGTGACGAATCATGAGTATATGGTTTGTAATCGTCAAATTTTTTTACAGACCTCGTATATAGTTCTTATATATTTCTGATAATTTTTTATTGCATTGATAAGTCGATCTGGTATCCCGCGTTTAATCAACATTGTTCATTCATTACCCAAATGCTACAAGAGTCGATAAAATTAAAATGTTTTTTTACTTTCATACCATCTATTTTTAACTTTTATATCGACTATTTTCGAAGTGAACTTGACCTTGCCAAGCTATTGCTTATACAGGGCTATGGGTTATTCTGTGCAAAAGCAAAGTATTGTTTTTTTATAGACCTTTGACCTTTTTGCCAAAGACGACACCTGTTTCATCGGCCAAGGATCACCTGCCTTCCAACCTCCAGAAATAGCAAACGGTTTGGAATTTTTCCCAGGCTTCAAAGTGGATATCTGGAGCAGCGGAGTGACGCTGTAAGTACATTCCTTTTCTGAGTCACGAATAAAAAACTTTTGACGTTTTCAGTATCCGTCGCGTCCTAGCCCGGGAAAAGAACAGATCTCGGTGAACTGTTATTTAAGTTATGGATCGTTTTTCTTTTTCAGGTATAACATAACAACTGGTCTCTATCCCTTCGAAGGTGACAATATTTATAGGCTTTTCGAGAGCATAGGAAAGGGGGAGTTTACGATACCCGATGAAATTGGAGAACCGTTGAGGAGTCTGCTCTTCGGGATGCTGGAAAAGGATCCGGAAAAGAGGTTTTCACTTCAGCAAGTAAGACAGCACCCGTAAGTGAAAGTTGCAGTAATGAAATTTTATGATTATATATTTATTCGTTACAGAATTTTTCAAATGTTGTAAGTTTCGTACTTTTGTTTACTAATCTTGTTGTAGGTTTTTGTAGAGATTGAAAGTGGATTTTTGAAAAGACCTCGTAAGTTGTCACTGTGATGAAAAATATATCGGACAGACTTTTTTTTTCATTATATGAACAATAATAGCCAAAATATATGTTGATAAAACATACAAATAGCTTCAGAGATATCAGGAAGTCATTTATTTTGTTTACTTTCACAAATATTTATCTTTAGGCCATTTTGAACAAGAGCCATAAGCATAATATTATATCTCAATTGAATACGAGTAAACAAACAAAACCAAAGGTTCTAAATAAAAACGATATGGAGGGCAATGCTCAAGTTTAGCCAAAATTTTTCGACCTTCAATGTCAAGTAATATTTTGACAATATTTACTAGAGCAAACTAGAAGACTTGTATAAGAATGGAATGCAATCTGTTTGTCGACAACAATGTTTGTTTTCTTAAGACAATCAAAAATTTGTTATAATAATAGTAATAAATGTTCATTTTTTAGTTGAAAAGCATAAGTGTATAAATACATCCAAGTAGTAACTGACAAAAACGTGATAGTCAGTACAAAAAAGGATTTCCAGAAACTGGACATAATAATAAGATACGAATATAAAAGAAAATTAACCAAAATCAGCCTGTACATTCACTCATTTTATTATTGACAAAGCTGCAAATTTCGTTCATCATACAACTATATACACATATATACATACATATAGAGTATAAATTACAAATATTGACATACGTTTAACAATTTTATCCAAACAAATACTACATGCGTTCATTTTATGCCAACGTAGATAATTTTTTTAAGAGAAAAACTTTGATACTGCGTAAAAGTATGGAAAAAAGCTCTTGGACTTTCTCTTTCCCCATCAATACACAAAACGCGAGAGAAATAAAATGCCAAATAAAAACTAATCTCCGCTTAAAATATTTCCTTTGAAATTTTCAAAGCTTAAAATTTGTTATGAAGGAATCAAAATAGAGGGAATTAAGGAAAACATTAAATAATGTCGATCCAAGGTACAGAAGGATGAAATGGGGTGAGTTTTAGGGGTGGAAATCGGACTTTCACGATTTCAGCTAAAACTAGACTGAAAAAAGTTGTATGTGAAAGTTGTGGGTGATATAAAGATATAAAACTTTTGTACAATTTTTTTGAAGGAGCTGAAAGTTGATTCAAGTTGAGTGGGAGGTACATATGACATGCCCAAGTTCAGGTGAAAAACACTTTACCCCTTGACTCTCATGTGAACCTTGTGGGTGAACGTACGACTTCGTAGGTCATACTTACACCTCTCATGTGAACCTTGTAGGTATGACCGACAAAGTCGTAGGTTCACCTACAAGGTTCACATGAGAACTTGGGCATATCATATGCACTTCTCCAGAATAGATTCATTATTTATTCTGACTCCTACCCCAGAGTATGTGTTTGTGGAGCTGTTTCCGGACTTTCGTTATGAGCAAAATATTTTCTTCCCTTTCACACATTTTTCATGTCCTTTTTAATTTTTTTGCTTCTCTAACAGGCATCCGATTTGGTTTTGGTGTTGTTTGGTTTGATGACGAAACAAAATGAATAGAGATCAATTTGTGTGCTTTTGGGAGAATTCAGTATTTGTTCTGGGCTACACTTTGCAAAATGTTCCTTAACTTTTCAATATTTTTCTCACACTTTCCGTTTGCTCCAAGTTTTCACGTATTTTCAGAAGCCGAAAGGCATCAACAAGCTGGTCATTCGTACGGGAACGCTCAACAAAGCCAAAGTTCGAAGAGGGCCAGTAGGTGGAAGAAACCAATCTCTTGTATATCGGTGAGGGGTTTTCCGGGGTGCAAGCAATCGTGACAAATCTTTTTTTATACTTCTCTTTGTAATTATTTTGTTACTGTCATATTTTTCATAAGGGAGTCCCGACTGGTATTAAATACATTGTTAATATTTGTAAATTTATGTCTGTTGTACAATCAAATATGTTTAACATTTTTGTTGGGTTTCTGCTCATATAGTTTCACTTCTAGAAATGACTGACTAGTCAATAACGAAATTGAACAATATTTTGCAAATTCTGCAACTTATTGGTGCTGTCTTCATCGTAACGTAATCAAATGAAATTATTAACTTATTTTAAAGCACATTCACCATGGACATCAGTGTAACGTGCAACAGTAGAGAAAGAAGGATATTGCTAGTGATACTATTGGTTGGATTGTTTTTGAGAAAGAAATGGTCTGATGTGATAGATGTTGATTGAAGTCTTGGAAGTTTTTATTTTCGAAAAGCAAATGATGAATTGAATTTTAGTTTGGTTATATTCGAGATTATATGAGTACAAAAGAAAATTCTGCAAGAGATGAAATACAAATATACTGTAGCGACAGTATAAGCACAAGTATAATGCATTATACTTGTGGTATAAGGTTTGACCTTAGTGTTAAAGAAACTGTATTTATGAATGAATACAGAATGGACGTTAATCTTGCACTTTATTTTTATTATAGAACGGGAACGGCTTGCGTTTCTTCTTCTCTTTTTTTATGGTCTTTGATTCCTAACGGCTTCCGTTACTCTTGCTCTTGTCAATGTCACCAAATCTTCATGTTTTTAAAATTTTTGTATTCTGTTCATATGACATTGACGTCCTGTGCCTGCAGAGTGTCGTCCTATAATGGATAACACAGATCACAATGGGAGAATGATAAACAATTTTCCTTTTAACCTTGGCTTTATTCGCCCCAATGGAAGCAAAAGCCTAAAACTGAGAGAGATATGTAATTTTAACCTCATTTAGGCTTTTTGGTTTCACCCATTTTTTTAAGATAAAAATGTGATAAGTAATCATTAGTCGACTTTGACCAATTATATTTAGTTTACTTATATAGCTTTGTTAATTGCCCAACAAGAGATTACCATGACGTTTTATTCGGTGATAGTGACTGCACATAGCTTGTGTAACAAGTCACTAAAATGCTTGAATTTATACTATTCCACTAAAAGAAATGGTATTATATTTAGAAAATTCAGCAGTATGGCTCAAAAAATCAGTCAAAACAAGACTTACATAGCAGTAGAAATTCCTATAAAAGAAAAGAATGCTGCCAGAGGGATATTAAAAATATTCCGAAGAAACAAAAGTAGTACCCCAAAAAGGGATCCAGTAGTGAACAAATCGGAACTCAGGCGATTATTTTCGTTGGCAAAACCAGAGAAATGGAAACTGGGCACAGCTATTGGCTTCTTATTAGTGTCAAGCTCTGTGACAATGACCATACCATTTAGTTTAGGAAAGGTGCTAGACATAATTTATACAAGCAGTGAAGATAGTAACGAGGCAAGAACGAGACTGAATAAAGTATGCGGTATTTTGTTGGGTATTTTTGTATTGGGTGCCATTTGTAACTATGGGAGAGTGTACTTCATGTCTACTGCAGGGTACCGAATGACCAATGCCCTCAGGAGGCAGGTCTTCAGTTCGATATTAAGACAGGAACAGGGCTGGTTTGACAAGAGACCAACAGGCGAACTAATAAACAGGTTGTCTGCCGATACCCAGATTGTGGGGACAGCTTTGTCACAAAACATCTCCGACGGGTTACGCTCTTTCGTGATGGTTTGTGCGGGCACAGGCATGATGTTCTACATGTCTCCAGAGCTGGCATTGGTAGGCCTAGCGATTGTGCCTCCAGTAGCTGGCATAGCAGTTATTTACGGACGGTTTGTAAGAAACATTTCCAGGAAATTGCAGGACTCTCTGGCGGAGTCTACAAAGGTATATATAACTCTTTATTAGCACAAACTTTCATGACATTCAAAATTTACATCAAGGTACTATAACAACTCAAGTGAATTGAAGTGAGATTTTCTACACTAAAACTTGTGGGAAACTTCCAAATTAAGATAATGCTCGTGTTTTTTTTTTATCCAAAATGTAGATCTGCATTAGAGTCCCTGGAGACCCCTGCTGTTATTTTCAATTTATACTTCAAACATATTGAGCTGTTTCCAAAATGAAATGAAAATGTTTTTCATAAAAATTTTTGAAATTTCTTATATTTACGCACCTTTATGTTACTGTCAATTTCAACCTATTATTTTCAAGGTAGCTGAAGAGAAGATTTCCAATGTGCGGACAGTGAAATCATTTGCACAAGAACCTAGAGAGATTGAGAGTTACAACATGGCGATTGATGGTGTTCTAAAATACTGCTACCAAGAAGCAAAGGCAAGAGCTTTTTTCTACGGCATGACAGGATTCAGCGGGAACGCTATTATAATATCAGTTCTCTACTACGGGGGAGTTATGGTATCCTCAGACACATTAACCGTGGGGAATTTAACGTCGTTCCTTCTTTACGCTGCCTATATAGGAATATCCGTGAGCGGCCTATCTAGTTTCTACACTGAATTGAATAAATCTGTCGGAGCTGCCACCAGGATGTGGGAAATCATAGATCGACAGCCGATTATCCCCATACAAGGTGGCTTGGTGCCCATGGACAACCTTCAAGGCCACATCGAGTTCAAGAACATCAAATTCAGCTACCCAGCCAGGACGGACATTGAAATATTCAAGGATCTGGACCTGGACATAAGTCCTGGCAATACCGTCGCAGTTGTAGGCCCAAGCGGGTCCGGAAAAAGCACCCTGGCAGCACTCTTACTCCGGTTATATGACCCGTCAGGAGGAGCTGTATTGTTGGACAACCAAAACATAAAAGACCTGGACCCTGCCTGGGTGAAGAAACACATCGGCACCGTCAGTCAGGAACCCATATTGTTCTCTTGTTCCATAAAGGAGAACATTCTGTACGGGGCTGAGGATCCGGATAAAATCACCGAAGAACAGCTTATGAGGGTGTGTGGGGAAGCCAATGTTATTGAGTTCGTGGAAGACCTCCCAGACGGTTTCGACACTCTAGTTGGAGAAAGAGGGGTTATGCTTAGCGGGGGTCAGAAGCAACGAGTCGCCATAGCCAGGGCTCTCATTAAGGATCCTAAAATACTTCTTCTGGACGAGGCTACCAGCGCTCTAGATGCCCAGTCAGAGCACCTGGTTCAGGAGGCTCTGGAAAGGGTGATGAAAGGCAGAACGGTTCTGACAATTGCTCACCGGTTATCAACCATACAAAATGCTGATGTCATCGCCGTTTTGGATAACGGCCAGATCGTAGAGAAGGGAAAGTATCAGGATTTGGTGAGTCAAGACGGGGTGTTCAAGGAGTTGATCAAGCACCAGACTTTCAAGGAGTTTTGAGGGCTGGCGGTTTGTTTTTAGAGTTGTCCAAAGGAGTTTTATTTGGGTGCCGGTTTTGGATTGCTGTTCAACATCATGAAATGAGATTGAAAATTTGTGAAGGGTTCACGTCGTGGTTGCAATGCTTACAAGGAAATTGATATTTATATAACTAATTGGCAAAATAATCATTGTTGTTTCCAATAGAGACAAAATGGCACAGTTGCAGTTGCAGTCTAGTAATTTTTCATTCAGCTAAACCTTCAATTTTGAATGCTAGTCAGATTTTTGTTTTCTATTGTCAATATTGACAAGTTTTTGTCTATGCTATATCATGAAAGTTCATCTGAAAATACAGTCATTCTAGAAGAAAACCATACTTTGTAGTGATGTTTCAGTGATAAAGGTCATTGTTGCGTTTTGGAAATACTTCTAAATTTGTATTGTATTTTGTTGATTGTTCAAAAAATTTATTGTTGATGTACTTACATGAAATTTTATTTTTATTTGAAATTATATACCTCTGAATTGAATTTTTTGTTTACAACCTTCAAATAAATTGGTGGTTGGGTCTACTATCGATGGTTTGTACAAAGGAGCAGGATACATCTTTGTGAATTTTTCAAAATTAAATAACTCCTTTCCCAGCCTTTTCAACTTCTCAATTAAACCAATTATAATCAATAGGTTAATACATCAAACTTCAAGAATACTAATTTATGTAGTAAAAATCAGCTTTGTCGCAATGTGCTCTACAAACATACATAGATTTGCTGATTGTTTACTCATTCTGAGTATAGTATAAAGCATTTTCAGATATATAATTATCACACCTTAACCTTTGGATTTACTAGCCATTAGGAAAAGCAGATTTTCTACTTGTTCAAACTAATAATTTAATAAATAAATGTAACACCGCACTGAGACTTCGGTTCTTAATGACAATTTTCAGTTTTCCTAGAGTTTGACGTTCATTTAATAAATCTAGGTGTCGCCCACTCCGTGTCTTCTGGATCATTTTTCGACTAATTAGTTTATCTACTGAACAGCAGATGGAGGTCTGTCACCAAATTCACGAAGCAAAAGTTGATTACCTTAAGTCGCACAAGTTTCTCAACTTCTGAGAGTTGTCGTTGGTATGTGGGCGACAGCTGATTAACCGAGCTTGACAAAATATTTTAAAACTAGACCATGTAGAAATATCTGCCAGGGCGGGTATTGAACATGCACAAATTGTGTTTTTTTTTTCAATTCCGAAGTGTCTTGTAATTATAACACAAATTTACAATTTGCTTACTTTTATTTTTGAAGTGAGCAGGAAAAAAACTACTACTGCCTACTGGATGGGGAACTGGGTCAATGACCGTCAGTGACCTACATGTGAAACCTTGCAAAAAATAAGAAGAAGATTGGCCTCTCAACTATTCTGCTCACACAGCCAATATCTGTGGATGAAAAAAAATGTATGAGAACATTATGGTAAGGTGGCGGTGTATTTCTCAAGGAAAACAATTGTTAGAGTAACATTTATGTGAAATGTCGCTATACATATACGAACGATTGCAATTACAAAAACTATCTGGAGTTTTGTGACTACAGTAATCATTGTTTTATTTTAGGCAAACATTCAAATTTTAATTCCTAGATGATTCTCATTCGGCGATTCTTCCAAATTGCATTTTTCAGAATCAATGGCCCTTTCAGTAGTTTCTTAGTATATTTCTTTGAAGAATGTTTACCCCTGGAAACTTATACATGTATATCTGAAGGCTACAATTGTTCTTCCATTGCTAATTTATCTTTCTATACTCATGAATAATGTTTTTATAGACTCCAAGGACAATTCCCTGCAACCCATCGAACTCTTGAGCGACTCTACAGTTAATTGGGAAATGGAATACCGACACGTGTCGCTGGTGTCACGCTCTAGTAGTCCGGATTCGGAAAAAATGGACGTGTCCAACTCGAACACGCCCCATTCGAAAATCTTCACTAGTCAGAGAAAAAGGCTGAGTCACAGCTTCAAAGATGGGGGGGAGAAAAAGTAAAGTAAAAAATGGAGACGTGCCACTTTGAAAATGATAAATATAGAAAATTTCAGGAACATTGTATTTCAATATCGTTATTTTCAACACGTGTTTTAACTATGTGACTGACTGAGAGATGAATGTTTAATTTTGGCTTGATTTACACTAGTAGAGTAATTCATAAAAATACAAACGAACAATTTCGTTCTGCTAATTTTATTTTTAGAGGAGATAATCAGAAATTTTAGAACAAGCATAGCATAGGCCACTACTATCGAACATTCCATTGTCAAACTCGTCCATGACATTTCTGAACCTATCTTGCCTAGAAAGTGTGTTATCTGTTGACCTCGTTGAAACCAAATGAGAAAAGTTTGTAGAATCTTCAGAGGTGAGAAGAAAACTTTTCTTCAGTAACATACCCTAGAAAAATGAGATTGAATAATATACTCTTTAAACTTCTGTTACAACAATTTTACCTGGCACATCTTACATTTCAGCGGACCACTTTCCGCTACAGCCAATTTGTCACCAGTTTTCAGAATAGTGTTAACCGTAGAAGGAAAGTTGACTTGTAAATCGCTTACAAATTTTTTCATCAAATCTTGCACCGAGGAATAGGGATTAACTTCCGGTTGCCTGATAGAGAGAGGTTTTGAATTATTAATTTCGTTATATAAAACCAACTCCTTCATGTCGAACAGTCGCAGTGGTCTCAAAATTTTTACGTCATCGTCCCTGTCGTCACAAAAACCCTACAAATTTGTTCAAAATCCTAGTTGACAACTCAAAAAAAGCATTCAATGTGGTACTCACAGTGTCATTGGGAATATGAGATCCTCTTCCTAGCGAAATGTTTGTCAGAAGTTGGGATGCTGTATCTACTGATATTTCTGGAGTGAAAATAAACTTGCAGCTACGACTTTTAGCAACATCCAACAAAAGCCGCCTCCTGTAAAAAACGATTTGTAGGAATATTCAGAGATTAAAATCAAATCGTACCTGAGCAGATCTTCAATATCCTTTCTACTGGTAGTTGTACACTTTTTCGTAATTGAAGCTGAAAGTTTCATTTGATCATCTTGGGTGATTTGCAAGTCACTTGATAAAATGAGTTCATCAATCTTAGCTGGATTCGAAACATATTCAGCAAATGAAACGAAATTTCCTTTGAAACCGAACGATTTTATTTCTTGTTCCACGGCTTTCAAAAGCTCCAATCTTTCATCTAAGCTGAGATGGTATTGATCTGGAAAGCATCATATAAAGAACATATAATTTTTTCCTTAGCACATGGAGGTATGAGGTCTTTTAAAAAAATAAGGTGCTAGGCCTTGGGGAACTTCCAGATATACATCTACTTTTCTAAAGTATTCATCATTGGTCTTAACATATTGTTGAAGAAATAGGTGGTACCTTACCATCAATAAACAAAACAACTGGTTCGAATCTAAGCTTTTTAGGAGTGCTCAAATCCAATCCTGCTCTCAAGAAATGCAAAAGTGCAGTACTCGGGTGCCCCACTTTGTGGTAAATTAAAACCCTATCCTTTGGACGAATGAGGCGTGATTTTCCAAGTAACGCTTTGAATTTGTGGGTAGTTCCAGCTAGAAAACAAGCTTCGCAATAAGAGTCCTTGTCCCTCAACACAATACAGGGAGGTTCCGTTCTACATTTAATACACGTTTTGGATCTGGAAAAATGTTTATTAGGTGGTTTTGTATTTATTTTTTATAATACGCACAGTATGGTTTCTTCCAGGGGCATGAGTTTGTCAGATTCGTTTTCAAATACATCGTCACCAATGCTACACATTTTTCAAAAAATATTTCAACTCAAAAAATTAATTATTGTTATTGAGGAGAGGTTATTCTTTACCATATCGCCATCTAGTTTCTCACAAGAAAGTTCACCTGCCTGGTGTGACCCCTATCAGACATTTTTTGAACTGATAAGAAAAGTACATTCGAAGGGATTATTGCCACAAGATGGCAGGGAAAAACTCTAGGAAACCAGAAAATGTCAAAGTGACACTTTGTTTTGAAATTTTTACAAAATATCAAAAGAAATGACATTTTAACAAATAGTTTGTAAATTGATGGATGTATCCGTTACTTTGTAGCCGTTAATATTTTGTCATAATACATGTTGTAGAAGTATTGGACCGTAATAACCCGTTAGTCGAAGGTGAAACAGTTTTCAGGATTGATTATGTCTGGTGAGAATATTTATTATTTGCTTACAAAGTTGTTTCCTCTCGAAGTAAGTATAACTGTGTGGTAATTCAAACGTGTAATGTGATCACATGTGTAAAGCAGGTCACTTTGGTTTCAACAAACCATCGTTATAATAAAATTTTGATATTCAGATATGAGGAGATGGATAAATTTGCAAAAATTAAATAACTCCTTTTTCCCAGTCTTCTCATCTCTGGTATATAGATTATCATTGATAGGTTAATAAATCAATACGCAAAATACTAATTTATGTAGTAAAATCACCTTTGTCCTAAAGTGCTCTACAAACATACATGAATTTGCTGATTATTCACCCATTTTGGGTATAATTTTTCATTTCTTTGAATGACATTCTATCGAATACTTTCTGTTTTCCTATAGTTTGAAGTTCGATTATTAAACCTAGGTGTCACCCACTCCGTGGTATTTTCAATAATCATGCGATTAATGTTCATCTACCGAACAGCAGATGGAGGGCTTAAATGTAATTTTCATTAAATTAACGAAGCAAAATTATGGGGATTCGAATTCAACCAGTTTCGATTTTATCCTCAAAAGGATTACCTCCGACTTGTGCAGTTCCAGAAAAACAAATATACCTAAAAATCATTTTATTCATATAACTCGACAAGAGGTTGGAATCCTCAAAATGTTCAGCCACAAAAAACATTTGATTTCAATTTACATTGAAAATCCCAAATTCCCCAACACTTTCCACTCATCTATAATATTGTTGGTTACTAGTCCACTGTGGAGGAGCCGTGCTGTAATCAAACTGGGGATTAGGTCTTGTTTGAGCTTGCGCTGGTGCAGCGTATTGAACAGCGGCAGCTGTAGACCCAGTATAAGCGGGATAGCTCTGAGCCGCGCTGTACGCAGGTGGCGCAGCATAATATTGCGGTTGCTGCGGCGGGGGAATGTGCAAAGGGGGCAGAGTCTGAGTATAACTGGGCGCGGGATACGGAGTGTAGTAGTTCTGAGTAGTAGGTATCGCCTCGTGAACCGTAGGTGCTGATTCTTGAATGGGCACAGTTATCAGATTGGTCCTCACTCCTGAAGATTGCACCGGGGTAGGACGAGGACGTATGTTTGTCGGTAGACCGCCTCCGGATCTGGGATCGTTGGCCGTTTTAGTACGCATGGGTAGCGTCCTTTCTGGTTCGATGGTTTCTAGAGGCTGTGGAGTCATGGTGGCTATATGGCGGTGATTGATATGGGCTTGCAAGTCACGCTGAGATAAATAGGTTCTTCGACACCCCGACTGACCGTATCTGGTTCCTCCATGAGTACACATAAAAACAGTGCCAAGACCCGTTTGTTCAACTCTTGTTACTTTATCCAAACAGCGGGGGCACTGTTTTTGTTCTTTCTTTCCGCAAGCTAGGCAAAACACATGCTTGCAAGGAATCTGTAACAAAAGAAGTTTTCCTAAAGCGGTGCAAATAAACAGTTAGCAGACACAACTTGAGTTTATTCTACTCTGACTCTTTATTCTTTGATGTCCATGTTCAAATTTATAACTTTGATAATCATTTTTTTCAACTCTCAAAATATATTTGATTATTTCAATTTTTTGTCAGTCTCAGTTCTGATTTATCCCGTTTTTCTTCGTTCAAACTTATATATGTTATAGTTTTAAAATGTTGTTTTTTTACTACAATAAAAATGTATGTTTCTTTAGAAGACTATCAATAGTATGAGAAACTGCTAGTATTTTGAAACCAAACAATAAAATGCATGATTCCATCACCGTTTCTTTATCCCATTTCCAATTCACCTATATTTGACATAAAATGGAAAATTTGTATATTAATTCATTGTTATAACTAGAAATAAACATTCACCTATTGAGATCGTATCAAACTAGGAAATCAAAAAGTCTTACTATCAGTAAAATCAACACAAATTATAGACTTGAATAACTTTATGTAATGGCGGGATCATTCATAATGAACTAACAACTACTTTGAAACAAAACGTTTCTGAAAATCAGTTTTGGAAACATAATAAACTTCAAGACCACTATACCAACCATTCTTCCGTAAATAAGTATTGGTTTCAAACATTTGTCGCAGCAGTGAATCAAGGGATTCAACACTTTCTCTCCTATCAGGTTGACCTTATGATTCCAATCCAAACGTAACATCGGCTCAGGGGGTCCCCTGTTGATGGTAGTAAAAGTTGGAGCTTCCAGTTGAGATATATCTGCCTCAAGGTCGACTAAAAAGAGCCATTTTCAATGTACAAACAAAAAGTTGACACGAGATCTTACTTGGCGGAGGAGCAGCGTTTTCCTCATTCTCTACGACCTGAGGAGAGGGTTCCTCCACGGCCTCGGGCACTGGTGCTTCTACTTCTTCATCGCTCTCGATAATTTTGGCTTTTTTACCTCTTCCGCGGCCTCTACCTCTACCTCGCCCACGACCTCTTCCACCCCTGCCTCTACCTCGACCTCTTTTGGGTGCTTCATCCATTTTCGCCTTCATAAGTTCTAATATATTTATTTATTTATAATATATATATAAAGTTTTCTCCTACCCAAACAAATAAAGATGAATTTAGAGGTTAATGCACTTCTGACAGCGACGTTGACAAATGTACTTCTTTCTTAAGTTTATGGCATTAGCTGTCAAGGCTATTCAGTCATACAAAATTACAAAGCTAATTTGTTAAATTCTCAGTCTATAATCATCATAACTCCTGTTTCCAATTTTCTGTTTCTTGAAAAATTTCATTGTAATAAAATGAGCGTCAATTATAAGAATAGAAAGTTGAGGAAACTGGTTCAACGTTTTAATTATCTAATATTTGTTCTCAATTATGTTCAACAAATCGTTACCTATATTCTTTTACCGGTGTAGAAGTGTACCTTCGACTAGTGAATTTCTATCAATAAGCTTTTTGTTCTAATTGATTTGGCAGTTACTTGATAAAGATCCATAGTAATTTCATAAACTACATTTTATGATTTGATCAAATCGTAAAGTGTAGTTTATGAAAATAAACTATTAGCATTGGTAGGACTAGATGATTTACTGGAAAAGTGAAGGTCTCAGACTGTATTTTCCTTTCCTAAAGTGGACTATTCAACATGTTGAAAAGTTGAGAATTTGTATTTTTTTTGACTAAGCTCAAGCATGAAAGTATAAACTATTGAACATTTGTTCTGAATTATTATGAACCTTATCTTCTTCTTATAAGGAATCATTAGGATAGCTCGTTCCATCACAGAATTCATAAAGATTTCTTCTAACAAGTATGGGTGGTAGAGGTGAGGAGAACTCTCTCGAGTGGGGATTCAGTTGAAATAGTGTCCACCAGTAGAAGATAAATTGAACTTCAAAATTCGACTACAATGTCGTTAATATTAAGAGTGGTATGATGTGGACTTGACAACTATAGAGAACGTTAAGTATGCTGAATTAGAATATTTGGTATTTTCAATGGCTTCAGTTGTCAATAATATAGAGCTTATAGGAATGTAAGTATTTACGTAGTCGAATATTATATGGTAAATATAACCTAACAAAGTTACTCTGGGATAACGTTGAAAGTCAATGAATTAATGTTTTTTTTTTCGTTCTGTTTGGTTCTCCATATTCTTCAACTTTAAGCGCTTTATTTCAAATGTACACTCTTGCTATTGTGGCGCCTCCCTAAATGGCTTTGGACGGACACTTTCTGATACACATCGTTCATGTCAATCAATAAGTTAATCTTCGTCTTCCTATGTGTGGTTTATATCGTGAAGTAAGTAACATTTGACATTTTTGAAGGAAGGCTGAAAATAAAGTTCGCGCCGTTAAAAACAGAAATCTGTAATCAGAGTTCGTCTAAGCGAGAAACCAACGGATTGTTTTGAAAATGTGGGGTTGTCCAACGGTCGATTTGGGTCGTTGGTGTTTTGTCAGACGGTAATTATTTTAATTTTGTTTTGTAAATTGAATTTTCAACGTTAGTACCGCAACTGTGTAATTATTCAAGAAGTATTATTTGAGTTTATTAAATATCCACAACATTAAAAAAATATATACTTAAATACCAACTATTCGAGTCTGAACGAAATTAACATGGATTTCAAATACATAAATGATAGGAATAAAACTCCTAAAGCTAAGACTGAGATGTTTTCGAGCACCGGGTCCTCCGATAGCCCTTTTAAGTTGTTACCGAATTATTCGACTCCCCCATCGAGGTTCTGTAAGATAGTGAATCCATTCGAGCGCCATTTGATTGATAGACTACACCTCCCCACGTTCAGGTAAGTGAACCGTATTTTAACTGAATAAGGCCTTTAGAACCACACCCAATTTTCCTGTAGTCCGTCCGTGTTTGCCAAAGTTTCCACCCCCAAGAGCGAAGAAAAGTTCAAGTGGACCATAGATGATATATCGAGTCTGAAACCAGCTGACATAGACGAGGAAACGATAAGCCAACACGTTTTCGAAGAGGACCCTCAAATCGAGTCGATGGTTCAAGAGAAGATCGATAAGTTCTTCAGCGAGAAGGTGATAGTTCCTAGCCCCATGACTGAGGTTGTAAGAGTTCCTCTCGTCGCAGATGACTTCAAAGATTCCCCTAGCTCACCAAATGTGAAGCAGTATTCTCAAAGTGAGTAACTATTTATTAAAAATCAATGAGTCCACATGAGATTATTCCCTGTATATCCTGTGGAACTACCTTCAGTCAATATTCCTTTGAGATACTTACCTCCGTTTGAGGAATAGGAATCTCTGGATATCCTTGAAGCTATGGTAACTAAAATTCTATTTGGTAATGAATTTGGAATTATTAATTTCCAATTTTTACTTCATTTACTATGTGCAAAAGATAATATGATTTAATTGAATAGAACTGGCCAATTCTTGATGAAAATCCATATTAAAACTCATTAATACTGTTTATTGTATGATTTTTACTATAAAGTGAAAGTTTATAGTGAAAATCATACAATAAACTATATTAATGAGTTATATGTCTCCCTGAATTTTGTGACCAAATCCAGAACGTGATTTCTGCTTAGGTGTTTACCAGGGTTTTGCATTTGAATATGTTGAACTTGAATATGATGTTCCTGGATGAGATTCCTGAATGTTCTGCTATTTTGACGAATATATACCTTAACAAATTCCACAATTTAATTTATACCCTCCTGATTTCTCAAAGGATGTTTTGTCTTCTCTTTCCCAAAGGATTTCCTGTTCAATATGCAATTCTAATATCTTGTTTGTTCAAAAATGAAGCCACTTTTTCTGTTGGTTGTCCAAAAAATGTAAGAGCTCTATAAAAAATATCATAATTATAGAGCCTCGACATATTTTGGACAAACAACGACACAAATTTTGCTAATCAAGATATCTATATATGAATAGTCTTGTCATAGACTGTTGCTATATTGAATTTGGATAAAATGGTTTCTAAGATGCCAACTTGTGATATATCGTTGAAAAGTGAATTTTAAGTCCATCAAATGGTCGGAAAAATAAACCAGATTTGATATTTTTGACTTGGTTTCATTTCCGGTTAAACCGGTAGGGATTCTCAGTTGTTATATCAAATAATCAATTTCAAAGGCTTCCTTCCAAATATCAAATTTCTTATAACTGAATGTCGTCGCAACAATGATTTCATTTAATTACATTCCAGTTTAGTTTAAATGACTAAATGGATTAAATCAAAATATCTCTTTGCAGATTCCGCCCAGACTGTGTTAACTTTCCCCCCGACTCTACCTCCCCACGTAGAAGAGGTCCTGAAACCGTACTTCACGCACACCGAAGATCAACAAAAGACTACTTCTGATATGAAAGACACCTCCCTGTATCGCCACTTGTTTGAGTTCGATCAATCCCCGAACCGAAGTTCAGGAACACCTTCCTCTGTTGATACCTCTCCCGCCCTGTCTACGGGAATGTCCCCCATACAATACTCCCCATTCGAATCCCATTCCAATAAGAGGGAATCGCTTCCTAGCGATATTCCCGAACTTCGCGAATGTAGCCTTTCTCCGATCCTCAGATCAAAAGAGTCCAGGTCTGCCTGTCGACTCAGTTTCTCCAGCAAGATGGGGATGAGTGTAGATTCTAGTCTGATTGTGCCTGATATTGCTGATCAAATGTCAAGTCAGAGTGTTTTTACTGGTAAGTTCATTGTGAGTAAGTATATTTATGCAACAAAAGGGAGCCCTATGGAAACTATGAAAACTGAAATTTCAGGTCTCACATAAATCATAAGAGTCGATATTTACTTTTCATAACTAAATTTTGACTTGATATTGTCTATTCTCTTCTCCACTCTAGCCAGAATACATGAAAAACATTAAATCTGGTGGCAATTCAGAAAACAACTTTAGGAAATACATTCCGTGTTACGAATCACACGTTAAAAGGTAAGACCTCGTTAGTCCTTAAGTCGCACAAGTTTCTCAACTTCTGAGAGTTGTCGTTGGTATGTGGGCGACAGCTGATTAACCGAGCTTGACAAAATATTTTAAAACTAGACCATGTAGAAATATCTGCCAGGGCGGGTATTGAACATGCACAAATTGTGTTTTTTTTTCAATTCCGAAGTGTCTTGTAATTATAACACAAATTTACAATTTGCTTACTTTTATTTTTGAAGTGAGCAGGAAAAAAACTACTACTGCCTACTGGATGGGGAACTGGGTCAATGACCGTCAGTGACCTACATGTGAAACCTTGCAAAAAATAAGAAGAAGATTGGCCTCTCAACTATTCTGCTCACACAGCCAATATCTGTGGATGAAAAAAAATGTATGGGAACATTATGGTAAGGTGACGGTGTATTTCTCAAGGAAAACAATTGTTAGAGTAACATTTATGTGAAATGTCGCTATACATATACGAACGATTGCAATTACAAAAACTATCTGGAGTTTTGTGACTACAGTAATCATTGTTTTATTTTAGGCAAACATTCAAATTTTAATTCCTAGATGATTCTCATTCGGCGATTCTTCCAAATTGCATTTTTCAGAATCAATGGCCCTTTCAGTAGTTTCTTAGTATATTTCTTTGAAGAATGTTTACCCCTGGAAACTTATACATGTATATCTGAAGGCTACAATTGTTCTTCCATTGCTAATTTATCTTTCTATACTCATGAATAATGTTTTTATAGACTCCAAGGACAATTCCCTGCAACCCATCGAACTCTTGAGCGACTCTACAGTTAATTGGGAAATGGAATACCGACACGTGTCGCTGGTGTCACGCTCTAGTAGTCCGGATTCGGAAAAAATGGACGTGTCCAACTCGAACACGCCCCATTCGAAAATCTTCACTAGTCAGAGAAAAAGGCTGAGTCACAGCTTCAAAGACGAAGACGACTATGACAAGGAGAATGAAATGCCAACCGAGAACATACGTCAGAATAGAAAACTATTCAAGAATGATGTTACGGACGCTGGCTACCACACCAACACCGCTACTTCCTTCGATGAGTCTGTGTATACTTCCAATGTGTTCGCCTCCACCCCCACGAAAAGGAAAGAGGATAACCAGTAAAATTGTTTTTAATATAGAAAAGTAATATTTGTTCTTGGGCTGGGCTTACTAGAAACAACTTGTTTGTATATTTCGGAGATTTATTTGGGGGGAGATTTTTCGTTGGGGATAGTTCGAGGTGATAAGACTGATTGATTTATTGTCGCTGGAAAACCCAACTATTTTCACATTGCTGAGGGTTCTTGTCTTTTCAAGATTTCTTGTATATTAAGTTTTATGGTAGAGTTGACAATTACTTTCTATGAATTTTTCTCTAATGTAAGACTAAATTTCTTTTGTGCCAACTTGAAAATGCTCTCTTTGTTTTGGGACGTTTTGATATTCTGAGATCTCCTTCAGGTACTGCCACGTAGATGCGTGAAAATCTATTTATTTTTCCTATTATACTGTCTTATATTTGATTTATTTTGGGAGAAACGTTCAATTGATATTTGTGTTTTTCTCGAAAGCTGAGTTTTACATATCGTTTTATATATTTTTTTGAGTGTTTTGAGATATTTTGGAATTTATTGATTGTAGAAACAGAACATATATTATGTAGTCCATAATGTGCAATTTACAGTAAACTATACTGCCTTTTTGTTGAGTTTTTTTTAACAGGACAAGGAAATGCTAATTTGAACAAAAGTTATGTTTACTTATGTTAAAATACTTGACATCATTCTTGGTAAGTGTTGAGAAACAAAACCTAATGAAAAACCGTAGTGTTACTACCATTAAACACAAGAAGTCTTCTTAGTATCTCTTATTATTATGCTTTTTAAAGCATAGAGGCATAGACATGCAAGTTAGTGGAATATTGACACCCTGAATGACAACTGACATACTTTCGAACCTTTATCTCTTTCTATTGGTTGAAGAACTGTCACTCCCTGAATCAGTTAAAAATAGAAACATATATATCGCCCTCTATTGGTTGATAGCCAAACTAAGTCGTCCCTTGCATCAGATTTTTGTATATAGAATAAGTTAGACCATTGTATACAAAGGTTAGACGTTAGACTAGGTTAGTCTATATACAAAGATAAGATTCTCAAAATTCGTACAATCGCATAGTTTGAAGAGAGATGACTCTTCAACCAACGAAACGAGAGCTTTGTTATATAGACTATCCCTATACAAAGATGAGAGATCTTCCTTTATTGGATGATGCCGAAATCTGTAACCATCTTCGATCAGAATATCAAAATCCAAAGACCGAAAAAGTATTCCCGTCTGATCAAAAACCACCTTCTTTCATTCAGAATTGAATGAATGAATCCTAATGTATGTCTTGAAATGCTCTGAAATTGGAGAAATAAAATCTGAAGTATTTAAATAAATATTTATTTTATATTACATCCTTATAAAAAAAATAATTACAAACTAAACGTTTAATCCATCAATATCTCTCAAGTATATTACAAAATGATGCAACAATTATATCTATACATAAGTTAAATATCTATATCTATGGTCAAGAATTATTCATTAGTTTTGGGAGTTATATTCGGATGAATCGCAATACTAGTCTGCGCCGGAGGCAAGTTGTGAGCCTGATGCGACGTCGAAGGTCCGTGTAGAGGGAGTAGGGTTTTTTGTTTTGTCTTTGACGGGATCAATGGCTGTTTGTCGCTGTAGGATTTTGATAGCCTCTCGCTGAGCGCTTTCAAGGCAATTTGTCTGAAATTTTTCAACAAAAAATTGACATCGATAACATAACAACTGAACTAAACTAAAAATGTACATTTCCAAAGATATAGATACACTTTTTGACGAAGTTGAAGCGATATTCTAGAAATGAAGTTGCAATACTTTGTTTTGTATCTAAGTGTACCTCAAGGTAGTGTTATTGTCCACTTCTCTTTTTAATATATGTGGATGAGTTCAGTAAGAAATTAAATGATGAAATCACTGATATGTGTGCACGTGATAAGCTGCATACTTGAATGATGCTGCTGAATCTAAATTGGAAGCAAGAAATCCATCAGTTTGGGCTGAAATCATCAGAAAGTCAGGTTGTTGTGACGTGGTATTCCTGAAGGTACTGAAAACTTGCATTCAAAGTCATCTATTTCTTCATTCAGATATTTGTACTGATGCATTTAGTTTTTCGAACGTTGCAGATGTACAGTGAAAAGTTTGAAATCAAGTGGAGGGAAAAAATACAGTAACAAACTTATTTTTGAACTGAAAAAGTTACCTTCTTCGCTCCATGTCATGCTGATCAGCTGTAGGAACTGTTACAGTAACTCCAGTAGGATTCGACATATCAAATTTTCTAACAACTTTTCGACAAATGCCTAATTTAACCAAGCCTGTGTGAACAACATTGCTGATGACAGCGATGGGTGGTTGGATAACATTCGGAAAAAAACTGAAAAAAAAAAATTAAAAAGTAATACTTTACGCCAACACAAATTCAAATTTAGTTGTTTTATATAAACAATAAGTTGGTATATATTTGTTCAAATGCCTTTTGCTAGTTTTAGTAAAAAATCGTTATAGTTAAGTAGTTTTGTAAGCAAATCATGAATCTGGAGTGAAAAATCGATACTCAAAAAAATGTTTAATTTCCTCAAAATTGTTTTTCAGCAAACTACATCATAATTTTTTGCAGAACTAAACACTAACACTCAAACAACAAACTTTTTCATTAATCCCGCTGACAGTGTTTCAAAATTGAACTAGAAATGAATGCAATTTCAAATTCCAACTTTTTTGTCATTCAGTTTCTAAGTTTCCTTCCATAATTGATTTCATGCTTGTAGTTCGTGTAGTGTGGTTCGTTCAAAAGAAGGCTGAATTGACAAGAAATTACCATTCACGTGTTACTGAATGAGAAAAAAAGATTTAAATGAAGTGATCTTTTGGACAAATCTAAGTAAAATTATCGAAATTTGACAATATAATTTTTATTTCTTGGCTTTGACATTTTGTGACATTGCCAACAAATAATAACAAAAAGTCTAATGAAGTGGTGATATCATTTAGAACACTCCAAGACGAGTTTCTTTAGTGAAATACTACTTTTTCATTTTGAAAAAAATTTTAAATGGGTGAAATGTTATTGTATCATTAAAAAACTTTCATTTTCTCATTCCTTGAATTTTACTGTCTAATCTATGTTCGATATCATACTGAATTATTCAATTCAAACGCAATAAATTACTTAACTAAGGGTCCATAGCATGTGACTGTAAAAAGATGCCTTTAACAGAAGTGAGTTGCTGAAATAGGGACAACCTCATCTCTGAAAGTGGACCAGAGTTTTTTCTTCAAATTCATAATCAGCTGACGAAAATACCTGAGTCGAATTTGAATCTTTTAAAAAACCAGCACACAGCATTAAAACCAATATTCACCAATAACCTGAAGTGGTTTTTATAACAAATACCTTGCGAAAGTGAAGTAATCCGCCATGTCACCTTGTGAACCATTGGAGTGTTTTTGATAGAACCGTAAGTACACCCAGCTTACAATCAATCCACTGAAAAACATGGTGGGATAAGTACCGTCAACCAAACCGACTAGCTTGCACAAGACAGTCAAGAAGAACACCGTCAAAGGTACATTTCTATTGCTTATTTTCCCCAAAGGCGTTTTGACTATCACCAGGTCGGGCATTATCTGTTTAACTGCAACAGCTACTCCGGCTATGTACCCAGCCAGTCCGTGAATGTGCACACTGAACAAATACTGCGGGTTGGAAGTACAACAATATAAAATGAAGTAATACATGGTGCTCAGAACAGCCACTCCAAAATTCGTGATAGCGAAGAATGTCATCATTTCCATTTGTCCCCACAGGGGCTCTATTAGTTTGCCGCAAAGTCCGACCGTGATTATGTCCACTAACACTTCCCAGAAGTGTATTTCCATAAAGCAGAAGGTAAATGCGGTCCATAACCAGAAGGAAGGGGGCATCAAGTAGCCAGGAGTGACTGATACCGCTTTGACTGCCTCTTGCGAAAAGGAGGGAACATAGCTGATGATTACGACTCCGCAGATAAATTTGACGGAAGTGCTTGTGTTGCCAAGGAGAGCACAAAACTGTTGCTTCAAATAAGGAATATTTCTGCTCAAAGCTCGCAGCACAGCCATTGTCAAGTCATCGAGGTTATGTTTCTAATAAAGTTTTGACAGTTAGCGGAGTTACGTCATATATGTCAACATAGGTCTTTCATTGACGAGTAACAGAATCGACATAGTTCCTGTTCGGAACTGAATGGTACAGTACAGTGTGATTGTCTTTTGCTCTGACACTTGGTTTGGGAAATTGGATTAAAACAAGCAATATTCTATATCTGAAGTAAAATATGTTACTATTGGTGAACATACGAGGATACAAGTGAATTGAATGAGAAATGCCAAATGAAAGTCATATATGAGATTCAAGCTGTCCTAATTTTATTGAAGGTTATGTAAATCACTGTTTCGAGTGAGTTGAAATGCTCATAACAAATAGATACAATTCACGAACGAAAATTTCATTCAGGAAGTAAGATTGGCGTTCACAGAGTGAATAACCTGAATATGTTACACGGAGTTTTCCACTGATGAAATTAGTACATCCTTTGTATTCATTTCCTTCATTAATATATTGAGAAATAGAAGACAGAGATACACTCAATGTGCACTGATTTCAACAATGGAAGACACTCTTAGTTGTGATTGTGAAAAAGTAAAACATCATTCATATTTGACAACTTTGACATGTTTATGTTATGATTTGAGTTTCATATTTGAAAAATAGTTAAAGCAAAAAAATTCCGTATGCAAATTAACGAATAAAGCCATACCATGGCAGGAGTTGTGCCGAAAAAACCGTCATCTGGTCGAAAACAATGGACTTTACACGGTAAAAAAACTATTTTATTTTAGAGTGGGTGTCCATTCCTTATAAGTAGCTGGCCTGAAAACAAGTTTTTTAATTAACAAATGCTTTCAGGTGGACCCAAAAGTTCTCTCAAGCGCCTTAGGAGCCAATTAGCTTCTGATGGCTGTCCAGAATCTCAAGTCGTACTTGCCAAGCAGTTATTAGACGAAGAATGTGGTGAGTGCCTCAACTTATTCCAGAGATACCTTACTGCACAGTTTCATTCCAGAATCTGATGTGGAAAGAAGAGAAAACGCCAGGCTAGGCGTGTACTGGTTGATGAAGGCCTCTGAACAAGGCAATATTGAAGCAACCGAACTGCTGAAAACATGCTTGCAAACCGGAAAGGGCATCACCGAGCACAATTACATGGACGTCAAGTCCTGTATTTCCATGACCCAGGATGAAAAGCTGGCTAGGAAGGCTGCTCGAGAAATGTTCGCCAGGTATAAGTGATCAACAAACGCAACCAAAAGATTTTAGACATTAAAGTTTCAGTTTATCTAACGGCGGAGAATATATAACTTCCGATCAGCTTCAGCGGAAGATTCTGGCCATAGACCGAGGCGAGACCTGTTCCAAGTCCACGGAAACAAGCGACTTTGATGGGGACCGTACAGGAAATGGGGAGTTGGTGAATGATTTCGAGGAACTAAGCGAGTTTTCAGAAGAAGAAACTGACTGGTCGCAAAAGTCAGACTGCAGCAACGAAAAATTAACAGAGGATCACATTGTATCTGCAGCAGTGGATTATTCGCACGGCCAGCTTCCTCTCGTGAATCAAATACTGTGTCTGTCTGATCCTAACTTGAAAGCTCTCGATCACATTCCTTTCGTCTATCGATCCGTGCTGCACCCACTCTTAGCCTTGAAGATACTCTATTACAAGTTGGTTAGATTCCTTGGGCAGAAAACTCTGCCATTTTTGTACCCTCTAGTCAAATCTGAGCTTCACATTGTGGTCTTGATGGCTGCTTACGTGTTTTTCAGTAGCGACAATGTATTGTATTTTCTCCCTATGCTGGTGTACTACACTTCTTTTTTTGTTATGGTTTGTGCTACCTTCCAGATGCTGCAGAACCAGAGGGAGTTTATAGATTTCCGGCTGTGGTCTGGGCTTTTCCTCTGCTACTCTGGTGGGAGCTTGAATGCTGAAGAAACCGAGCACCAGTACATTCGAAATAACATGAAGCCCTACGGTCAGTTCTTTCTCAGTTTCCTGATCAATCTCTTGGTGTATCCGGTTATTTCTGAGCAGTGGATTCCCCAGTCCGAGCTTACTATCGTAACGTTTCTTTTGACTTTCACTACGCTGCTAGGTTTTATGCCTAAGCACCGATCCAAAACAGTTTTTGATCCTCTTGTGTTGTTCAGCTTTGCCGTTAACGTTCTGGCAAAGTACCCCTACGAAACAGACCCAGTCGTAACCCAGGGCTGGAGATTTTTGGAGCTAAAAATCCCTACATTCCCCAGCTACGTGATAGGCAACGGGATAGAGTTCTGCATCAGCTTTCGGTTTGTCCTGTACGCATCCATTCCGCTGATTTTTTTGAGGGTTGCATACCGGCAGAGATGGAGAGGAACGTACAAAATGCTGATTCCTCACTGTGTGACGCTAGCCTGGTTGCAGATCTGCATCATCAGCTCGCAGGGGGCAACGATGTTTGGCTTACTGCGGGGAACCCTGGCGCTGGTTGGAGTGGTGCTCTTCTTGCCTCTGGTTGGCATCACGAGTGTTATCCTGCCGGTTGTTGCAGTTACCAAGTGGATAATCACTTCCAATCTGATTTACACTGTCTGCGTGTTTGTGATACTGAGCACCCTTGGGATGGGAATCTGCTATGTCTGCGCGCAAACCAGGTAATATTAATTGAATTTTTTTAAACTCGTACATGTACAAGACACATGACAAAAAATATTCATGACGAATTGAAACCCCCTCAAGTTTATGAACTCAAATAACTGTTGTAATATTAATTTATTTCAACAGAATGTTAGCCACAAGGAAACCTTTCCCACATTTCTTGTGGCTAATAATTTGTCAGAATGAAAGAAAATTACAGTAATTATTTGACTTCGATAACTTGAAGCTTCCAAAATCTGCCTGAACAAATAAAAAACTGTAATTACTTCATGAAATTCAAAATATTATTAAAAAAAAAGTATTCTTTGAGACCCTGGTGCACTGATGCTAATACGTTAGTGTGATACCCATTTTAGTGGTTACAGTTTCAATTATTTCAGTCTAATTTTCCAGGTACAAAAAATATACTGCCATAATCCAAATAGTGCTTATGGTACTGGCATTCCTGGTCTTGATCAACTCCTCTGCCAGGGATCAGGTGGACGGCTACTTTGAAGAAGCCAAGTCCCCCCAAGAGCTAAGCTGGAACGTGTTCCAGAGGTTCTGCCATCAACCAGTGTGGCAGGAAGAAAACTTTGCCGTGTCACAGATAAAATGTGCCGATTTGGATGGAAGCAGGGTGCACTGGAGTGGTTATATAAGCGACATAAAGGTCATGTCCATATCGAACACCTACAAGCGATTATTCGACAGATTCCCCTCGAGACTGTCTCGCAACTTGTACTGTTTATTCGGAGAAGAGACCGAGTCAGACTGCGAAAGAGTTCCCGATATCGTCAAGGAGGACTGTATGACATTTTTTGATGCCATTCGCTCGGTGAGTAGGTGTTCCCTAAGGAAGTACAACAAATACACCTTCGAAATCGTCTTGAAGATGGATACAGGCATCTGGGGCAAAGCCACGGAGGCGAGTCTTGTAGCTCCAGATTCTTTAAAGAATTTCGTCCTCAAATTACGCCCCACCGACGAAATCTGGTTCAAGGGTACTCTGTTCAACAACGAAATAATTGGGGCTGATGGTATTCTAGGTGGTTCGAAGCCGCACATAGATCTGGAAGAACTTGGCTGCGTTTCTTGCCAAGACAGCAGTTTACGTGAAATTAAACTGTCAAGTTCAGTAGGAATCGATGTCCGGACTATCCCCAACACTCTGTATGCGAGCTGCAAGTTCATACTCAATGTGTTCTTGAATCCTTTGGTTGTTTTTAAGTGATTATTTTAAGACGTTAAATTTATGGCAGTATTGTGAATAAACATAAATGAAAATAAAATATTTATTGTTGTGAAACTCCCATACTCGTTGTTTGTAAGTAATGCTTTTATATATATATGAACCTAAAGCAGTAGTTTTATTCATTTTGGGTATTGCCAAAGACACCTAACTGACACTACTGTTGGCGCAACAATTTGGGAACAGATGCCAACATGTGAAAATAAGAAGAAGAATGAAACTGGGTATATGTCCCAGGACATATATTCAGTAACCAGTAAAAGAAGCGATTAGGAAAATTAGTCATCCATAATAATGTATAAACTTACTCTAGAATCTAAAAGATTTTCTCAGAATTTATCAAAGCCATAACACTTTTTCGAAGCCAGAAAAAAAAACAGTTAAAAGTGCAGTATATACAACGAGTACACCGTTGATATTTGATGAATGAAGTCGACACTTCAATTGGTAAAAAGTTTCCTATTAAGAACTATTATTAGCGATATTGAAGAACTAAATTATGAATGCATTATCATAAACTGAATAATTTGTAGTCATAACTATGAATTTCTATCATAATTGCGATTTCAGTCAACAACAAAATTTTTCAGTTACGGATTAGGCGACATCTAGGTTCAATAATTCAAACGGGAAAATCAGGAATATTATCAATTATTGCACAGTCACTGACAATCAAATAATCGTTTTTACAATCAATTATTTCAATATGTATATTCATTCACATAAATTTTGAAGTCAGCTCTTCGTAATTTATATACGTATATAATTTTACAGTGCGTCATGTATTACAATTTTAAGGAATTTACATTCTTATTTCATCAGGTAATTTATTGAAACTATCAAGACCTTTAAAAAACAATGAATTCATTCCACTCTTATAGTTTGTTCGGGATCTATAAAATGTATTACATGTTCTTGTGTTATATGAATGAATTTCACTATTTCGAACTAAATATCTGTTAAGGTAGGCTGGTTGTATCCCACTCGAAATAATATTGTGCTATGAGCCTAGCGATAACTATGAATCATAGAGAACATCACTCACGATACAAAATTATATAAATAAATAGGAAATCATACCTAGAATAGATAAATCAATAACCAAATTTTTGTATATTTGTAGTCAATACTGTCATCTGGTAAAAACTATTCTGTGTTTCATGGCCTCGGAAACCGAGGCCATGAAACATATTAAGAAGAGTTAAGTTTGTTTGTCACTTCTTATTGTCACTTATTCAGAGAGTGTGTTGTTCAAAATGGCGAGTGTAGGTTAACACGTGTTTGCTTATACCAGTTAATTTGTGATTATTTTTAACAGTGAATATTAACTTTTCATAGTGAGTACACAGTTTTATAACTATACATGACTTTTGATGATTGTGTAAAACATCTGTCTAAATCGACCGTCTTTCCAGATGAAGTTATACGTTCTATTCGAGCATGCAGCGGGGTACTGCGTCTTCAAAGTGGAGGAATTTGAAGAAATTGGAATGCTGCTTCCACAGCTAGAAGCCGCCGTCCATGACTTGGCCCGATTCAACAGTATCGTCAAGTTAGTTGGGTTTTCTCCCTTCCAATCCGCAATCAAGGCCTTAGAAAATGTTAACGCAATTTCTGAAGGTTTACTGCCCGAAGAGTTGCAGCAATACCTCGACATTACGATCCCTAAGGGTGGCAAAAAAGACAAGGTGACGCTGGGCGTCAGCGATCCCAAACTCTCCGCTGCCATCTCCGAAGGTCTGGGTATCAACTGTACCCATATTGGGGCTGTGCCGGAGATCATCAGAGGGATCAGGCATCACTTCCACAATTTGGTGAAGGGATTCACGTTGAAAAGTTCAGGCGTTGCCCAACTGGGGCTCGGTCATTCATATTCTAGGGCTAAGATAAAGTTCAACGTGCACAGGGTAGATAATATGATTATTCAGTCAATTGCACTTCTTGATCAGCTGGACAAGGATGTTAATACGTTTTCCATGCGGATTCGGTGAGTTTTCAACATTTTATTTATTTATTTACCTTTCAAATGATTTTAATAAGTTGATAGTGAGTTTAGATCAAAAACTAACATGGAATAACCACATAGATGGTAGATAATCTAAAATATATTTCATATGGCCTTTTATTCTGAGGTCAAGCACATGGCTGATTGTCAATAGGACAAGAAACTCCACATAATTACATGTATCCCATGTTGAATCTTTTTAACATGTATCCAATGTCTGAGGGAATGGAAATATCTATCCACCTATATGTAACCATAGTTTTAATGAATAAATGTATGGTTAGTGTAAAATTATCCTCTCTCCTGGTATAAAAAACCAATTTTCTATTTTTTCAGTGAATGGTACTCTTATCACTTCCCAGAACTCGTTAAAATTTGTCCCGACAACTACACCTTCGCAAAATTGGCAAAATTCATTAAAAACCGCAAAGAGCTCAAAGACGACTCCCTCGAAGGTCTGGAAGAAATCACCATGGACTCTGCCAAAGCTCAGGCAATTATCGACGCCTCCAAATCCAGCATGGGAATGGATATTAGTGAAATTGATTTGCTGAACATCGAGATGTTTGCTTCACGTGTCATTTCACTGGCCGATTATAGAAAGCAACTTGCCCAGTATTTGAGGTCGAAGATGTCTGACGTGGCTCCGAACTTGGCTGCATTGATCGGCGATCAAGTTGGGGCAAGGCTGATAGCTCATGCCGGTTCTTTGACAAACCTCGCCAAATATCCAGCGTCTACTGTGCAGATTTTGGGAGCCGAGAAAGCGTTGTTCAGGGCGCTCAAAACTAGAGGTTAGTTTTTGTTTATTGAACTTGAATAATATGCAATTTTTGCAGTTTCTTCAATTTTGTTTATTGTTACAGGAAATACTCCAAAATACGGGTTGATTTTCCACTCGACCTTCATCGGACGGGCTGGTACCAAAAACAAAGGCCGAATTTCTAGGTACCTCGCCAACAAATGCTCCATAGCCTCGAGAATCGACTGTTTCAGCGACGTTCCTTCGCAAATATTCGGGGAGAAGCTGCGTCAACAAGTGGAAGATAGACTGAAGTTCTATGAAACCGGTGACATCCCCAAGAAAAACGTCGAAGTCATGAAGGAGGCCATCGAGGAGTATGAGCAGAAAGTTGCCGAAGATGACGCTCAGAAGAAAAAGAAGAAGAAGAAGAAAAGGAAAGCAGAAGCGATGGACGAGACAGTGGAAGCTGAAGCTGTTAATGGTGCCGAGGAAAGTTCGGAGCCGCCCAAGAAAAAGAAAAAGAAGTCCATTTCACTTAATGATACGGCTGACGAGACTCTCAACAATACAGGAGGTTCAGAGCTTAATGGAACGGTGGAAGGGGAAGAGACTCCTAAGAAGAAGAAGAAAAAGAAGAAGAGCAAAGATGTTGAATAGATTAGAAATGTGTAATATTTTTATCAATATACTTTTAATTTTTAATTGAAGTTTATAGTTTTCTAAAATTAGGAAATTCATGAGGCACACTCTTTGGAAGCTATTAAAAATTGAAAACCATTCTGATATTCTTGATAAGAAAAGAGACTTGGTTATAACTTCTTGAATGGTGTTCCGAGTATGCAGTTTTGAAAAATGAAATGAAGAATACAGTTTGCCTATAATTTTTACATTTGTGCGAAAATACAAGGAACTTTAGAGTTCTGGCATCAGGACTGACCCCTGAGGGACACCAATTGTATAAAATATATGATTCACTTTACTAATCTTTACAATTTCAGTTTCTTTCAGACTTACAAATATATTTTTATCCAAGTTTTCTATCTGGAATGTTCACCTTTCTCGACACACCTTTACCCAACCAAGTTGGGGTCATCAGGGGATGAGCTATTAACTATATCAAAGAGTGTGTTGCAATTCTGGTATCTGGGAGCTGTACTTGTGTTTTAAATTTTTAGTTGGACCCGGTGGATGACTTTTTAGAATGAAAAAAAAACATATCGTGTCTTTGCTACAGTTAAATCGTATATTTTTATAGTTTAGTGAAATGTTTGTGGCCAATTCCTATAAAAATCAATAAAAGGTACTTTTATTGTTTGTATATTATTTAATTCAATAAATCCTTGAACCATTTCTAGGTGATATTCAAAAAAGTTAATTGTCTCTAAATCCATCAGTATTGGATTCAGATATACGAGTAAATTTCAGAGTATAATTTTCAGGGGGAGTAATTTATCTAGGTGTGCGTATACTCCTGTGAAATGTATTGAATATTCAAAGCAAACATTCCTAAACACCAGAACTGCATCACTCTTCGCGACGCGCGTTTCACCCTCCAAGTAGGCGCCAGATGAAGTTCGCTAATTCCAAACACTAAGACTGGTCTCAATTTATATCTAATAGGGTTCATTTTCACTCTTACTTTGAGACATTCCTCAATGGTTTCGGATAAGAAGAGAAAGATTATGAAATGATTGAAAGAGAAAGATGTTTTATATTTGAAAGCAAACAAAGGCTGTGATTGGCCGGGTCAGATTAATATGATATAATTGATAATTTGATTGAGAAGATAAATTGATAGATGTAGCCCTTACTAGGTGGTAGGAAATCATAATGAAGAAAAGAGAATTGAAACTTTTTATGTTTTTTACCACTTTTATGGTAAAAAACAGAAACTTTCAATTCTATTTTCTTCATTTGATTGAGAAGGATCACTAAGATTGCTTCAGAAGTGGAAAACAAAAATAGGGGGTGACAAAATTTGATAGCAACGACTTTGGAGAGGAGTTTATAGGTTTCTAATCCTACAGTTCCTAAAATATACAGTCTACCAAAAAATCACGAATCCGGCGTGACCAAATGCCTCCGCCATAAGTTCCAATGCTTTTAAAATTGCTAATCTAACTGTTTGAAACTCTTACAATGGGGAATGTTCCTCAATTTGGGTTATTACAGCAAATGCAAGTTTGAACAAAATAAAGTTGAGTTGAATTCATGAGTTTTTCAAATTCACTTCGAAAAGTATTCAAATTGGTGTTTGAAATGTTGGGTTTTAATTTTTAAAGAGATATGTTTCTAATTCACATATTGGCAACAGCGCCTATATCTCGTTGAAATAATTTATACGTACCTAGATATTCTACTTTAAAAAAGGAAAATTATCTTTATGAATCAACAATTAAGGCAATTATAGTTCAATACCACCTGCACAAGCCACATAAACAACAGTTGTTTTGTTATTTATTTATATAGAGGAAGATAGGTCAGGTGCACAAAATGTCATATGTCACAGAATGTCTCTGAACTCGGAACATAAGTAAACAGAACAGCATGCCTCTGAAATATGTCATCTTTGTCTCATACAGGTAACAGATTCACTGTCCTTTATTAGCTATAACTGATGTCGCCAAATGGTGAAACAGAAACGAACCCCTTTAAATGTTGATTGCATTATTTCATTCCTCTTTTTTAAATATTTAAATAATTTTTTAAGGAAAAAGGTTGAAATGATAAGTTTAAAATGCGTTGTTTTAGAGCTCTTTTATGAAAACTACTTGATTTTCGTCAGGAGGAACATTCCCCATTGAGTTGGACTGTTGTTAATTCAGATGAATAATTGGATAAAATTGAAGATTCATTTTACTAGTTCAGACTTCCATTGTCTAATATGATTCGAAACCTATGAATACTTGCAGTTCTGGCTGATGTCTCTTCCTTGTATTGGAGTTGATCTCCAAGAACACGATAGGGTTCGTCAAAATTTAGCCAAAAAAAGCAGGTAATACGTAATTTGAGGATTTGGTTGCATCTTTTAGAATGTAATTACTGCCAAATGAAATTTTTCCAACATCAAAACAATTTTTTGAACAGTATCTGAAATGACCACGAATATAAATTGTTCGACTTCTGGTCTTTGAAAGAGCACTTCTCTAGCAGCCTCAAAAAAAAACAAAAAAATCTTTTCACAACAATTTATTTTCCAAAGGTCTACAATAAATAATGAGCGGAATGTTTACAAACAAAAATTAACATACATCCAATGTTAATTCTCTAACTTTGACGTGACACCCACTCCACACTCCTTACCTATAAGGCACGACGGTTTTTAATATTGTTCTTCCTTCTCGGAATCGATTGGCAAGTCATGACGGTACCGCCTTGACGTATACGGGGGGAGGACTGTATAATAAGGAAGCATCTATAAATGTTAACCTACCAGCTGTACAGATTAAAATCGAATTAAGATTAATGTGAAAAATATCAAACTTAATCGTAATAGTCAGTAACAACATTAAAACATTTCAAACTAATAAAATAATAATAATAACCCAGCACCTGATAATGAGCATTTTCAATTCAATACAAGAAATGATACAAAATATTTATATATGTGCATTATTTATAAAAACGACTATCTCATACCAAGATTACCTGGCTAATCTCGATGCAACTAAAAGAAAATAATACATCTTTGGAATTCGCAAAAGGGCAATCGAAGAAATTGAAAGAAACCATCATGAGGCTGATTCGAAATGCGAACAACTTACGAAAGATCAAACTTGGCCACGATTTCGAGTCGGCCTCCACCAATATGTTCCAAGTTGGTGATAATTCCACAAAACTACCACATCACGTATCATTATGACTAATTTTAGGAAGTTTTTTGTCACTGCGATGAATTGAAATGGATCTCTCACACAAAAAGTGTAAAGTCCCCCCAAGATAATTTTTGAAATCTTTCCCTAGTAAATTATCAATTCGTATTCGTATATATGTCTCAGTATGTTCCTTCAAACATTTGTTATGTAAAGTCTGTTACTTGAAGTTGTCAAAAAGTTGAAAATTCTTCTGGGAGTTACTGAAGAACTGAATCATCCCTTGAATGTACTAAGTAGTTCAAATGTCCCATTTGTAGATGTTGCCGACATAAAAATCAAAACTTTTCTTTATATATTAAGAGTACTACCAGTAAATACTAGAAAGTATTTTACAAACTTTACCTTGATAAATGAATAAATGAAGTACATTCAATATAGTGTCTTACTTTGATGAGAAAACTTTCCAACCAGTAGTTTGTAATGGCTATTTTTGAAGACTTGGGGTGGCGATATCTGTTATATCCTTGAGACACTATTTCCTATGAGCAAATATTTTGTGAAAGACCCATTCGAAAAAAAAAAACAACAACCCACCCGCAACTAATACCCTGATATTCATCAAATCAGATTCACGAATATTAACATGTCCTTAATATTATCGACACCATTTCACCAAAACGTTTGAGAACGTCTCAAAACTTTCAATATTGCCATGTGAGATCGAGGTATACCAGCCACCATTCGAAACACAACTATGTCCACTATTTATACACGATATCGAAAAGTAACTTTTGATTTTCAAACAAGAATCATTTAATTTTAAACTTTTACCCAATAAATAAAAACTCTGAAATGTAACTTTGCGATTTTTTCCGGTTTCGTCCCTCCTGTTTGTCTAATATCATAGTTTTGAAAAAATAATCATATTACCAAAAAAACTATAACAAATATATAGAAATTACCTAGTTATTTATTATTTGAAATTAATTTCACTATTCATTCTAACCCTCTACTTTGACACAATCAGCTAAAAAAGAATCGAGGCCCATCTTTTGATAATTGATGGAAGCTCAGTCCCGACATTGACGCCCTCTGTTAGAAAACAAAATGAAATTCAATTCGATACTCCCCGAAATCGTGAATAAATAATTTGGCTCATATTTCCGGAATCGAACAGCATCTAAAAGAAACGGACCTAAAAAACACAGAACGTCCAACACTAGCGTCACATCCGTCTCTTCTTCTTATTTTCTCTTTTGGCCTGACCTCTTGGATTGTTTACCCAGTTCCGACAAAATTGAAACTACTTGAAACTTGCGAATTGTTGATGGGAGTTGTTGAAGTTCAATTGCATCCCCCCGAAAACGGGGGACGTCACGGGCAGCCTCGTTTGTGTTACGGGAGACGTTTGACTGCTGGCGAGCTGATTCATGGACAGCGTCGGTCCCGATTTTGGTTTGGTCAATAACAAATTGTCCAAGTCTATGTTGATGTTGCCGGAGTTTTTCCACGTTGAACCGACCGGCAGCTGTTTGTTGGTCGTCGGTGGCTTGTTGACGTTGTTGTTAGAAATCGCGGAAGACTGGGGTTGGAACGGTTGTACAGAGGTGGGCGTCAGAAGGGATCCTGAAAAAATGATAAATCATTTCACGTTGTTTTTTACAACCAAATTCCTTTCCCCTTCTCAATTATTGGTCAGAGAGCGGTTCCCAAAGATGGAAAATGCTCTACTATTTCCTCTTGGGGGTTGTCAACCCCGACTTCAAAAATATAAATGAACTCTCGTACTTGACTGATCAATTTTTTTAAAGATTGAAATGAAAAGTTCATCAGTCACTTCAAAAAAAGCAGATGATGTTTAACCACCTTTTTATCCATAGATAGGGCATTGTCACTCAAGTTAAATAAGTGATTGCTCAGGGAGTTATTTCTAAAAAATCTTCGTCTACTTTTATGCTAATGAAAACTACACATCAGACTCCTCAATCATGTATATTACTGAAAATAAAAACTTTTTGCATCACTTTAAACCTAAAATCTACATTTAAAAACAACACTATTGGTCCTCATCATCGATTTCGACTTTAAGCACCCCCTCTACAAGCACCATTGCGCACGCCGCCAAATTCCTGCACTCTAAATTGGCTTCCCCGCGCGCCAAATTCGGGCTCAAAACATCAGCCAGCCACAACCTGATTTCGAACAGCTCGTCCAGGAAGTCCCGCACCAAAACGTCCTGCGGAACATTGACAACAGCCGCAGAGATAAGACTCAAGATCGACATGCGCACTTTGACCTCCTTGTGGAACCGCAAGAACCACGAGAAGCGCAAGATTTCCTTGGCCATTCTCGGAGCGACCGGGCAATTCTGTGAAGCGCACATTACCACGGCGAGGGTGTCCACGAAATGAATAAGAAAGACGTAGTCGCTGTCGTTTTGCGTGGACTCCCTCAACATTCTGTTTTGGTTGAAGCCGTAGAGGAGTGGAAAGAAGAAGTATCCCGCGACTTCAGCAAACTTGTTAGCTTGTGCCACAACTCGCCCGGGTTTGGCAAAGTAACGTGTTTTGGCCTCCAGGCGCTTGCGCACTACATCTTCCGCGCTGCGCAGATCTTTTTGCCGTTTAGTTCTAGATTCGGTCTCTTCATGAACCTTCTTGATACTCGACAGGTTCCTAGCGGTTTGCTGCAAGACGTCCATCATAAAGACGCGCCTGGACACGGAGTAAGTTCCCATGTCAGCGTGTATTTGCCTGCAGAGGTATTCCGCGTAGTAACCCGGGTAAACGCACACCACTGCAACGCAGCTGCGGAACACCAAATCGTCAAAGTTGTCCACGTAGAACCGTGGCTCGAGAGTCACCAGGATCTCCAAGATCTCCAACCCGATGGAGCAATCGTCGTCTGGTAGTTGCTTGACGATTAGATCCTCGCAGGTCTCCAGACTGATGGCGAAGACCTCGTGGTCCTGAGCCTCCAGCAAGCCGTCTCTCAGGTCTCTTAGATATGCCGGCGGTTTCTTTTTAGGGACCTTCACGTCGTTGGACAAATCGTATGGCTCCAAGTCATCGTCAGAGTCCAGCTCGAACCCTGTGCTGTCTATTATCCTTATCCGACTGTCTAGCTTACGCTCGGTGACCATAACCTCATTTTTCGGTTCCACAACGGGCCTTTTAGCGAAGCTACGCGCAGGAGGGATGTAATCCGTAGGTTTTTCCTGTGAAATACTGAGTTGCAGCAACTCGCCGTCGATGCTATCGAACTTAGTCTTGGGCTTGAAGTAACCTTGGATATCTCTGTCTGCCAAACCTTGCAGTTCGTTAATGACGTTCTTGCATTCGTCGCTGAGGTTGCTATACTCGAACTTCAACTCTGCCGCACCCGTCCCGGCCTCATCTGTCAACAAACCCACTATAACCTCACCCGCTTTCATTCCGGAAGCTCTTACCATCTCAATGGGCGACTCCAAGTGAGTAGGAATACCAGAGAAAACTGTTTCCTTTACTTTACCCAGTTCAAAGTCCGTGAAGCCTATGTTTCGCAAGGCGTTCGCGATGAGGATCATCAGCTTGACGATGAACACCTGCTGCTCTACACTGGTGCGATTCACGGATGATTTATCCGCCCAGATGGTGATCGAGTCGATGAAGAGCTTCATCAGCGAGGAGGGCGAAGCTGAGCTCAAGTAAACGACGAGATTCGTGATTAGATTCGAATAGCCCTTCTCGAAAAGGGTCATCAAGGGTATCTTGGTGCACAGCGCGAATTTCCAGTTGGCGTTTTCGATGAGTTTCTGTCCGAAGATCTCCTTCATCAAGTACTTCTCGGGATCGACGTTGATGAGGAACATTTTCGCTAGGATGTGAACGGCTGGTCTATCGAGTTTCAAAAAGATACTCTGGAATATCTTCTGATAGAGCTTCACTTTTGCGGAGGGTTGGTTCGTCAGGATTGCTGTGATTATCACGAAATGTTTGAGACTGTCGGCCTCCAGTTTTTCGTTAAAATCCACCAGAAGTTTGCCTAGCAAGAGCGAAATTCGTGCAAAATTTATATTCTGTTCCTTTAGACAACCGCACCTTAGCAACTCCGTCAAAAACTCCACAGTTTTCAGTATATTAAGAACAAGGTACTTCGAGAAGCTGCTGCTGAGGAAGAAGTCGGGGACTTTCCCTTGCGTAAAGTTAGCAACTCTGCCTGGCAGCGAGATCAGTAATTTCACCAAGTCTCCCCAGGCCGTTGAAGACTCCCCTTTGGCGAACTCATCCTCAAACACGGTTACCAGGGCGCTAGAGCAAGTTACAGCAAAAGTACCTTCAGCTTCCAAAAGCAGCTGCAATAATTTCAGAGAGCTTTCATCATTCAAATTTCTCACGAGTACACGTAAATTTATATTGTAAAACTCAGGACAATCAATCTCGAATAACTTCCTGACGGGTTCATAAACGCTTCCCCCTTCGATAGGAAAATTGGAGTCGAAACGCCGAACCAAAGTCTGAACGAAAGTTTCGTAACAACTCTCTAAGCGCTCACTGCAGACATCACCGTCCATGCCCTGTAGCTTCTGAGGAGTTGTTGGTCCAGGAAGCAGCGAAACGATCTTGTCTATTTGGAGTACAACGGCATCCACTTGGGATTGAGAAGTGAACTTTTTCGATTTCTCCATGTCGGCGATGCAAGCGTACAGGAAATCTAGCAGTTCTTTGTCTCTTGTTCTAGTGCGAGGCTTCTTTGTAATAACTTCACTGTTCGTTTTTTCACTGATACGAATGTCATCTTTCTCGGTACCTGAAATGGGAAAGCTCTGTGAGTTTCCCAAACTGAGTCGCTTGTACTTTTTAGGGCAAGACATCAACAAATTCATCGTGACAGATGTTTCATTGAGGGCTGTTAGATATTTCTGTAAATATCTACTTCAATTATTATGGGTCAGGTGAAAACATGACAATACCTTTGAAAAGTTCGCCTTTAGTTCAAATTTTTTATCATCTGTATGCACACACACATCTGTATGCACACAGCGGTCGATTTAGTGAGTGGAGCAAACCGCCCTCTTGAACCCAACTGGCTACTATCCTACATTTTCCTGAACACTTTCGAAATCATGTTAAAGTTTCCATGATATCCAACCAGCAATCTTTCATATCTGTTGTTTCAGCCTAAATGAAATTCGAGAACTTCCTTTCCTTTCCATTTTTTTTTTTTTTAATGTAAAATATGAAGTAATACGCTACGGAATGTTTCTGCAGCACACAACTATATAACATTATAAAACACTATAGGATATAGAATTAAAATTGAACTTGTTACTACCTTATGTAAACAATTACCAACTTAAATTATTCAATGATTGTTTGAGACGACCATAAGAGACACCAAAAATACTGATGTTTTTGTCATCTATTAACTTTGGGGTTCTTTCCAAGGGTGTATGTTTACCATAATTTGTATGATGGAAGGGTATATGAAATAAATGGCCGTGTCTAAGATTCCTGTTTGGAACATGATGTTGACAGGTTCAAGTAATTCAGGACAATTTATTAGTCCATTGAGCAGCTTGAATGCATAGCATAGATCTGCATGAATTTTTCAGGTTTGCAATACTTTAAGCCCCAGTCATGGTACTGTATCGTTAATGTCAATTGTCAATGACCACTTTCAGACAGTATTTCAAAGGAGGAAACCCAACAACCAATGTTACTGAAACCACCATTGATATCTCTGTACCATTTTTATTGAAAGATATCAAACAGAACCTTTTGAAAAGAAGATTAGCGTCGTTATAAAACCGGAGTTGTTGAGTCGTGTAAACATCTACTTTATATCTAACAATGTTCAAATACGCTGTGAAAACTTGTTTACACGAACGCTATTACCCTTTACAGGATATATGAATTTCAACTTCTAGTGCTGTCTTTTTTGTCATGAAATTTTATATATATGCCCAAGTTCAGGTGAAAAACACCTTACTCCTTGCCTCTCATGCGAACCTACAGCTTTGTAGGTACATGTGGCAGATACCCGACGGAAAAACAACAACTAATCCAGCTAATGCCGCACGGAAAGCTGAAGTAAAATCATCAGGCACCTGTGCAACGCCTTTCATTTGGAAGATCCGTCATTTGGAAGATTTGGTCGGGACGACCACCGACAGACCGGTTTCGAGGGTACTTGACTCTCGTCAGTACCGGGCAGGTCATTTCAGACAGAGTTAACCGTCTGAGTATCCCGAACAAACATAATTAATTCCAACTAGTCATAAACTCCATCTGCAGTTGATTCAGTAGGATGTCAACTGCGCCACCTGCAGACAAAGTACGAAAGCAACTCTACAAACACATACTACGGGGTGCGAGTCAGAATAATAGTGGTATTCCGGAGAGGTGCATAATTTGCCCAAGTTCAGGTGAAAAACACCTTTACCCTTTGCCTCTCATGTTAAAGATTCTCATGGTGGGATGTTTTTCCGGGTTTCATTCCCAGTGTTCTGTGTTTTTGATCCTCACAAGGATCATTTTCACGACGTTTCGGCAAATTCTCATTTGCCATCTTCCTGGACCCTAGATAGGTTCAAAATCCAGACACTACCAGAAGATAGCAAATGAAACTTTGCTGAAACGCCGTGAAAATTATCCTTGTGTGATGTATTTTCATGTTCTAATTGTTTTAACCTGTCCTTAAGCATGTAAATGATATAAGACAATAAAGTTACTGGTACTACTACAGTACATGATATGAGGAGTGTTTTGCTGGTTCTCTCACTATCCCAATGGCTCATTGCAAAGATGTAAAGGACTGCAAGGGCAAGAATAAATCTGCTCAACAAACTTTGCTTACCTGAACTGAAACCGTCTAAAAGATTCGCGTTCGGACTTCCCAACAGCCCGAAATTGTTGTTCGGTTGCGTTGCCATAGACTGAGGCTGCATACTCAAACTGCCGAAATCCAAATCTCCCAGCAGGTCGCTATTGCTGGTCTTCTGACTCTGCTGCTGGACGGTGACGCCGCCCTCCATCAGATTGGCGGTTTGCGAACCAAAAGTGTGATTGTTGAGCAAGTTTGATGTATTAGAACTGGGCGGAATGACGTTCGGCAAGACATGGGGCCCCGGCCCGAGCAAATTAGGCATCGGAGAGTACTGCGAGGCGTTCGGAATAGAGGGAGGTTGCGAGAAAGCTGAGCTGAAGTCGGCGAATTGATCGTCGGAGTTTTGGGACGCAGCAGGGGGGCCGAAAGCGGCTTCGAAGTCGCCGAACTCGGTCGAAGTCTTGCGCTGCTCGGAGGGCGCCTCCTGGGCCCGCGGGTCGAAATCGTCGTTGAGCAGGTCACTCTGAGGCACGGGACTTTGAGTCGAGCCCCTGCCGAAGTTCGCGGCGGCGCCCAAGTCGACCTTCTTGAGCGGTTTGGCCACCTTCTTGGGCGAGCTGGTGATAGAGGGGTTGATGTTTATGTTGACCTTTCGCTCGACGTGGGTAGGGCTGTTGGGCAGCTCAGCGTCCTGGTATTTCTTGACGCTGTTCGTGTGGTTGCTGCTGCCGCTGCGAGATTCGGTGTCGCTGTCCTCCTTGTCCAAGTCGTAGTCGTCATCGAAGGTTTTGTCTCTGTAGCGGTTCGGCGAGTTGGGTTCGTTGTCCCAGTCATTAGAGTCTTTCGAGTATGGTTTTTCATCCCACATTTCGCGACCGGAACCTGAAAAGAACAGAAATATCAAGGATCAGTGCTCGGCCCTATTTTGTTCCTTATCTATGTGAATGACGTATCTATATCGATATACAAGGGAAGTTTACAATGTTTGCAGACGATACAACCATACTATGGCATGGAAGTAATACAAACTCTTGAGGCTGATTTATTAGAGAAAGTCAGGTGTGATTCCAATTCTTAATGTTTCAATGTGAATAAAACCAACATAATTTCGTTCAAATTTGCTTTTGAAAACCTATTCCTCCAGAATAATGTCATTGAAAGTAAGACTTGCACCAAATTCTTGGGATTATGGATTGAGAATACCCTAAAGTTTGATGAACACTTAAAATATCTCAACAAAACACTTGCATCTGGCTGCTATGCTATCAGGGTTGTGGCCAGAGAGATGGGAATAGTAGCAAGCAGCTGATGCAGTGTTTGTTCTACAAAACAGAGTGATAAGATATATATGTAGAGCTAAACGTTTGGACCACTGTTCATTAAGAGTAGAATACTAACAATCTTCTGCGTCTCCATTCTAGAAACAGTAAAAACAATTTTCCGTCCACAGTAGGATTAACTTCCATCAGAAAACAACTACTCCCCGTGGTATTAGCCAGGGTAGAGACATTAGACTCTTGTGGAACTCCACAAGTGATAGTTTTTAATAAACTCACTAACAAAATACAGTGCTGAATCACGGTTGTTTTTTTCTTTTTGAAAAGTTACGTAATATTATCAAAGATTTTAGATATACTAATGGAGGAGTAGAAAACCAAAAAATGTTGTTCTTTGCAACCTTATAATTAATCTTGTATCAAAGACACCCACGAAAATTTTATGTAAATATCACTATGAATAATGACTTCTTGATAATTATTTTAGTATGAGATAAAACATTTCTTTTTGGGCGAAATATATAATAAAACTCATTGAGAGTGTTCCTATTATGTTTTACTCAAATAGTTATTTGTTCCATTATCAGTGTCATCAACGTCATTGAAAAGTAAATAAATATCACGAAACAATTGAAATCACTCAATCACATTCATCAACAGATATTATTCTGAAGAAATCCATGCGAGTTTTGATGAATATGAATTCTGCCAATAGTGAGAATATGTGTATACCACCTACATTGCACAATTTCATACTTTTTGTTGTGAAACAAACAGGTCTTAAAAACGTCACTCATCACAATTTTCTTTTTGTGAGAAAACCTAATGCATGATAAGAGCATGCAAATTTTATACTGAAGTTACGAAATAGTTTCAATAAAAAATGAAATGAAAACGAAGGACAGGAAGCTTATATGGGAGCTGTTAGATGAATTTATCTACGTAATGATCTATTAACAGTTATAAACAAATTTGCCTATGTAATATACATTAATCAAATACATTCACATGGTGAATTGATTCCAGAGCAATGATGTCATTATTTCTGTTTATCTAATTTTCAATTGAATTCGTTGGATAACATACAAACAGAGTTTTCACTGGGTTATCGAGATATGTGTAATATTCTGTGGAAGTGACATGAAATTGTTTGTTTGATACAAGAGAAATATCTTTAAGAATCAATAACTTTTTTGTTTTGATTTTGACCAATTTTTTTCTCTCATACAAGCTCTATTAGTCTTTTCAGGAACTGAAAAGTGAGGTCATAGGAAAGGAGACACAAAAACATTTGAAATTCCAAAACACATTACTTATGTACGAGGAAAAAAAACTGAAATTTCATTTTTTCAATCATTTATTTTGATTACAGGCAAAATTTATTTTGAATCTGAAAAATTACTGCGTTATTTTTTACTAAGAAATCACAAAGGAAACTTTTCTTTAAAAAAAATGGACGTTTCCCAATAAACAGCTCTTGAAAATTGTTTCTAGTTGTTATCAGATGGTACGGTATGGTTTCCTGTTTGCCTATTTTTTACGTGTGACGTTTGCTGTTAATATATGTACTCTGGGAATTTTGTCTTTAGTATTGTGAAACGCCAGAAGATCTAACACTGTGAAATTTCCATCGGTATCTTCGCTTTTATCATTTAGACATGAGAGTTTTGTTTATATGATAATGAATTCCAAATATATTGCATATTTTGGATGTCAATTAATTCATTTTGGAGAAATTTTGTTGCTACAAAGAGTAATAATGATATTCTGCCTTTTCCTGTCAAAAATATACATAGAATGAATATCAATTACTGATTAGTTGAAACCACAAAGTAGATAAATTCAAAATATTCATTGTTCACTACTCAGAATTTTTTTTCTGATAAAGATTGAACACAAGTGACCTCAAACATCGGGTATATATGCCTGATAAAACGGACAATGACTTAGTGAAATAATTAACCAGTTATTTACCATTGTAAAGCTATTCAAAAATTATAGAACACTGATGATATTTTTAACTGCAAATCTTATGAAGGAATATCTGAAATTCCTATACTAGGATCCTATATAATGAAATAACTGAAAGCTTTTGAATAATTTATATGGTCATAATCCTGTATTCCCTTACCTGACCTTGTCATTTATGTACAGTTATGAAAAAGTAATTTGCAAAGAGATAATCATTATCATTATTGCCTTTTGATGTTCTTTCCACAGTTTACGGAAAAGAAAGCTATAGACTTTATTTGTTTATATTTCTTCAAGTATAAGAATATGATTTGAAAAAGTATACCAAATATTGAGTTTGTGTTTTAAAATTTCAAAAGAGCTTATGAGATCATTGATAGAAATTTGTCGTTACGAAAATTGTTGAAACATGAAATTCAACAAGGCAAAAATCTAAATATATTCAAAAGATCGTGTCACCTTTACATGAACACCAATATTGAATTTCTTGGAAAATTTCAATGAAGCACATTGGAAAATATTGCAAACTCACCAAATCTCATCCCAATCGTATCGGAGCTCATCCCAATGAACTTGTCCTTATTCTTCTTGGCCTTTTTCCTCTCTTCCCTCAGTCTATCGTCATCTTGTATGAAGTCTATCATTTCTTTCACTTTATGCCTAATATTAACACCCTGATCTTTTCCAATGTCATCGATGTACGTATAATTTTCTAAGGACCTCAAATCATAGATATGTTCTCTGGCTGAAGTTACCACCCTTTCGGAACCATTCTTCACTAAATAGTGTAAAACTAGTAGCGCCTAGAAAGGAATCAGTTACACAATATGATGGTCTCAGTGAGAATATATAATACAATGACATATATAACTTTGTTCAAGTCAAACTCAGTTTTTTCAACATGGTTTTTTGCATGAACCACCAGCAACAAATCAGTTTTTTTATTTATTTCCCAACAGTTGAAAAAACAATGAAAACATTGGGTTGATTCATGCACCAGTCTTTGGTCATGTTATAAGTCTTGAGAATTCATGTTTCTTGTTCCTCACTACCGAAAACTTACAGTGCTTGCTCATAGATATGAGGAATACATAATACCTATGGTCGTGTCTGAATATTGATATTGACAAATTAATGATCAACTGTTTATGATCTCTTAGGACTTGAAAATTATGACGGGGTCCATGAATCCGCCCTTACCTTGTAAGTCCTTCGCCAGTGCTGCTTGTTGTCCTGAAGCATTCTTTTCCACAACATGGACATCACTTCTGGGAAGTGCTCGTAGGTGAAGGTGGAGTGAGCCAATTCCTGCATTATCTGGCCTGTGGGGCCCCAAGGCTCGTCGTTTGTAGCCTCTCGAACTTTTGCCTCTACTTCCGTGTAGTTCATAACAACATTCGTACTGAAACGAAAACATCACTGTACCATTTTGTATCCAACAGTACAAAAAAGATAAACATTGGCAAGTTTAGAATAGCCATTAATATAAACTAGATAAACATCTGGTTTTGGGAAAAAACAATACTTACACTTTATCGGCGAGCTCCCGGACTTTCCACATACTCGGGAGAAAGTTTTCCATTTTTTCTGTGTTTGTAAGCAGCTTCTACTGTCTAGAACTTTGAAAAAATTAACAAAAAACGAGCTTTTCCTACAATTTGCGAAAACGGTGACCTGGCCAGTCTTCAGCCATGATACGAAATTTTGACACATTCATGGATGTTAAGGCGTGTTCTGAAGGTTACTCTGTAACTCACAAAGGCTGTTCGCGATCGATGATTGGTTCACACGCACCTCGGAGGTCGCGACGTAATCGAGCAACGAACAAATTATAATTTTGTGATCTGCTCTCACAGAACACAAAATTATTCAGCTCGGTGCTAATCTTTTCATAGGTAATGATGTTTTAAAAATAATTCCGTTATTTGGAGAGAATATCACGAGAAAAACTAATTGACACGACTTTCGTCTAGTGGATGGCGGCACAGTGCATTCGTTTTTAGGGAATAAGACAATATTGACACCCTACTACGACATAATAATGCAGTTGAAAAAATTAAAACATTCAATAAATTCACATTTACTCTTCTAAAATTAATCAAGACTGAAATTTTTTCTAGTAATTAGATTTATAGGTCAGTACGTATAGACTTTACAACAAAAATTAATGGATTGAGTTTATTTACTGCAGTTATGACATACACCGTTTAAACGCCAAACAACTTTCTCCACAATTTCATCCGGGTTTACTAAAACATATATCATTACTTATATTTCAGAAGGATTTGGATATGTGAATTAAAATGACTCTAAACTGAACTTTAGGTGAGAAATTTTAGATGTTGATCATTGAATAATAGTTTTGTCATCCATAATTTTTTTTCGTGTTATATTTTTTGGAATATCATACACATTTGTGAGCCTAGGCAATAATAATACTTTTTTTGACAGAAAACATATGTACATATATCTTGAAATGCACAAAAACAATTCATGTTTCAAATACCGTTCAGAAAACAAATGCCTAATTGAATTACTGTTTATTAGTCGTTCCTACTGATTATTGGAAACTTTTCCAGCTAAGGAATGTCATAGAGTAGGGTGAGAATTTCACGAATCGCAGGTTAGTGAATGAATATAATTGAAAATCAAGACCAAACTCAGTTTGGGAAAAACATTATTGCTTTGAATGATGACTCTGATCGGTATGTTTTGCTTATACTTCCAAGAACCCTGAATCACATTTTATGCAAATCTCCCACGAGATTTGAGTGTGGATAAAACTTTTTGAACTCGTAATCAGTCGATTATTTGTTTTGAGGAACTGAATCTAGACACAGGTTTTTCTTGTAGGTGTGAGTTTTTATTGTGCATTGTGTGGGCTGTAACCTAGAAAATATTTAGTTGTTATTATTGGCAGAAGTTTCATACTTTGAATTTTACAATTGAAAACACCTCGTAGGTATTCATTACGTCATTTCAGCTTCTCAAGTAAGGTAATTTCAACTCAATAAAATGTTCAAAAAGAAGTTTCTTCAGTTGTCTGGTGCAATAGTTTTCAAGGAAAAAAAGCAAATCACACAGCAACAGAACCGTTTTCAAATTTTATGGCACCTATTATAAAAATACGATTTACTCAAATCTGGCGAACTTGTAGGCCACTACTATTGATACACTTTTCTTCGACAATCAATAACCTATATCGATTCAGCAGAAAACATTTTTTATTGAAGCTGATGTGAAAGTGAATCAAAGAAAAGTATTAGATTTTCGTCCAAGGACGTCCCTCGAAAAATTGCTTCAGCAAAACATTAATTCAATGAATGATTTCTTTGAAATAGATTTCTACGTAGTCACTGCAAGACACTGACAAACAAATTCGTGAATTCGGCGTAGTTGTTAGCTTTTGGGTGCGTTGTTACCAACTTTTTTAAATGAATATAATAATAATCATTATCATGATCATTATTTATGGGGATTTTAACCGGAAAAGAAGTAAAACTACGAATATTCTCAAACCTGCTTGACTTGTATGGGTGTTTCCTTCTGAAAACCCAGCCGGTTATTTTCATGGCTGGCAGCGATTATATGCAATATTTTCTTCAGTAGATATTCGGGTTGTTGCACTCGTTGGCCTGCATATAAGGTTGCATCACGATATACCTTGTCTCTCTTCGAGGCCAAGTGGGTTTTTACGTCGCTCTAAAGGCCGGAGAATTTTTTTATTTTTCGTCTTCCCCAACGTAAAAGTATATTTTTCAAAGGTATAATAAATGTCTTGTATTCCACAACTATTAATATTCGAAAGTTGATTTCCATATATTAATAAATTTCAGTTATAAATAAATTTCACTGAATAGAATATTGTTTGTATTGTACTTTGAGCAGTGTATAGTTGATTTGTTTTTATATTCAAATCAATTTCAAAAGATGAAACAGATAAATAATATTTCGGTCGAGGTATTTTTTATCATCTCTGCTACAGCCAGTGATTTCCATCCACCAAGTCTCTCAATTGCAGTAGATACTAAAAATTGTAAATCGGCAGTTTCGGAAATCGTATAACATTTTCTGCAAATAACAATGTGTTGTTTCTATCTAATTTATCAGTGCATTTATTTCAAGGCTAATGAAATTTAAGTAGAACCGTAAGTGACGGTATTACCTTCACGTTTGGTTGTATAAAAGAACGTGGTTTTATTATTTCGAGAAATCCCCACGAAAAACAACTCGTTTCTAGTATTTTTCCTTCGCGTTTTCACCCAATGAAACATGTAAACAATATAGGAAACGAAAGTGATTTCCTGCTCTATTATGGACTAGCTTCATTGTTAAAATGCCGCAACTCTTGCAACACTAAACAATAATAATAATTACGTTCGTTCGGTTCTCAGCTTGTGGGACATCAGCGCGTATTGTTTTGCAGCACTTTTCTGTGAGGTTTTGTTTTCATTACCGTATTGTCAATTCACTTCCCAACTATTTCATAGTGTGGTATATTTACTACAATTCCAAAACAATGAAATAACTGTTATAAAATCAAATTGCTTCCCCTAATAGGTATATATTTACTGTCGCCAAGAATAAAATGCAGCATTTAAGAAGAAGCAGCTGACATGATTTTACAGGTCGTGTAGGTAATGAAATATAATTTGTCAGTTTTATTCGACTTTATACCTAATAATATCGTGTAACATTGGTCATTGGAAAAAAAATAAGAGAAATGGTTCGTTTTGGATGAAGACCCACATAAACTAGTGCTTCAATTTTGTTCTTGCTAAAAACAGAAAAAGCTTATTGATGATTCAAATCCGACGATTTAAGTGGAGCACCATGTATATTTATACCCTCAAATCACTAGCTCAAAACGCCTTCGAAATTCAGCTTTTATAATCGATGGAAGGGGCTTTAAAGCCAAAACATCCCGACAGATAATATTTATCCAAATGATACGTGAGAAATCCTATCTTCCTTTTTGGAAATATTCGCTAAAATCTATAATCGTCGAATTTCGTTTTTCAGCTCTAAAGCCTCCATTTCGAATGATATAGAAAAAATACAGAAAACTATCAATACTGTTTCATAATTGTTATAATCTGATATGAACCAATTTGAAATGTGACTTTTCGTTCATTTGATTTCACCATCGACGTTATCGAGTGAACAACGGGCTCCTTTCACTGTCCCCAGAGAAAATGTTTCATTTTCAAGGGCCTAAGAGACAAACATTGCAGCAGACCAAACGTTCGTTTCGAAAACAGCTTATCTCCGGATTTTGTTCTTTCACGACTCCGGTCGTGAAAGCCTATGTTCTCATACCCTCAAAATTTGTTCATACTACATACATCGCCACCTTTCCGCTTATATACAACAATTTTTTAGCTAAAACATCCATCCTCCTTCGAGTTATGACCCATTGATTGATGTTCCACTACCCGTAACCTCTGGTTTCATTATGTCAAACAAAAAATGCGTGAACGGTGGTGTTTTTCACCTCAAAAAGCTGTTGAAGCCTCCCACTAACTTCAGAAACTCTTGGAAAAATTAGGTATTGGACCATCATTTTCAGATTGAGGTACTCCCATTTTAATTTATCAATCCTTCTAGAATTGTATCGACCGCAGAAATCGATAGGATTGCCTATGATGAGGAGAAATTCAACGTGACGAATTTTCACGAGAAACTCTCCTTTTCATCGGAAGGTCAAGACTGTCTACATCGATAGCAAACGCACCTTCGGCAAAGCATTCCCCTCTGCTTGGCGATCACCAGGTGGAGGCATCCAGTCAGTCGCTTCGCGATTGTAATATCGAAAAGATCTCCGCCAGCTACCATCAATCGATTTACTATCTATTGTTTACGTGCTAATATTTAAACGATGTGATAAAATTGCACAAAAGCGAATATTTCTGTTATTGTTACACCACTAAGCAGGAACAATTATTTTCCCGAAACAACGGTGAGTAGTACTTTAACACTGTTACCTTTTGTGGAGGTACTTCGCGGTGGTCTTTTGATTACATACGAATTCAAATAACATTTTATTGTGATATTTCCCCTCGACAGTTCGCAGAAACGCCATACGTGTTATACAATAGATTATTTAAGCTTACTCAATAGGTACGCACTAATAATTTCTACATCGTACTTTTATAATGATTGGAACCCCAATGACTTTCACTACGAGACAAATTTCTCACAAAATAAATTTTAATTAGTCGCGATTCAGTATAAATTATACGTACAATATTACAGAATCCCGCCAACTGAAACAACTAACCTGGTTGAGCGTCTCTTCGACAGAAAGCAGGCTAAACCAGTTTGTTAAAATTATTTTCAATTCAATTTCATTGTTATAACAAAGGGTTATTATTAGAAAAACTCTTGATTACATTGCTAGTTGTCACTTTCATGGACAACCTGAAGAATAAAATGCATCTACTCACAGGTAACCTTAGTCTATATGGGCTGTACTACAGAAAAATCCCATGAGATACTAATTAGCAAACTCAATCACTATGGAATAAGAGATATTCCACTGAAACTGTTCGATTCATATCTATCTCAGAGAAAACAAGTTGTCTCTATTAATGGTGTTGTGTCTTACCCAGTTCATATTGAAAATAGTGTCCCCAAGGGTCTGTTTTGGGACCACTGCTGTTCATCATTTACAATAATGATTTTCATCACTTTTTACTGCCGATAAGAATATCACCACTCGAACGTCTTGCTATAGATAGTGGAATTGAAGCTAATAAATTGTTTACAGCGAATAAATTAAATCTGAATCAAGCCAAGACACAATCTTCAACCATATCTTCACATACAGAAGTCACACAGGGTCTATCAGTGAAAGTATTAGTACATATTGATGATAATTAGTCTTGGCTCAGTCACATAGGTACATTATTTATTTAAAAAATTATTGAGTATAATCTTCATGTTTCGAATGTTGAAACAAATATAAGGCTTTACAGCTCTTGAAATTGCTTATTTTTCACTGTTTCATTCAAGGGCGTCGTCCTTAATTTGGTTAACCCACCTATAATGTCGCTCACGTTTTGAAAAATAAATATTTTGACATAGCCTACGAATCAAATCATAATTTGAGAAAACTTATTGAAGACGATAAAGACAATACTTCATTGCCTGCTAGATCGGAAATATATAAGTTGACTTGTTGTTCTTGTCGCAAAATTTATATCGGCCAAGATGAGATAACTTTTTCCAAAAGAATGAAAGAACATTTATACAGTCCAATCATGATTACGACGTATTGCATTTGGAAGAGAAGGGTTCGAAAGTTGTTCTTTTGGGACCCAGAAACAAGCATGTAGGATTTCAGAACTATTGCTCAACGATGCTCTTGGTAATTGGGGTGGATTTTAATTGAAGTAATACGAGACAGTGTTTTATATTTATTGGAAATACACGTCCCCAAAAGTTAAACAATCTTCATCCCTTCGACTTGATCACCAATCACCCTGTAGTAGTAGCTGGTACAAAGCCGAAGATCTATTTTTTTGCGTAAATGATTAATCGAAAACGTATCATGATTCAGCTTGTAATTTCATTCGTAATTACACGTGGCTTATAATTATTGAAAAAACTAACAGCAGTTGCAATTGCACTTATGCAAGATCGACAGTCAGGCAGATTGCGGGGGACATTAATATTCAACTAACAATTGAAAGGATGTTGATAATGATATTGAAAGGTTGCTGAAAAGGGAGACCTTGATTCTGCATCATTATTTTCTTTGGTCTTAGTAACAGTTGCTTTTATTTGTAATAATGACGGTAGACTAATTACTTCAACCACACAATAGATTTCGATTTGTCATACCACGTGATTCTCATTGTTTTTCCCAGAGTTATGAAATCTGAGCGGTTTAAATTCTAGAAATAAAATAACCACAGATAGGATTATTATTTATAACAAAAAGAAGTGAGTTCGAAAAGTTTTACAAAAACGCAACACTTGTTTCGTTACATATAGTAGTGATTATTGAACTTAGGTCCTTCTGCTAAAAAGTGGTTCGCAAATGTTGAATTGGTCTTCTCATTTAAGAAACTGCTTCTACGCTCTTTAATTCTTTGAGAAAAATTCCTCCCCGTTTGGCCAATTTAAAATTTTGGGCAAGAGCCACAAGTCAATTTATGGACTCCTGATCTATACGACACTGAAGTTTTGACTTATCCTGAAACATTATTTGTTCTGTTCCGAATTTCAATAAATATAACATTTCACACATAGAAACATCACTAAAGATAAGATATTGTATCCATTTTATCCACATTTTCAAATAAAATGAATTCGAATGAAATTTCTACATCTTTGGAAAACACTTGTTTTGAATTTCATTCTTATTGAATTTAGAAGATGAGGTTAATAGCTTTTACAGAATCTTTCAAGATTAAAAATCACCTGAATAAATTAACATATATACCAAATAACATAATGGTCAGCACTATTAAAAATCAACAGATTTGAGATATGAATTATGTAAATTAAATTTGATGATTGTCAATAATGGCAATCTCAAGAGCCTTGTTCACGTAAACAATGAAGTGTTTTCTTGAGACGAAATTTGTCAACGGTTCCATCGGAATTTGGCTTCTGTTTCCAATCAACTGTGTTGATTTATCCAATACCTCACATCTATGTAAGTAACTGCATAACAGTAGAACTAATATTAAAAAAAATGATAAAATTTGATTTTATTATACAATATATTTGCCTTCGAGAGCGATACAAAGATTTGGGCGGTCATACGATGTTTTGATACCATTTTCATAGTACAATTAGTCTTCAGCCTCAAAATTGGCCTCAGTTTCTTTCCAGCGAGCCTGAGAACAGGAAAAACTCACTGGGGACCGGATCTGGAAAATATGGTGGATACGGAATCAATTCGAAGCCTAATTCATGCAATTTTGCCACCGTTTTCATTGATTTGGAACCGATTTTTCATGATTTCGTCCTTCAAACTCTCCACGAACGCTATGTAATAGTCGCTGTTGATGGTTTATCTCTTTTCAAGGTAGTCGATCAATATTATACCATGCGCATCCCAAAATACTGATTCTATAACCTTGCCAGTTGACTGTTGCATGTCTGTGCACCCTTTTGAGTCGGTTCACCACGTGTATTCCACTCAGATGAGGATCGTTTTGATGCTGGTGTGAAATAATGGGGCCATGTTTCATCCATTGTCACATATCGACGCATAACCTCGGGTTTTTATGGTGCAACAGCTTTAAACTCTGCTTTTGTCATGGCACCCACTTTGAACAGAGCTTTCGCAGACCCAAATATTCATGCACGAGATATCCAACACGTACCTCAGCTATGTCGATCAACTTCATTTTGAGGTCATACAACATTGTTTTGTGGACTTTTTTGATGTTTTCGTCGGTAACGACCTCTTTGGGGCGACCACTGCCCGAATAATGTTTATCAAACCAGGCTTCAGCTTCAACAATATTTTTTTCGCCTAAAAACAATGCTTTATTAACACACATTTACTTCAAAGAAACAAAAATTGCTTCACTGTAAATGCTCTATCCCACAAACTAATAGTCCGGCAGCTGTGAAATTTGTACACGTGTCCTTTGAAGGTTGGGATCAACTAAATATCATAAGGATTCAGTACTAGTATTTGAGAATTAACTCATTCAACATACCTAGACACCCTACTTCCAAATTTCAAGGATGTTTTTCTTATATAGCTCCTTCCGATCTGAATGAAATTTTACCCCTTTTAAATCATAATATTCATCAATTTAAGAAAGAAATAAAATCACAGATGCTTAGCATCTACATGATGTATTATTTTTTCGCTTCTCTATCATTGTTATGATATTAAATAAGTATGTTTATAATTATTTTCTTATACTTACTGTATAATTTTTAGGAAGGGTGGGAGATAGCCTTTGGCTAACCCTTTTCCTTTTATGTATAAATGTATTGTTATGCATAATAAACGATATTATCATTATTATTATTATTATTATTTAACAGAGATACACTGTTTCAGTGTCATGACTTTGTATATTAAAAAAAATACAATGGAATTTTTTAAAAATCTTTTTTTGATTTCAGAAAATGCATGACAACTATGCTGTCTACGTGGAAAATGTAGTGAAGAACTATGGAAATAAGACAATTTTGAAGGAGCTCAACATGAAAGTTGAGCGGGGTATAATGTGAGTATAAATTGGAATAAATGAGTTGAAAATATTTCATTTTATTTTTAATGACAAAATATGTATTTGCTCAATAATGGTAATTTCTTATTGACGCATTATCAACAACAATTTCATCATTACTTTTTTGTAATTGTCGAATTTTACCCTAATCGGATTATCCATGATAATTAAACTATTTTCACACTATTACCGTTACTGAAAATGCGTTTTGCTACACAGCGGCTTCCTCAGATGATTTGGTGCTTTGAACTATTCTTCAATGCGTTTTCTGAACAGTGGTCTTTGTTTTACTTTTTGATCTTTATATTTCCCAAAGAATCACTGGTCTTGCATGCTATATTAATGTCCTGTTGTTCAGTTGGTAGCCTTTTTATGAGTGTTCTGAAGGTGTTAGTATTACTTTTAATGTGTTGGTGTACTTAATTAATGGCCTATTTGAATAGTTTTTTGTTTAGAACGCGATGAATCATATTCGAGTTGAATTTATCATTTACTGCACTCACAATTACAAAAATCAACAACAAACAAGATTTTGCAATTTTCGAATCAACGAGACAAGGAATACCTTGCGTAAACATGACAAGAACAACAAGTCAAACATGGATCAGGTGTACAGAGTGAGCCAAATTGGACACTTTCAAAGGGAAACTAGGTTTTGGACTAAAGAAGACCAGGAAAACTGAAGAAGTTGCTGTGTAGAGAAATGCGTCTACAGTGAAGTTGATGGTGTGAAAATCACTTCATTATCATGGATGCTGTTATCAATTTTCATCAATTGACGGGTGACAATCGCATTCGATTTCTTCTGACATTTGCACTGTCTAAAGAAATAAGAAATCTTCACGTTGTTTTTTCAGATATGGTCTTCTAGGTGCCAGTGGCTGTGGAAAAACTACCCTCCTGAGTAGTATTGTGGGTCGTAAAAAAATCGATGGGGGTGAAATCTGGGTGCTTGGTGGAAAACCGGGTGAAGTCGGGAGTGGAGTTCCTGGTCCAAGAGTTGGTTATATGCCACAGGTGAGAATGTTACACAGAAATAAAAACGAGACTCAGTTTTCTGAAAAACGTAGCTATGGGAATTTAAAATCTACGTCAAAATATAGTAATTATTTCGGCTAATACTTAGCACTCGCCTTGTAACACTTTACTGGGAAAAATAATAAACAAATAAGGAATAACCTTAATGAACACTTGCAGGAACTGGTTTATATTGATAAAACAATTTTTATAGAGATTGCTTTTGCATGTTTCCAAGAATTTCAAGTACATTCATTTCAGTAATCACCTTACCCATGTATCATGGTGAAAACCTGGAGCGTCCGATCTAGGTCGAAATCTATACTTATAAATGCACACTCACTTCGAATATTCCGACTGGGGCTTCCCCGCGGAGGTAAAAGAGGCGCGTTTACATTTGAAAATTACCATTTCGTCACTCTGTTTCTCCATACCGGTATATGGCCCCTTACAGCGTAAATTTAATGAATATTTTCGAAGATATTATAGAGTTGAAATGCAGAAAACATGTTTGTGTTGGCTACTGACAAAAAAGCTATGAATGTTGTATATAAAGACATTCCGTGATACATTAAGTATCAGCATTGCACCCGTGCATTGAAACAGTAAACCTAGAGAAAATCCAACACAAAAAATATCCAAATACAGGCAAATTCACCTGCAGTGTCTGTACCAAGGCGTTCTAACCGCATAAAAGAACAAACAAGAAGATAAAACGTTCAGTTTGAGTATAGCCAAGAAGATGATATCACAGCCAGGTATCGAAAGCGCTCGCATATAGTAAATAGAAGTTATAAAGCTTGAAATCCTTTTTGTGACGTATGTTAATATCAACATATGAACGTGGCTGACTTTGTACGAATGTACGAACGAAATATTGAATTCATTTCTACTCATAAATGTGATTTACAAATACATACACTTTGTAAAATGAATAATTGTTTTTTTCTAAAAGTTGCAGCTGAAACTTTTCAGTATTTTTTTTCAGGATATCGCTCTCGTTGGAGAATTCACAGTTAAGGACGCTATTTATTATTTCGGGAGAATTTTCGGAATGGAAGAGAGTCTCATTGCAGAGAGGTACAAGAATTTACACAACCTACTGGAGTTGCCGCCAGATGACAGGTATGTCTATGAATTTCAGTAATCTTGTGTTATAAAAACAAAAAATTAGTACTTGCAAACATTCTTCAATAGTATTTGGAAGGAACGTGTGGAAGAACGAATACAATAAAAATGAAATAGATATTAAAGTTATTGAAAATACTAAAAATAATCGGACCGAAATTTTCGGTCAGTTTGAAGAAAATTGTATTGTGATCTGAAATAAAAATGAATTGATAAAATGATAAACAACAAGAGAAATTATACACAAATCATAACATTTTTTATAAAAATACAGCAAAACAAAACAGTCAGAACAAATGATGGAAAAATACCAAAACAAGAAAAATACTTCGAAATAAGTTTCTTCGAGACGTTCTAGCAGAGAAAAAAATTGTATAATAACAAACAAAGCGTGAACTAAAGAGGAAAAAGGAGGGGAAAACCTACATATACACGTATAAATGAAACAACGAGCTATTCATCGCTGAACTCAACGAAATATGTCCCTTCATATGTTCCAACAAAAAATCACTATAGAGAAATGGCACATTTATCATCGCTGACGGCCATAAACGGTTCGAAGGATGATCGTGATCCTTTCAATTTATTTAGTACCAACAGCGTTACCGAATGAGAGAGAACAAGTGGAATAAGTGGAATTATTGTGAAGTATTCTGACTTGTATTTTTGGGATTTTGAATGCAATTCTTGATTTGGTCAGTTTACAACTTATTGCAACATCCTGAAGATTCCAAAGACACATGAATCTTATAGCTCTTTCCTGTAAAATGAATTTTGCAACATACTTCCCATAAAGGGAATTCCATACTTTAAATGAGAATATATTAGGGAGAAATAAGGGAGTACTAGGGAAAAATGTGTTCAATTTTCAGGATATGTTCTTTTATTCATCTTTTTTTGAGATATTTGACGAATTTGCGTTGGATATTAGATTGACATTCAATCTAATATCACCAAATTATTTTAATCGAGTTTATTAATATTCATTATCTGAAAAACCTTGAGGGAATTTCGTGTTTCAAAAAAGAGACAATCAACTGGCCATTGTCATCAACATTGATTATGCCGTAGTACAATGGAGTTAATCTTTTTAGAGGAATCTTTCCAATGTAATAAATAATTCAATCACAAACAAAAAATAAATACCTAATTTCGATAAGTGAACTCGCAGAAGCGGTTCTGTCACGCTATTTGTTAATTTGAGTATATTGAACTTTTCAAGCTCATTGCCTTTGACCTAACTGAATAATAAATTGCCAAACTGTCTGTTACGTAACACAATTATTATAAATTATAAATTTGCAGGCTTCGTTAAGGAATATGATTGGGAAGTTGATGATCAACTCTGAATTTTTATTTAATATACTTCTAGCAATAGATAAAACCCCACCCTTAAAAAATGTCTCTAATGATCCGCAATGTTCCGGAACATTCTGGAATATTAATGTTCCGGGATATTCTATCGTTCGCAAATAAAAATACTGATTGCTGAAATTGAATAATCTGTTGGGAAAAAGTGTGATCAATTTACCATTCTAATCATTCAAGCGTTAATTAGTGCTGTAATTATTCAATAATTTTAATTGAAGTATTGGATTCGATACTTCCTGATTGACAGAATTTCCAAAAAAAGGATGTTATGACCCAGATTAGGTCATAAAAACTACCAACGGCGAGTATTATGCGGACTTATTGCAACGTTTGAATGAAAAAATCAAGTAAAAACGCCCGCGGCTGAAAAAAAAGTGTTGTTTCTTCAAGAAAATCTGTTTTCCGTTAATCAGCTGTCGCCCCCATACGAATGACAACTCTCAGAAGTTGAGAAACTTGTGCGAGCTAAGGACTAACGAGGTCTTACCTTTAAACGTGTGATTCCTAACAATGCACAATGCAATGACCAAAATTAACGAATTGAAGTTTGAATTGCTACCTCTGGCACCCTATCCGCCAGATTTAGCCCCTTGGATTATTTTCTGTTCTCAAACTTGAAAAAATGGCTCAATGGTCAACGGTTAAGCAGTGATATTGGCAATTAATGGCTATTTTGAGGAGCAAGACAGTTCTTATTATAAAAACAGTATCGAACTCATTGAAAATCGCTGGGAAAAGTGAAAAATTAAAACAGTTTTTTCCAAAAATTTTGTGTTCGTTTTGGTGGGACCGGTACTTCTGTGACCACCCACCTGTAGTATGTATTTTACCGAATTGTGTTCATTTTAACCGGTGGAACTAGTGCAAATAATTGATGTGAAACTTTGTTAAAGCTGTCTAAAATTAAACTTTTTCATCGTTTTTATGTATTGAAAGAAATAATCTCAGATGAATGTCAATTTTTTCAAACTCAAATTATGTTATTTCTGTGCAATTCTAATTGAGCAATCAGCAACAGATAAAATCATTCGTCCTATAGTCTCGTGGTTCACAAAATTCTCGGTGATCTCGACACGAAATTTAAGGTTATTATAGAATATTTTGTGGTAAATTACTTATAACTAACTACAAAAACTAAAAGCAATAATAACAACAGCAAATAAACCAAACACAATATCAATTTCCGATCGTTTATTATAACTAATCCGATGCCCGTGGGACCGTCGAATCCTTCGATACTACAGCACTGAACGCTTTGGATAAGAATCTCATCCTAAGAGCAGTTGAAGGTCCCCGGCAACTAGGGCGGATCATGTGATAAGATAGCCTACTGTGGTTTTATTATGCTGTTTGCTTTCATGGCATTGCTGAATGACAAAGTTTTCCTCAAAAATGTAAATTCATCGATAAGAATCTGAAGTCGAGGTATGACTCTAGATAAATCTTTTGTTTATTTCAAGGTACTTGAAAAACTGCAGCGGAGGACAACAAAGGAGAGTATCCTTGGCAGCATCCTTGGTACACAAACCAGAGCTGTTGATTATGGACGAACCGACGGTTGGAGTAGACCCAGTGTTAAGAGACAAGTAAGTCTTCATGCAAGAGATAACAAAGAATGGGTATCGCAAGGTATAATTGCCGGGAAAATAACTTTTTGCAACACTTCAAAATCATATCGAGTTTTTTAGAAAGGGGTCAAGATTCAACCAAGAAACCACTGTTTGGTATCAAGCTTCAGAGGGTGAGGGGGGCCCGAGTATACCTCAAAGTTACTCACAAGATGTGTGTTTGATATTTAAACGACAGGGGATGCGGTTGAGCCTCCTTGGTCACCTGACTTGAGTCTCTTCGTTTTTTTTTGGAAACACATGAAAAACGAAATGTATCGCACTTCAACTCATTGCAAAACCTCCAGTTCAAATCAATTTAGGGATAACCCCTAGGCTCAAAGCTGCCAAGGGTTTTGGGTCAGCACTTGTCCCTCTTCTGCGAAAAATTTTTTTTTCTCTAGCAGTATATCATCCGGTCTATCAGTGATGGTTGATTTTTGAATGTTTCGTAGAATATGGAACCACCTGGTGGAGATAACAAAGAAAGAGAATACGTCTGTGATAATCACTACACATTATATAGAAGAGGCAAGGCAAGCTAATAAGGTAAGCAATTCTATAAAGTTGCAGTTGTAGTAATTAGCGATGTTTCAACTGAACCAACATATAGCGAATATGCGCCGTGTGTTTATTGAAACGTGTTCGGAAAGCTCGTCTAGTTTGACCAACGTAACCGGGTTGTTTATTTTTTGAATCCTAGCTTCCAAGATGCCTTCATACTCTTATTGGCTCACTCTGTATTTACCTGATCACTTTCTAATCTCGTGTAGCTTGAATTTATTTCATTACATCACCATGAAAAATTTCACAATAAATTCGAGCAATTGTTAAATAGAAAATACAATGTTAGCAGACGCAGAGTAAAAGTGAAATCTCACCTGAAGAAGTTTACACCGTTTTTTTTTAAATAGACAATTGCCATTCCATAAGTGTGTCCGATTACAATATTACTTATTTGCAAGCGGACTATTATCATTGGAAAATAACATTTTGATACGAGTTTTATATTCAAAGATCGTCAAAGATATCAGTTTAATGTCCCAATTACTTGTTTTCAAACGTTGTTTATCTATAATTGGGAACGCGCTAATGGAAGAATGCGCAGTTTTATTTTTCTATTATAGAATTGTTTCTTTGGATGATAAACGAATAGTTTGGTTGACATATTCAAGAAACACTTTGTGAGATTTCCACTAAACAGTTTTATAAAAGCGCAACACGTGCGCAGTACATGCGCAGCATATGCGCACAAGCTTCTTCAGATGTGTCTTACCTAAAATATACATATTCAATGCTTTTTTACAAAATTTTCTATTCTAAATGTAACTAGTCATAGTCGTGATTGAACTCATGTCCTTCTGCTGAAAGATGATTTGCAAATGATCTTTAATTCTTGGCCAATATTATTGAATTTATTAGTTTGACGTTGATCCATAAAAACGGACGAAACTTTTCAAAGAACCCAATTAAAAGAGTAAGTACAACAAAAAAGTGGAAGAATAAGATGTTCTAGCAACAAATTTGCAAACGAGATATTTTCAAAACTTTCACACTGAAATCTGAGTAACTACAATTTTTATTCTCAATAATCGCTATTATTGATCGTTTAAGGATTATCATGTAAATTTCATGGATTTATTCCAATTTGTTTTGCAATCTGAGCAACTTCCTAATCATTATTAATTGACACATGCTTTGAATCAAGTATAACGTGTATTATAAATTTACAGTGGCTTAGTGTCAAGGTCAACCAGGAGAATTCTCATTATTGATATCAGTACTGATGTTGACAATGTGTCTTTCCTAGAAAAGAGCGTCTGCTGAACTATCTCTCTATTAAAAATGTAATAATACACCCTACTTGAAACATTTGTTTCTTCCCAACACCAAATCGTTATTTTAATACCTCGACACGTGTTTTGATCACCAAGTGATCATCTTCAAGAAGAAGATTAAACTATCTTCCTCCAGTTCTATACCCAAGTGATCATCTTCAAGAACATTCCAGAATATCCGAGAGTACTCAAACTTGAACGTTCGAGAACAGCTTGGAACATCCCAGATCAATATGGAACTAGTAAAAATGACCTTTTTCCACTCAAATTCCTACAAAAGTGTTCTCATACTTTCTAGGTTGGCTTGATGCGAGAAGGCAAACTCCTTGTGGAAGAGTCGCCCAGTAGACTGCTGACAATCTTCAACACAGCCACGCTGGAAGAGGTGTTTCTGATCCTGAGTAGGAGACAAGAAGAAGGAAGACTGGAAAATATTGATCAGCAAGCTATAGCTGACGACCAAAACAACTCTATCGTCCCCTTCAATCATATTTCGGGGTCTGCAGTGAGCGTTGCATCCGTTTCCACTTTCGAAGTGGGTCATGGATCTACAGACGTGAGTATAATGATTTGTTCAATCCTCCAAGTCATCTTTCAAACACTTCAGAGAGGTTATTATAAGTAGGTACAGGTAAGTTTAGGAGCTGAGTATATCTTTGTTGAAAAAGTCTACATCTGAACATATTGCACTTTTTTTTAATTTTATTGAGATGGTGATCGCCAAATCAAACATCAATAAACCGCCTTCAAAAGAATCATCAACACTTCCAGTATGGATAATCAGTTGCTTTCCTTTTCCAGCAGGCGACTTTAGATCGGTAGACCAGCCTTTTGAAAATGCTTGACGTAGACCTGTTATGTTTTTATCTTGCCACATCTTTCCAATGGTATATCCTTCATTGAGACAAGTTTTTTCCAGATAATTCTCACGGCAAAACTCTCTTATTTGCCTCAGGTAATGTCTCCTCCAGTAAATAATTTCATCATTTTCGATTGAGGGCGATTTTCTATTTTGTTTTTCCCAGCTGAAATTTAATTCCTTCAAAGTTTTCCAAATTTCTTTCTGCCTACCATTGGAGACATACTTTGGTCTTCTTTAAAACCTCCCATTATCGTGTCGAGGGCCGGTGTTTCTTCTTGCAATAAAATTACTGTGCTGTTCTTCCAATTGTAAGTCAGTAATTTTCATCAATTCTTAGGTTAATGACAATTTGTTATAGAATCAATATTTTCCTAGTTGCTATTTGTGATTATTAGGTAAGAGTAGGGCCCTTTTCAATGTTTATAGTTCTCATTCCACATTTTTCAATTTCCAGACTTGAAAAGGCGTCTAAAAGCCTGTTGTCATTTATTTTGTGAACATTCTCTAAGTATGTTGAATGACACTAGGCTGCTCACGTCTATGAAACCAAATATGTAAAACGTTCCTTTCAAACACGTTATTACAGTCCGCTTTTGATGAACATACTCTTTTTCGCAACCTTCTTTGCTTATTTCCATCATTTTGTTTTTCGTTTTTCCAACAATTGTTCGTGTACGAATAGTTTTGGAAACCACGTTTGATTTTTCCAAAACTTGAACCAATCCCTTGTTGTATTTTGATACATATAGAAGAACTACGATAGGTTGCCTTTTATCTTTCGGGATTTGGTAACCCTAGTGTTGCAATCTGACAACTGACAGCTCTCTCGTAAAGTTGGACATTTTCGAGCTTATACGTACTCAAAACAACTTGTAATACGCGCGCTATTTGTGTTGTTTACAGTAACTTTAAAGATACCAACCGACGTTTTGATTACCAACAGTTGAAAACATCTACTATTACAGTGTAATCATGTGGAGTCCCTCAAGGATCCGAACTTGGCCCCGTCACGTTCATAATTGATAGTTATGCCTCGAAAATATGTGAAACATAAATGCATATATCAATTACTCGCGAAATCATCTTATTATGTTGTATCCCTACTAAGCACGCCTTAAAAAATATATCTCTCCAGTAGAATCATCAAAGCAGTTTCAAATTTGTAATAATAATAAATGAAATGTAACTACTAACAAGTATTTTTAAATTTACTAACGCTTGCAAAGGACTCTCGTCACGGACGGCTGTCCGCCGCGAAGGTAATTTGATTTTTTCATTAGCCTTCGTATATTGAAAGTATTTATGATTTTTTTTTCAGATGCTGGCAAAGGAAAAGTTGCGGAAAGCAAAGCACGCGATAAACAGAAACCGCGTGAAAGCATTGATGGACAAGAACTGGAAACAATTCTACAGAAATGTGACGTAAGTTGACTATCATTTCTTTGCAAGAATGTGTCTCAACCAATTGAACTTCGGTATATTTCAAGAAGATAAACGTTTCTAGTCTAACCTTGTACGTAAATTATAACCTTATACTTAGGAAGCATGTGGCTCATATACTTCATGGTGTACATGCAGGGCGTTTGCGGTATGGCTTACGGTAAGAATTTCGAAAGATATTGAAAGTAAAATTTTTGCAACATTTACGTTTTCATCTGATCGCCTTGAGGAAAAGATTACGTTGGATTCGAAGTGGGTCGGGACCTCCACTGCAATTGAAGGTGTATTGTGGTCCACACCAATTGAAACTCCACGACATAAGACCAGTTTGTTTGGCGGTATTTTAGGTTCGATGACGAAAGTGAAACTCTGAAAACCTGCAGAACAAACTATCTTCTCTGCTATTTCACCATCTTTTAAACAGAAACTGTATTTCCATACGCCCATTATGTGTAAACTGAGCCTTAGCCTTCAAGGCCCACTTCAGACCATCTCAACTTTTACCGTCATACAGTCGACCAATCAGAAGCTACCGCACGTACAGCGGGAAATTCAAATCTAGTAGATGAACAAGGCGGGTACGATGACGTCACACGTTTCTCTCTTCCACTCACTAAAGTTTCTCTTTGAAACACTTACCAGAATGCTCGGGTTTTTGGAGTGGACCATTGGTCTGCTACACTCTCCATTGCAATCGGCGGTATGCGCAATTCTGTATGCTGTCCATCTAGCTTGACTCTCTAGAAAAATGTGGAGATGAGATACGTCCAAAAGGATGTACACGACCACTGACGATGTTGTCCAGGATCACATAGTTGATATCATTGTAAATGTAAATGGAAATATTGATATATATGCAGTTGGTCATTACCACTGTAGCGAAATGAGGACTAATAGCTAGCTATTTGATATGAACTAGTTAACATTTTGGTTTTCGAGAGTTTGCATGGATTTTCTTCGCAATTACCGCAATAAACATGGAAAGCGGCAGCGATAGTAAGTTTGAAAATGTTCTGTTACGGCACGATTGCTGCTTGAAAAGTGGGTGCCCTACGATTTGAACGGTCGACAGAAACAGTCACCTTTCAAGGTCTGTTCTTTTTTGCTTCAGCGCTACCAAAACGATCCATTTTTGGATCGTCACGTACCAGACCTCTCGCCAGCCGACTACCATCTTTTCAAACACTTCGATAACGTTCTCACCGGTAGAACCTTCGCCAATCAAGGCCAGGCAAAAAAGTCTTTCGTCGATTTCAACGAATCCTGGTTATTAAAGTGACGCTTCGACATTAACATTAGGGTTGAAATTCGATAGGAATCACCTTCTGTTGATGGCGATTTATTTCAACCGTTTTTATTTGCTTTGGTTTTGATTTTATGTATTGTTTTTATTTGCAGGATTCTGGGTTTCAGTCATAAGTACTGACCACTCGATGGCGAACACAGTTCTCACTGGAATATTTCTTCCGATGATGATGCTCAGCGGTAAGATAAAAATTTGAAATACTTTCCATAAATCAATATGAATCAGTTAGAACTTAGCATTTCTCCAAGTAACATTTTGATTAATTGTTAAATACTGTGCAAAACTAACAGGTCGACGATAATCTTTCAATTACTCGAAACTGATATTATCGGCTGGCTACTTCACTTTAAACATACCTACTATGTAAACACTTAATAGGAAAAATCCAAAACAACAGGAAAATGTTTTTTCAAGTTGAACATGATTGTTAAAAAGTACGTTCCTTATCGATGAACAATACTAATTTATTTATAGCATTCTGCTACTCTAGCAGAAGTCAAAACAAGATGAAAAGTAACATAAATCAAAATAAGAATTTGAATTTTCCTAAATAAACCGAAACAAAGTTCTGTATAGTGTTCAACACAGGTATGCTGCTTTATTATTCGGCCTTTCCCAGAAACATGTAACACAACCCTTTTCCCTTCAACGGAATCGAATTTGCGCAGTATGTTCCTTGAAACCTTCCCTAATGAAACCGTCAGTTTGACCAACCTATTTCTCCGCAGTCCTTTCAGCCTACCTCATTAACCCCAGACTCCTGAGTTTTTCTTTAAAGTTACCTGATGACAGTTGAACTGAATCAGCTACTTTTTTCACTTCCACTCTTTTTCTGTTTTATCGGACCTCCTTTGAAATCTTTCAGGACTGATGTGGCCCACGGAGGGTATGCCAATGGGTCTGCGGATATTTTCACGCTGCTTGCCCTTCACCATGGCGATAGAATCCCTCCGAAACGTGACCAAAAAGGGATGGTCCATCACCCACTTCGAGGTTTACGATGGAATCGGGGTGGGCCTGTTTTGGACTCTATTCTTCGGGATCCTCAGCGTGTATTTGATTAAGAAAAAGCGATAATGTTATTATTTACGTGTTTAGACTAAGGTTTGTTTGTGTCCCTGTGAAATAAATGAAGAACAAGGTTTTTGTTTAGTGTTTCACTCGATGTTGAATTAAATTTGGCCAGGTAGCACAGCGATTCTTACCAGTGAGGGGACTGACCTTATAATGTTTTGAACTTTTCTAGTATAAGCTCATCTCTTGCAATGCTTGTGACTGGTCTTCACTCTAGATACGGCAATTTTGCTTGTTAACGTATCCATTCAATCAGAAATGAACCTCGTCGCTGAACACAATTTTTCGATAAAAATGTGGATCTTTCTCCATCTTTAACAGCGCTCCTTCACCAAATGTTAGACGTTGTGGAAGGTCGTGTGTCTTCAATTCTTGTACCAGCTGTATCTTATAAGGTTTTACACCCAAATCCTTTCGCAAAATTTTCCACAGAGGCCCAATTGCTGCGAACGGCGGCGAATCGACATTTCACGGTCATCACGAACACTGGCGGATACAGCCGCAATATTTTCTTCGGTCCTAGATTCGAAATTTAGTCACAAGCTTCCGAAGTGGATTCTAGCGCAACAAATCGCAACAAACAATAGACACAATTTTTAATCTGTAATGTTTTGTGAAGAAAACTATAAAAATATGAGAGTAAGTATAATAAATATAAAATTGTGCTGTGCTGGCCTGTCTCCTTTCCGGACATTCACTCTCAAAAACATTTCTCTTATGACTGTTGAAAAAGCTTATCTTTTGATTCTGAAATTTACAAGAATTGTCTGAAGTGAATTGTACAAATTCGGTCCTGTCAGCAGAAAAATACGATTCGTATTTTATTGGGTTTGTTTGGATTAATAACACCGAAGAGTGGCAAATAACAGATATTTCCGTCATTAAGATCATCTTCCGCATTATTTGAAATTTTCGATATATAATTTTTCTTAATCATGTCTTCGAACTTTTCGCAATACATTCGACCAAACTCTTCATCTTTGTACATTTTTCTTCCATACAAACGAGTTTTCTTAGGGCATTTTTTACTTTCCGGTGAATGATGATTATTCTTTCTTCAAATCAGTCCGGTTTCAAACTTGTCACCCTTGTCTCCGCTTTGTAGAATCCATGTTCTCTTGAGCTCTAATATCTTCTCTGGATAAAGATTGTCTTGAAGTAGGAAATTGTCTCGACCAACCAAAAACGTATAAATAAATTCGAATCCAACCAGTTTTTCGCTTTCATTTGATTCATACTCTAGAGTGAAGTTGTCTTAGAAGTTGATATAGACTGTCTTCGACATATATTATTGATAACAGTGGGCCCAGGATTGAGCTTTGTGGCACGCCAAACGCAACTTTTCCTTAATACTCACACTACACCAAAGATTCCAAACCGTGCATCACAAATACTTAGGGATATCTTACAGATCCCTCATTTGTACAGAAATTAGAGAAATTCCTTTGGGAATTGGTAGGTATACTCGTGAAAAAAAAATCACTGGAAAATGGAGTGTACTATTTCATCAATCCTTAGTGATAAATTCTATCATTTTTGATGACTGCATTGATGATATCATCATTGACTGTGTCTGCAAACTGATATAAACATTTACCAAGGTCAATATTTATTCAAAATTAAAATTGTTGTTCAAATTCATATTCAGGCTAGTTTCCCGATTGCTATTTTGATTCTTACCTCATAGCAAAGAGTAACATCTGTAAAGTTTCTTTTGTAGTCTTCTGCTGAAGATTGACCCCCATGACTTCACTTACAGATAAGCTGTTTTAACTTCCCATAATTACGATAACGAGTGATTATTTTTATAAACAAAGAGATTTTACCCTGAGTTTGCAAGTGAACATTTAATTCCGGCGTGTTTTTTCTCGCTCTGCTTCAATTTAATTTCAATAGCGGGGAGCCAGTTCGTGACAAGTGGTTTCATTAGTTGGTAAGTTTTGGGGAGGACAGTGACAGAAAATAAGGGTTTCTTGGGGTTAACTCGACGCGAGTTTTCGGTAAGTTGACGGTGTCTGTTAACAATTTTTATTTGATAGTTTTAGTGTCGATCTTTTGAAGGCAAGTTCATCAGTTATTTGTTTTTGTCGGTTATCGTGATGCATACATTGGATAAAAAATAAGTCCATTTGAATATAGCTGAAATTCAGATGGGATAAACGTCTAGGAAAATTTGAAATGAAATGGATTACAAATTGAAAAACTGAAACTTTGATTAGATTAAAAGTAATTATCATCAAAAATATCGATATTACAGTTTAGTTCGTTCCTTTGTAACTGAATAGATGGATCTTTCTATATTGCACCCTCTATGTCATAGGCAAATACTGAAAAACATATTTATCACTAAAATATTGATTATGTGATGGTGTTTTGATAATGATATTGTATTTATTCAAAATACATTCAAAACCTGATAAAAATATATAAAGTTGAAAGTAAGACACAAACATGACGGATCCAGAAGCTTTTCTCGGGGGGGAGGGACGAAAAAATATATATACTAATGGTCTTTGAACCGACCATTCGTTTTATTGTATATTCTATTTACTCTAGCGTTATAGGCTACTATAATAATAATCCGATCGATATGATGGAAATATACATTTGAAGGTGGAGATTTAAATTCAACAAAAGTTTTGCTAATGAGAAATATGGGGTTTGAAATAAAGGAAAATATCAGTGTTGCTGAGAAGAATATTTTATATTGACTATGTTTTGATGAAAAAAATAGATTTGTTGGTATACCAAAATTAAAACTGCCGTGTCATATGAGTTTATTTTATGAAATGAAATAGGAAAAAAGCCAAATCGGGAGATAATGACGGACAGTCACATTCAATGAAGGCTGATGTCGATGTATTTTCTCAATCCACATTTTACTGATGACAATTTCACCTCTTCAAGAAAACACGACTGTTAAACATAAATTCTACTAGACTTTTATTTTTCTAACAGCAATTTATTGCTTTTAATTGCGGGTATGTAATTCAGTAAATGCAAGTGTTACACGATAATATGAATTGTGAACTCCACAACTGATTTAAGTGGATCCTTTTTGAACTTTGTCTGTGCGTTCATTATCAGACAATGAAATGATAGACTTTTTCAAACATTGCACGGTCAGTCTGTGAAATATATCATCATATAGAAACGCATCTGGTTGATTACTTGAAAATTTTCAGAAAATGAATCAAAATATCGCAGTACACGTGAAAGGCGTGAGGAAACGGCTTGGAAAACTGCAAGTGCTCGAAGGAGTAGACATGGAGGTGGAAAAGGGAACAATGTAAGTTGTTATGTACAGGGTGTCTGTGATGTAACGTATAAATTCATTTTTAACTCAGTGCTGTACGGAACTTGAAATTTCGAATTTTAAGTCGAAATATCGTGATAAAACTCGAAATTTCGCGATTAACGTAGAGACCCATCTACCAAAGACTTTACCTGGAGAATCTCTGACCACAGTTCACGGATTAGAACTCCTCGGTGCAGTGTGCCACATGGTTCACTATTGGGACCTATTTTATTTTCATTATATATCAACAATATTTCCAATTTGAATATGTCTGGGATGATCTGTTATTCGCAGATGATACCACTATATTTAGGCACAATATTGATGAAGCTGATGACATACATGATTCAGAAATGAATTTGTTAACCTTCAGATGTGAATTGGAAACCGTAATGCTTGATTCAACTAACGTTAACGTCTTAATGTTGATAATAGCTTGAAATTCACTGGACATGTTGGAAAACTGACTAAAAAATTATCTTCTGGGTGCTATGACATTAGGGTCATGAATAAAGAAGTAGGTTTTGCAGCTGCAAAATCTGCTCACCATGCATTATTTGAATCACTTATAGGTTATGCAATTGCTTTTTGGGATGCATGTTATGAAAGTTAAATGAAGAAGGTCCAAGTTGTGCAGAAAATGGGTATAAGAGCCCTCTGCAGGACAAATAGCATTCCAGTTATCTCTATGTTCGTTATAGAAATATATTGTTTTTGTCGAGCTTTCGGTGAAAACACCTGACCCCTTGCCTCTCATGTAGACTTACGACTTTCTAGGTACATGTGGCAGGAAAAACAACAACTAACCTGAAGTAAAGTCATAATGAGGTCTACTTGAGAGGCAAAGGGTAAGGTGTTTTCACCTGAACTTTTGGAGCATGTCATATGCACCTCTCATTCATTATTTCGACTCCCACCCCGGCGTATGGGTTCGTGAAGTTGTTTCCTGCCTTTGTCTACAGATGGCGCAGTGAACATACCACTAAATCAACTGCAGAAAGAGCTCATGACTACCCAGAATTATATTTGCCCGGTACTGATGATGGGACAAGTATTCTGAAACCAGTCTATCGGTTGGTAGTATCGACCAAATGAAAGTAATTTTTGCTTTTCGTTGCTTTTCGTTGCTTTTCGCGACGAATCTTCCAAATCGAAGACGTTGCACAGGTGCCTGATTGTTTCACTTCAACTCTCTGTAACATTTTTGTGATACTTCTTCAATAGTTTATAAACTAAATAACTCCAACCTATTTACCTAAATAGTCATCTTGACATATAATAAGAGACAAATCGTATATCGTATTATTCGTTGTAGATATGGTTTACTAGGTGCCAGTGGTTGTGGTAAAACGACCTTGCTGAACATCTTGGTGGGGCGTATAAAGCTCGATGAGGGTGAAGTATCTGTATTGGGCAACGAATACACTGGGCGACAATCGAATGTGTTAGGTTCCAGAGTTGGTTACATGCCTCAGGTGAGTCATTCGTGGTATCTTTTGACACCCCGCTGAGCTATCCTCAATATGAAACCTATTGAACTCAAATCTGGGGAGCCAGCATGCCAATCCAATGATTTAACGTTTTCGTGAATTTTTTGTTAAATTGACGGAGCTCTGGATAGATTTATGTATCAATTTTTTTCTCAGGAAGTGGCTCTGGTGGAGAGTCTAACAGTGAAAGATACACTGTTTTATTTCGGCAGGATATATGGTATGTCTGACAAATTGATAACTGAGAGGTATGATGAATTGCATACTTTACTGGAACTGCCACCGGATAACAGGTATTTACGTTTCTATTTGTAACAAGGAAAGTTGTATGAAAAATCAATAAAAATAGTATATTTTTTAATGTTTCTATCAAGATTTCCTGTAAGTTTTTCAATTTTAAATTATAGAGGCTCAAGAAATATCCAAGTTACATCATCTTCAAAGCTTCCTGTAGAGCAGTCTATTCAAGAACAGAGAGATTATGACTCAGTCAGAATCACCTCTAAACCTCTGAGGTTCCCAGACTTGGGAAATAGCTATTCTGCTTCATTTTTCTTCATTATATTAATGAAAATCGTCATAGAAAATTGATAATTATCACTGTTTTGTTTTCCATAAAATGCATCTGCAAAAGCTTATTGCTTTCAGTGTATTTCTAACCTTACTTTCAGTGTATTTTACGTCGGTTTTATTAGTATCTTTGAAATTTGCCGGTAAGTTAGGCCATGTTACTATTTTAGTAGTTTCATCCATTTTCTTTGAGATTTCCTATAGATCTTTTGAGATTGAGGAAATAAGGAAAAGAGTAATTCAACACAAACCTGAATATAGTTTCTTCCATAAATAAACGGGATGGAGAAGAAGAAAATGGGAAGAAAGTCAGCGAAAGTGAAGAAGAAAAGAAGAGAAAAAGCAAGGAGGAAAAAGAAACAGAAAGTCATGAAAGACATACAAAAGACACAAACAACAATTCATTTGGTGAAATCAATATAATGTATCAATACTATGCATTGAACGAAGCATCTGCATATATTGAATGCATCAGGAACAGATGCGTTGTACATGATATGCTGTTTCATGATTCTTTCAGGCATCGTGTAATGTAAGACATGAATAGTGTGTTGGAGTTTGACTTGAAACATAGCAAATTATTCAACAAACATATTTAATTTCTTTTTAACTTTTGTTTTAAGTATAAGATTGAATCCAGCTGAAGCAGTCCAAATTTTGTACTTGTTTCACCAAACCTCTTTGTTAGCATACTCATTACTACGAATTCATATTGTAGATATTCCTGAATGACTATGAACTTCTCTTCCAACGTATATTTTTTTAGGTATATAGTTGACTGTAGTGGAGGTGAGAAAAGAAGAGTGTCCTTTGCCTCGGCAGTTATCCACAAACCAGAGTTGTTAATACTGGATGAACCAACGGTGGGAGTTGATCCACTTTTGAGGGAGAGGTTAGTTCATGTCAAACCCCTTAGGCTTTTTTCACATCTAGTTCTCTTTCAGAATATGGAACTATCTAGTCGATATGACGAAGAAACTAGGAACTTCTGTGATTATAACCACACACTATATTGAGGAATGTAGGCAGACTGATAGGGTAATGATACAGTTGTTAGATCAAGACATCCCTCTACCACTTCAAAAAATGATCTGCTCTCAACATCGTCATATTCATTCTCATTTCCAGATCTGTTTGTTGAGAGGAGGAATCATTTTGGCTCAAGAGAACCCGGATAGGCTTTTGGCTTTTTACAATAGCCAAACATTAGAAGACGTTTTTCTGATGCTCAGTAAAGAGCAAGATGAGGGGAGACTCAGTGTAACGAGGGGAGACATGTTGCCCCCTCAAGACAATGAATCGATTGCCAGTGGAAAAGTCACCACTTTCGAAATCAATGACGGCCCCGAGGTAATGAGTTGCATTAGGTATATAGTTACACTGCAAAGAGAATTTTTTTTTTCAGTTGGTGTGTTCGGTTTTCACAAAAACAATAGTATAAAATCATTTGTCCCTGCCATATTATTGAACCGAAATAGTCGAGGTAACATTGATTCCAAAAGATTCGTGAATGATCTCGACTTCGACTATCAACTGACTTGATTTATTTATTTTTGAAAACATGAAGACATGATTCGAAAACCTAAAAGGGAGAAAAATTAGTTGTGAATCGAAAACGGAACCCTGTGGAACTCCTACATTTATAGCTATAAAATTTGAGTCCATGACTCTCAGCAAATTGTCTTCATTGTTTTACTACGTTGACGTTATATAAAGTATTTGAATATTTCTATGATTTATCCAACAGCACATAATGACTTCTTTTTTTCAACCTGCACTATGCTTCAATCACACTATGCATATTTAATTCACTTCTTCGAAGTAATAGAAGTTCTAATTCTCGACACAGTCTGGTATATATACCACATTCGAACATTCTTGTTCATTCTCGAAAAAAAATCAGTATTTTTACGTTTACTTCTCAAATGACAAGTTAGATATCTGTCAGTGGCGGTTCCTTCATTTAATCTTCGTATGGTAACAATAAATGTCTTCAGCTTAAATGTTAAATTTTACAGAATCAGGCTTCCACTGCCCTAAAAAGGTGTCGAAATATTTAAAATCTGTGTAGAAATGTTTGTAATATTTAAAGTTTTCAAGATATCATAATCGAAATATAGATGCTGCTAGCATATAAACTAGAATTATTTTCAACAATAGTGAGGTAAATTTATGAGCTTCTTTCAATTTAAGATTCCTGATAAAAAACGAGGTGTCAAACAGGCAAATGGTTCAATTAGCAAACGGCGAATATCAGCGATGCTGGACAAGAATTGGAAACAATTTTATAGGAACAGAACGTAAGAAAGAAACCAATTATATCACCTTTCATAACACTAGAAACAATTTCAATAAATTCAGGGTCATCCAAATTGTGTGTCGCAGTTGTAGATGAAACGCCAGGCATAAAAACATGCAGACACGGCGATCGAGCTAGAAAATAGCTTTGACCAAAGTTCTGAAAATGTTCACTTGATTTGGATCGGCCCACGTAATATTTGTTCTAAACCTAGAGGTTATTCAGTTTGAAATATTTATTCTCAAAGAAATAGAGACATGATCTCTTAATTTTCAGTGGCTTCCTTTTTTTTTTCTTCATTCCCCTGAGTCAAACCTTTTTCTGTCTGGCTGGGGTTGGTGGGAACGTGAAAAATATACCCTTGGGGATCGTCAATGATGAAGTTGAAGACTGCTCCTTCGTTTCTAACTTTGACGATTCATCCTGCCGGTTCAGCAACATGAGCTGCCGGTTTTTGACCCATCTAAATCACCCCATGATATCAAAGGTGAGTTAGTCTCAGATAAACACCGAAATTATGAAAATATAAAATGATAACGAAGTTTATTCTTTTACAATCTCTTGAATTGTATGTGTATCCTTATCATTTTTCGATCGTTTCAACTCAGGTGAAATGTGACTCCTTGGAAGATGCGATAGAAAATGTTAGACGTGGGGTTACCGCAGGGGCTTTGTATATCCCAGAAAATTTCAGTAGTCTGGTTGAGCAAAGAATGGACACGGGACTAATTTTTGATGATGACGTTGTTGGTGATCTGAGTCAAGTTAAAGTTTGGATGGACATGTCAAGTGAGTATGTGATAATATATTTGGTTATAGTCTGATATAGCCCTTCTTTTGTTAGCGAAAATTTACAGCAGATGTTGAGGACGGGTAGCCAGATTTTGTTTACGTTAATTGACGTGTTTTTGAATTCCTAACGAGATAATATGAGTGCCTTCTTTGTTGAGAGCATTTTTGGTCACAGCTGATTTGTCCAAGTCGACAATTTATCTTGTGTCCAGGAAGACGAAGACTGTAAACTAACCCTCAGCTCCAAGGCATCCGAGGGCGGTTATATCTGCTGGGATTACTTCGCTAATTAGCCGTATCAGTCATCTCTGGGTGATGAATTATTTTTTTCTTGCTTCTGATAACGCACCGTATAGTCTATCCATTCCCAATTGGAACGGCAATAAAAATAAGAGTACAGTCATAAACATTTCTTGCCTGTGGCCCTTAGTTGCCCAGAGAGTTAGTAAACGTGCTATCGAATGTAGTTGAGGAGTAAAGGCTCGGCTAGCTGGACTGGCTGAATACTAATTTTTTGTCCGTTTCACAATATTTATTCATCAGTGCCGTGTGTTCATGGGGTCAGGTGAGGTAGTGAGTGGTTTTGCAAACCGATTTTTGAAAAAAATTTCTAGAGATCAATTACCCCAACACCAAACTGATATTTTTGCACTTGACGCGCGTTTCGCTAACAAGATTAGCTCTTCTGGAGAAGCAAATTGATACTGAATCTAAAGACAAAGATTAGCTGATTTTCATATTTTCACAAAAATCGGTTTAAACGATGATATTGGAATTAAAGACAAGGATTAGCTGTTTATATACCTGAAGATATACCAATAGATTAAAAAGCGGCAAATCAATTTGCAGGTAGCGGTTCCACTAGTTAATTACCGAAAAATCAATTAGGATAATCATCATTTAACAAAGTCCACATCGGACCAAAAAACTTTAGGTATATAAACAGCTAATCCTTGTCTTTAGTTCCAATTTCATCGTTTAAACCGATTTTTGTGAAAATCTTAGTGTTTTTGAGTACATGTTCAAGTTCAGCGAATAATTTTAAATATTCATGAATGCTTGAAGAAGGAAAACTGTCACACTTCACAGAATGCTATCGCGAATAGAATATGCGAAACTATCTCGTTCGACAGTTCTTCTAGTCATTAAAATAGGGGATGTCATTGACCATGCAATGAAACGAAAACAAAGGAATAAAAAATTCGCAAACGTTGATGGTGCTACAAAAGATGTGATTCGGCGAACAATTTATGGTATATACCAAAAAAATGAAGTACCAACCTTGGAAATTACATTTACGATTACAATTACGATTACAATTACAATTACGATTACAATTACGATTACAATTACAAATCTTTAGAAACTGTACGAGGTGTCTTATTGTCTTGTGGTTTCAAATATAAAAAATTGAACAATCGGATGGTCATAATGGAGTCGACACGCATTGTTCAACTCCGACAAGAATATTTGAGGCGAATGAAAAGCTACCGAGAATCCAGCAGACATATAATCTACCTCGACGAAACTTGGTTCGACACCCATGATGTTGTCAAATATGGCTGGGTAGACGAAACCAAGTATTGTGCTCTGAACACACCTTCTTCAAGGAGAAAACATGTTATAATTTTGCATGCCGGGAATGAAAGTGGTTTCGTACCTAACGCTTTGCTTCTGTCGGCCAAAAATATAAAAGATTCGTCTGCTGATTACCACGAAGATATGACTGCGGCTTTATTCGAAACCTGGTTCAGTGAGCAGCTTCTCCCAAATATTCCTCCAAACTCGGTTATTGTTATGGATAACGCTTCGTATCATTCTCGGTTATTGACTACAATACCAAACAATAACACAAAAAAAGCAGATATTGTTGATTTCATGCGAAATCATGACATGGAAATACCCGAAAAGATTCCAACGCAAAAGGTATTACTGGCGCCCATAAAACAACGTAATTTCAAAAAAGAGTACATTATTGATTCGATGTGTGAAACACGTGGTCATATTCTCTTACGTTTGCCTCCATACTATTGTGTGTTCAATCCAATTGAAATGGTTTGGGCCACAATGAAAGAAAGCTTGCGGAAATGTAATCAGTCACCGACTTTGAATGCTGAAGTGCTTGACAATATACGGCGAGTGGTGAATGAAGTAGGTAATAGTGATGTGTGGAAGAACTGTGTGGCCCACGTTATAAAAAAAGAGAACTAATATTATGTGCAAAGTTCCATAAATCCGATCGTTATTCAACCCAATGATGATTCCACCTCATCCGAATATAGCAATTTTGTTGGCCTCTTTTATATATTTGACGAGAATTCGGTGTGATTATTTGTGTTTTCATTGTATTTTAGAGTTTTCGACTCGGAAATGAACTACCTTAAATTTCGAAGTTTTTCATAATTACCCATGCTGGAAAAATTCAGTTGAGATAACTTTCTCATGGGGTGATCAATTGCTATGATTGTAAGAATAAGTAACTGAAAAATTACCACTGAAAAATAATATGCCGATGCCTATGTCGAGGCGGGAATTCCTTCTCTGTGCTGTTCTGTGCTGGTATTGGAAATACTATACCACAAATACCATAAACTCTAATTTTGTTATGTTCTCATGTACAAAATTAATTGCAGATATGGAAATAGGAGAGAGTGTAAAATATAAGCTGATAGAATTATTCAAGGATTTTCAAGTGTCAGTTTTGAAAGATTGTGGCTATCCACCAGAATTCGGAGACGTACCCATCAAAATGAACTTGATTTTTGGGCATGATCAAGAAGCCTTTACAGTATTCATGATTCCAGGTGTTATGATATCGTAAGTTGACCAAAATAATGTATCTTTCGATAGGGATGAATTTTGAATATGAAGAATAGTTATTAGAAAGATAGCAACACAGATAATATTACAGGGCCAACTATTATTCACGCAATAGATTTCCTTGGCAGATTTGGTCGATATAGAAACAAAATTAGAAAGACTACATATTATATTCTTTTCTGTCGTCCTCAGGTGGATACATATTTTAAAAAACGTGTGATAATACTACGCTATCACAGTCATTGTAGGAATAGACAGTATTTGGAAATAATGTTCTATAATGTTGGGAAATACATTATAATTACAACGTATATCATATTCCCACAAAAAAGTTCAATATAAAATGAAGACACTTCATTGTATAAGTTTAATATTCACATCAAAATACTTCATGTCGTCGCTTGTGACGTCACGTTCGAGTAAATAAAAAGTGTAATTCTGAACGAATAAGTGGAAAGTAAATTAAAGTAGCTTCAGCGCTTAAGAGAAATTATACCACTTATGATTGGTGCCAACTTTTGTCGAATTACCTAAGCCAATATCCGTCGTAGCAGTTCGATTCCTCTAAAATTGTATTACTTTCCAGGATATTATTTCTGTTCGGATCGATAATTACCTGCCAAATTATCGTGACAGAGAGGGAGGAAGGAATTTGGGATCGATCCATAGTGGCAGGAGTGACATCCTTAGAGATCACAGTCAGCCATCTTGTCTTGCAGGCATGTTTAGCGCTAATCCCCGTCATCGAGATTTTGTGTTTGATTTTCTGGATTTATCAGTATACCAACGTCGGTAGCTATTGGCTCTTGTTTCTGATACTATATTTGACAGAATTGAGCGGAATGTGCTATGGTAAGTGTTGAAAAGAAGATGAAGAACGATATATAAGCTTATGTTGAAAGCAGAACCTCGGAAAATTCTGTTGAAAATTTCCATTTACGTGAAACCTACAAAAAGTAAAATCCACACAGTGGGTAGTACATTACATATTTCATTGTCCTCCTATCATAGTTCTTTAAACGCAAACGGTGGATTTTTCTGACTTTGTGAGGTCTAAATTTAATCCTTCTCAAAATGTTATGGCTATTTCTAGGATATCTTGTTTCCATCGTATCCAATGGCCACATAATGGCGACCCTGTTTCTTTGTGGCTCGATCAATACGATGATTTTAATATGCGGTGAGTATATTTTTTTAAATACCTTTGATTGTTGAGCATTTGTCTTTTTTCAGGTATGATATGGCCAGTGGAAGGGATGCATTCATTTCTTAGATTGTGTACAAAGTTCTTGCCTTTCTCTTTTTCAATTGAGGCTACTAGGAATGTCA